GGCAGCGGGTAGGGATCCCCTGGGCACACCTTGTTAATCGTCGTGTAGTCGACGCACATTCGCCAAGCTCCCGATGACTTTTTCACCAACACCACATTCGCCAGCCACTTCGGGTATTTCACTGGGCGGATTAACCCCGCCAACAGCAGGCGCGCCACTTCTTCCTCAATGGCTTTAAGCTTGTCGCCCGTAAAGCTCCGCCGCGCCTGTTGTCTTGGCGTCGCGCTGACTGGGACCCCAAGGGAATGTTGGGCGACTTCTCTTGGTACGCCCGGCATGTCTTCCGTGCACCACGCGAATAATTCTTTATATTCTTTCAGCAGTTTTATTAGCGGTTCAATCGCGTCTCCGGGGACGTGAGTTGAAACGCGTCTCCGGGGACGTGAGTTGAAACGCGTACCTTGTGGGTTGGCTCGCTCGGATCAAGGGCCACTTCGAAGTCAGAATCCATTGATTCCGGGCGAGGTTCTTCTGCCCTCGTGTCAACGATGTTGGTCTGGCGGACTTCTCCTAGCTTTGGGGCCTCCCACGTTGTCCCGCGCGCTTCGCCGCTCCCCTCCTTGGTGGGGAATTTGAGTTTATGGTGGCATGTTGACGGGAGAGCCATGAACTTTGCCAAGAGCGGGCGGCCAAAAATTCCATTGTGGGGGGATTTGCAGTCGACTATCGTGAATTCGACTTGCTTCGAGACGTGTGGCTCCTGGTCCCCGAGCACGACTGGAAGAGTGACCACCCCGATAACTGGGACCCTTGTGCCGGAAAAACCGACCAAGTTCCCGTAAGCGGGCTTGATTAGCCGCGGGTCGATGTCCATTTGGTCGACCGTGCTTTTGAAAAGGATGTCGCCGCGCTGCCCCCGTCAATCAGTAGGCGGCGAACTTTGCAGGCGGCGACGAGCGCGGTGATGATGAGTGGGTCCTCCGAAGGGACCCCTCCAGGGAGTTCAGCGTCGTCGAAGCTCAAGTTGCACTTCTGTGTAGCTTCTGCTGCCGCGCACTCTATAGCGCGGTCGCGCTTGGTCTTTTTCTTCGGGCGGTCTCCTTCTATAGTTACCACCCCTATTTCCTTTCGCACTACGTACGAGCCCGAGGCGTCGTCATAGTCAGCCTGTGGCGGTGGTGGGGGTTTCACAGGGCGCTCCACCGGTTCTTCCGCTCCGCGAATGAACTCATTCAGGAGTCCCCTTTGTATGAGGCCCTCGATCTCATAGCGCAATTTCCTGCAGTTTTCTGTCCAGTGCCCCGTGTCCCTGTGGAATTCACAGCGCTTCTTGGGATCGCGCATGTGCGGTAGGGTCTTCATGGGGGCGAGCCAGTTGATTTTGTACCCCTTCTCTCGTAGAACGTGGTAGACGTTCTTGACCGTGTCGTTGAGGGGAGTATAGTTTGACGGGCGCCTCTCTGGCGACCGTCCCTGATGGGCTTGTTCTGGAGGAGGTGGTGGGCATCTGGCGCCGCTGTGCGCTTGCAACAGCTGGTCCCGCGGCACGGGAAGCTGCCTACGAGCTTGATCTTCTTTGGGCATTTTGGCGGGTTCAAAACGTCGGATGGAGCCCGCGCCTAGCGTTTCTTCCAAAGTGATGGCTTTTTCAATTTTGACTTCCAGCTCCATAGACAGTGTGATTGGTCTCTTTGCTAGCGCTCTCTTGAGCTCCATGCTAGTAGTGGCGTCCATGAGGTGATGGGCGGCGGTTTCCGGGGTGAGATCCCTTACAGCCATTGCCACCCTGGACCACCTGGCGTAGAACGCCCGCAAGCTTTCTCCATCCTTCTGGCGGATGTCTATCAGCGCCTTGAGGTGAAGAGGCCTTCTTTTTTGTGACGCGAACTTAGTTGTGAACAGGAGTATGAACTCTTCGAAGGAGCGGATGATTCCATTGGGGAGGCGGTTATACCAGTCGAGGCATATCCCGGCGAATGTTGATGGGAACGTACGGCATAGTGCCGCGTTAGAGTTGGTTTGGAGTTGCATCCGTAGGCAGAAGGTGCTGACGTGGTCTTCAGGATCGGTCGTGCCGTTGTACGTGGGGAGGGTGGGTGGAGCTCCGCTCAAGTGTTCCGCCATGATCTCCGCGCACAATGGTTGATGTAAGGCCTTTCTAGGCGGATTGGGGCGGAACTGTGGGGACAGGTGTTGCTCCAAAAAGCTGAGGTCCGCTCTTCCTGGTGGTTCGTAGCGCTGGGCTTCAGGCGCGGTCAACTAGACCACTGCCTGATGAGGTGGCGGGACGTGGTCTGATGTCCTTCCTTGCGTTAGCTGTAACGCGTCAGACGGCGCACTCGGCGCTGCCGCAGCTTCTCTGCTCATCATGAGCGCCATGACTTGGCTCATCTGCTTTTGCATATTGGCGATGACGTCATTTTGCTTAGCCATCTGTTGCCTCATCTCTTTGGCCGTCAGTTCGGGCTCTTCTTCCTCGATGAGTACCACGTCGCGGTTGCTGGCTTCCGCGAGTTCCGCGAACACCCTAGGATCCGTCATCGCCTTGATGGGGGTTACCTCGCCGGGTATGTTGGAGTTTTGTTCTGCCATTTTTTCCTCAGGCCCCACGGTGGGCGCCAATTGTTTGAACCTAACTGAGTGTAGGAGTGAGGTTCGCTAGAATGGGTCGAGAAGAATGAACGGCTCGGTCGAACAAGAACTTTGAGATAACTGTGAGGGCAGATAGAGTTGAGAGAGAGTGTATATTTAGTGAGAGAAAGTGATGATCTTAGAGATAGAGTCCGAAAAATCCGATCCCCTCACCCACCGGAGTAAATGCCATATTTATAGGCTACATGGTGGTGGGTGAGTTACATGACGGTACGATGACGTGACCACTACGGCAAGGTGACATGACCTCTGACATGCCAGGGACCAAGACCATATCCCTAGGGGTGATAAGACCCTTAGCCATGACTATACCTATGACTATGATGTTGACTACCCTAGGACTATGATGTTGACTACCCTTTGGGTGACGCGGCGCCGCTACTATACTTCTCGGTGAGGGCCCGCGCTTGCCCAAAGCGCCGTCGTTTGGCGTTTATGCGCGGTCTTTCCGGGCCATTCTCTGCACTCACGCTTTCACCTGGCGCGGCTCGCGCGTTGGCTTTGACGTGAACATCCTTAGTTATTTCTTCGGCGCGTTGAGATCCGAGTCACATCCCCAACACTAAGTTATAGACCCTCAAACGCTGCGTCGCAAGCTCATGACGCAGCGGTGAATATTATTGGCATGGCTTGTGAGTGGAGTGGATCAGTGCGAAAATGGAGTTGGATTGGGCCTAGGGCCACATTTCGGAATGGGCTCAAAGAGAGGGGATGGACTCCGGCCTCAGAGTTAGTGGGCTGGGTTGGAAATTCGAAATTCGGTCGAAAAATCGGAAGTTCGGTTCGGTTCAAATGATGATGATTTCCAAAATATACGATCTCTCATTCCGAATCCCGAACCTAACAAGCTTTAATTCGGTTTCGGTCGATTTTAGTTCGGTTCAGTTCTGTAAAACCGAACCGCATGCCCACCCCTACATTGCTGGAAAGGAAATTAAATTAGGCTTTGTTAGTTTTAGGTTCTTACCGTTTTACTCCAGTTATTCTCTCATGTAATGTAGTCTGCGTGAATATAATTGGCATATGGCTCGAAAGAAAAGGAAATTCCTTCATCAGGCTCGGACGGCTCAATGAGAATATGAGATTATATAATAATATATATGGTACTACGGTACATTGAAGAATCCAAACTAATAATAACAAAACAGAACCTATAATTTCAATGTACAGAGGGAAATCCCAATGACAACTAGGCAAAAATCACAATCTCCCTTCAATTAATTAATCGATCAAATAACATTTATGCTAGGGCGGAGAATCTTATATAGTACAATGCCCCTTCTTGTTGTAAAGAAAACAATGTCAATGTGGGTTTGATCTGGACAAAGATTTGTCAGGTTCAATTGTGGCCAGCACCAGTTTTGTATTCCTGGAATAATACCCAAAATTCAACATTATGTCCGTCTACTTAAAAAAAAACCACACCAAATAAACCAAAGATCAGTAGGTAATTATTCCTCAAGTTTTCCCCTCACCCATACATCTTTATTTTGTTACTTTCCCGAAAGATAATTTCATCAGGAAGACGAATGACAATGAGTTAGCTTGGGTTAGATATCTCGAGTTCTCGACATTATTTCTTGTCACGTGACAATTAGGCTGGCTATATGAACTAGAATTTGAGTGGGTACCAGGCAAGTGTTAGACGTGGGAGCCAAGATGCAGATACATGATAAGTTTTTAGTATGTTGAGTGAGATCATTCACTTTGGGATCGTTAGTTCGATTCACTGAACACCTAGACTTTTTCGGCTTATAATTATTGTTTCTGGAACCCCCAATCTTTAGCCTTCATTCCGTCACTAGATTAGATATGAGATATGTCATCTCCGTGTTCTTCTTCTGGTTGGGACATGTCAACTCATTGAATATGCATAAAAAAGAATTTAACAAATCAATTCTTTTGTTAGAAAGTCAAGAAACAATCTTTGCTTGGACAATATAATATGATGAATTAGGGGAGATTTTTTTTTCAAAAATCAAAACTTCTTAATTAGCTTGAATAACTAGTTTTACCAAAATTAGACAAATGGATCGAGCATAGAACAAATTAATATGAGGCTAGATGACCGTCATAAGATTACTCGTATTAAGTATATGTACTATCCACTCGAAACAAACCGGAATAGGTCGAATCCGATCAAAATTGTGATACCAATAATTTTTTGGGTTGTTGGGGCAAACATTCCCTGGTTGTCATCGAATCGGGCCCCCGACGGCCAATGGTCCGCCCGCTACCCGCCCGCTACCCGCTTTCCTTCCCACATATATATAAACAAAACTGAACCAAACAATCCTCATATGGTTAGCTACTACTTTTACTAATCACAACGAGAATCAAAGCGACGATTGTGGTTCCCCGATCGCTGATTTGATTCTCCGGCGCTTCCTTTAGGCGCCGGCTCGTATATGGCGGACGATGTCCCCTGTTGCGGAACTCAATTCTCGCTCTACGTCCTGGCGGTCATCGGATTGGTGATCTTCGCCGGTCTAATGGCCGGGCTCACTCTCGGCCTGATGTCCCTGGGCCTCGTCGACCTCGAAGTCCTCATCAAGTCCGGCCGCCCCCAGGATCGCATCCACGCCGGTAACGTTAATTAGCCTCTCTCTCTCCTTCACATGTTCAGTTATACCGGCATTAATTTGCTCGACGAACGAATTCCTTAGTCTTAGCGAGCTACTTAAATCTGTTTCGTGGTTATGGATTCGTTGAGATAGAACTGGTTTCGGCGTACTGCTGCAATCAATTTGGATGAAGTTTTGATTGTGTTCGTGAGGGGGATGAAATTGGGTTGAATTTGATTCTAGTATGCACTATTGGCCTTTTTTTTACAATTCTCTTCCAATGGAGGTTGGGACTTTAATTGATCGAGTTTGCATTAGCTTGTTGAGATTATAGACTGTGGATGATGATGATGATGATGGACGAAAGAAGAAGGTGGCCTACTGAGCTGTTCATTTACAGTGATTTTGATTGTTCGAGGTGTCAGTTCATTGCATCTGGCATGTGGCCTGCCGGAGCATTTAAATTTTTTTTCTTGTCTTCTCTGTTTTAATCGAATGTTTCAAAGCGAGTTAACCCAACGAGTCATCTATCAAATTAGTTAACTAGTTGACAGTAGGACAATCTTCTTCCCACACTTGGGTCGATTTGGAGAATTTCAATTTCTCCAAGAAAGGACATTTGGGGAATCAGATCCCTTCCTTTTTAACTTTAACATCTAGTCCAAATTGATGCATCCGTGTGGTATGTCTGGACTGGAGTATGTTATGAGATTTTACTGTTCTGAATTTTATTGTTCATCGTTGCAGCCAAGATATTTCCAGTGGTAAAGAATCAACACCTTTTGCTGTGTACCCTTTTGATCGGCAATGCTCTTGCCATGGAGGTAAATGAATTTGTGGAATCCTTTTGGTGTTCCTTCATAATAACGTTTTCTCTCGAGAACTTAAAGAGGCTTATAGGAGTATCATGTGTTTCCATTTGTTCTTGTTGAATCCCAGGCTCTGCCTATATGCTTGGACAAGCTTGCACCTCCTTACATTGCGGTCTTGGTATCAGTCACCCTTGTTCTTTTGTTTGGGGAGGTATGTGTTTAGAAAGTTCTCTCTTAAGCTTTATCCAGATGTCATTTTGGTATCAACCGGACTTCTCGCTGTTTTGTCCCTCCGATAACAGATATTGCCACAAGCAATCTGTACTCGCTATGGGTTGACCGTCGGAGCAACAATGGCTCCCCTTGTTCGTTGCCTTGTTGTTCTCTTCTACCCTATTGCATATCCAATCAGTAAGGTATTATCAATCGTGATTCTCTTAGGGGTCGTTTGGTAGTTGCGATTGTTTTGTTGAGATTGTTACTATACATGTATTGTTTAGAATGCATTGTTTTTTTGTTTTTTTTATCAGAAACAATGCATGGATTGTTTTTGTGATGTGACAGAAACTATCACTCAAAATGAGTGATTGTTATATCTCAACTTTTAGTCGTGATTGTTGAGATAGTTGAGTTGAGATTGTTTTGTCTCAGCTTTTAGCTGATGTGACATAAACAATCAGACATACCAAATATTGTATTCTACAATGCATCAAATTCGACAATACATGTATAATATTATACATGTATTCACAACAATACACACAACAATACATTCATTTAACAATCACAACTTCCAAACAACCCCTTAGTTATTTGTAAGTGATGTATTTTATGCATGCAAGTTGGCATCTTTGATACAAATTTGTAGATATAGTTATTTTGTATTTCCAATTTTCCATAAGTTATTCATTCCCCTTTCACAACACTGTTTTATGCGGCAGGTCTTGGATTGGATGTTGGGCAAGGGGCATGCAGCTCTATTGCGGAGAGCAGAACTGAAGACTTTTGTCAACTTCCATGCCAATGAGGTACTTGATTTGACTTAAAATCTCCCTCCCAAGTATTTTACTGAATGCATCAGAAGCTGCTGATTTTAAGTCTGGCATTTTACCTGTTCGGATTTGCTAATGGATCGTTATCGATGTTATGTTGTCACATAGGCAGGGAAAGGTGGTGATTTGACACATGATGAGGCTACTATAATCACTGGAGCACTTGATTTGACTGAAAAGACCGCTAAAGACGCCATGACTCCCATATCAAAGGCGTTTTCCCTTGATCTGGATGCAGTTCTTAATTTGTGGGTTTGTGGTTCTGGTTAACTCTTGCCATTGGTCATTTTGGTAGTGCCCTTCTTGTCTCCTAAATCTATTCCTTCTGCACATTTTAGGGAGACACTGAATGCAATCATGACAATGGGTCATAGCAGAGTCCCAGTTTATTCTGGAAGTCCATCAAATATAATTGGACTCATCCTGGTATTTGTTTTTCTTTTTCTAAGAACTTATTCTGACGCCATTCTTTCTCCTGTTTTATGTTAATCTTCCTTTATATACCCTGTAACATGCAAGGAATCGGATAAATCCTTCACCTTTTAGCTCTTACTTTCTATTATGATGTACAGGTGAAAAATCTCTTGACAGTTGATTCCAGAGATTCTGTCCCAGTGAGAAAGATGACCGTAAGGAAAATAACTAGGTATGATATCCCTTTCATTTTTGTATGTTGCTAAAAGATACCAAGCGCAAGTGTTTCCATTTTACTTTTCTGCTCCTTCTGCAGGGTTTCTGAAGACATACCTCTATATGATATTCTAAATGAGTTCCAGAAGGGTCATAGCCACATTGCTGTTGTTTATAAAGATTTGAATTCAAACAAAAGTGATAGCGAAGAACTCGACTTTAAAGGGAGCTGCAAGAAGAGCAATAAATCTGAGACATCACATACAAAAGGTTCAGACATGAAAACAAATTCTATTATGAAATATAAAGACACTGTGCTTTCTTAAGTTGTGGTATCTTCTAGTATTTTGTTACTCTATCTCTTAGTTGTGTGTATGTGAATCTTAATAAGTCTGTTTCTGATTGCCAGATGACAATATTATTGGTCCCTCCATTACTACTGAAAACCCGACTGTTGATACAACTCAGTCAAACAAGAAGAATATGCCTCCGGTGATCCCTGCCTTCAAGAAGCATCATAGAGGATGTTCATATTGCATATTGGATATTGAAAATGGTCCTATCCCGCAATTCCCATCTAATGAAGAAGTGGTTGGTGTGATCACAATGGAGGATGTAATTGAAGAGCTCCTGCAGGTAAAATTATCTAACTCCTAGGAGCTCTCAATACATTCTTAGAGGATGCATGGAATAGAAGACGCATGACAACTTGTGTTTAATCTTACCATTCTTTCTCGAAGACTAATCTTGTGGAATGCATTCTATGATTTTACTTTTCAGGAAGAGATATTGGATGAAACCGATGAATACGTCAACCTCCATAACAGGTAAGTGAAATCTTCTAGTAAAAAACTAGGTAATAAATATTGAAAATCATTAGAAGATTTCTAAGAATGAGACTAGTAGCATAACAATGGGTGTATCTCCTGAAAATATTGCAGGATCAAAATCAACATGAATGCATCTCCATTGCATCGAGAGACTTTCGGAGGGAACCCCACGTCTGTCACCGATGCCGAAACTCCATCGACGTCCATGTTGTCGACCGGACCATCACTGACGGTCTCTGTCTCGACGGGCAGTTCCTCGGGGACCTCGCCTGCTGCAACGAATAACCATCATGCTCATGATGAGAAAGTGTCGAACAATCAAGGAGGGGTATAGTTAGTACCCGCCCTGTCGTTTTGAGGCCAGATCTCTATACATGGATCCTGTAAACTAAAGTCACAAGCAAGACAATAATCGCACCAGCGAAAGCACAACATGTAAAATCTTTAGGTGTTTAATATGCTGTCTTTTCTATAGGAATTCATTGTGGCAACGTTGATTTGTATGATAAATAGGGTAGCCTATGGAAGAAATGAGCTACATATGCTAGGAAGCTCAGGCGTACGTATATTGACGAATTAGAAATGTATTGTAGTAATTTTTTGGTGTTGTTTTTTCGATCTTTTGCTCACTTAGGCGCTACTTGTATGTATCGAGCATGAGTTCGTATACTTTGGTTTTTCTCAATTTAATCAAGTCCAGGTCATTGTAACATGGTTTAAAAGGCCGTGCTTACTCTTATATTTAGACATGCGTAGATGTAAGGTAACATCAAAATGTCTCGTTCAGAGATTCATATTGCTTTGGTTTTTTGCAATTTAATCAAGTTAAGGTTGGTGTAACATGATTTAAAAGGGAGTACTTATTCTTGCGTTTAGATGTGCGTAAATGTTAGGCAACATCAAAACGCCTCATTTAAAGATTCATATTGCTTTGCGTTTTTCTCAATTTAATCAAGTTCAGGTCATTGTAAGATAGTTTAAAAGGGTGTTTTTCATCTTATGTTTAGATGTGCCTAGACGTTAGGCAAAATCAAAATGTCTCGTCTAGAGATTTCGAGGGGAGTAAGGTATCGAGAACACGACACATAAGCGAAGCTAGGTGTCGACGGGATGTAATTAGGTGGAATTAGGAAGCCGATATGAAATGAGAAACTAACATAATGTACAAGCTCAATCTTCTCTCAAAATTTTCAATAGTTTGGGAACTTTGAGAACTATGAACTTGTAAGTTATTTTTCGTGTTTTCCATTTGCTCTAAAATGGAAAAATGTCTTAAATCGTTATTACATTCATCATGTATTACAAACTGCCATTTCTAGTTCTTGTGCCAAGATCCTAAACAACCTAGGCACTAAGTAACACCACAACACTGACCTTACACACCTAACAAGTAACATCTTCAACCTTAACATTTGTATACCTATTAGGCTGTTATAGTGAGTTTTACCGCTAGCGTTTCCTAAAATAACCGGCAGGGATCTCGCCGACTAGCAGCGGCTGTGCACGAGCTTAGTTTCTAATTATCAGAGCTTGGTCAAGGAGACGGTCAGATTGATGTAGTTCGTTTTTTCTCTGGCCATCCGATCAGAGAGAACAACACCAAACCTCCTGAAAATCTCGTCGACGACTCCAGGCGGCGGACCCAATTGACGGACGAACAACGGCTCCAGCACGGCTCTCATCCCTTTCGCCACATTGCAGCCACGATCCTGTAGGGCCTCCGGCAAGTTTGGTTCCCCGTCGTAAGCATTCCAGCTCGACTCCCAAACCTTCAACCGATCAATCACGAAGCAGCCGTTCTTACGGGCTTGATCCTTCACTTCCATGGGGGACGGCATGTAAAACGGAATGTTGAAGGAATCCCATTTCTCCTGATCGATCCTTCCCTCGGATGCCATTTGATTGAGGACAATGGAGATGAGCTCCCAAAAGTAGCAGCACTCTCTGCTCGAAGGGTCCTCGCTTCGCCTCCCGAGCAATGTCAGAACCATACGCCCGCCTTGCACCAGTTCCTGTCCCCTGCACCTCAGGAATGTCGAGAAGTCGCTCCGAAACTGCGCGGTGTACGCCTTCAGGACGCTCGGCGGGCTGCTGCTCGCCATGAAAATGTTTCCCCTGTTCTCGTTCAATCCTTCAGGAACCTGAGACAGCCAGTGCAGGCTGTAGGAGGAGTGGACGAAGTGCAGGCTTTCCGCCGCGAAAAGCCTGCCGTAGAAAGACCCTGGCACTCCGTTGAAGAACACCACTGATTCGGAATTAGAAGAATTGTGCAGTGACTTGAAAACCTGGTTGAAATCGTTGCCAGGGAGGTCGTTCAGGAAAACCTGAAACTCAGGGGATTTCCTGCCGAGCTCTCTGCTGACCCTGTTCGCGGCCTTGATTATTCCTGAAACGGGTAGAAGTGAATTGGGTCCTGAAGCGCAGCCTAGATCGGCAATGGCCAAGCTTCTTATGGGTAAGCTCCAGCTTCTAATCAGTCCTGTAATGGCTTCCTCTGTTATGGGTTGAGTCCTTGACAAGACCTTCCGCTGCAAAAATGTAAGGAGAAGAAGATGACACTCAGAAAATCTGAATTGGAACTTGAATTGATGTAATGTGAATTTACCTGAAGCAAGGAGTTGTGAGCATAGCTAGTCTCTTCTTCCATCCCGGAGTTCATATGAAGCACTTGTTCCACCTTCATCTCTGGTTTTTTTCTCTGTAAACTTGGAGCTCTACTTTTTGTTGGGTATTAGCGGAAGTAGTGGTAATTTAGGATCAATAGAAAGGAAACATTTGGTGTTTAATCACTCAATTTAGAAAAACACACAACCAAACAATGCCTTATACTTTTGGCTATTGTTTTACATACACTCACACGCAAAAGCTTTGCTTCTTTCTTTTTTGTTTTGTTTACAAACTCTCTGACACACCACTCCCATTCCATACGTCCAATACATATATATATATATATATAATTCAAATAGAAGACTTTCACTAGCCACTAGCAGTTGTAAGCGGATCCCTCCATGATAGTTTATGCATTAATCTATCATAATTCATAAACATCATTTAGTTTATGCATTATTATTTTGTCTTCACATATTTATTGTAGATAAGTGATAGTTGTTTTGAAAACTAGTTCCAACTGCCAAAGTAATGAACTTGGGGATGGTAACCAAACCGTTTTAACACCCCTAAGAAAAAGATGTCAAATGGTAATTTGCAATTATTACCATCAAAGCCCACCACAATCATCTCAAGAAGACAAGTTCATTACTTTGGCAGTTGGGGTAACCGTTTTAACCGGTACTATTTGGTTAATTTGGATAATTGGTTTGGTTAAAGTTTTTAGCTTGTTTGGTTTAGGTGGTTTGGTTTGGTTTCAGACACTCCTAACCAGTCAAACCAAATTAATCAGTTAAGTAATTAGTCATATATCTAACATATATTATATACACATACTTAATACTTTGCATAACCACTCAAGAGTTCACGTTCATCCCTTTTAGACTCATAAAATATAAAGCTCAATATTGCTCATATAGTGTATATTTGTATTGTAAAGTCTAGACCACAACATATGGAGGCCTAATTTAGATAAATTTCATACATTATGACGAATGAAAACTTGAAAGGAAGGTCATTTCCAGCCTATGATAATTGCTAAGAGACTAAGTCAATTTACACAAACACAACAATTCATTAACCCATACAATTGTCATAATTTTTTGTTAGGTGAATACTTCTATACTAATCGTAAGATAATTGTCTTAGTTGCATGTATTTTTGTTAAGGGTCAACTATAACTACGTGTTGATTGTTATGTTTTATTCATTATATAAATTGCGAATTGTTGCATTAACCGGAAAATTTTCATCTTCAATGATAATGTGATTATATTGATTAATCTGGTTAACCAATTAACCAAACCGATTAAACTTTAGTTTGGTTAATTTGGTTGTTGTATTAGTTTGGACGGTTTGGTTATGATATTGTATTCCATGGTTAATAGAATTTAGCTTTATTTGATTTGGTTATAACCATGGTAACGATTTGAACACCCCTACCGTTTTTCTTGCGCTGGAGTGTATTGGCTCTGGGATCAATTTATGCAGAAGGAAAAGAAACCGTTGAATATGCTGCTACCATAAATGGGCAGACTGAAAATGAGTATGGGTTGTAGAGTGGCCTAGAAACTGCAGCCTGACGCCTGACTACAGGTTATGGAGTTGTAGTACACAAGCTGCAACTAGGGAAGGCAGCCACGTTTGTTTGTAACACTTTTTTTTTTTTTTTTTCATTCTTGTTCTTACTTACCTACTTATTCCTTATCTACATCCCTCCTCGCTTTGTCATTATCAAACTCCATCAATGAAGATGAGAAGAGTGAAGAAGATGATGACATAGACAGCTCCAGTTGCAGCACCAGGGAAAGAAATACAGAGTTACAAATGAAGAAGAAAAGGGTAGACGAAGCAGTATCGAACTCTGACCAATTCGTCGCCGTTGGGAAGAAGGAAAAAAGGATGAAATAAGTGCCCTGTTGTGTCAATTGGTGTTATTTTTCAGAGTTTTTTTAGTAGAGTTGATTTTAATTTGATTCGAGAATATATTCAATTTGTACATCCGTCTCATATCGGGATAACTCGCCCAAACAGGAAAAATGAGGTGATTTGAGTGGGTATCAATCCATGGCTTAATTTGTGTTTTCATTCTTAAGTAATTTCATGTTTGATAGTTTCCACATTTTATTTCACAAACGATATTTTATCGCATTGATACAATTAAACCACCATTTACATATTTGATATGATTTCAAATTTAAGGGGAGAGCTATAGCCCCCCTCCTACCTTCAACCTAACTCCTCCACTGCTATGTTGTTTTACGTATGTGTCCAACCAGACGACGACTTCACCTGGGTACGTGCATAGATGCACAATGACAGAAGTCAAGATGGTAATGTTACAGTGCTTTCTTAGAAAATTGATGGATCGACCATATTGTCGAGCTATTGTACCCTAGTCGGGCCATATTCCATATATGTTATATTCCCCCTATGTCTTCATCCACGATAAAAATGCCAGACACAAGCCCACAAAGACTTGCGAGTTTTGGCGTTGCCCTTTTGTGTGGCTTTCTAGCTGTGGTTTCAGGAGTACTATTATGTAACAACTGGTACTGCATCCCTTTGTTGTGTGGTTTGAATGAATCATCCCTTTATCCTCGTACAAACGTCATCAACATTGATTGTTGTAAGTTTCTCACCATGTGGATTGTACTCACCTTTCAAGTAAATGCATACGCTTAACATTCATCGTCCCTGTTAAGCTTATGCATTTACTTTAATGTAAGTCTCGGTATATGTCTAGCTTGAAAATTGCAAAATTCTACAATATTGTTAATATTCAGGCTCATGTACGGACATGGAAATTGGAATCAATGCCTACCACTAGGTTTGGATTTCTAGTATTTTTTTTAGCCAGTTCCACCATTCGCAATCCCAGAGGAGGGAGCTTGTTGTTCGATTAGGACGAGGAGCCCAGAGCAGGGAGAAAGACAGGGAGCTTGAAATCTCGTTCATGTTCCATAGATCTTGCGACGAGGTGCTTGTTGTTCGGTCGAGAAGGGAAGATCAGGATGACAAATGTCGCCAAAGGAAAGCAGCAACGACGGTGCGAGAGAGGGTTGTCAGTGTTGGAGAAAGACGATAAGAATGGCCGATAATGTCTTTTTGGATTTTTCATTAATTAATTGTTTATTTATTATTAATTTTAAATTGCCACATCAGGCATTTAACGGTCAACTATTAGAGTTGACTGCCACATCATATAAAGTTAACGGAGAGCGACTAAACTTAAACCGTTTTACTAATTCGAATGATCAAAATTGATATTAATTTTTTCCAGTGACTAAACATGATACATTTTAGTAAACCCAGCTATAATCAAGGCATTTACCCCAAATTTTAAGTGAAAACCTTATTCAAACCATAAGGAAAAGAGGATGAAAACGGGTCCAACTGAAAAACAGAAGAGTAAAAGCCAATAACCTCATATTGCCCTTCAGTTACCAGAGCTACTTGGGCTTTAGCTATTGATCCGGCCTATTGGGCTAATAATGGCTCTAATTAAGGCCTAAAACTACAGAGACATGTTGAACAAAAGCCCATGGGTTTGCAAAATAACGAAATGGCCCACCGGCTGTGCAACCACCTCTGGCGCCAGTCACTACCGCCGCCGCTGCCGTCTTCGTATGCTTCTTCTTCTTCCTCCTCCTCCCTCTTCCCGTCGCAAACTCTCGTCTTCAACAAACGTATCCCATGATCGCGCCATTCCCAATTTTCCATCTCACCGGCGCCTGGTCATTCGGGCTCTGCTCATTATCCGATATATAAAATAATCTTATCAAAGTTTTCCCGCCATGTCTTTCTCTTCAACTCCAGCTCGACTAACGCTGCTCGCTCTCCTGTCCGCCACCACTGTGTACTGCTTCTACAGGTCTCGCCGTCTCAAGCTACTCAAGCTCTCCACAAACGCTAACCCTAATCCCCATTCCAATGGCCAACCTGCGGTTTCGATCAAGAGAGGGAAGCTCTTCTTCGTCTCCCAAACCGGGACTTCCAAAACCCTAGCTCGCCAGCTCCACGATCTCTTGAACTCGACCGGGCTCTCGTTCGAACTCGTCGACGTGAAGAGCTACGAGCCGGAGGATCTAGCTAAGGAGAGTCTGGTTCTGATTATTGCTTCCACTTGGGAAGACGGGAAGCCGCCGGCGGATGCCGAATTCTTTGCTAATTGGCTCGCGGAGAGCGCCGATGATTTCAGAGTCGGCTCGCTGCTGCTTTCGAAATGCAGATTCGCGGTGTTTGGAGTTGGAAGCAGGGGTTATGGAGATTCCTTCAATGCGGTGGCTAGAGATTTCAGCAGACGGTTGAGAGGATTGGGCGGCATTGAGATTTTGCCGATTGGGGAAGGTGATGTTGATGGCGGGGAGCTGGATGGTGTTTTTGAGGAATGGAGCAGGGAGATTGTTAAGGCATTGAAGGTGAGTGGGTTGGAGAATGAGATCAGTGTTGAGCAGAGCTTAAATGGTGGTATTGGTGATGAATTCTACAGCGACGAAGATGATGATAATGAGGATGACATGGAATCGGTGGTCGTTGATTTAGAGGATATAGCAGGGAAAGCCCCATCTAGGAAATTAGGTGGTGCAACTACTGAAACTAATGGGAAACTTAGAAATGGTCCTAAAGAAATGGTGACCCCTGTGATTAGAGCAAACTTAGAAAAACAGGTGAGGTTCTTTAAAAAGCTTGCTTCTTTTACCTTGATTTAGCTGCTGTAAATGCTTTTGCTATCTAGTCTGCTAGTTTCAGCTAGCTTTTTCCATTTGCAGGGTTACAAAATCCTTGGCTCGCATAGTGGTGTTAAGATCTGTAGATGGACTAAATCTCAGCTTAGAGGTCGTGGAGGTTGCTACAAGCATTCCTTCTATGGGATAGAGAGTCATAGGTATTGTGCATTTACTAGTTGCAGTTTGAATTCCTTGTACTTGCGTCGGGATTATTGTTTCTAATTATTTTTATCTCTTCTTGATTCTCATTCTCGTCTTTAGAATGTATGGTTCTCTAAATTTGTTCTAAATTTTGCATTGATTAGGTGTATGGAGGCGACTCCAAGTTTGGCTTGCGCCAACAAGTGTGTTTTCTGTTGGAGGCACCACACAAATCCCGTAGGAAAGAGCTGGCAGTGGAAAATGGACGATGCCTTGGAAATTGTTAATTCTGCGTTAGATCAGCATAAAAAGATGATCAAGCAAATGAAAGGAGTTCCTGGTAGGTGTGATATTGTAAAAACGAAGTAGCCCAATTTTCGCCGTGGATATTCTGTACTTTTTATTCATCTCCTGATTATTATCCTTTCAGGTGTTACCCAGGAACGATTAGCTGAAGGTCTCTCCCCTAGACATTGTGCTTTATCACTAGTTGGTGAACCTATAATGTACCCGGAGATTAACACACTTGTTGATGAACTACATACTAGGAGAATATCAACTTTCCTAGTTACAAATGCCCAGTTCCCGGACAAAATAAAAATGCTCAAACCTATCACTCAGGTTTGATCACTTAATAGTTAGTTCCTATCATGTAATGTATTCAATCTTGTCTTGAAACTGAGAACTAACTTCGATTGATAATGTGTGCAGTTATATGTAAGTGTAGATGCTGCAACAAAGGAAAGTCTGAAAGCAGTTGATAGACCACTCTTTGGAGACTTCTGGGAGCGGTTCACAGTATGTACTTGACTATTGCCAACTCTGCATCACTTTAAGATGATTGATCTTGTTTTAGCACTGTTCCATTGGGGATTAGCTATCACAATCTGACTCATTTTTTGGGAAACTACTGCTAGGATTCATTGACAGCTCTGAGGGATAAACATCAACGAACTGTGTACCGTTTGACACTTGTAAAAGGGTGGAACACAGAGGAGTTAGATGCTTATTTTGAGCTATTCAGCCTCGGGCAACCTGATTTTGTCGAAATCAAAGGAGTCACTTACTGTGGATCGTGAGTTGTTTCTTCCCGGATATACAGTTTCAATCATACCAACACTTGTATCTGATAATTCCCCATCACCACTGTCCAGGTCAGCAACATCGAAATTGACGATGGAGAATGTGCCGTGGCATGCTGATGTGAAGGCCTTCTCAGAGGCAATAGCGCTGAAGAGCAAAGGGGAGTATGAAGTCGCTTGTGAGCACGCCCACTCATGCTGTGTCCTGCTGGCGAAAACTGACAAGTTCAAAGTGAATGGCCAGTGGTTTACATGGATAGACTATGAGAAGTTCCACGATCTGGTTAGCAATAGTAAAACTGTTAATAGTTCCAAGTTGCCCCCAGCATAAGCGGCTTGACCTAAGAGGATAATGAACTAAAGGGCATTCCTTTTCCTCCCGAACTCTTTTGCAGGTTGCGTCTGGGAAATCCTTTGACAGTACGGATTATATGGCTGCAACACCTTTGTGGGCTGTGTATGGAGCTGAAGAAGGAGGGTTTGACCCTGATCAAGCTCGATATAGGAAAGAGCGGAATCATAGACCAAAGCCCTGAGTCCTGACTGATCAGGTTTGAGAGTCGGGTCCCTGCTTTTTATATCTTTGTCCTTCGGTCAGCTAAACTTTAACAGAACTACAAACTGAGCCAGGAAGCAAACAGGGGACTCGAACAAGCCGTTATGGCAGTGAGTTGAGTCAAGATTGAATGATTAGAAATATACAACATCCTGTTTTACACAGTTTTGATGCGGAGATCATATATTCTGTTGTGGTCTGTAGTAAGACCCTTTCTGTGATCATAGCTTAGTAAGAATACTTTCAAGTGGCATGTAGACTCTACAATGCCCGTGCACACATCAGCTACCCATGGAACGGAAATTTTGCATTTTTGGTGTTTCTGCCTGAAGTTGAGGGTGTCAGACATGATTGGTTTGTTCAAATTGACTAGATTTGAGGCAGGGAAGCTGCTGACAGATTTCAGCCATGCTTTTGGTCGCCATGCATGTTGTCACTTTTCTTGGCTTGTTCTATTGATTCCTCAAGTTCCGTCTCTCCAGTTTTCACCATCCTCAACTTCAAGGGAAAATGATGATGATTTGGATTGATGGTATTTTATGGCCTCTGCACTGTGCCAAGTTGATGAAGGGTATTACAAGTTTTCACTAAGGATTGTATAAAACCGTATTGGAGGTTGTACCGGAAAAATAACGACAAGGTAGCTTTATGTTGAAATCGTGGTTCAACTGTTTCATACCGCTAAGTTCTTGTCCAACTGCAGTACGTTACGGTTTTTTAATCCTTGGTGGATTGGACGGGTAATGGATATGGGCCCTGCTTCCCTATCCATCTGTTGTCCCACTCAGCAAGCAATTGGCCAATCCCAGTTGGCTAAAGCAAACCTCTCGTAGTCGCAGGCTGTCTCTTCTTCTTCCTCCCTGGCAATTGGGTCGGGTTTTTTGCATGTATTGAGTTTCCGGGTCGACCCAAACGCTTAGCCAAAGGAAAAGCTTCCCCCTTTCCTCACCTTTCCGCCGCCAGCTAGCTCCTCTGTTTTTCCTAAACATTCATATCACTACCCCCCCTGTTGTTGAAGTGTTACCCTGTCGTGAGAAATTGGAAAAGAGACGAAAATAAGCAATCCAGAATCCACCTTCTCTTAAATTTTTTTGCTGCTACATGAACCTACTAATTCACAGATGACCACCACAGCAAAAGAAAAAGAAAGCAAAACAGATTTGTGTTTTTTTTTTGGTGGTGTTGTGATATATTACATATCAGCTGCTCTTTCTGGGTTTGCTCTTCCTGCGCCTGCTTCTCCTAACAGCAGCAGTAGCTTTTTGTTCCACTTCTAATCCAGCTTCTCCTTTCTTCTCGCTCACAACTTTGAGCCGCTTAGTCGACTCTTCTTCTCCTTCTGCTTCTCCTGGCTCATTACTATTGTTGGCGGCTGTTGTTTGCTCAGCAGCAACAAAAATTTTGCGTGGCCTGCCTCTCTTTCTGGGAGCTGGAGACTGAGGCGGCGAAGAAACAGCTGCTGCTTCTTGTGGTGGATGATGGTGCTGCTCTGCATCCTCTGCTATGGCTACTGATAATTCCTTGGTCTTCTGCGCCTTCTTCTTCTTCTTCACCATCTTTCCTCCTCTACCTCCTATGCATATACAAAAAGAACCCAGAAACCCTTTTCCCCCCGCACTTCTCCTCTCAGTCTAATCAGTACTACTAACGACAACAGTTCAGGTATAGAAGTAACACAGACCAAAAAATGAAAAACAGAGGAAGAAGAAGCACAAGAAACAAACAATCGGCTGCTTCTCCTTTCAAATTATATTTGAGTATCTAATAACCGATTGCAGACGAACTGTGAACAGAAAACCCAGCTCTAAATTTTTAGACAAAGTTGGCAGGCGAAGGATGAAAGGGGGAGAAGAAGCAAGGAAAAAGAAAGAGAGAGAGAGAATGAAAGAGGGAGGAGAAGTGGTAATAGTGGATAGGGCTAACCATGGTTAAAGGCGAAGAAACAGAGTGTGTGCGGGACAGAGGGCGCTAAGTGGCTGAGGCTCTCGGCAAAAACGGAGAACGCTGACTGACCCTACAGCCATTTTCTTTGCCCTTTCTTCTTCCCTCGGGTGTCCCCACTCCCCTGTTTCTATAAGATTTCCGCGGCTATTTGCTAAAGTTTCATTTGACTGGAATTGTAAATGAAAGAAAGGTTTTTTTTTTTTTTTTGCGTATAATAGGATTTCGAGAATTTGTGTATTTTATGGGGTAGGATTGAAAGAATCGATGTAGAGATTGATTTATAGAAAATGTGACATTTTAATTTTATGTAATTTCGTGGGAAACAAAATAGATAACGTTCTAATGAGAACAAACACTGTAATATCGAAAATATGTATTTTAAAAATGAGTTAATTGATCGCATGCTTGTCAAATTATCCCCCAGGAATAATTTATCATGTCTTCTCGTTTGGGTCACCTCGGATTTACTACAATATAATTGGTTTTGATTTGCCGAGTGCAAGTCAAATTATACTTCAGCTAAACAACTTAAAACCAAGCATATAACTAGGGTTGTTGAGATCCGAGCCAAGCCTGCCATGGTTTCGGACTCTACTCGTAAAAGAATATCAACTTTGAGCTCGGCTCGAGTTTGACGCATACTTTAATAGGAAAGCTCGAGTTCGATTTGTTTACTAAAATAAAAATCTGAGGTTGCCTCGTCAAATGAGTTTAATTTGCGAAAATCAAGTTCATATGATAAAATGCCGGTAGTTATGTTTGATTGTTGTTGCTTGAGCTTCAATAAATATATATTCGATGCTTTAGTTAGTTCCTTCACTTTTCATGCGCCAACTACGTGCTATTTAATTATCCACAAGTAGACTACTCCATTATCTAATGTCACCTTAACACTTTTGTCCAACTAACTTCACTCATAGAAACGCCATCCCTGCCAAAAAGAAGGGGGAAATACAATAATAGGCCAATACTAAGGTGCCGCTGTAAAAAATGCGGTACCGGTGACGCGATTTTTAATTGGTTCACGCGGACAATGATGTGGCGCAAAGTGGATTGGTTCAACCTCACTTCCAAGCCCGATCCATTAGACCTGGCCCAAACCCCATGTATCCAAACAAACGGAATATGGTCTCAGTCTTTTGCATTTTACTATTTATTTTTTATTGATTAATTTACAATTGATATAACTGTTAATATTTTTTATTCGGCAGGAACAAGGGAGAAGAAAATAAACCCAAAAAGGAAATCGTCTTCTCCTCGGTATCCCTTTCCGGTGGAGGCTTCAAAATCACTTCCAATGACTTCTCCATCGTCAATCCAATCTTTAGGCTCTACCAAATGCTTCCACTGAAATCCTTCATCGATTATTGTAATGTTTGAGTTGGGACCATTTGTTAACTGGGAACATGAGAGGTCAAGAAAGGAAGCATTGATAAAATTTTCATCTTGAACTCATCACTATGTTATTTACAGCTTCAGAAAAAACTTGGTTGCCAATGATTTGGTTAAGCAACTTAGTCTAGATAAGATCATGATCTATTTTCTCTAATTTCAGTTTCAGGTAGGGGTGGGCAACGGGACGGGACGGGATACCCGTCCCGTTTTAAACGGGTATCCAGTCCCGTTTGGAGACCAAAGTCCATCCCATATCCCAAACCCATATGGGAAACGGGTACCCATTTCCCGTACGGGACGGATAACGGGTACCCATACTACCCATAAATACCCAAAATTTAAACCACTAAACTTTTAACAAAAGTTTAAACTTAACTTGTATTTGTTTAACAATCACAAGACACAAAATACATCCCAATCACAAATACTCGGTTTGCAAATAACACATTCATGAACAATCAAAACACATAGAAATAAATCATTCCAAGCACCAAATTATCAAATAAGAAGTTTCATTCAACACAACCAAACGGGAGGCATGCTGCTACTTTTCTTGTGTTGCTGAATGCAGAAAGTATCCAAATTTTTAGGTTCATGGGAAGCTAAAATCTATAGCAGAGAAGTTGAGTCTCACTGAAAGGGTAAGGGTCCTAGGCCCAAATGGCAAATGGAATTGAAATTGCAAGGGTGAGGGCCGAAAAGGCCAATGGGTTCTGAATTGGGTTGGGCTGCCTTTGTATTGAATGGGTATAACGGGTGCCCATATTACCCAAACGGGTATTCGCGGATAACCCGCGGGTACCCATATTAAGAATGTACAATCCCAAGTCCCATCCGTTTATAATATTACGGGTAATATGGGTACCCGTAACCCTTAAAAAACGGGACGGGTACGGGTATACCCAAATACCCGTTTCCCGTTGCCCACCCCTAGTTTCAGGTGCAAAATTATGTTGAACATTTGTTGCTGCTTCTGGAGCTTATTTTTATCTTCTCCTCAAGCAAAGTTCTGGCTTTGATTGCCTCTTTCTCTATGCCTTGATCAGCTGTGTTTATTATCGTTTTGTTATTATATGTTGTAAATTGTAATAGTGAACGGATTGAGATTTGATTACTTCATTCTCTACTTTTTCCTTGGCTGCGTTAGGTTGCAGAAGAGAGATACCAATCTGGTTTCACTAGTTATCCTCACACAAGTAGATGATCTACTTACCTCAAGTGATGGACAATTTTTTGTCAAAATGTTGTACCAGATGTTAGGAAACTTTTGTGGGGAGTTGACTTGTTGATACTTTTTTTGCCTTGAAAGATCAAATTCATGAATTGAATAAGCATATTTGAGTATATGATAGTGATTTACAGGTGCATTGGTGAAATGCAGCTGAAAGGGGGAATAGCAAATACCCATGGAAGGTAGTAAACTGGTGCTGACGTGAGATAGTGATTCTTGGATGGTGGTTTAATTGTATCTGAATGCTTGTGCACCTTTACTTTGGAGGTAGAACATAGAAGCAAACACTAAGAAAATCTTGTATGTTTCAAACTTTGGGACCAAAAAGGTATAATCTTTATTACCAATAGAAATGAGACTCGGCGACTATCTTGATGGAGTTACAAAAAATAGTAAGGTAAGTTTCTCCTAATTTACATACCACGATGAGGACTGCAACAGTCGGTGAAACCTCTCAACTCCACTCTACTCTAGTGCGTCTCTGGCCACTTGAGGGTTTCTTTCGACTTGATTGATATATAGAAGAAATCTTCTATGGCGGGACACAATATAAACATGACTAACATAACAAAACAAAACAAAAGAAAACACAGGTTAAAAACTCCTTTCCTATATATGATGCATTATTTCGCTTCATCATCAATTATTACAATTATCATATAAACAAAACATGCAGATAAACATGAATGACCAAGTAGTTGACTGCTTAATTTTCCTTTCAAAATAGGTGGAAAATATCTAATACAGTTTCTGTTTGGCTCATAGCTCGTCCCCCGGGACTAAATCCGGTTATACTGCAGACCAAAGGAACACAAACAAGTATACCAGATTAGATTGATTGTCAATCAGAAGCATTTCACAAACATCACAATTCATAGTCACAAACACATTAAAGTTTGATGACAAAATCGAGTTGATATTTGCATGGATATATAGTTTGCAAACGCTTGAAGCAAGTGTTTTGGAAGCAGGGTAAAGAGTAAAGGTACAAAAAGGGCGGCATCTAGATTCACCTACCTACCTCTTCAAAGACACATTAATCGAAGTACCTGAAGCCAACCCTTTCATTGGTGGGGAACTCAACACCTCCTACAACTTGGTTTCGACGATTTCAACGGGGAAGCAACGCGGAGGAGGGGGGGCTCTCTTCGTCTTTGACCTAGGATAGTCTGGTACTTTGGCGGCGGCGCTATTTCATCAAGGTGGAAGACGAGGGGTTTCTTTGCCTCTGTTCTACATAACCAATTTAGGAGGAAACAGTGTGGGCGAGGCGATGGGATCGACGGGCAAGTCACTGGGAGTGATTTGGTAGAAGCCGCTGGCAAGGGAGATCGAGGAAGTGTTGTTCAATAGTCAACTCGTTTCTATTCTGCGGAATAAATGTTCCTTGAATTTGAATTTAATAAATTAATTACAATAAAAACAAAGACAGATTGTTTGACGGGGAACCTTTCTCCGTTACTTTGAGACAGACGGTTTGGACCATTTCTCATGGGCCACTGGGGGTTCGGTTGGTATTTAGCAAACAAAATCGATGCCACATCATGGCCACGTGGACCAATGAAAAGTTGTGTTACCAGTGCCGCAGTTTTTATAGCGACACCATAGTATTGGCCTACTCCATTATCCACAAGTAGACTACTCCATTATCTAATGTCACCTTAACACTTTTGTCCAACTAACTTCACTCATAGAAACGCCATCCCTGCCAAAAAGAAGGGGGAAATACAATAATAATGTGGATCAGTCTTTACAAAAAAAAAAGGTCGGTCCATTGGGCCAAAAGACCCCAATACTGAAATAGACAGGCAGAAGGCCCACAATATTAGAGCCCACTCGAATATCCATGGAAGTTACATTTTTAGCCCACCAAAGTTTTCTAAGTCATCCAATTGTGGCGCGTGGTGGCTGATTGTCTTTGAGTGTGAGATTATCTGATAACACTTGAAAAATAATGCTTGTCATATTGTTATTTTTTAAATTTCACTATCTCGATGCATCTTTAGTATTTAATTGTTTATACTATTCTATTGTTTATTTGTGTATTTTGTATATAATTTTGTATTTTTTTTATTTTGTGTCAAATTGTCGTTCATCACATTATCGTTAATCTTGTTTTCCATGAACGTACTAAGCACATTGAAATTAATTGTTTACTCTCTTTGTGAGCACGATGTTTCAGGTGATATCTCCTCTCAAATGATTGGCACACATTGGCAGCTTACCTGTACTTTTTACCACTCTTTGGGTACACAACTCAATTTCACCTATTGTCCAAACCTTAACATTTTGTGACACCTTCGTGCTCCACTTCGAAAGAGTGGTTAGATACGACCTCTGTTATAGGTTGTTCCTTTTTAGAGGTGTTTATCACAATTAATTTTTCTTGCCCGAATCAATTGCGCGAACATTCAAATCCTCCAAAAATCAACCGTCAAAAACTCAATTAAACACCGATTCAATATTTGCTGAGAATCTCTTCTCCGTCGAGTAAGTTCATTCCCACTTAATGACATAAATTCGGAGTAGTGTGTTGGTTTACCTTCCACGTTTGAGTCGATTTTACAAATTTCACCGGACCACTTCTTGATTCACCTACGATATTCACCGTCCAAAGCAATTGTAATTAACTTAGGCTAGGGGTGGCAGTTCGGTAATGATCGTCCGGTTATCGGTTAATCGAAATAACCACCTTCACTACCGAAAACCGACCGAAATAGGTTTCGGTTTCTCGGTTATTTCGGTTATCGGTTAACCAAACCACTTTTAAGACCAAAAACTATTTTGTCCAACCTCCAATAACCAACCGACATTCGGTAATTTCGATTACCAGTTAGTGGATAACCGGCCGATTAACCAGTAACCGATAGCCGAACGGCCACCCCTAACTTAGGCATCCAAATTTTTTACAGCACACATGGGGAGTAGATGGAGCAGCAGGCAGAAGGGACGAACAAGAACGTGAGAGCGACAGCATTTGTCCTCGTAAGATGCAAACAATTCAAAGAAAAAAAAAATGAATTAAAAAGAAGAAAGGAAAAAGAATAAATGAGAAATTCCCATCTCCTCACAGGTCTCATGGCTGCCTGTCTCCCTCTCAATCCGATCTTATCGTACCATTGAAATCAGTTCCCTTCTTCCCCCATTTCTCCACCTGCCAACGAAAGCGAAAACGATTAAAAATACAGCACTCGGGAAAACGTCAAACCATCTGGCCATTCCCCGAAAGTTTCCCGAGAAATCGAGTGGACAGTTTCTTTCTAGTCCGCCGGAAAGGGACAGCCATTGAAGAAAACTGGAGGAGGAGAGGGCTTCTTGATTTGCCTTGGTGGAGCCTGGAGGAGATTTTTCCGCTTTCCCCCCCGCGTTCAAGCTGAAATCGTTGATCCTAGGCCACGAGTTTGCGTATGGTAATCAAAAGCTCTAATCTTGGAGGGGCCGGAACCGGGTCAAATCGCTAATCGCACACCATCTGTTCGAGGGTATGCCTCAACCGGGGAAAAGAGTGTTCTGTTGGTGAATTTTTTTCCCGTTTTTCGTGGCTCTGGTATCGTTCTGGAATTGTAGAGAGAAAGGGACGGAGGAAGAGAAGAGGGCGCTCATTTTGGCGGTTTGTGTGACGTGGTTGCTATTTGGCTGTGAGGAATTAGCCGGGGCACATTTATTTTCCTCCTTCTGCTTACTGAAACGCGCCTTTTGTTTCTTTCTCCCTCTATATCTTTTCTTCTTCTTTCTGTTTCCTTTTGTTGTTTTTTCCATCTTCTTGCTCTCTGCCCATCAACTGCTTGAACAAATTCCTCAATGAATAGCATCGTTCATTGGAAGTGGAAAAGTGAAGGCACGGAACAGAAGTGAATTGGGTTTTTGGTTGGGGAAGCCTGGTTACCATAGATTGGTCGATACAATCGAAGTGATCGCCTGATCCGCGTAAGTTTATGTGCTTTCATTCCCTTTTCTATTTATTTTTCTTGTTCTTAAGACAGAAATTTCTCATCTTCTTTGTTGTTGTGGTGGGGGGATTGCTTGAGTTCTGAATCTCTTGATTTTGCTTATTAATTCATATCTCTCGTCATTAGACGTTCACAAGGGAGAAAATATCAAAATACTGTTGCTTTGAGTCAGAGGTCAGTGGACACTTGGATCGCTCCTAGGGCTGATGATGGATATTTTAACCTTATCTTAGTTTCCAGAATTTCTGGCAACTGGGTTGACTATCTTGTTCCGCCCTTTATCTTCTCGGATCTTCCTTTTCAATCAACTTCCTTCTTTCAATATTCTTTTTGAACTTCATTACTGTGTGGGCTTAAGCTTCGATTCCCTGTTAGTGTTTCTTATTCTCCAGGTTTTTTTTTTTCCTATGGTTCCCCAGATGAAACAAATCTCATCTAAATTGGGAGTGCCTTTCTGAACTTCAGGCTTGTAGAATCAAATCATGGATGGCCCTTACGATGATCAAGATGAAGGACGAACCAACTCCAATCTCCAGATAATCAAGTACTCACCATTCCAGCCCTCCAGATATTCATCACCATGGCTGGAACTCAGAGTCTTCTACGTCAGAATCAGCAACTTCCAGGTCGATGGCACAACACCAGAGTTCCTCACAATCAACCACATCCCTCTAAGCCCGGACACCCTCCTCGAAGTCAATGGTGTTAGAAGCAGTATCTACTCCGATGGCGCCCCATTGCTGCTTCGAAGGGATCGAGTAGACAAGAAATCCGAAGAAGTCACGTTTGTTAGCACGGATAGCATCAGAACTACAGGGAGTGTGAAATTCGACGTGTTCGATAAGGATGATCTCGTCCTTTCTGGTACTATGGAGATGTCCAACAGTAATGGCTTCACCGGAGAATGTAAAGGCAGTGTGAAGCGATGGAGCATGAAGTGTGAATCAGAGGGCGCCACTAGCTTCTTGAGAGGGAAACATGTTAATGGTTCTTCAGAGAATACATCACTCCCAGCCATAGAAGTCTATGTGACCGGGTGCTTCTCCGGGACGCCCATCATATTGACCAAGACTCTGCAGCTTACTTACAGGAAGAAGCATAACAGGAAGGGGCAATTGGATTCGATTCCTGAGGATGAAACCACTTATCCTCAGAAAGTCGAGTCAGCTCAGGATGATGATTTACAGGTAAAAAGATTACTTCTTGACCTCTAGCAATTGTTGCTTCCTGTGTCGAGACATGTTTTGAGTTGGACAAAAAAAAAAAAAAAAAAAGAGTGCCATGCTTGTTGTGGGATTGATGGTCATGGAGTCTGCAGGTTTATGGAATCTTATCTTTCAGTAGATGGTGACATCGGTTATGGGCAGAGGCACACTTTTCTAGTGACTAGATAGTGTAATCGAGTGCTTGCGTTCTTCATTTCCCTTTCTTTCGTCCCATTCTTGTCTTGTGTTGTTGTGCTATTTTTATTATCTTCTTCCTTCTGGCAATCCTGACGCTCGTGGGGTTCATGCCACTTCCACGTGGGAGGATGCTTTCCACGTGGCCTCACCTACCTTCTTCTGACATGCATCTGTTCCGTTTTCTTTTTCTCTATTGGCTTGCCATGCATCAATGTCATTGATCAGGCATTAGTATGCTATTTTGGATCCATTACCAATGAACTCAAGTTATATAATAAATGACAGCTTGAATTTGTTCTTAGCTTACACTAATCAATAGAAAAGTTGCAATACAATATATCTGTAAAATATTAGATAACTAAGACAGATTATGCCTGTTCAGAGTAAATGATAGAATAGGAGATGTTGTCCTACACTTCTGCTATGCATTCTACTAGAGTAGCCAAATGTACAATACCATCTCATTGAGACTCAAACTGTCTGATTGATTGATCTGCAGGTGGCAGAGTACAGAAGCTACAAACTGGAGAACGAGGAAGATTACAACATGTACTGGAGAAGAACAGAGTTTATGGATGGTGAAGACGGTGAGCTCTCCTGGTTCAATGCCGGTGTTAGGGTTGGTGTCGGTATTGGGCTAGGCATCTGCGTCGGGGTTGGCATTGGGGTCGGTCTGTTGGTACGAACCACCCGCAACTTCAAAAGGAGGCTCCTGTGATTGGACCATTGTCCCAAAATGGTTAGCTAGCTAACTTTTCCAATGGTTTGCATAGATGGTTTGGTTTTTCTTCTGACTGCAAGATTTTGACTAAGAGAGAGTTAGTAGGGCACTGTTTATTTAGCAGCTGACAGAGGAACAGATAAGACTACCACTCCGTATTTGTCTTTGTTTTTTCTTCTCATAAGGCCTGTAATATTAAACACCCTTCTGTAAGCTAGGAGAAAGTGTTATATGACAGACAGTAGTAATTAGTGTATGTAAACCTTGGAATTCCAGTCATTCTAATTTTATACAGTGTTCAGAGCCCTGTAAATAAATTCTGGTGTCTTGTCTTTCCAGCTAAGTATTTAGAGTACTTAGCAAGAACATGAGCAAAAAATTGCATCACATTACAGCGTGCAGAATATGCAATTGAGACGAATAATATCTATGAGCTAATACTGTAATACACTGAACCAAACACAATAACAGCAATCGCCTGCTGAAAAGTGAGCCTCCAGCATCTCATTAGCCCAGCATCATCAACTTCATAAAAATGGCATAGTCATCGCTGATATCCGCCATCTGATTCGTCAGTCTCCCAAGAACCCTAAAGATCTCCCCTGAATTCTTCTCCTCTAAGCAATCCCCTGCCACGAACTTATGGAACTTCTTTTTCACCTCAATCCAGCTCTGCCCAGCAGCTTTCTTCAACCCTTTACTCCTCGCAGAGGCTCTCTCCTTAGCAGAATCCTCCCACTTACCACTACCTGCATATATATTCATCATCAACGTACAGCTCCAAGAACTCTCAGATACAAGACTTGACATTCGAGACACAACATTCTCTGCAAAAGCCGTGTTCTTGTGCATTCTACATGAGTTCAACAGAGCACCCAACACACAATGATTAGGCTCCATCGGCATCTTCTTCACAACTTCGGTTGCCTCTTCAAGTAAACCTGACCGGCCCAACAAATCCACTGTGCAAGCATAGTGCTCCATCCCTGGTTCAATTCCATACTTGGAAACCATATTATTAAAAAGCAAACGACCGTGGTCAACAAGTCCAGCATGACTACAAGCTGAGAGAATCGCAACAAAGGTTATCCCATCTGGCTGATGGCCAGAAGTGATCATACGATCAAACATCTGTAGAGCTTCGATGCCAAGTCCATGCATCCCAAATCCTTTGATGATGGAGTTCCATGAAATCACATCTTTACCCTCAGTTCTCTCAAACACTAAATGGCCTTCCTTCAGGTTCCCACATTTCATGTACATATCAACCAAGCTGTTTGAAACAAGAAGCTCGTTGCTCAGGAATGTTCTTATCATGTATCCATGGATTTCCTTCCCGAGATTCAGTGCTGATAACTCTGCACATGCTGACAAAACGCTGCAAATCATGACAGCATTTGCTGTCACGTTGGCGGCACTATGCATTCGTCGGAAGAGATTCAGTGCCTCTTCTTCTCTCTGATTCGTGGCAAAGCCACTTATTACAGCACTCCAGCTAACTATATCAGGCCTCTCCATCTGCGAGAAAATCTCGAAAGCTTCGTCACATAAGCCAGCATCAGCATAAGATGTTATCAAAGCGTTCCAGCTTACTATGTTCTTGTTTCCAATCTCCTGGAACAAGGTCTGCGCTTCAGTTACATTTCCACTCTTGCCATACAAGCATATCAGGGAATGATTCACGAACAAGTAATCCTGGAAACCATCCTTTATAACATGACAATGAATCGCCATTCCTGTAGGAAATGCACCAAGATCGGGACAGACTGACAAGATGACGGCAAGTGCTTACGCATTCACCCCATTTCCCTTCTTCCGCATCGAACTGAACAGCTTCATGGTTTCTAGACTTAACCCGCAACGAGCATGGCTTGATAGGAGAGACGTCCATGTCACGAGATTAGGCTCCAAGCCTTCGGATTCCATCCTTTGAAAGATATCAAGGGCCGCAACAGCATCACAATAGAAGGAATACCCGGAAACCATCATATTCCACGACAGAATGGTTCTAACATGCATTCTCTCGAACACTTTGCGTGCATCAACCATCCGTCCCAGTTTCGCGTACATTCCGATCAACTCGTTCGAGACGTGGAGATGGGTTCGCAAACCAGCCTCAATAACATGACAATGAACAATCTGACACAGCCTAGAACTCTTCCTCCCTTGACAACCCACGTTTCTACACACCCGAATCACCAAAGGGAGGGTGAAACCATCGCCTAAATTTCCAAACTTGCGCATTCTAGCATACAAATTGAGAGCGTTTTCATACCACTCACTGGAAACATAAGCTCTGAGAATCGAATTCCACAGAAGCGGGCTGGAAGAGCAATCCGATTGGCTCTGTGAATCAAACACCATCTGGGCATCTAAGAGACGGCCAAAACGAGCGTACGTGGATACCAGTTGGGAAGCCAGGAAACCGGAGCCAGTGCTTCCGGTATCGGTGGCCTGCGCGTGAACCTGCTGGCATTGCTGAACCCTAGAGCAACCTCGAAGAAGGCCGTCCAAGGAATCGAGTGACTCGCTACGGTTGGTGCCGAAATAGCGGGGGGAAGAAGAGACTGAGAGACGGCTGGGAAAAGAGAAATGCAATAGCTCTGTTGCCGGTGGACTGGGAGTCAACATCCAGAATCAGCAGATTGTCGTGGACGACGGTCTGGAGCAGGTGGCGTCCAACCCAACTCCCGGCGGTAGTGATGTGTCCGACGCGGCCAACTGAGTGTTTTCAAGGTCGAGAGTTTTATGGTACTCAGTACTACTATATCATTTAAAGTTTTAAGAATTTTCTGCGGCTTTTCAACCTGCCATTACTTCTGATTTTGTTTTCATGGTGGGCGGATTTACTGTTGTTTTCGTTGATGTATGGATGGTGAACTTTATCCTGCGTTTTGAATATTGCTGATTGTGTGAATCGACTCTGTTTTGTATGTTTTTCGTATTGTTTGGATATTGCTGATTGTGTGAATCGACTCTGTTTTGTATGTTTTTCGTGTTGTTTGGATATGTGTTGGGAATATTTTTCCTTGAATTTGTTTTGTATGTTTTTCGTGTTGTTTGGATATGCGTTGGGAATATTTTTTCCTTGAATTTTGTTTTTTCCTTGAATTTTGTTTTTCAAACAACACGAAAAACATACAAAACAGAGTCGATTCACACAATCAGCAATATCCAAACAACACGAAAAACATACAAAATAGAGTCGATTCACACAATCAGCAATATTCAAAACGCAGGATAAAGTTCACCATCCATACATCAACGAAAACAACAGTAAATCCGCCCACCATGAAAACAAAATCAGAAGGGCTGCGGGGCAGCCTCCTAATGGCAGGTTGAAACACAAAAAATTCTTAAAACTTGAAATGATATAGTAGTACTGAGTACCATAAAACTCTCGACTTTGAAAACACTCAGTTGGCCGCGTCGGACACATCACTACCGCCGGGAGTTGGGTTGGACGCCACCTGCTCCAGACCGTCGTCCACGACAATCTGCTGATACTGCAATTAGATAATGCAAACAGCAATTGGGAAAAGAGAAATGCAATAGCTCGGAGAAAGGGGTCACCCTTCTTCTCTTCTAGCTAGTAGCAAGAAATCAAGCAGGATTAATATATCAACTCAAACAGAGCTGCTTAGCTTAGCTAATGGCTAGACTGCAGTTCTCCCCATTGATCTCATACTCAAGACTCAGTAGGACCAACCTCAACACCATTCAACTTGGCAGCATCAAGCCCCCAGAATGAAGCAGTCTTCACATCATCCTGAATCATCATCTTCGAAAACTCGGCATGGTCATACTGCAAATCACCTTGCCCTCCAAAGTCAGCTGGCAAGTTCTGATCATCAAAGTGCAATCTCATTACCTCGACGCTCTCCTTGTTCTTCTTCGGGTACACAAACTTCACCTTCTGAAACGTCCTGGGATCCAAAAAGTACTTCACCACCTTCCAGAACGCTTCGAAGATCCTCGGAGGGTTGTAGAGAAACGCGACAGCCAGCCTCTCTGGGTAGTGGTTCTGCAGAATCGAGGCAGTCTCGTGCGCTGTCTTGATGGGCACGTTGTTGGTGATCGACCAGCCTGTGAAGTCGATGAGGAAAGACATCTGCTCTTGGCCCTCTGGCAGGTTGAGAACTGCATTCTCAAGCAAGTAAACCAGATGGCGGATTTGGTTCTCGAATGATTTCGTGTTCTGCAAGTACAAGTTTTAAATTGGACTCATTCTCTCCGGAAAAAAAGCTCGAAGAACACTTTGATTCAAACAGTGAGATGAGGGAAACACAAGTTTGAACTCAGTTTTCGATCGGTTTCAAGTTTAGCACACTGGCCACGGCTACTAACCTGCATCCCAGGCCTTAGAATAAGTACAGACCTTCCTTGTCTGTCACGGAAATTGGCTCTGTAAATCTTCCCAGTCTCACCTTCATGTGCAACTTGGGGCTGTAAGTAAAATAACCAAACACAGAATTCAGCTCTCCAATCACATACAGATGGAATCATGGAAAACTCGAGCACAAATGGCATAACAGATATGGGGATTACCCAACAAATTTCTTCGGGCTTATAGCTCGACCTCCACTCGAGAGTTTCCTGCAACATCTTCTTGGCTTTCTCCACATTCCAGTTTCGCGCTACAAGGTACCTTCTGAAGCATGCATCGCTGCAATACTTCAAACTCGGGCCAGATAAAGTACCTATGGCAGCCTTGAGCTCGTTGATCTGCACAAAAGAAACATCCATCCTCAGAATTGAAACCCTATAACAATAGGAACAGAAACAAAAATGCAGTTTCTATCCAATTTTTGGCTTCTTATCCTTTACCTTAGCCTCTTGCTGCTGAGGATCATTCTCAGGATCCTGGTGAGCATTATTAGCCTTCCGACGGAACATCGTGGTATCGACTGATAATCTCTTGAATCTCTCTCGAGCCCTAGGGTTTCAAGTGTCAACCTGTTTTTGACACAAAAGAGGAAAGGAACAAGTAGGTATAAGGGAAAGCTTATGAGCCAATGAAGAACGACCTATGGGGAAACCCAAAATTGTCAACTGTCTTCTAGAAGTGGTATGACCAGATGCAATCAATTGAATCCAACCAAATCAAATAAAATAAAATCAAAGGAAACCCAATTCCTAGTCATATGCCATCCAGCAGACTAGAATTGACTAATCTTACTTGGAAATTAAATAAAGCAAGAAACAGAACAACAGCTGCTACTAATTGCAGAAGGTTCTTAACACCATGAGAACATGATTCAAGCCCAAATTAAGACATCAATCAAAGGAAAGAAAAGAACAACTAAATCAGGGGATTCAAATGAAGCTGCCCTCCAATCTGAGCTCAACAGTACAATCAAAATGGCACATGAAAGGGAGAACGAAGAGAGCTTTTTTCCACCAACTCGCCATACTTTTGCTTGTCAAACAGGAATCAAAACCTCCGTTCAAAAGCTCGAGTTTCTAACCAAAGTAAAGCCTTACAGTTTTATATAGAGAGAACCCAGATGGGGAATTGAAGGATGCCATTTGTCCATGGCAGGGAATCAAAGGCCCACGAGAGAATTGAACTCTTGTTGCTCTAAGCAGAATTCCAAAATAAGGAAGAAAGGACAAGGGAAGGTGAGAAACAACCCAAAGACTTCTTTTTTTTTAAACGAACCTGGTGGCGGCACAAGAACGAGCTTGGAAGCCGAGAGATTCGGCGAAGTGGCGGGTATTGTTTCGTGTAGTCTGATTCCCTCTCAAACGGACCCAACAATGGAGACAGATACCAAACGACAAGGAGAAAACGAAGCTTGGAGAACGGACACAGAATGAAAGAAACGCAGAGGTGTAAAATGGTCTCTGTGGCTTTCTGTGAGAGAGAGAGCTGAGTTTGCCAGATACTTATTTTTGTAGTTCGCGGTATTTTGTTTTGTTTTTTGTTTTTCCAAAGTCAGTGTTGAAGAGATAGTCACAAAAAGAAAGAAAGAAAAACGCGCGAGTCGGCCAATAGTCGAACTCTTGATGAGAGGGCCTTTTGTGCCAATAGTCGATCAATAGTTCGCGGCAATTGGACCGTACGGTGTCATATTGCTGTCTCACTTCTCGGGTTTCCACCTTTGTCGTGACCCGACCCGGCTCAAGTTCCCCCGCCGACGTCGGGTCACCGGAGAGGCAGCACGTGTGTGTTCTTCTGATTGTTGTTTCCATTTGTTTTTTCCCATCTTTATTTACTCTCTTAAATAAGTTTCTAATTGCACATGAATATATTATGAAAAGAAAATATTGTAAAATATTATGTCAAAATATAATATATTAACTTGATTGGCATATTATCTGGATTTTTGTTTTTACCCGAAAATATTATGTCAAGATTATATTCCATTGCATTGATTGAGGTGTTCCTCTCTCCATTTTAGCAAGGATTTCCAAGATCTAAACAAATTTTTGGCCCACTTGCACGTACTTCTCTGTTCTTTGTTTCAGTACCATATTACATATAATTAGTATTGGGATTCAGTGAGGCAGATACACAATTGTTGGACCGATGTGTCGGGTTTGCTAGAGCGGTGTCGGTTACAATTATTGAAGTTGTATCTGAGGTTCAAAATCCAGACTTTTTGTACCACTGAAACCTAAGTTTATCACAAAAAAAAATTCCTAAATACTTTGGTAATCCCCTGTTTGAGATTGATAGGAATTTATTTTCACAAACCTTTTATATTTTCTACGAGTTTGCATTAAACTCTATCTGGGGATGCTTCGAGATTGAGCGAAACCGTGACTCTCTAAACATATTAATTTTAGGGCTTTAAACCCAAACATGTTGAACTTTGAAGTCGATACATTTCGAATATCTTTATTAATAAACTAAAAAACAAGCCCTAAAACTACAATTGGCCCCTATTATCGGAAGGTGACATGCGTTTATTTTTACACCCAAGTGGGCACGGCAGCACCACACCATTCCACAACGAAGAAAATATCCCAAAAGAGACTACTGAAATGAAAAAGCCAGCAGGAGAACAGAGAAATGGGGGAAGAAAGTAGTGAACGAAAGCGAAGCCGTAGCCGAAAGCTGAACTCTAAAGAAGTTACAGACTGCGGACTGTCGTTGTCGGAGAGCACCAACGACTCCAACAATCCGTGATCCGGCGGCAACAAAGCACCAACAACTCACCTGCCGGCCGGAAGAGGGAAGGGAAGAGAACCTCACTTCCCGCCTTCCACTGTCATTCCACAAGCCATTTTCTGTTTCTGCAGATCAAGTTGCTACAAAGACAAAAGGAAATCAAAGAAACAGAGAAACCACATTGTCAGAAAGCAAACAAACACATACAGAAGAAGAGTAGGGAACAGGAACCAGGTGGATTCGAACCACCATCCTCCCAAAGCCTTAGAAAAGTTCAGGCTTTGGACGCTCTATCCATTTTGAGCTAATGGATCCATCACTCGCAAGTCATACAGCTCGTTCCCAGATTCATTGACATAAATGTCGCTTTGGTGCTGGCAGAAATTCTTCTTTGCAACCTGCCCACCTGTGCAACTGATAGGCACATACAACAATCCATCATCTTTGCTCACCTGTGGTTCCAGCCCAAGCCAACATCTAACCGCTCCAAACATTCAGTGTCCTCATCAAATCAGAAATCACAACTCCTCGACGCCATGCCCTCGAATACCCGGGAGAGAACGAGACTGCCATTTTCAGAAATACGAAGAAGGAAATGGCACAGGAAAACCAGACTCCTGCTACAGGATCCTAATATCATTCTAGCCTACCAACCAGATAGGCAAACTAATAAAAACACAAATATGGAAGGAAGGACGAGCCAGGAAAACAATGCATTGACCTGGCTGAACAACCAGCTAAAACAAACCCCCACGATCCTGATGACGTTTTTGAGTTGCAGCTTCAACCGACTTGGAAAAACTGGTACACAATTATGTAGTCTAGGCTACTGACAATCAGAAACAATGGAATGAACTAATCATCAAGTACAAACAGATGGTAGGACGAGCTAGGAAAACAATGCATTGACCTGGCCTAACATACAGCTAAAACAAACCCCCGACAATCCTGATGACATTAGTGAGTGGCAGATTCAACCTGACGTGAAATGGTACACAATTATACTCCAAGTCTACTGACAAAATGAACTGATCATCAAGTAAAAACAGATGGAAGGACGAGCTAGGAAAACAATGCATTGACCTGGCCAAACAACCAGCTAAAACAAGCCCCCCATGACATTAGCGAGTCGCAGTTTCATCCTACTTGAAAAACACTGATACACAAATATACTCTAGTACTGACAATCAGAAACAATGGAGTAAACTAATCATCAAGTCAAATGCTAATGCGCTCAACCCACGAGGTAAAATTACTGGAGAACTTTCAGAGAGGAATCTCATATGAGGGTATATGCTACAACAAGAATGATTCTGGAACATGTGATTTTCCCCGAATTGTGAAGCCAATGAATGGACTAAACAAGACTCACACCCAGCAGGGGTCAAGATTCTGATTTGAAGACTTACAAATGACTGCCAATACTCATAGATGGACGCATGCCACTAGCAGCTATCTCCAGACTACATGACCGGAGAAGTGAAGTAACATCACTAAATAGACCGCACTTTGCTGGGAGACAACCTTGCCAAGAGCTTCAAAACCATCCAGCTCTTACAGATTCGCAGAAAACAGCTTGCCCGTCTGAATTCAAAAATTCATACAATCACAGCAGGAACAATTGCGCTCTGTCGGCATAGATAGTTGGACGCATGCCACTAGCAGATATCTCCGAACCAGATGACCGAAGAACTGAAAGTAAGATGACTAAATACACTACATTGTGCTGGGAGACAACCTTTCCTAGGGCTTCAAACCCATCCAGCTTTAACAGATTCGTAGACAGCACCTTCGCAGACCGAATTCAAAAGTTCATAGGATCAACGGCAAAAAGATTTGCATTCTGTCGGCATTTGATAGTACGATCCGCCGGCTCAGCACAGAAACCAAGTATAGGTCATGTTCCCCTGTGTTGCAATCAAACAAACAATCAGTACATCTGAAATAAATTCCATTAACGGCGAAGCAAAGTACTAAGAAGATGAGAATCATAATGAACATCTCACCATAATGACTACAACTGATAGTCTGATACAGATCTCACTTCAGTATCCAGCACCAGCAGCTAAAGGATCCTCCGTACCCAACATGGAGAAGCAGCAGCATCTCCAGTGCCCAAAATCAGTTTGAAATCCCTTTTACAACCTAGTTGAACAGGCCTTCAAAAGGCAACCAGTACAAACACATGCACTTTCTTCACTGTGTTGCAATCGAACCGACAATCAGTACATCTGAAATAAATTCCATTACGGCCAAGCAAAGTACTAAGAAGATGAGAAGCATAATGAACATCTCACCATAATGACTACAACTGAGAGTCTGATACAGATCTCACTTCAGTATCCAGCAGCAGCAGCTAAAGGATCCTCCATACCCAACATGGAGAAGCAGCAGCATCTCGCCAGAGTGCCCAAAACCAGTTTGCAATCCCTTTTACAACCTAGTTGAACGGGCCTTCAAAAGGCAACCAGTACAAACACATGCACTTTCTTCACCGTGCTACATCACGTCAACTTATAGATATTACAGCTCCCCCCACCCCCAACCACCCATACTAACATAGTAAATGGGGCAATTAAACTAAATAGCAGAAAAAGTCGAAGCAAAATAAACCAGAGAGATCAATGAAACTGAAGACCAATAGAAAGCAAGAAACCAATGACAGCTATAGCTACTGAAAAGCACCAGTGGTTGAACATTGTTTTGGTGGCACAAGTTCTCTCGTCCATAATTTTGGGAAGGTAAGTGGGGGAACTAGTGCAAAGTTGTTGTGGCTCTTCATAGCGGAAACAAATAATCCTGCCGACATCCAACTCAGGTAGGTGTGGATACCATACGTCAAAGTTGGACGAAAAAATGGATGAACCACTGTATCTCAACTACGTTTAAATGTAGAAGGTAAATTTATTCACCCTAACCCGATTGATTAACTACCGCGTCACTTTGCCGGTGTAGAAAGTGAATTTTATCAGCCCAACTCAATGAACTGTGAGGCATAACTAATCCCACAGACATTTCTCAAGGACATCGTAATTAAGATATCTGGCAAATCGATTAAGTCCGGTAAAAAGTTCTCTCCTAATGCAGAATACTTGAACTAGAAGATCTGACGTCGATTTGCTAGTTATAAATGAACTAGAGGTAATTGAAAAATAAGGAGGCAAGGATGAAGAAATCTGTACCTTTAAGGACTATCTTGATTGCTTGCATGCGTATGATGACTGGATTGCCTAGCGGAGGAGTTTGACAATTCGAGTGCATTGACACAGCAACGGTGGCCGGTGGGCAGCAAGCGAAAGGGAGCAAGAAACAGGAAAAGGAGAGAAAAGAGAGCAGACACACACACACACACACGAGGAGGAGGGAGAGCCGGGGCTGAAGAAACTTCACTAAATAAAAAATACCCCTGTGCCATCTCCCTCCTCCAAAACCCAAAAACCATCTCTTTTATTAGGATTTTGTGACCTGCCATGCGAGCGCACCCATCATGGCAAAGGCCGACTGACACAACATCGCAAGCACAAACAACTAACGCTTCAAACAGCATACCCTAATGTCTTACCGTTCGTGTCATCCATCCTCTTCCCTTCCCACCCATAACCAACCACCACATATACCATAAACAGTTCAAACAATAACATACACATAAACGACGTTACCAACCCTTTTACACCGCAATAATCCTCGTGAGGCCATCCAGCTTGACTCGATCCAAGATGGTCGAATTGGACATCAATCAACATATCGCAAGGCAACCACCATCTGAAAAACACGGATCCACCCATCTCAGCATAACCCGAGCTCCTTGCGCCTCCCTCGAACTTGCCCAGAAGCCACCGCAGAAGGATGAAGTACTGAAAGATAACAAAAACATATAACCCATCGATCCGCCTGACCGTCGCAAATAGAATCAAAGAATAATTCGCATCTCTAAGACGAATCCGTTACATAGCAATAACAAATGAAAATTAATCAACCATATAATCGACAAGGTAATTTGATTCAGCTCAAATATTCATATCGAATTCGAATGAATCAGACACATCAAGAAGTCTCTTAACGAAAATCAAAACGAACGGACCAATAAACAGGCTAAAAAATTCCATAGAAAAGCATACATACCTCAACGGAACAGGCATAAACCAACATCAATAAGTTGAGATCTATGCATCCTTCGCAGAAGCAAGACGACGACGACGTATCGCCAGCAGATCTACCGGTACTTCGAATCCTGCTGCTGAATCGAACAGGGGAGCTGCAGCTGGAACATTAGCTGAAGGGAAGCCATAGCCAAGAGGTTCATCTGCAGAACTCGGGAGATTCAAACCGAGATCATATTCTGATGGAGGAGAGATTGAAGCTCGGGATCGAGCTATATGGCGCCAGCGGTCGGTAGCGTATATATAAAGGAAGAAACATGCCGACATTTGAGATGATAAACGAATGGGATTAGGAGAAGTATTTAAAGGAGGAGAAAAGCTATCCAACGGCTGTTGTTGTTTGACTCTGGGAGGAGGCAGATCGGTGGTCAGATTTGAAACGCTATTTTAGGCGAGGAAAGTTGTATTACAACACAAATCGAACGGATGTGGTCTTCAGAGAACATTCTAGAATAAATATATAGATATTTATAATTATCGTTCTAACTCCTAATTGCCCTAACATAAAAGTTAATATTATATTTGTATTCTCCTTTGTATATTATATTTGTATTCTCCTTTGTTCTTTTTATTAGAAATATTTTATTCTAACAAACTAGATATGATATTTTTGTCATACTTTTTTTTGGAAATATTAGAGTTCATTTGTTTGTAGGATTTTAGAAAATGAAGGATTACGTAAAATCTTGGATTTTTTTTATGGTTGTTTAATATTGGAGTTCTGATGGGATCCGGTGCATTAATGCTGGTATGATCGCACCCAAATCATTAAGAATACAAATGTAAATTCAGACCATAATTGATAAATCTCATGGACACAAATCCAATATGAAATCCAACAAGCAAACAAGCAACAAGCAAACTACTTCTGGGCGCTGACGGAGGGTCCTTGGGTGATTTTTGATCACTACTTGATCACATTTCAATGGACACCCGATTTCAGACTTTCAGATGCAACTCCAAGATCCATGGTGGTGTGGATACAACTCCCGGCCTTCCCGGTGCACTTTTATCACAAGGAGATCCTGTTCACGCTAGGGAATATGGTCGGCCGCCAAGGTTGTCAAACCGGTTTATGCCAGTGTGCCGGTTTAGCAAGTGGAATGGTTCAACCGGTGGCACATACCGGTTCATGTGGTCAATATTACAAATAAAATTATAAATACTCATATTTAAACATGACATTTAACGTCAATACCTACGCATTTATACTTGAATCCAACAAATAACATCAATATTTAACTTTTATACTCATAAAATAAATAATAAAATATTTTTTATCAATTAAATTCTCTAAAATAAAGTCATTTTACTTAGAGATTCGTATATCGATCATGCCAGTCATACCGGTGCTGTCACGCCAACCTGTGGCACGCCAGCCGGCGTGACAACCATGTCGGCCGCTCAATCAAGTTGGATTCCCACACGCAACATCAACAACGCGCGAAGTTTGCCCGGATGGCGGTGGATCTTGACCTAACCAAGCCTCTAGTAACACGAATCCGTTTAGATGGGAAGTGGCAATACATAGAGTATGAGAATCTGCCTATGTGTTGCTTCGAATGTGGAAAAATTGGGCACACGACGTCTTCTTGCCCGTCTTTGACAGCGAATACACCAGTAGCAGGCACCGGAACATTGACAAGGTCGCCGGAAAAATGGTCGGAGACTCTGTCAGAGGATAAGACCGGCTTTGGTCCTTGGATAAAGGTCACAAGACGATCACGGCGTGGACCACGGGCGCCTGAGAAAGGAAACAATAGCGCGATTCAGGGAGACTTGGCGGGTTTTGGAAAAGCTGGAAAAGGAAAGACTTCGTACAGAGATATGGAAGGTTCAAACGGGCAGAAAGAGACTCCAAGCCAACGGGAGGAGATGGCGAGGGGTGGAACGCATATAAAAGGAAAGACAGCTAGTGTAGGGCATCGGAATGGGATTGTGGGAGTTGGTAGGGAGGCGACTGAGGTGGCAACGGGGGGCAAAGGAGTTCTTGGGCCTATCCCTCCCCCCTCAGCTGCAAGCCTAAATCTGGGATCCATAAAGGCGGCCTTTAAATCCCGGAATAATTAGGTTGGGTCCACGTCTGCGAGTAGTGGGCCTGTAACAGGGTTAGGCCGTGCTAAACAGCAGTCCAACAAGCGTCCAAGTTCCCCAAGCCCGCCTCCAACGCAAGCATTTACAGGCCCCAATGATACTGCCATTCAGATTGTGACAGTTCCTTCCATCGACAGACAAAGGGAGGCGGAACGCAAAGTGGACACTCCGTCGGCGGCAACTCGGACTAAGAAGCAAACGAAAGAGAAGAAGAAGAAATCCAAACCTCGCAAGCCGCCGCCAGAGCCCTTCAAGTCTGGACACCCGTCAAAGAGAAGAAGTCCAAATCTAGAACGAGAATGGCGACTTTGACTCTCTAGGAGATAGCTGCGTGGACGGGGGCGGAAAAGTCGGGACAATCTGAAGAGGCTTTGGTGACCATGGTGGGGGATTCGGCTCCGATCAAGGCATGTGTTTCGGCCGCCCCTAGCTCCGCCATCTAGCTCCCAGTAGCGGCTTCGCCTCTCCTTCCTCTCCCCTTCTTTTTTCATCCTTTTATCTTTTAAATGTCTACTGGTGTCATGAGTAATTTTAAAATTTTATCCTGGAATGTTGGAGGCGCTGGTAACAGCGCCTTCGTCAGAGCTCTGAAGCTCATTGTGTTCAATCATAAACCTGACATTTTGATTCTTTTGTAACCTCACATTAGTGGAGAGGTGGCGGGTAGAGTTTGTGGGTGGATGGGCTTCCCAAACATTATGCGTGTTGAGGCAGAGGGTAGGAAAGGCGGCATCTGGATTTGCTGGGATGCTAGAGCCCTCTCTTTGGAGATAATCTCAGCCTGCTTTCAGTACCTCACCGTGAGAGTCATTAATGCGAGGGCGCCTCCTTGGCTCGTAACGGCGGTGTCCGCGAGCCCGCGCTAGGAATTGCAGCATTCTCTTTGGCAGGCGATTCAACGAACCAGGGATGAGATTGATCTTCCTTGGCTTCTGACCGACGACTTCAATGCCATTAGAATCCCGTCGGAACAAGCCAGAAGTGCTTCTTCATCTATCTTCCGCCGCTGCAAACGTTTCAACGACAGGATTGATCAAACAGGGTTTATTGACATTGGATTCTCCGGTCTGCGTTTCACTTGGACTAGAGGAGAGCCGCCAAATGGTTATAAAGCCAGCCGCCTCGACAGAAGCCTTTGCAACTCTAGCTGGAACATGTTCTGCCCCAACACTACCGTCCATCACCTCCCTCGACTTCATTCAGACCATCACCCAATCCTGACGGTTTTTGGAAATCAGGGAGTTCACCATTCTTCTACTCGTCCTTTTCGCTTCGAAGGGGCTTGGTTATCTCATGATTCGTATGGTGATTTTCTTGCCAGGGAATGGGACTCTCATGCTGCTCTTCATGAAGCGTTACAGAAGGTGGCCGAGAAGTTAACTGAGTGGAACAAATCCACTTTTGGCAATGTTTTTCAAAAGAAGAGGAGACTTCTTAGCCATATCCATGGGATTCAAACGAAAATTGCCAATGTCTTCTCCCCGTGCCTCTTCAAACTCCAAACGAAGTTAGAAAGGGAGCTGGACGATGTTCTTGAACAAGAAGAAATTATATGGTTCCAGAGGTCTAGGGAGAAGTGGTGCAATTTGGCGAGCGCAACACTGCGTACTTCCACTAGCAAGCGGTCATTCGAAGACGGAGGAACATGATAGCAAGCCTGAAAGCTGACAACGGAGAGTGGGTGTCTGACCCGCAGGAGCTAGCGGCCCTGGTTTTTTACTTTTTTGCTCTTCTGTACTTGTAGGATGATCAAGAGTACTCAGATGACATGCCAAAACATGCTTTCCCGAAGATGATACAAGATGATGTCCGCCAGCTCCTTCACCCTTTCACAGGAGCTGATATCTTTCAGGCGATCCAAGACATGAAGCCTCTTCAAGCTCTCGGCCCGGACGGTTTTCAAGCCATTTTCTACTAGAGATCGTGGCAAGTGGTCGGGAAAGCTCTTATTGACATGGCTCTTAGCTTCTTTTCTACAGGGGCCCTGCCAGAGGAAGTGATGGAGTCGACAGTGGTTCTCATCCCCAAGGTGGAGCACCCGGAGTTGGTTTCGCAGCTTCGCCCGATCTCCCTCAACAACGTCTGCCTGAAAGCCATTACCAAAGCCATCACCAACCGGCTTAAGCCCATCATGAGGAAGCTAGTGTCCCCTAGACAAAGCAGCTTCATACCTGGTCGTCAGACCACAGATAACATCATTGTTTTGCAGGAAGTTTTACACACTTTGAGAAAGAAGAAGGGCAAGAAAGGGGGGATCGTGCTCAAAATTGACTTGGAAAAGGCTTATGACGTCTCAGATGGGAGTTCCTCCGGGATACTCTCAAGGAAGTGGGCCTCCCTAGCTCTTGGATTAACTGCATTATGTTTTGTGTTGAACATAACAGGATGAGACTGCTTTGGAATGGAGAGCTCTCAGCCCCGATCATTCCTACCAGAGGCGTTCATCAGGGAGACCCTTTATCTCCCTACCTTTTTGTGTTATGCATGGAAAGACTATCTCACATGATTGATCGGGCTATCGAGGATAAGCTCTGGAAGCCTCTGAGGTTGTCCAAATATCTCACATGTTTTTTACAGATGATCTTGTTCTTTTCGCAGAAGCTGAAGGTTCTCAAGTTAGGATCATCAAACAATGCCTCGATGAATTTTGTCAAAGCTCGGGACAGAGAGTTAACTACAATAAGTCGGCTATCTTTGTCTCAGCTAACATTGATCGGAGGAGAGCTCGTTGCCTTTCCTCCCAGACTGAGATTCCGCTCACGGTGGACTTAGGGCGCTACTTAGGGGTAATGGCAATCCACGGGCGAGTGACTAAGGTGAGGTATCATGATCTAGTGATGAGAATCCAGAAGAAGCTCGCCCCTTGAAAATCCAGACACCTCTCCCTTGCAGCTCGGATCACAGTGGTGAAATCTATCTCTACCTCTATCCCCATTTACCCTATGCATACAGAACTGCTCCTTGTGAATGTCTGCAGGACTCTTGACCGGATCAACAGAAGCTTCATCTGGGGGGATACAGAAGCCAAAAAGAAGATTCACCTGGTTGCTTGGCAGCAGCTGCTAGTGCCGAAACGCAATGAGGTCTGGGCATTCACTCAACGAGGGAAGTTAACCTTTCCATGCTGGCCAAGGGTGGCTGGCGAGTCATCCAGAAGAAGGATAACCTTTGGGTTCAAATTGTTCATGCAAAGTATGGAGGAGACCGGCAAAACCTTGAGATCCTTAAGCATGTTCAGGGAAGTTCCTTTGCTTGGGCCAGTTTTACTAAGGCTTCTGCTTTATTAAAGCAGGGTTGTGCGTGGAACATTCATAGAGGAAATCATACTAAATTTTGGTCCGATCCTTGGATTGTGCAGGGCTCCCTTCATGAGTTGGCTACGTCTCAAATCCCGGAGGAAGACCGACAGCTTTCGGTGTCAGAGTTTGTGGATGAGGATGGGAACTGGAAGGTTGAGATGTTTGACCGCCTTCTCCCGCAGGAGATCCAGCAAAAGATAACAGCTCACGCTGATGACCCTTTGGCAACAGAGGAAGATAGCTTGTTCTGGAGTCCAACGTCAGACGATCGTTTTACCACTAAGAGTGCCTACCAGCTGTTGCAGCCCGCCTCCCCCAATGCCCAGCAACAGTGCTGGAAGACTGTGTGGCAGCTCCCGATGCCTGAGCGCGTTCGTTGCTTCATCTGGCTGATTGCACAGGGGAAGGTGTGCTCGAATGAAATCAGAGTTCAAAGACACCTGACTCAGGATGGTTCTTGCTATAGATGCGCGAACCAGGTATAGAGTGTTGCTCACATCTTTCGCAACTGCCCCCCTGCGGCCTACCTCTGACACCGGACTGTCCCCATGGAAGCCCAACATGAGTTTTTTTAGCTCCCCCTGGGAAGTTTGGTTGCGCAGTAACCTTACAAGCAAGAGTAAGACTACTGCCGGTTTGCCTTGGGACGCCTTTTTCAATGTTTCCCTTTGGTGTCTTTGGAAGAATAGAAACGAGGGAGCCTTTAAGGGTGCTTCCAAGACTTTGTCGACCTCGTCACTCATGCAAAGTATCAAGATCAAAGCAAATTTGTGGTTCCGGGCGTGGAATGCTCCTTTTTCTGTCGGCGGTAGAATGAACCAACCCTCGAACCGTGCCATTATGGAGATTGGGTGGAAGCCTCCACCTGTAGGGTGGACGAAGATCAACGTTGACGGGGCAGCTAATAGCTCGCAGGGGATGGCCAGGGCAGGAGGAGTTGTCCGCTCTTTTCATGGCAGCTGGGCAGGTGGTTTCGTTACAAGCCTTGGTTCTTGCTCAGCAACTGCAGCGGAACTCTGGGCTATTTATCATGGTTTGAATTTGGGTTGGAAGCTTGGTTATAAAACCCTCATCATCGAGTCTGACTCTCAAATGGCCATCCAACTAGTGAAGAACAGGAGTGATCCCCTGCACCCGTACACAGTGCTCCTCTCGATTATCAGGAGGAAGATTTCTTTAGACTGGGTGGTGAATCTGGTTCATACATATCGGGAAGGGAATAGAGTTGCGGACTTGCTCTCGAAGCACAGTCTCATCTATCCCTACTGTATGTACGAACTAGAAGATCCCCCGCAAGAGCTTTTTCCCATCTTACAGGATGATCAAAGAGGGGTTACGTATTCTAGGAATATTGTGATCGATACCTCTACTACCTCCATCTGATCCTTCGCTGCTCCCCCTTGTTTTCTGTCTTCTTTGGCCTTGTGCCTCCTACTGCAATAAAAACAAAAAAAAAAACAAAAATCTTTTGCCTTTAAGAGAAATCTTTAATTTACTACTGTTGGCTACTATATTTTGTAATAACACATTATTATTATGAAATTAATTCGCAAACGAAACCCCACTAAACTCAAATCATGTGCATGCCATAATTGACGACCCTAGCTAATAATACTCAACGCATCAACAAGAATCAGGTGAAACAAAGAGATCATATGCAGTAGGACCCAGGCGGATTCGAACCACCATCCTCCCCGAGCCTTACAGGCTTTGGGCGCTCTAACCTCTTTGAGCTAATGGATCCATCCACCACCACCACGTCAGACACAGTTACGTTTCAGCTACTACACATGATTATCGAATAAATCAAATGTCATTTTGTCCTCTCATTTTGTGTCAGCTCGTGTTTATTAAGAAATGATTTTAAATTCTTCAACTAGACACGGCGACTATCAGATATAGACACCAAACCTAATTGCCGTGAGGCTCACAATCCAGTCATTATATTATTCTGTATGGAAAAACAACAAAAAGGCGACACAGACATCAACATCTACTGTAAACAGATGCATAACAAGGAAGCCCGACTAACAAATATGCAGATTGGGCAAACCACAAGCCACTCCAAACTGAAAAGAAGGTATAACTTCAATGCCAAGGTACGAGCTGAACCATATAAGAGAAAACTAAACAAGACCCCTTCATCTCCCGAACAGGGGAAAGAAGACCAATTTCTCAGTGGTATTGAACAGCAAATAGACTTGGAAAATGCAAAATTCTTTACTCATGAGACCAACCCCTTGTAGACTGTGAGGCGTGTTGACAACCAACATGATTTGGAATTGAAAGGAACTTTTTGCATCTTGGCCGGACACAGCTTTGTCGAAATCGACGACTGGTAACAATGGCTAACGTTGATGCAGAACATACAAGATCCCAAGGATCATCAGGAGAAACACAGCCAAGGCCATCATTGCTGCAATCCAATCAACAATCAGCACATGTGGCAACAACAAAGACCAAAGTATATCTGATAACACTTATTAATGAAGAACATCTCACCACGTATGACTGATAAAGCAGCCAGCTAATACAACATTCTCTTTTGGGGTCGAGACGGTATAAGCACAGCAACAGCAGCGCGTCCTCCAGCTAATACAAGGTCGGGGTCGGTATAAGAACAGCATCATCAGCGTCCTCCATTCCACATAGAAGCCGGAGAGCGCAGTAACTGTGCGCAAGACCCTCACTTTGATGAACTCCCACGACATCTTCCCTTACATGGAGCCTTTCCCATATCTATCAGAACAGATTTACAAGACAATACAACACAAGCAGTCCTGCTTTACAAGATCCTGCAGTACTGCGCATCTAATAGCCTATAGCCACCTTCCAACTAATGATATGGTAAGTACGCAGAACAATAGTGCTACCGCAAAGTTCCAACTGATAACAAATGGCAAGATCTTGATCATACACTATGATACAAAAAAGATTTCCATGGTAATAGCAGAAGTATCAAGAGTTCGATTGCTCTTTCGTGAGTGGTTACTTCCTAGAGCCACTGTTATAATAATCGAATTAACGGAGCAAACGTACTAACGCAAATTGTTTAATTGTGTAGATGATTGCAAAAACTAGACACCACCATCAGCATATGCAGTATCTCAATTCTATGCAATTGTCAGAGTTAACTTCTTCAGGCAAGCTCCCACAGAAACCCCTCCAATCTCTCCTAAACCGTATATGATCAATTAATTCGGAGTAATATTAAATTGCTAAGGAATCTAGCCAACTCAACAGACCATAGTAAAGTAACTTTCTCAATGATTAAACTGATAAGATTCAGATGTTGATCAATTAACTAGTCGGCCATGATGTAACTGTGAAATAAGCAGCAAAGTTGAGGTAATTGGTACCTGGTTGACTGCAAGCATATGATGTCCCGGTTGTCTATCAGTGGTGTGAGACCATCGAGATGCAGTGATATAGTAATGGTGCCAGCAAAGAGAAAAGGGAAGAGGAGCACCCGGAGACACACACACATGGAGGAGGGAGAGCCAGGGTTGAAAAACCTTCACTAACAAAAAAATTACCCCTATGTGCCATCTCCCTCCTCCAAACCCAAGAAATCGATGCTTTTATTAGGGTATTCTGTGACCTGCCATGCGAGCGCACCCAACATGGCAAAGGTCGGTTTGACAAACAACAACACCAACACAAACACTTCAAGAAACCATACCCTAATCTCTCCACAGGTTCCTCCATCCTCTACTTCTTCCCAGCAAGATCCTCCGTAACCAATGATACCGTAACAAATAGATCAAATAACAGGCATAAATAAATTCACAAACCCTTTGGGCCAAACAATCTTCACGGTGTTGGGATCCAACTGACTCCATGCTAGGAGATTGTATTCGCCATCGATCATCAGATTCAAGGCCGCCGTCGGGATCGATCATGGGCGTATCTGAACAGTGTACGAGCTCCTTTCAGCCTCGCTCCATACCTCTCAATTACCACACAGCCGGAGACGGGACTGGTAGATAACAAAACCAAATAACCAATCGATTAGCCACGAAATCCATGCGCGTACAAATTCGTCCCCAACAACCAGCCAAGAATACAATCAAAGCATCAAAAACTCGCGCCCAATTTGACCGTACCAATCAATCTCGTCGGAAATCTATACCAGAAATATAATATCGAAACAAGAGCGCAATCCAATTTGATTCAGGGCATCAGAAAATAACGAATCGAATACATAGTCTATATCACACAACTAAACATATCGAAACGCACATACCAAGTCGCAAGAAAAGAAGTCAACTAGAACAGATCTAGAAACAAATCCAACCAGAAAGCCATATAAAGAGATATATACCTCGACGGAAGTAGAACGATACGATCATCAACGAGTCGAGATCAGCGGATCCGGAGCGGAAACTGGTCAAGGACGAGAAACCAACCGCAGATCTACCAGAACCACGAATCGTCCCGCATAACCGAGCACGAGAGCTGCAGCGGCAAAATTAGGCCGAAGTGAAGCCATCGCCAGGATTAGATCTATAGAAAAGGTAGATTCAAATTTTTGAACCTAAACCCAGAAGGAGGCTATGAAATTGAGACCTTGGATGCAAGAAACATGGCGCCAGGGGTGGAATATATAGGAAGAAGAAACAGGCCGAGAGGCGGTGCCGGTTTAGGCGAATCTAATTCGGATAATTAATTAATTATTAAGGGAGATCGAACGGCTGTGATTGGTTGACTTGAGGACAAATCGATGGTTAGATTTTGGAGGAGGTTAGTTGTTTTACAATGCGAATCGAATGGCTGTGAGCTGTTGAGAAGGTTCCTGAAATAGATTATCCTTCCACGTAAGGATCGGATCTTTATTAGGAATAAACGAGTAAAGTATTTTTTTTCCCCAAAAATAGTACTTTCAAAAAAATTCAAAAATAACATCCAACCTAGAACAATTCAAAAAATAGCATATTTTTCCAAAAACTGTCACCTCACTCAGCGGTTTACACGAAAACTGCAGGGTGCGGCACGATTTTTAATGAAAACACACGGGTAGGTGGCGATTTTGCTGACCGCATTGGGGTGGGACGGTTTGGTTGCAAACCGCACACCTACCAGACGGTTTGTAATATATATTTTTTTCCTGCATAAATGTCATAAGTGGTCTGTGCACAACTGGTTTAGTTGTTTATTATTTGCAAGAAGTCCTAAGTTTGTCGGCAACCTTCTGGCGATGTTCTGATTGGAGAATTGGAGTTCCCAGTGAATTGTTTTAGCGGAGGGACCATTTGTAAAAATAGGACTCCACTTTCTTTCCGCTCCTTTCCTCCGACTCGTGTGTGGGTCCGAATGGAAATAATAGCATGTTCTTCTTTTCCCGCCAACGCGGGATTTGTCTTTATGCTCGGAAATGCTCAAAGATATGAGAATTTGCCAATTCGGGAAGCGGGAGTTTTCGGTAAATTGAAAGCAAAATACTTCTCATAACTTTGTAATTTGGGATGATAATAATAATAAATTTCTTAAAAATACATACGTATAGTTATTTCGTTAATAACGTTAATGACATTATAAATTTATATTCAATGTTGACTGCACTAGTAATTTTCAAATGTGACGATTATTCATCTTTGAGGTGAGCAAAGATAGTGAAGCAGGAGGTGAGCAAAGAGACGAAGCTGGAACAGGGGAGTCACAATAGGGAGATCTTCTCTGCATTGCGGTTCACCGCACCCTTAACGTCCTAAAAGGTGTTGCCAATTCGAACCCCAATTGGAAAACCAACCACATCATCAAAAAAATTAGGGCAATTTAATGTACACATACATGTTCTTTACTCAATCGGCCAACGGGCCAATTCCAATGCTAGTATAATCATAATATAGCTGTTATCATATTGATATAATATCATTGTAAAAATAATGCGAGAATAAGATATAATGTATTCAACCGATAATATACCAAAATAATACCAATGATAAACCATTTAACTGTGATGTACACCCGTCAATACAAACTTCGTTTATATTATATGCGTATATGTATTACTGATCAAGCAGACATAAGATCAACGTTTATAATCCGATTATAGTAGATATAATTTCACAAATAAATTTTTTTGAGTGGAGAGTTCGAGAAGGGAAGCAACGTGGGTTTATGAGAGGGTTATAGCCTATATGTATATAATTTGTCCGTTTACTATGAATTTTCTCAGGCATGCCCCTGTACCATGAATCGTATCAAACATGCTCTTATATTATTTAACAATTCTCAAACGTACCAGTTAGTTAATTTTTTGTTGTAAAACCGTTAAATCTTGTTCAATTGTAGTATGTTCAATTTTCGCTATTAACCCATGTCAATTGTTCCTCCGCCATTCAACCCTGTCAAACAAAGAGAAAGATCCCTCCACCCTGACTATAATTTTTTTATGACTTTGACTGTCCTCGGCTGGTTGATTCTGACATGGACACTACTTAGCCGTCGCGACAGCGTCTATTACTTGTCGTTTGAAATTCCTTTTCACCTCTGAAATTTGGACCCTAACACCACTAGTGAATCCCAAATTCTTTTCCTAAGCTAGTGCAACTGTGCTATGGAGATGGAGAGATAGCGTACCCCAAATCCCTATTCAACCAGGTATTAGCTAGTGATGGCAATGGGGCAGGACGAGGCGGGTTGACCCACTCTTACATGTTATTTGGAAGAAGAAAAAAAATACATCCAAGTTTCACTTTTTACGATAAAAGAAAGGGGGAAACACTTTATGAATGAAATATAATGATAACAGAATGTGTAATTGAGTATAAAAAGTTGAAAGATGGACTCTGCCTAGTTGAAGAAAAGTCAGAATAAGAGAAATATGTATAGATACCGTAAGAAATTGAGATAAAATTGACCAAGAACGGGGCAAGGCGGGACAGGGCGGGTCAGAAATAGATACCTATGCCCCACACCACGCTACTACGGGTCGGGTAATACCCACACCATTGCGGGTCAGGTCGGGTAATACCCGCGAGGCAAGTTCAAATTGCCATCACTAGTATTAGCACACAAAGGAAACAAAAAGGTTTTGTTTTAGGTATTCGGGAATCGGTACACTAATTGGCCTTTAACACAGTAAATTTTTGGTCACTCAAGGGAAAGCTAGCAAAAAGGAAGATTGAGATGAAGACCAATGTTCGGCTTGAAGTTCTGTCACATATTTGGTTTGAATTTCAAATCTTGAAAAATGCGTTGATGCACTGCCAATCACATAAACTATCACCACCGTCGCTGTTGATTTTTGTTTGCTATTTTCATGGACGCGCGACCAATCACATGAACTTTTGTCAATCATCGTCGTTGACCTAGTCACCTATAGGAAGAGGAGAAAGGTGAAGGGGTGTAGATATTGATGGAGGAAAAGGTGGAGAGATCCTCTGAAGCTTTTGTTTTTATTTTGGGCTTTTCATTGATGTCGAACTCTTACAGGGGTAAAAAAACGTTATTAACATTGCTTGGGTGGTGGTTCGGCCACATATAACAGTTTTAGGATGGAAAACATAATTGAAACATACGTTTGAAAATTATTCAATAGTAGAAGGACAAATTCGACGTAATTTAGTGTATAATGACATATTAAAGAAAAATGCATAATAAAGAATCAAATTAAAGAAAAATGCATAATAAAGAATCAAAGTATACCTATAATACTTAATGAGAAGCATAATTTGACTTTGCATCTCCTAGTCGTTGTCAAGAACAAGTTGTTCCCAATAACTCGAGTTGTTGGGAGACGTTCAATCGTGGATCATATACCACAACACTAACACGCCCCCCCTCAAACGAAAGCCACTCGCAAGGGCTTGAAATTTGCACAGGTCTGAAGACAAGAATACCATGTGCTTAACAAATGAAGGTCATCGGGAATCGAACACAAGACCTCTAGGTCACAGAAGGCTCTGATACCATGTCAAGAACTAGTTGTTCCCAATAACTCGAGTTGTTGGGAGACGTTCAATCGTGGATCATATACCACAACACTAACAGTCGTGACTCGTGAGTGATTGCGTGAGCAATAGCGCCCAATACTTTATTGTGGTATATGCAGTTGGATTCAAAATTTCAAATGTCACCCGTTAAATGTTTTTTTTTTTGGTTTGATGACTCAAATGCATGTATTTTGCCTATCAAAAATTGGGGAGTCACCCAAGTTAGAAAGTGCTTTCACGACGAGTCATGAGTCACGACTCACGACTCACTGACCGCGTGCAGCCACCGCCCCCAGTTTTCATCCCCCAGAAAAACCAGCGGGCCCGACCAGACGGCCGCCTGCCCACCGGCTGGTCGTCATCAAACCCTACAAATACAATAATCGCTTAATTAATTTTTAAAATATTAATTAAACAAATCCCCGAAAATCCGTTGGCCAGGGCCGAAGGGAAAGTTCGTTAAACAACGAGAACCCTCCACCACCTCACTCGCCCCCTTATGTTCCGCACCGCCTGTTTGTAAAACAGCCACCCTCCTTACCCATCTCCTTGCGCCTTGAACCCCACGCTTCTCCAAGAACTTTCTTCCTCGATTCCCCCTCTACACTTCGAAATCAAATCGAGATTTCCCCGCCTGCCAAACAGACTCATCCCGCCGGCAATCCTTCAATTCGACGAAACGAACCACGCCTTCACTCGACTCCTCTTGAAGCCAGAGCTTCATCATCTCCCGTTCAGGTATTGCCGATTCCCGATCCTCTACAATCGTCTCATCTCTGAATTGCGATCCCGCGTTTCAATTCCCGCGTTTTCTGTTTCTCTCCGGCGCCGCTGCGATTTCATTTTCGTAGAGGGAAAAGGAAACCGAGAACAATTCTGGTTTTGTTTTTTTTCTGTTGTTTGGATGTTTTTGGAAATCACATTTGATTAGCGCTGTGTGCTCATCTTCGCGTCGAATTTTCAGATGGCTCCGACGGCTTTGATCTGCGACACTCAGCCATGGAAGGACTTGAAGGTGAAAATGTCAACTTCGTCTCTCCGCTGTGTTCTTACCGTTTGTGGGAAAAAGCTATAATCGCAATTTTGATCTTGCTTGCCGCAGGCTCATGTTGAGGAGATCAAGAAGACTCACCTGCGGGAGTTGTTGACTGATACTGAGCGCTCCAAACAAATGATGCTGTGTGTTCTCTCTTTTTCTCTTATGTTGCCGTGCTTAGTTCTTTGGCCTGCATTCTGTTATCGGGTGATTAACTTGTGTGCAACGTGTGTAGTGAGTTCGACGGTATAACGCTGGACTACTCACGCCAGCAAGCTACTCTTGGTACACTGAGTAAACTGCAGAAGCTGGCGGAGGTGAACAATAGTTAGCTCTCGATTTGGAACGGCAGATTTTGGTTATGACATAATGTATTGACCATAGTCACGTATTTCTTGCTGCAGGCTGCACATCTGAAAGATAAGATTGAACGCATGTTTAACGGCGAGCATGTGAGTTATAATTATTTGTCAATCGACTACCATGGAAATTTTGTTGTCATTCTCGCTATTTAGTCGGGCAGTGCCTTGTTTATGAGTGTCAGTAGACACTGGTGCCTAGTTGTCATGATTTAGCTTTTTGAGCGTTTTTTGGTAGACTTCCCATGATTCAATCTTTTCGTCTAGGTTGATTTTCATTGATATGATTGCGTGGTTGTTATTCTCATTGCGATTATGCTCTCATTTTTAGATTAACAGCACAGAGAATAGGTCAGTGCTCCACGTAGCTCTTCGAGCTCCAAGAGATGCTGTGGTTAAGAGTGATGGCAAGAATGTTGTGCCAGATGTTTGGAAGGTTTTGGACCAGATTAAGGATTTCTCTGACAAAGTCAGGAATGGTTCATGGGTAAGTAACGTGAGGTTTCATGGAGTTCTGGGGGCACAGTTCTTGTATTGTTCAGTAATAGAAATCCATTGACAGGTTGGAGCCACGGGAAAACCGTTAACCAACGTTATTTCTGTTGGCATTGGTGGCAGCTTTTTAGGCCCTCTTTTCGTGCACACTGCCCTTCAAACAGGTTTTCTAATGCCTCCTTATAGCCCTTAAACACCATATTTATAAAACTCACGTTCCTTGTGATTAGTGTACCAGCATTTTGTTATACAGAAGAGTAATTTACTGGTAGTAACTCACAGATCCGGAGGCTAGCAAGCAAGCAAAGGGACGCCAACTGCGATTGTAAGTACCTTCTGTATCAAAGGAGTTAGTTGAGCTGGCCCGCATATGTATTAAGGGCTATTATTGTATGGTGCTGAAGATTACCATGACTCTGATTATGTGTAATCTGTATTCTGACTGCTAGACAACCTAATAAATGTTATAAATTGATTTCAGTCTCGCCAATGTGGATCCAATTGATGTTGCTAGAAATATTACTGGCTTGAACCCTGAAACAACGTTGGGTGAGATACCTTCCGTTTCTGTTGGTGTGGTTGTTTCTTTTGTTTATTTGTTGATTTAGTTTATTTCCCCTGACTTGAAATGCTCATCCGATGTTCCTTTAATTCCATGCAGTTGTTGTGGTTTCAAAAACTTTCACCACAGCTGAAACAATGTTAAATGCCCGCACACTAAGAACTTGGATTTCAAAAGAGCTAGGGTGAGTAAGACAACGACACAAGTCCTTCTTTTGTGAATAATTCATTGAGATTGAGTTCTAGAGTTGATCGATATTTAAGGGATGACCAGTACTTGTTGAGTGCAAAGATGGATATGTGTTATTTTAGTGTTCTTGCAACTTTTTTTATTAGTAGCTTTCTTGATGCAAAGTAGTACTGATGACATATATGTATTTCTAAAATGTTCAGACCTTCTGCAGTTGCAAAACATATGGTGGCTGTTAGCACAAACCTCATGGTATGAAATTATTGTCTCTCTAGGGTTTCCTTATTGCTTGTTAATAGTTCCAAGAATGAAAGTGCTATGTCTTTTGTATAATTATCACTCTTGAAAATGTTACTTCTGCCTCTCCCTTATTGTAGTTTTGGCAAAAATTATCACTATGCTAAATTAACTATTATGCTAGCATATTAAAATTCAATTCCATGTGAAATTTGTAGCCTTATTGTAATTTTCTGCTATGTAATGCACAGCTTGTAGAAAAGTTTGGAATTGATCCAAAGAATGCTTTTGCATTTTGGGACTGGGTTGGTGGCAGGTATAGTGGTAAGTTTCTCTTGTTGTAGCCTTCTTGGTATTCGTTATGTGGATTTGATGGTTGATCTTAGTCATCTGGCCGCTCTACAGTTTGCAGTGCAGTTGGTGTGGTGCCTTTGTCTCTCCAGTATGGTTTCTCCGTGGTTGAGAAGTACGGTAACTTCTTTTTAAATTATCATTATGAACGATGGCATTATATTTTACATATTGTTGTAGCAGTTCTTACCTTATAATAATAAAACCGTATATACCGTATTTGAAAACACGACGATCCAGCTAAATGTTATATGGATCTTTCCAGACACGGGTAGTCTGGCAGCTGTTCAGGTGTTTGTGTGATTAAAGTGCCCCACAATACTCATATACATTCAGTTATGTTTACTTTCACTAAAATCAGGAATGGCCTTTATTGCAATTTGAGTAAGCAAAATGTCGAGTTCTGCTGTATCTAATATTGCCTCACATGCGTCCTTACAAACAATTTGTGTGATTTGAAGGTTCCTGAACGGAGCATGGAGCGTAGATAAACACTTCTCTTCTGTTCCATTTGAGAAAAATCTGCCTGTGAGTACCAATGTGATATGAGTTTATCAGTCTGTAATCTTACTTTCGTAGAGTAAGTACCATAGGGGCCGTATAGGGAAATACTTGTACTCTTGTAGCTTTATGCGATAACTGAACAAGCACTACTGTTTTCTCTGGTAGAGAGATCTAGTCCAGGTTGACAAGCATTATATTTGAAATCTTACTGTTACTTGATGCTGTTTGGTTAGACCCTGCGATTTCACATGTTGTACTATGAAACGGGTTGCTGGTCTGTCTCTAACATTTCCTTTGCTGATTATACTTCAATGACTTAGAGTGATCATGTAGATTCTTGTTTTCATGTCTACTAAATCTTGTTGCAGGTTCTCTTAGGTTTATTGAGCGTGTGGAATGTTTCGTTTCTTGGATATCCTGCAAGAGTATGTTCTGTTATGATTTCAACAACTTCATGTGTTTTTCGAATTTATTTATCTCGTATTCCCATAATCATATTGGTATTTTTTCTAGGCCATCCTGCCATACTCCCAAGCACTGGAAAAGTTTGCACCACATATCCAACAGGTAAGGAAGAGACTGTCAATGTTCGTTTGGGAGTATGCTTTCTTGTATATTTTCAATATATTTTAAGAGCGTTACAGCATCAGTGCTGAAACTTCTATCCGATACTCAATATCAGGTTAGCATGGAAAGTAATGGCAAGGGAGTATCCATTGATGGGGTGCCATTTCCGCTTGAGACAGGTGAAATTGATTTTGGTGAACCGGGAACCAACAGTCAGCACAGCTTTTATCAACTAATTCACCAGGTAACTGGAATTTTCCTTCTTCTATAAACAGATTGGCACATGGGGTTACCCTCTTCTTAAACCATGAGCCATGTTATCCTTTGTTGAACTGATGGTTAAATATTTGGCCTATTCAGGGGCGTGTCATTCCTTGTGATTTTATTGCTGTTATAAAGAGCCAGCAGCCAGTATACTTGGAAGGTATGTTCAGAAAGTTTATCTGTGTATGCCTGTTGTCCGAATCATGACATATCAATTTGTTGTCAATTTTATCTGTGCAGGGGAGATTGTCAACAACCATGATGAACTCATGTCTAACTTTTTCGCTCAGCCCGATGCTCTTGCATATGGAAAGGTAGTTCCATACTTTCCTAAATGAATCTTGATACAACAAAGTTCATGCCATATTTGGGTCTTCTTAATCACCCGTCTTCTGCAGACACATGAACAACTGCTGAAGGAGAATGTCCCCGATCATCTTATTCCTCACAAGGTAGATTCGTAGATGAAGTTTCTCTTTGGACTGTAACAACTTGCTTGTGGAAAACATTATGACTAACCATACTGTTATCTTACAGACATTTACTGGCAACAGACCTTCAATCAGCCTTCTGCTTTCTTCATTGGACGCCTATAAAATTGGACAGGTAGGTTCTTTCCTACTCATGCATTCATGGTACATGATCTGTTTTTTCCTTCTGCCCCTCTTTGGCTATATCGCAAGCACATGGAGTTTCTATTGCTAGCCTAAATTTTCAAGACGTGAAACTTGTTTGCAGTTGTTGGCGATCTATGAACACAGAGTAGCGGTACAAGGCTTCATATGGGGCATCAATTCCTTCGACCAGTGGGGAGTCGAGTTAGGGAAGGTGGGTGCTAATTAGAATTCCGAATACTTTTCTCTTCCTCTCTACGCAATATTCGACTTTCTTTCAACGTTTTCTTTTAACACTCTTGGCTCATTGATTGTTCTTATGCAGTCACTTGCCACTCAAGTTAGAAAGCAACTTCATGCTTCACGGACAAAGAAAGTACCAGTCCAGGGCTTCAACCCCAGCACTACTACATTGCTAAACAAGTACCTAGAGGTATAATGCGGAAGGGAAATGCCTATTTCGTTACGACCAATACGCAACTTAAACTTCACTTTATCTCATATCTTCTCTTGAACCTTTGCAATTGCAGGAGAGCTCAGATGTCCCCGCTGCTCCATCAACCCTTCTACCCAAGAGCTAAACAAACAGCGCCTTTTGCACGCTGGCCCGACCATCCCCTCTTCTTTCATCAGTCCTCGTTTTTGTACCATAGATATAACGAAACAAATATCGCTTACCCTACATACAGCAGTACTACAATTTTAAGTTAAGTCCCCAATAAGTGCAAGCTTGTTCCCGAGGAATTCGTTCTATACTACAATGACAGAAGGCTCGAAGAGCAGAATCCATGTCGCTTTAGACAATTGACGGCTTATAAGGCTGCAATGTGCATAATCCGCTGAACCCTAAAGTGCTAAATAGATGGGATTGACGAAAATAGCCTGAGGCAGTAAAGATTACGCTTTGATAATTGATAACTTGATACCCAAGTGATTAGGCGTCTGGATTCTGATTACTAATTTACTACTTCTACTACGGTACTTTCTAATATCCGATTTACAGAGTAGCAACATCATCCGCTAATATCACAAAACTACCCTTTTCACCGGAGGCCGAAGCTAGTAGGGGAAAACGAGCCGGCGGTGAGGGTCAGCGAGCGGTAAAATTGGAAGTGATTTCAGACGCCGGTGGAGCCAAACCCTCCTTCGCCTCTAACGGTGGCCTCCAGATCTTCAACTTCCACAACCTCGGGAGTAACTATCTTCTCGATAATCAGCTGAGCAATCCTATCGCCTTGTCTGACCTCGAGGTCGACGTCGGAGTGATTGAACAAGATCACCCCGACGGCGCCTCTGTAGTCGGCGTCTATCACTCCCGCTCCCACGTCGATGGAGTGCTTCCACGCGAGTCCGGACCTCGGAGCTGTAGCGCCGGTGAAGCAAAACCAGTGATTAACCCAAGGTTAAACGGCTATTTCAGCGAGTAAATCGAAGCGAAGAGAGTTGATCGATTAGAAGAAAAAAAAGTTACCTATGCGGGCGTATGTCCCTTCAGCCACCGCGATGCTCAGGTCCGTCGGAACTAGGGCTTTCCCCCTCGCCGGGACTTTCGCCTCCGCAGCACTGGAATTTTCGTCGGGCTGATCAGAATCTCATAAGCAGTACGGATTACTGGAAGAGAGAGAGAGAGAGAGAGAGGGAGAGGGAGATTAACCTGGAGAGATCGTAGCCGGCGGAGAGAGGAGAGGCTCTAGTGGGCAAGACGGCCTTCGGGGAAAGTTTTTTCACCTTGAAGAAAGACCCATCGGCGGGAGCGGGGGCGAGTGCGGAGTGGACGCCGTTTTGCTGGTCGAGCTTCGCGATCTTCGCCGCCGGCTCCTGGATTTCGGCGCTGCCGTTCTGGATCTCGGCTGCTTGGGCCATTTTTTGCGTAGTGGAGTGATGGGTTTCGGTAAATCAGAGGTTTTGAGAGGAAATGGTGAGCCTCGATTGGGAGACGATAGAAGTGGCTGGCCGATTAAATAGGGAGAAAGCCGCCAGTAATGGCGCGAATCCTGAATTAATGGCGCCAATGGTTCCCGGCTTCCCGCCATGGAGAAGAGACCATCATTCTATTTGGCGTTCCCCCCCTCCCCCCTTCACAGCTTCTACGTGTTGTTGGACTGAATTCATTGTTCATATTTACGATCCTGAGGTTTTTTCCTCTTTAATTTGTGTCCAAAATTTCTTTCAATTACTCTCTCATTGTTATTTTCCTAAACCCTAATCTCTTAAAACTAAAATCCAATCAAATTTATCTAAACTTGTTCATTTGATTGGTTTGAATATTTTTAGTCTCAATAACTAAACCTATCAAATTTATATTTGCATATTCCCTTCGAAATCTATTGGTAATGCAAACATGTTCATTACATTGACTCGAAAATTATATTTCAACAACTAAACCAAGCGCAAACAAGGATTGGTTACCATATTACTCATGGGTCATGACATGCTCCTTCTTGCTATGTTGATGGTGGTGGTAATTGTGTTTGCAACTTCAATAAATTTGTGCCCCCAATAATATAAACATTTTTAATCACCATAGTAGAGTATTCCTGGAGTTCTTTTAATTAAGCACCAAACGGGTTGAAAACTTGCTCGAAACATGTGGGGATAGGTTAAAAATATGAAGATACTTCATCAAGAATCAGTCACATCTCTCTATCATTTTATGAACACACACATGGCCCGAACGACTCGAAAACTCCGCTTCAACATGTTAGGAAAGAGTTTGGGACTATTATGGGATGGACGAGATATAATTGGAAGGGGGCGAAATGCATGTTTGGTCGCTTAGTTGATCAATTTCGTTAACATTAGTGACTGATTTTTTTTACGTGCGTACACTGGTTAGTCACTTTAAATATTTATTACATCGTTAGTCACTAACCATCAAATTATGTTAAGTTTGTCCTAGGTGATAGTCGATTATAAATCTTTGGCAATTCACTGTATCATATGCTAATTAAATGAAATTGGACAGTCGCTAACTAACAACGAAACAATGATTTAAGTGAGTAAGTGACCAATAAGCAAGGATATTTTATTGAGCGCGACAAAAATGAAATAAATTGATAAATCGAATGACCAAACCATGTAATTTCGAACGATGAGGCAAGTGTAGGTCACGGCCGCATCAACGCGTGGGGCTCAAATGCAAAGGATTCCTAAACGAATCTGCATCCACCACCGGATAGGGTGACTGACACATCCCCCGCACGGCGTCGCTTGGACAGTTCTTTCAGCAATGTTTTTTTCTTTATTTTCAAATTTCTTTATTTTCATTTTTTTTTCAGTTGAGGGTTCGCTGCTGCTCATTTATCTTCCGCCTTAAACCTATAATAGCTCTTCCCCTCCCTTCGCTTCGTGTTCCCCCTTCTCATCTCTCCGCTCTCAAGCAATCAAAAGAACAGAAAAGTCCCTTCTGCAACTTCCGATCATTCCCATGGCCAACTCCTCCGCCGCCTCCGATTCCCGCCGCCCACTCTCCGTCACGCCTCCTCCCCAGATCTCCAAAGGTTCAATTTCTCCTTAATTCGGTCCTAAACTCTTCTTCTTCTTCTCCCTCAGTTGGGTTCGTTTTGTTTCACTGGTGTCTGAATGGGGTTCCTGTTTGGGGGTATAGAACCCTAGCTTGTTGTGTATTGGTGGGGCCCCGGCTGGTCCTGCACCTTTTGACGGCTGTGTTAATTTTGTACAGTGGGGCTTCTCTCTGATTTCAGTGTCGCGCATACTCGCAGTACACCAGCATTAGGGTTTTTAGGGTTTATGTGGAGCTCTGCGAATGCAGTAGTGGAAATGTATGCGTTTCCAATGTCACTTTAGTTGCCCCCCTTCAAATCTGTGTGTTTCTTCTCGGAGTATCTCATACTTCCCCGCAACTTCTTCAGTATCTGTACTCTGGAATTGGAAGATTATTATGGTTGGATTAGTTGTTATTTTTTTTTTATCAATTTATCATTTTGGAGGGTTCCCGGAATTGTCGACGTGTTTCCTGTGAAGGATTTGATCTATTTAAGCATCGAGTCTGTGTAATAATTTGGAGAAATTGATTGTTATGTGAGGCTGGTTTTCTGGCGTATCCTTACCTGGTTCCATGTTTCACTCGTAACTTGCAATGGGGGAAGTCTGATACATGATGGCATTTGTTGATCTTGAACTGTCTTGAGCTGTTCCCTGAGCGATGTTATTAAAGATATGTGTTTTTTTTTGTCTATGCAGCTGGTCAAGCATCTGACAATCCAATTCCTCTTTCTCCTCAGTGGCTGCTTCCAAAGCCAGGGGACACTAAGCCTGGGTCAGGAACTGGGGTGTGTTTCGCCATTACCTTTTGGCTGTAATTCGCCTTTTGTTTACATGGACACGATATCTGAACATTTTTTTTTTTTGTATTTTCCCTGTGGCATTGGTCATATGTAGTTCTAGCACCATCAGTTTGCTTTCTGGTATTCTGTTTGGTTGGGATTGCCTTAGTATTCTTGATTCCAGTTTTAATTTGCGTCTCGGGTGGGGAATTGATTACAGGAAGTCCATTTTGGCTCTCATCTGGCCTATGTCAATCGCACAGACAGCATCAAGTCTCCTGGTACTAACGGTGAAGATATGCATGATGTCCACAAGAAGAAGGATGTCTTCAGGCCTTCTTTGTTTGACATGGAACCTGATCGTCGCGATCGCTGGCGTGATGAGGAAAGGGACACCAATTTGTCAGCCCGTAAAGACCGCTGGAGGGCTGGTGAGAAAGAGCTTGGTGACAGCAGGCAAATGGACCGCTGGGTGGAGAATTCCTCTGGCAGGCATTATGAAGCACGGCGGGCCCCTACCGAGCGTTGGGGGACTGATTCGAGTAACAAGGACAACAATTATGAGCAGCGGCGTGAGAGCAAGTGGAACAGCCGCTGGGGACCTGATAGTAAGGAGACAGACTCTGGCAGAGATGTAGATGTTACTCATGAGAAAGGCTTGGGGATTCTTCCAACACAAGCAAAGGACGATCGAGAGGCTGACCATAATCGACCTTGGAGATCTGGTTCTTCCCAAAGTCGTGGGAGGGGGGATGCACCCCACCAAACAACACCTCTATCAAACAAACAGGGCCCTATGTTTTCATATGGCAGGGGACGTGGTGAAGCCAGTCAAACCTTTTCTGTTGGTCGTGGGAGAATTGGGGCTGGTGGAAGTTCTATGAACAGCCCTCCAACTCATCCTCAACCTCTAGGGGCCATTCTGGACAAGGCTGAAAATGGGCCTTTAAGATATGGCAGGACCAAATTGTTAGATTTGTACAGGAGGACTGACATGAGGTCATCTTGGAAACTATTGGATGAGTTTGTCCATGTGCCATCTCTTACGCAGGAAGAAATGGTGGAACCACTTGCACTATGTTTACCCAATTCAGAAGAGATGGTAATTTTATTCTCTAAGTGTAATAGGGGTGTCTGTAAATTCCTACTTTTAACTTTTTGTTTCTGTTTTGTCTTTTGAGTAGGTTGTGTTGAAGGCAATTGACAAAGGGGAAATTATAGGTAGTGGTGCCCCTCAACTTTCAAAAGATGGATCTATGGGGAGGAACACGGCGGATTATACTCATTCAAGAAGGGCTAGAGCTGGTATAGTTTCTTTCTCTTGGCAATTTATCTCATTCAAACGTTTGATTGGCAGTAAATGACCTGTTTTGGTTGCTGTGTATGAGCAGGCAGTAGGGAAGATGGAACTCTTCCGGTTGATGATATCAAGGATGAAAGCATGGAGTTTATGAAAGGTGGCTTTGCGAATTATACGGATGGTGCATCTAGTGAGAGGCAGTTACAGTACTCTGGTTCCAACTCTAAGTTGGAATTGTTACAGGACCATTTTGTGCATCCTGATAACAGGTTCAGAGCTGAAGGTAATTGCTTCGAGTATTCTGCTTTTTCATTAGACATTGTTTTCGGACGACTAAGATATTTTACCAAGCTAGTTATGGTTATATTAGGTGCTGAAATATATAATCCTGTGATGTTGATTGTTCAAAATTTAAGAATGTCACCATTTCCTTCATGCTTTCAGGTGCTAGAGAAAATATCAGTCTTTACAGGAAGAATGAGGAGGTACCAATTAGTAGAGAATCAAGCTCACAGGGAAATTATTCAGCACCTCATAGTGCACCCTGGCGAGCTCCGTCTCTGGGAGAACAATTGCATGGTCTGTCTCGTGAGCGAAGGGATGTTTCTGGTAACATAAACTGGACTTCAGCTCACAAGGATCTTAATGCTCAATGGGAAAGTAATATTGACCCAGTTCTCAAGCGACAGCTGTCTGCAATGTTGGAGAGAGAACAAGAAGCCAAGAAGATGTTGCAGCAGTCTGCAATGATGGAGAGAGAACAAGAAGCCAAGAGGTTGTTACAGCAGTCTCCTGAGAATCTTATGCTTTATTATAAAGATCCACAGGGTGAAGTCCAAGGTCCGTTTTCTGGTAGTGATGTAATTGGATGGTTTGAAGCTGGGTACTTTGGCATTGAGTTGCAAGTCCGAGTAGCAACATCATCCAAAGATATGCCCTTTGCAGCACTTGGTGATGTAATGCCTCATTTAAGAGCGAAGGCAAGGCCACCACCTGGTTTTGCACCTCCAAAGCCGAATGAAGTGTCAGAAGTAAATAGTAGGCCAACCTTTGGTAGCTTTGGGCCTCCTACAACAGGTATCAATGAAGTTGACATGAGAAACGAACCAAGGCACAAACTTGGGTCGACTACTGAGGCTGAAAATAAGTTTTTGGAGTCACTGATGTCTGGAAATATGGCCAATTCATCTCAAGGTTGTTCTTTTGCACTGGTGTATTCACACTTTTTAATCTCATTGCCACACATGCACACTCACACGCACAATCACAAATACAATTCTTATATTCTGATTTCAATGTTGATTGAGTTGAGCGTTCATGTTTGATTTGTAGGTATGCAAGCATTTGTTGCTGCCAATAGTCCTGGTGGAATGTTGCCCCCTGGAGCAGATGGTAGTGACATATACCTTTTGGCGAGGAAAATGGCTCTCGAGCGACAGAGATCAATTCCCAGTCCACATGCATACTGGCCAGGAAGGGATCCAGCAGCAGCAGTCTCAAAGTCTGAGGTTCTGTCGGACTCTCAGATATCAAATGCAAAACTCTTGTCATCACTCACTGATAACTCACGGCAGCCACCTCGTTCTCCAAATGCTGACTTAATGTCCTTGTTGCAAGGCGGAGCTGATAGATCTGGTTCTGGTGTAAATAATGGTGTTACTGGTGGTTGGTCAAATTTCCCTGTTCAAAGTAGTTTAGATCCACTTCAGGATAAGGTTGACTTGCATCATGGACAGACTTTACAAGCACCTTTCGTCCAACAGCAAAGGCTGCAGCCACAAAACACGTCGCCTTTAGCAAATATGGTTGGTCAAGGTGTGGATAATCAATCTTCTATGCTGGTACCTGATAAAATGGTACCATCAGGTTTTCCCCAGGATCCACAGCTACTTAATATGCTGCACCAGCAGTATTTGCTGCAGTTGCATCATCAGTCTCCGGTTCCTACCCAACAGCTGTCGGTTCTAGATAAGCTTCTGTTACTTAAGCAACAACAGAAACAAGAGGAACAGCAGCAGCATTTGTTACTTCAACAACAGCAGCTTCTGTCCCAGGTTCTTTCTGATCAAAATACTCTCCAGCAGCAGTTCGGTGAGCATTCCTATGGTCAGTTGCAACATACCGCTGCCATGGCTTCGGGAAGTTCATCTGTCGATCTTTCTCGTCTTCAACCCTCAAAGGATGCGCTTCAGATGGGCTTGCAGCAGTTGCCTGTTTCCTATGTTCAAGATGATCACACCACTAGTTCCATCAACCTGACTCCACAACCACAAGTAACGGATGACGTCAGTCACGATGTTGATTCAAAGCCATCTTTTATACATCTTCCTCATCAATTGCTTGGAGAGACAAATGCCCCTAAAACTCAGGGTAGTAGTCTTCCTGAACAAATTGATGATATCCATGAAAAGTTATCTTTTCCCTCATCTGCATTTGTTGAAAGCTCACTGTCAAAGGCGGCAATAAACAATTCTTCAGTTGATAGTTATGTTGGGCATGTGCTTCCTTCCGAGTCGCATGTTTCTCCTCAACTGGAGCATAGAGCAGTAGAGGCCTTGGCAACCGGCGAAGGTAAAAGAGCTGCTAGTTCTTTGCCCATTGCTGAGCCATCAGAGGATACTTATGTCCCTGAACCTGAAATCCCTGAAAGTCTGAAGGCCCCTGCTCAGGAGCAGCAAGTTGTTAAAGAGAAAGTTAATGTCGAGTCTGTTGAAGAAGTGAGAGGTATTGAAGTTCGTGAGGTAAAAAAATCTTCTGAAAAGAAATCTAGAAAACAGAAGACTGCCAAGGCTGTTTCCTCATCTGACCAGGGGAAAGCTACATCAAAGGCTGGCTCTTCACAGCTGCTGGAATCAGTTGATGAAACTGCAGGGAAGTTTCATGAGACATCTCTGCGAAAGACGAAAGACAAGAAAATGGGCAGTTGCACTGTGGAAAATGTGGAAAACCTACAGGTTAAGAGTTTGATGATGTCAGCTGGCATTTCCCAGGATGATGCCGTGGAAACTAAGAGTGAAGTTAAGCAAGTTGCTTCAGTCCCAGTTCAAGATGCACCAAGCCTTGCAGCTCAACGAGCTTGGAAACCTGCTCCTGGTTTCAAACCGAAGTCTTTATTGGAAATTCAGCAGGAAGAACAGAGGCGAGTACAGATGGAAGTGCCTGTTCCTGAGACCATGCCGGCTGTCAGTTCCGTGGGCCTGTCAGCTCCTTGGTCTGGTCTTGTAGGTGGTGCGGAGCCTCAGAACCTCAGAGAAGTACAAAAAGAGGCAAACAGCGCAGAACTATATGGTATGAGGCCTGAAATTTCACCGAGCTCTAGAAGTAAGAAAAGCCAGTTACATGATCTATTGGCTGTAGAAGTTTTGGCTAAGACGGTTGAACAAGAGATGGAGTCAAGAGACAGCTTTTCTGGCTTATCTTCGCAGCAACTAGCAAGTAACAGTACGGAGTCTATGGATGATAACAACTTTATTGAGGCTAAGGACACTAAAAAGAGCCGAAAAAAGTCTGGTAAAGGAAAGGGTTCTGGAGCCAAAGTGGCAGTATCACAAGCTTCTGCTGATCTACCTATTAGCTCTAGCCCTGTTGAGAAAGTCAAGGGCTCATCCCGAGTGGGGCAACAAGAGGAAGTATTGCCTGCAATCCCTTCAGGCCCTTCTTTTGGAGACTTTGTTTTGTGGAAAGATGAGTCCACCTCAAATCACTCTCCATCTCCGGCATGGTCTGCTGACGCTAAGAAGATTCCCAAACCCACATCCTTACGAGACATTTTGAAGGAGCAGGGAAAAAAGACTTCTCCAGCCCAACCTCAGATCCCGATACCTACCCTTCAAAAGTCGCAGCCTCAAGCAATGCATGCAAGTGGGTCTGGATGGCCACTATCATCAGCTTCTCCATCTAAGGTGGCTTCTCCTATCCAGATTAGTCCGGCTTCTCAGTCGAAGCATAGAGAAGATGACGACCTATTCTGGGGCCCGGTTGAACAAAAACATGAAGCCAAGCAGTATGATTTCTGTCCCTTGCTTATTTTCAAAGTCTCTTCTTTGCTTGTTATTCGTGAACTTTTTTCTGAGTCGTGATGATTCAGGCTGTGTTTGGTAATCGATGTGCTTTTCTGATCATTTGTATAGCTCTGTTTGATTTGTCCGGTAGGAAGCCTATCAGAGGCTGTTCAACATACCATATGATAAAAGTGGAAGTGTGAGAATATCTTTTTATATATTAACATAAGTGATTTGGTTGTGAAATGATAAGGTGATCTTTGACTCTTTGGTAACTTTTCTAAAGTTGAACTAAAATGGCTTCGCATTTCGCAAGTTTTTGGGTTTCTCTAGATAAGAATGATAGAATTGATAATGTAGAAAATATGAAGTGGAAAACGGTGTATTGGATTGACAAGTTGTTTGATCAACGGGAGCCACCGACAGAAGCTAACTGTTCCAATCAAATCAAATGGTGAAGTTTTGGACATGCAAGTGTTTGTACCAAGTTCCACAGTTCACATGCTATGTTTGTACCAAGTTCCAGAGTGTATTCAAAATCTCCCTGAGATAGAAGTTGGGAGTGCTAATATTTTGCTTTTTTTAATTGTAAACAGGTCAGAGTACCCTCAACTTACCAGTAAAGGAAGTTGGGGAACCAAAAGCAGCACTCCTGTGAAAGCAACTCCTGCCACCTTGTTGGGCCGTCAGAAGTCGATGACTAGCAGGCCTGCTGAGCGTCCCCTTTCCTCCTCACCGGCACAATCTTCTCTAAAGGGGAAGAAAGAAGCTGCCAACAATAAACATTCAGGTAGCACAATGTCAGATGAGATAATCTCCTCTCCATTTGCGGACTCTTGGACCTTACATGATAATTCTTTTGCAGAGGCGATGGGTTTCAGGGATTGGTGCGAGAGTGAGTGTGTTAGATTGATCGGTTCAAAAGGTAAACTTCCTGCTGCATTTTTTATTTTATTAAGAACCGAGATATGAAAGTATGTGTTTGATGCTGGATGGGCAACACTAAAATCACCTGTAGAAGTACTGAGCAGGAAACATTAGTACGTGTGTGCTTCATCATAACTCTAGATTGATTTAATCCCTATTGTTCTGTTGAACTTGTTCAATGATTTACTTCAGCGCCTTAATTCGTAAACCTCCAGCAGCAGGACTTCCTCTGATGCAAATCCTACCTTATTTTTTTGCCCGACAGACACAAGTTTCTTGGAGTTCTGCTTGAAGCAATCGAGATCAGAAGCAGAGATGCTTCTGGTATCGAACATCGGATCGGTCGACCCTAATCACCAGTTCATCGAAAAGTTCCTAAACTACAAGGATCTATTGCCGGAAGACGTCCTTGAAATTGCCTTTCAAAATCGGAATGATCGCAAGGCTGCTGGGTTCAGTGCCAGAGACATGAATTCCGACAGTTCGGCGGGGATCAAGGACTTCGACCAGGATGCGGCCGATGGATTTTCCAAGGCTGGTGGTAAGAAGAAAGGAAAGAAAGGCAAGAAGGTTAGCCCTTCGGTTCTTGGGTTCAACGTGGTGAGCAACAGAATCATGATGGGAGAGATTCAATCAGTTGAAGATTAGGGTGGTTATAGAGAGATAGAGCAACGGGTGAGAATCCTAGTAAATACAATGTCAGGGATTTTGTTGTTTGAAACTCTTTGCACATGGCTTTTTCCCCAGATGCCTCTTTTCCTTTGTTTTCATTATCCCTTTCTTTCGTTCTCTAGAGGTTCTTGTTTTCCTTTTCCTTTCTTTGCATAGAGCGAGCAGCGGCTGAACGTTGATTCACCTCTGCTCGTGCGATTTTGTTGTGTAACCTAAAATTACCCCACCTTTTTTTGCATAATTAGTATCAGTTGATGTTCCTTTTCACCTTAATTCTAGGTAAAGGGAAGCCTGAAATTGGCTTTACAGTTGAGCATGCATGCTTAAACTAGCAAACGAAAGCGAGCCTGTCTTTTGGGCTTAAATTGTGGATAAATATAGGCTGTTGATGGAGCATAAACTTGGCAGGTGATGGAGCATAATCTTAGGTTACATGTGAAGACTATTAAACAGCATGTTGCGTAATATCGAATAAAGTCTGCAATGTTGTGTGTAACTCACGTTAAAGGGATTGACTTTACAAGAGATTTCAACCTCTGCTCTAGTAAATCAAGCTTATGGATGAGGTTAATTTTTGTGCACGTCATTCCTCATAATGTCCGTAGTTGAATACGAATATGATAAACGTGTGTAACTCGTGCTAAATGGATTAACTTTTCAAGAGCTTTCAACCTCCACTTTAGTGGCTAAATCAAGTTTATAAATGAGGTTTGCTATAGCTACTAGTATACAGAGAATTTGCTATAGCTATGACTTTTGCCTACATCTTTTTGTTCCTGTTTCCTTGCTCTCTTGATTTCCTCCTCACTGGTTTTGTTGTTTCCCTGTAACGCAACAATAACTCACGAGTCTCAGAGGCATAATCGCAAACACAGAATGACAATTGTTGCAGATAAACAACGAAGACAGAGACGATTGATCACATCATCCCAACCGACACTATCATATGTCAATTCGGAACTAAAGAATCATAGACTGATAGGGCCAAACTGATCAAAGCAACTAGTACTATTAGTTGCTTTCGTTAGCTCTGCAGCTCCGATGGAAAAGTCCAAATAGAAAAATGGGGAAATGGAGGTTAAAAATGACAGTTTTGGGTTCTGGTTTCTGCTACATGTGTTTGTTGAAAAAGGGTTTTCTTTCCGGCCAAAAAAGATTCCAAAGTAAAAAGAAAGAAGAAATCTTTCCAACAAAGAACCAGCAGAAGGAATCCAACTTTCCACCAGGCTAGACAGGGGATCAAACCCAAATCCCACTTTACCAGAATTAACCAATTCGTCACAACAATAAGTCAATTCATCGATTTGGAATTGGACAGCGAAACTAAAAATGAAAAACAGAATCAAACCCTTCAATGCAGCCTTGGCCACACATCAACAATAAACACAATTTTTCAGACTTAGGGGCTGCCGCCGGCTCCTTTTTGAGACCGGCAGTGGCCCAAATCCTTCCATGTTCTGGGTTTTTGTTGCTTTGTTCTGGCTTTTTTCATTCGGATCTCAGTTCTGTTTTTCCTTGCCGTTGTGGTCTTCTGATTTTCCCCTTTCCAGTTGAGCTACTGCTCTTCTTTCGGGTCTTGGGTTCTGTCCTGGGTTGGTTAATGTTGGAGCCGGAGTTAGCAGCTTGGGTGCATATTCCAGATCTGGATGGGGGTGTTGTTTCTTAGGTTGGTGGTCTCACCTTTTGGTGAAGCCATTCTCGTCTCTCACCCTCTGACCTCCCCTGTGAGTTTGTGTTGCTTGGTGAGCAGTCGGAGCGTGGAGGGTTGGGTCTTCCCCGGTGGTTGCGGCTGGGAATCGGGTGTCTCCGTAGAGATGTGTTGTTCCCGTGGGATCTTCTCCTCTGCTGCGAATCTGATCTCGCTCCCTCAACTTCCTCTGCCTTTTCAGCTTGGAGCATCCGTTTCTTATCCTCCTCCACCGCCATGCAATCTTATTTCTATGATTACCTGTGATGGATGCCATTGAGTTATCCCCAGGAGGCGGCAAATGGTTTGATGATGATCACTTGCCATGGAGTTCGATATGATCGGACAAGCTGATTTTGATCTTGTTGTACTCTGACTGGTTGGGTGCAAGAGGGTTTCCGATGAGCTGTTTTCGTTTCAAGGGTTTTGCTCTCTTGGGTGGCTGCTTTCAAGCTGTGTTTCGCTCTTGTTTGCTGCATTTGCTCAACATAGTTTGTTTGTAACTGTGTTCATTGGGGTTTCCTCTTGTTGGAACCAGAATGTTGGTTTCTTTCTCCCTCTTTGTAACTGACTAATTAAAGTGCAATAAAGATTCCCCTTGTCAAAAAAAAAAGTCAATTCATCGATTTTAGTGTCATAATCATATACCACAACACTAACACTTAGAACCGACCATTTGATCGCATTAACTCAAATGGTAAAAAACCAACATCAAGCAATCAGATACTGGATAAGAGTCAGGCAGAGAGAGATTGGTTTGAGGATTGGGCAGCTGAAAAGGACTCGAGATTAATGGACAAAATGGACATCTTAGCAATCTCAGAAATAGCACCATCACGAACCGCAGCAGCATCACTAACCAAAGCTTCATAAGCAGCTTCGTAAGCTTCTTCCCAAAAACGAGGCAACCTCCTGTTCTTGCTCTGCACATACACATCCCACATATGTCCACCTTCTCCCCCTCCTCCACTTCCTAATAAAACAACCCCAGAAAATCCCACAAATCAGAATATCAAAAATTCTCAATCCTAATTCTTTCCACCACTAAAATTCGTCAATTGACAACATACGAGGATGTCGAAGTCATCGTGGGTGGGAATGTCGAGGTCGTACGGCTGAGATTGCCGGTGGACCATTTGAGAGGGACGGTGCCGGTGACCATGGACCAGAAAGCGAGGAGGAGTACCAGGGGCGGAGCCAGAATTTCGAGATCGGGGGGCTGAAAATGATTAAACAAAATGTATGTAATCACGGTGGATCGAACCCGTGTGTTAAACAGAAGTCAAACTTGTCTATCATGAGACTAAATGACTATGACACAAAAAAAATTACGAAACAAGTTCTACTTATAAAATTCGTACTAAATATCCTTACGATCTTAGGGGCCTAGACCAATCACATGGGCCCACCCTAGCTTTAAGTGTAGCTCGGCCCCTGGAGTACGGATATAACCCAGAACTTGTAAGGACTTTTGCCGAACACTACACCTGCATCCGAGTGCTCCTTTTGGGTCTGAATTGTTGCGGTTCCAGCGGCGCCATGCTAGGTAGTAGTGGGGGGAGAAATCTTATATTTCGAGCTTGAGTAAAATATAGTTGATTAATAAAAAATATCTTGACAACTCATATAATTTACTATTTAAGTTTGGACGATATCCGACTCCGATTTGGTGAAAGAACTCGTATTGAGTTTGGGTAAAATATAGTTGATTAATGAAAAATATCTTAACAACTCATATAATTTACTATTTAAGTTTGGTACAATATCCAGCCCCAATTTGGTGAAAGAACTCGTATTGAGTTTGGGTAAAATATTATTGGCTAATGAAGTAATTAAATTTGATTTACTCAGAGTACTAATCCGAATCTCATCATTGTAATTCAATTAAACCAAGTAGATGCTCGTGGAAGGGACGAAAGCTAATATCTGCAAGGGGAAGATTCTCGAGGAGATCATGGTGCTTCATCTGTCATTCCTACAATTCGTGGCTAGTTTTATGGTCGTCGTTGTAATAGGGTTCTATAAGCAACATGCAACCACAATCCGGAAACAAATGCACTCAGTAAATAGAATACAGGAGAAGTTAACCCGTTGGAAAGTTTCCAAGCTCCAGCAACTTGTATCTCGTGTAGCAAGTTCGTTCAAGCCCTCCAACAAAAGGTAGATACCTGCAAAGTTCTAAACTAACAACACGCCATTTAAGAACCAAAAACAACTAAATCATTAGTCACCAGATTCAACCAAGGTGTGTTCCATAAGGATTTAGAAAATGTGATGTGGGTTCTTTATGAGCAGAGTAACAACTCTGACTAGCCCACCTAAATCCCACTCCTTACTGTTTGTCCACATTTACAGCAGGAAACACAAACTTCAGTGACCCACCAAGAATTAGGACAGTTGGTTCAGCATAAAAGCAATCAATCTCCCAATTTCAAAGCTCAAACAATCCGATGATAATGCCTCATATGCAGAGGAAGAGAGCGCTGCCCCTAGCCAAATTATGAGAAAGGGAGCTTCTGACTGTAACTCCTCCACTCTTAGTATACTCACTAAGAGTAAACATTGAACCATAGAGGACATCCAACTAATTTAACTTCAACAGTGGTAGACAAAAGCTTGGTGGCAATGCTCAGATGAATAGATAGCATTTGGTTAATCACAGACAATCATAAGTCCAGACATAAATTGAGCTTTTTCATCATCATTGCATTGCAGACAGACACTCAACACTTCAATTATTTAAAACATTGGCATAATCACACATGAAAACCTTGTTCGGTAGAAAAATAGAGTTATTTTGCCAAAAGCAAAACCCATGGTTGATGCAAAGCTCTCAGAGACACTCCAATAGATTGGAAGTGTGCAGACAATCTACATGGCATCAATTCTGACCGCCCGTCTGCTTTTTCTCATCATCGACATTCAAAAGCAATCACATTTTCACATACCCAATACATAATAATCTACTTCACATTACAATTCCATACAAGACGACTGTACTCCTCGAAGAGATTGATGGCATCAGATAATAAGCGGAGTTTGTAGTCCACATTGATTATTCAGTGTGTAGAATAAGAACTAAACATCACTTGCCTTCCCATTAGTTCCCCCATGAAGACACAATCAAAACAGTCAACTGACAGACACCCCAATTCACAAAAAGAACGAAATACTTCTAAAACGAATAAGAACTAAACATCACTTGCCTTGGGAGATAAGGAATGAAGACATCAGATAATAAGCGGAGTTTTTAGTCCACATTGATAAATCTCAGTGTGTAGAATAAGAACTAAGCATGATTTGTCCGCCCACAATTCCTCCAATATGAGACATAACAAGAACAGTGAGCTGCCCAAGTGAAGCAAACTAACAAAATCAAGCTAAACCCAATTTGACAGACGAAGAAACCCCTAATGGATAAAAAAATATATGACCGAAAAGAATGTCGGAAGGTCCATTTGACCCCACAGCAAGTTGAAATACAAAGAGCAAGGGGCTGGTAAGCCAACCGATTTAGCTTTCCGCACCCGTTTTAACTCCTCTAGGACTCTTGTTAAAAAAAACGCAATAGCAGGAGTGGGTAAACAGATGCAAAAGAGAAAACAGGAGCTTTACACGAGCTGAGAGGAAGCGAAAATTGGACTGGCAACATTCGTCGCTCAGAAGCGAGATCACAACTGATTTGTAGATGAACGAACAGAAAGAGCGAAGAGAAGAAACGGCGCCAGACGGCCAGAAGCAGAGAGAGAAAGGGCGGATGCTGGTTTTAAATAGGATTTTCTGGAAATTAGGGTTTCTACTTTGAAATAGGGAAGAAGGAGGGCGAGTGGGCGATTTCTCTGTTAGTCCAACTTCTTTGGGTTGTGGGTTGGTCCGGGTTGGATTGGGCTGAGCAAAAGTTTAGGGAACGAGGCCCGTTTATCTTTTTGGGTGGGCTTGTTTCTGAACTGGAAAATCTAGTGTTGGTTAGATCCATTTTTTAATCATATTTATTGCCTCTACACGTGTTATGGTATAGCTTTACTTAAATCCATTTGTTATGTTGTAGTCCATAGTTATCACTCATTAGGGATGGCAATGGGTCGGATCGGGTTTTACCCAAAGTAGTTCGGGTTTTACCCATACCCATACCCACATGTGAAACGGGTAGAAAATCAAAACCATGCCCATACCCGTTAGGGTTTCGGGTATCCACGGTTATCCATGGATAATCATTTATCTTCATAACTTCAACCAATATGTTAACATTCACACGAATTCTCACATTACGTAAACGGAAAAGTACAACAATAATTCACTAGAATGGAGAAAATGAATTAAAACAACACAATTTCATGAAAATATTATACTTATATGCTAAATATAAAATATGTTAGAGAAAAATAATGATTATATCTAGAGAAAATACATATGCATTTGTATAATCGGGCGGGTTCGGGTTGGATAGTGAAAAATCCATGCCCACCCATTACCCACAATATTCGGGTTCGGGTTTTACCCGTACCACTAAATGTCTTTCGGGTTCGGGTTTTACCCTACTCGATTAGGCCGGATTCGGGTGGATATCCACGGTTACGGATATTTTTACCATCCTATCACTCATCAGCCTCATCTCAATTGACATCCTATGTCGTTCAAAAATTCCTTGTCGAAATAAGTTTTCTTGCATGTACTTGTGTCATGAGAGAATAAATTCATCAGCCGTTGGTAGTACTTTGATGCCAAGAAGTAATTGATGTGGCCCAAGTGCTTGAGAGAGAACCATTATGACAATTGATCTTGAAAGGCGAAGATATTTTTGGCTTAATTACCAGTAAGTAGATCATCAACATATACTAGAAAGTCAAGTGTGATGTGTTGTTGATGATAAATAAACAAAGATGCATCCGAACCAGTCATGATAAAACCTTGTTCTTAAAGAAATTAGCCCAAGTCTTGTAGAGATGACAAATTTTATCAGTAGAATTATGGTGACGAAATCCAGGTGGTTTGACTATAAAGACCTCCTTCTTAAATAAGACCTTGAAGAAAGGCATTATTATTAACATCATGTTGAAAAATGAGTCAATTTGGAAAGAAGGCAAGAGTAAATAGTATTCAGATAGTGACTAGTTTGACCACCGGCTGAGGTGTCATGAAAGTCCACACATGATCTCTAGTGATAGCCCTTGGCACCAAGCGAGGTTTGTAACAATCAATGGACCCATCCAAACGACGTTTTACTCAAAAAAAATATAATGAGTGAGGAACGATGACATTAAAATGTGGTTGGTGAGGTACTAAGGTCCAAGTACCATTGGCAACCAAAGCATCAAACTCAGAATGAAGAGTTGCAGTTCACCCTTGGAACTCTTATCTTAATTTGATACTTGCCTCTACACATATTACGGTATAGTTTTCTCGAAATCCATTTGTTATGTTGTAGTCAATCTTTATCACTCTTCCCAATTGACATACCATGTCGTTACAAAATTTCCTTATCGAAATAAGTTTTCTTATATGTGTGCAACAACTAAGTTAAATTCATCGAGGATGCCACATGACAGCTTGGTATTGGCCGTTTTCCAACTAAACATTGTTTAGACCATACAAAAACCGAGGCGAATAAATTGAGTGAGACTACGCAATTATGAATAGACCATATAAAAACCGAGGTGCATAAAACGTGAAAGCGTTTATGTTTTTGTGAAACCATCTCCTTTTATTCTTCCATTTGCAATCCTGTTGCCGCTGGGATTGCATCTCTCCAATGTTCTCAGCTTCACATTTGCTAATAACTAATAACCACTGGCCGACCTTTCCTCGGTATCGTTTTGGCGAAGGTTTCTACGTTTTTACAGATTACCGTCGTAATGCCTTGGTCTTTCGGCGTGGCAGGGCAAAGGAATATAGTCCGAAACGCGTACGGATTGCAATTGGAATGTTTCTCGTCAGCAAAGTGATCGGTCACTAGCTAGCAAACCAACAGCAGCCCACCAGGCGACGTTTGCGTTTTGGCCTTCACGTGCTTGTTTTGTTAACAACCATCCAATAAGAAAACCCAAAAACCATTCCAATCGCTAGCTAATATTCATATATATATATATGACATTTACCGGTTCTCTTTGTTGTTTTTTTCTTCTTCTTCTTCCTGATATGGAATTCGTCAATGACAATGGATATAAACAAAACAACACTATAATTAATCGATCAGAAAAAGAGTTCATGATAGTAATGTAATTGGAGGAGACAGAAATACGAATGAGCGGGCTGCATTGAAACGTAATATTGGGTGAGAGATGTTAAGGCCTTATCGACTATTCTGTCTTCTAAATTTGTTACGAATTTTACGTGTAATTTTACCCATATTTCAAATTTTAATGGGATTATAACCCCTATTGGCTTCAACCTAGCTCTTCCACTAGGTTTTTAGCATCAGAAAAGGAATATTCATGGTAGTACTGCATGCGGGTTAATTTGGAGCAAATGGCAAAACCTACAGAGCAGCCATGGGAGTGAAACAGCTAGCACACAGGCACTTAAGAACTCCAGCTCACGAAATTGCTATTATGTATTTTTGGTCCGACAGACTTTTGTCCTAATATGAGAATTTTTCTTGAAATAATTAGTCATAGGATGAGAATTCTTCCAATTGATAATTAATTTCGTCCGACTTGCAAAAACAATGCATTAGTACTAAATATATTACATATATTGTAATAATTTTAATACAAGGTCAAAGTTTTAACCATTCATAGTGATAGAGACTAGCTAGACTTTTGCGATATCGTTCGCTCAAAATAAACATAAGCGTGCATCGTTGTTACTTGTTAGATGCTCCCATGCATTCCGAGCACCGGACACCCGAGCTAAGTTTATGCATCTAGCTTGCTACTTGTTGGTTGTTACGTATAGAGTGAAAATGCTAACAAATGAATTAATGAGCCCCTACCTCAAATCGAGTTATAAGATAGTAATTTCTACCTTCAATGGATGTCTCATCCAAGAGATCCTACTTAAGTGACATGATTCGATCCATTTAGACTAGTCATTCATTACAAATATTTCATTTTGACTACTGATAATCCTGATTAGACAAACAAGTTCAATAATGCCCATTTATCAAGTTAAATTCTTTTTTGGTACAGTATCAAGTTAATTTTTATTTATTTATTTTTGACCGATGAGCAGCTTCACAGCTCGCTACCTTTTAGCCCAATAATTTAATCTTCCCAAAATCGGCCGGCCGGAAAAAAGACAAAAGGCCTTTTGGGCCGCACGCTCCGTATATAAAAACCTCGGACCAAGCCCATTCCTTTTCCCTCCCTCCCTCCGCCAACTTCCTAATTCCCTCGTCGTTTTATTTTAACAATACTTCTTCTTCCCAAAAAACGCTGCCATGAGGAAGCGCCTCAACAATCTCAAGCGCTCTTTCTCGTCCTTCCATTTATGCCGGACCAAAAGAGGCGACGCCGTCGCCCCAACCGCCGCCGCTTACCGCCTCTCGCCCTACAATCCCAAAGCCCGCGACACCAATTTCCCCAAGTTCCCGTCTCCTCCGCCCACCACCCCCGACGACCGCCGCCGCCCCCTCGCCAATCAGCCGCGGCGGATGGTGCCGAGTCACTCGAGGTCGCCGCTTCTCCACGACAACCTGTCTGCGTCGGATTGCGACAGCGACTCGATCGAATCCGCAAGGAGGAGCGACGCCAGGTGGCAGGCCAGGACCAATTACGCGAACAAAATCAGCCTCCACAGCTGCGATTTCGGGCCGGGCGGCGACCCGGACCCGGAATCTCGGAACCCTAAATTGGAAAACGGGAGCAAAAAGAGCGGCGCCGTGGTGGCGCCCTGCGACGAGGGGGACGAAGAAACGGAGGAGGACGGCGCCCGCGACGGCGACGAGACGGAGAGCTTCCGCTACTCCTCCAGAAGCTTCTCCTTCGACGATACCTCGTGCGAGTTCAACCGCGCCGGGGAGACGACCGGGAGCGAGAACGAGGAAGTGAGGTTACTGCGGCGGGCGGCGGATGACGGTGGCGAGGAGAGGATTCCGAACCCGACTGACATGCGGCGGCAGGTGCTTATGGGGTTGAGATCTCCTTCTCCGGCGGGGGAGCTGGACGGCGGCGGCGGGTCGATGGGGGAAGCGATGGCGGTGGTGAGGAAATCGACGGATCCGAAGGGGGATTTCAAGAGGTCGATGTTGGAGATGATAGCGGAGAAGGAGATTTACGACGCGAAGGAATTGGAAGAACTGCTGCAGTGCTTGCTGTCGCTGAATTCCAGGGAGTATCATGGAGATATCGTGGAGGCCTTCTCCGAGATCTGGAAAGTGATCTTCATCGGTGACTGAGAAACTACGAATTTACACGCTTTAACTCAAACGCCGGCCAACATCGTTCATAGCAAATCTTACATAATAATTGAAATGGCGAGGGACATAATTCAGGACATAATGCTATGTTCAATACGATCGGAAAAAATTCGGTATTCAAATTCGATATGAACGAATGAGTATGATATGACTGTCGTTGATTTATAAAATTTTACATTTTTAATAGTCCATAACTATAACGAATGACATTAATATCATTTCAGTGAGTGGTTATTTAAAATTGTGCCGAAACATGATTGAACGATATACACGTTTTTTTACTAATTAATCTATATCTTGTTTTTTTAATTGTCATTTGTGAGTTTATGTATATAACTTCGGGTTAAAGACATATTTGGTCACTGAGATTACAAAATCGGGACATGTTTAGTCACTAGAAAAAGTTAATATCAAATTTGGTCACTACAATTACTAAAACTGGACACATTTAGTCACTCGCCGTTAGTTGCCGTCCAACTCCGTTAAAAGAGTCCGTTATGTGCTGACGTGGCTAACGTGAGCGCCTAGTCAGCGCCGTTTTGGGCAGGAAATGGTCAAACCCGACCCACCACGTCACTAAACCCGCCACGTATTAAACCCAACCCAATCCATGAACCCAACCCGACCTAGAAATAAACCCTAACCCACCTAACCATACCAGATCCCACTTAAAAAAAAGAAAAAAGAAAACTGATTTATTTCCATTTCAGACCCAAAAACCCTTCTCCTTCCTCGAGAGCTCTTCCCCTTTGTGTGCCTCACTGCCCTCCCGGAGGACATCCTCCGCCACATCCTGATCGCCGCCGATCTGGACCTAAAAACCACCGCCCAGACCTTTGTTCTGTCCCTCCGCTGGCGCCACCTCTGGCGATCCGCCCTCCGCGAAATCCGCCTCGTTCCTGCGCCGCCGCGACGCCACCGTGAGAAACCGCTGCTCTTTCCGGGATGAGCAGAAGCTGCTATTTCGAGCCAAGGTCCCGCTGAGCATTCTGGGCTTACTTTTTCAGTCTGGGATCATCGCCCGCGAGGCCAAGGAGCTCTCTCTCAACCAGTCGACATTCTTCGATTCCGGCCCGTCCTTCAAGGTCCCCTACCGTCCAATGATTCCTGGAATCCGTTCTCACTCGTGCTCAAGACAGGGTCGGGGTCGTTCGGCTCACCGACGTCAAGCCCGATGGTGATGAGTAGAAGTCACGGCTAGCACGAATCTCCCCATGAGGAGTCACGCCGTGATGAGTTTTCGGTGGGGGCTTAGGGTTCCATCAGATAACAAATTGGGGGGGCGGAGTAGCTAGAGACCTCGATTCGATGGCTGTCGCGATTAATTTCAAGAGGATCTCGTTCCTGGTGATGAACAAGATCGGGATTGAACACGTCAACCAATCTTATTCAATTGGGGCTTAGGGTTTTGTTGTATGCTGCGATGGGGGAAAATGACGTCGGCGCGTGACGAAGAAGAAGAACAGAGCGACTTCGAAGGAGGATATTAGGGTTTCGTTGTCTACTGTGATGGGGGAAAAGCAACTTCAAAGCAGGATGGTATAGAGATTGCGAGGAAGAAGAAAGAGTTTCGGGTCTGAAAATGGCCCCTAACCCGATCTATTTTGCAATTTTGTTAACTCAAGTGGGCTCGGGTTTGGTTTTGGTCGATTGGGTTCATAGTTAGGTTGGGTGTATGACGTGGCGGGTTTAGTGACGTGGCGGGTCGGGTTTGACCATTTCCTGCCCAAAACGGCGCTGACTAGGCGCTCACGTTAGCCACGTCAGCACATAACGGACTCTTTTAACGGAGTTGGACGGCAACTAACGGCGAGTGACTAAATGTGTCCAGTTTTAGTAATTGTAGTGACCAAATTTGATATTAACTTTTTCTAGTGACTAAACATGTCCCGATTTTGTAATCTCAGTGACCAAATATGTCTTTAACCCATATAACTTCTAACGTGTTTTTAACTAAGAAAAGTTCTATACAAGCAACGAATAAATCCACTAAAATAACTATACATTATCGAAAAAATTGATCAATATATTCAACAAATTACAAACCTGAGGCTTTGAGAAGAAGTGTCAGCTCATTTGGTCTGATCACGTACATATATGACTATATCAGCATTTGGCAAGACTAAATAAATGATGATTTGTTAATTTAATGGTGATTTCACAAGCCAAAATTATTTTGTTATTCAATTAGTCAAAACTATAGGAGGTGCTGATTGTTTGAGTGGGAATTAGTTGTGCTAATGGGAACTATTGTGTCGATATTTTCCTACTAATTAAAGTAAATAACAATCAAATATACAATACGTGGAGTGAGTTCACATAGATATGAAATATAGATGGATTTCTTCCAAACATATTAGATTCATGAATAGGACTGAAAGTTGTGACATATTTGTACATCTTTAAAAGATTACAAGAATTTTGTTAGTAACTGATAAAGTTGTAACAGAAGGTGTATACTTAATGCTGAACTAGTGTCAGAGGGATGAGTTTAAATCCGGTGGTATAATTTTTTTAACGATATAAATGTTTTCGATTGAGAAGTTTATTTATATTGTATACTATAATAAATTAATCTATGACAATTAAATAACAATAAATAAGCTTTAGTGCAGTGACAAAATACTCTCACGTCTTCACAATTGGTGAGTTCAATTTCAATCCCTTCCATATGCATACATAAAAAAATCTATTATATTTTTACAAAAACTTACTTGTGTCACGTGACAAAGCACATACCCTCTGATTTCGCCACCGCTCTAAGCCTATGCCAAACTCGTCATGGTCTACATTATTTGGTGGACTGGGTATAACCAACCAGGTTTAGTTATTGAGCCTGAGAGTCCAAATTTTGTGAAAGTAAGATTGTTTTGAGTAAGTCAATCACCGATTCATCGGCATATTCTCATGTATTTACCAAATACCAACCCACATAAATAGTGATTGCATATTTTTCTTCTTCTTAACTTATACTATTATGCTTCATCCATTACGTTAAAAGAAAAGTTAAAACTATCGAGTACAAGAAGTTTGACGGCTCATTTTAGTTTATTATACTCACTCGACACTCGCTACATAATTTTGGCAACTTTGTTACCTGACAGTGACAGTAAACTGTACACACAACAAACAAAAATCCCCCATTTGGACCATTAGCTACAAGGCTACAACAGAGTCGCGTTCATTATTTTTTGTTGCCGTAGTATTTGAACTTACACCGCCAAATCTGGGAAACGAAACAAACAGGACGGCCACTGCCAGCCTAATAAAATATGACAAAGTGTCACATAATCACTTGCAGGTTGCAGCATGGGTCGTTTGGATGAGGAATTGTAACGGATCAATTTAACATAATTGTCTCGTTTTGAGACAATTGTACCAAATTGCCTCGTTTGCCAACAAAAAATTTGGATAGATTAATCTCCCTGAAGTATTTTGAATTGATCCGTTTTGAATCAATTTCAATTACCTGGGGTGGGGGCAGATAATTCGAATAGACTCGTTTTAATTGTCTCGTTTATAAAACGAGACAATTGATCAAATTGACTCATTTCTAAATTGATCCATCCAAACGACCCTATTTACAAGAGATTAACTAACTAACATTACAACAGCTTTGTTAAAAAATGCGTTAAAGAAAGCTAACTCACGACAACGACGCCGAGAAAACGTCCATGGTCCCAGCATTTTCTTCAATCAACGATGTGAATGGGATCCATGAACTCGACCTCGCTCTTGAAAGTCTTGACGTGGCAGAGCTGGCCGCCAGCTTCGTCGGCGAATGATATCTTCTTCCTCTTCTCCTTCTGGACGACGACGACATTTGCTGCTGGAGGAGCGGAACCGTTCTGGGCCAATTTCTACAGGTTTCATTTTAGTGGGTAGCAATCAGTACAAGTACAGAGTTGCTAGCATTTTAGGAACGCCCATGGTATAAAGTCGGTTAGGTAAAAACAAACCATTAGTTTGCAGAAGCGATCGCAATCCCTTGCCATTGTGGAGAGCCATCTTCGTGCATTGTCTTCCACTCTTGCTGCTTTCTCTATGGCACTACTCGCCTGCAACAAGTAAAATCAAGAACCGATTGGATTGACGAGAGACGAGAGTTAGGCAGTCATTTGAGGTCCCTGTCTATTTTCTTTTTATGTAAATACCTCTTGGTGGGTATATTTGGGGGAGTCGGATGGGTTGCCGTGCAATGTTGCTTCAGCAATTTCCTTCATGGACCTCAACTCCTTGGTGAGTTTGGTCGCCATGGATTCAAAGTCACGCATCTGGTTCTGCGAGAACGAGATGGCGCTCTCTGAACAGCTTTGTATTGAGGTGCACCCTGTACTGAAGCTCGGAGCACGAACAGGACGAGAAATGGCCTTGGGGGCATCATTAGGAGGAGTAATGGGTTTAGGGTTCTTGAGTTTCCTCATCAATTGCTGTGGACTGACTGTGTTTTCAGCAGCTCTCTTGGCCTGATTCACCCCATCAGGCCGGCTATTCTTTCTCTCCGGCTGCTTCTTTCCGTAGCATAATTTCCTTGCAAACTCTGCAGGCACACATGAGTTAGAAAGTTATTCTCTCAGGCGAACTGTGACATGGAAAGGGTGATAGTTCAATCTTTGCTTAATCGTCAAATTCAAACCTTTTGTGGTTTGAACTGCATAGACCTTGTTGGAACAAAGAAAAAAAAGAATAAATTCGAAAATAAGATCAAATCAACTTCTAATCTGATTTTTCTTTTAGTTCGATCTGATCCATGTCGCTGCATCCCAGTTCAGAATCACACTGAACCATATGCACTCTAATTCTGACCATTGCAATGGACCATGTCTGACTAATCAACCATCTACAGATATAGAAGGAAGATTTTGAAATATGCCTAAAGACGAGGTAAAAAGAAGGGCGGAGTAAGAGTGCTCACTGTATAATTGCTCATCATCCAACTCGTTGGATTCCATGGCTTTCCGTAGCTTTTCCTGGGAAGTTGGAGAGATGGCCTGAAACAATATGCTACCAGGGTTACCATTTCGCTAAACAAAAAAACTTCAATTAGGAGAAGCCAACAATAGATGTGAGCATGTTACAGACCTTCCTTGCTGAAAGCAGCCTTTCAGGAGGATGCCGCTGGTGATCAGAGGCATCAGAGTCCTCACCCCCAACTAACTTAACTGGCTGATCAGAACTGCTCCTTTCCATATCAGCACTTGGAAATGATGGAGATCGCATTGCCAGGTTAGCAGAAGAATCGCCAGCGCTTGGAAATGGATGTAAAATCTGAACTTGGTCGTCACTTATTGCGTTAGTGCAATTGTCAACTGTGGTTTCTAAATGGGAGCTTTCATCTTTGGCTTCCCCCTCAAAACGACATGAATCAACCACCATCCATACTGTGTTAGCTTTTGTAGTGATTTCGATATTGCTGGCGGCAGTCCTATTATTCTGCAACCCATCTTTGGAGTCTTCGTGTACGATTGAGCAAGGATCCTTAACTGGAGAGACTACTTTGTTCAACTCGCCACTCAGGTGTGAATCAATGGCCATATCATCTTTCTCCAACTGTGACAAAGACACATCTGATAACTGCTGAAGAACCGCCTTTGTTTCTTCCTCTTCTTCATCTTTCACCATTGCTTCTGCACCTGAGTCTTTCAGACCATCAATGGCAACTACTGCTACATCATGATCTTTGTCTGTATCGGATTCTTCACTTGAAGCACACCTAGAACTGGGAGGTGATGCCTCAAGATCCTCCAAATGCTCATAAGACATTTTGCTAGCATGACAGTTTTGCAGCCCATCTTCAAGCTCGTCCCATTGAGGATCAGTTTCAACAGAACAGCATTGAAGCTCATTGCTGATGTCATTGGAAGTTTTAGCCGCTTCAGACTCCTCAGAATCATAGTTTTCCAAAAACAGAAGCTCAGTAGGAGACTCAATGGACAATCCCATCTCAACATCACATCCAAAACTTGAGCCGGGCTCTCGATCGGATACTAACTGTAAAGAAGCAAGTGGCTCAACCAAACCATTAGAGCTATCAAATAAGTGAACTACAGCAATAGCTTGGCAATCTGCATGTCTAGTCTCAGGAATCTCATAGTCACTTCCGGAGCTTAAGCTGGGGTCTTCATCATCAGAAGTCAACCCAAATGAAACAAGTGGCTCTACCCAGTCACTTAATACCATAGTTTGGCAATCCCCGTGACCACTCTCAGAAACCTCGTCTTTCACATGAACATCTGAAGCTAAACTTGAGTCGGACTGACATGGATATTCACCGCTGCTCTGTACATCTTCAAACTTGGTGATTGCTAGGGCAGGTTTGGATCGACATAAGTCGCTCATTTTCTTCTTCTTTTGATTCACCTTCCTTTTCTGAGCTATTCTGGCTCTCCAACTGCTGAGGCACTCCATCAGATCACAATCATCTTCCTCGGCTCCTGACAAGCTATTTCCAGTCGATGATTCTTTGCTGAAACGCTTTCGTTTCTTTGCTATGCATCTCACCCTGAGTTGATTGAGTGTAAGACAACAAAAATCAATATCGACATCATTCTTATGCTCTTCCGCTGCTTCTCTTGAGTTACTATTGGAAGAAACCCCACTCCCCCTTTCAATATCTGATCCACTTCCCTCAAACCTCTGTAGATTTTCAACCTTAACCTCACGCCCATCGGGATCAGGCTTTTCTGGCAGCTCCTTGAGATTAGGTTTTGGTCGACGTCTAGCAGGTGAATTAGGGGCGTTCCTCAAATCCCCGTACACGTCTTGGAGGTTCTTGAACTTGAGCGCTGGCTTTCCACGAAAAACATTTGGGACTTTCGTCACTTTACCACCTTTGATTTCATTAATGTAATGGAAATGATTGGAGCTCCTCAATTCCATTTGGACGATAACTTAAAGAACCACAGCTGCCGCGGATCTGCAACAAACGACTCGTCAGTTTAACAAACTCTGAGCACAATTCTCACGCATTTCATCGAACACAATGAATGCAATAACTTTCAGCAATTGCAACTCTGCTTTCCAATATTAAAAACCCGCGTACAAGTAGAGAGCCAAACAATTCAGAACAGTGAAGCCTAGTGAGGGCGAGAGAGGAGTTCAGTAATCGGTAGCTGTGTGAGCTACCGACAGATTCCTAGTTCGGAGTTCAGCCATGTGAGCTACAAAGCCCAGTTTTCCTTGAGCACATTAGCGCAGTGAATCTAACTAAACCGCAGATCTAGCCGCGCCGGAAAGTGGCAGATCTAGTAACAAGGAATTCCCGGTCTCGGCCAGAAGGAGTCGAGGACCGAAAAGCAAACAGAGAGAGCGAGGGGAAACGATGCTTACCGGGAATCAGCCGCCGATGAGAGGGTGGAAACGGAGGTGAGATAGTTCCCGTGACCTGGTCGACTCAGGTTTGTTGCCGCCAGGCGCCAAGTAGGTGTTGGAAGGGAGAAGAAGAAACTATAGGGATTCGATTTTTTTAGGGGGGGGGGGGGGAATTTTGGGCGATTTGTGTTTGGCGCCAGCGCCAAAACGCCATTGGGTTCCTTTTCGTTGGCGGGAATCAAGTCCCGCTCAGGAATACTTTGGTGTTGCCACTTGCCATTCCTACTCGTAGTCGAGCAATGGCTCCGTTTTTCAACGTTGATTTTGATTGGGCCAGTCGGGACAGTTTGGGCCCTATGCTATCAGCCCAATAGTATCTAAACAAGCCTGCTCATACTCACTAAGACTTTGACTTTGGTCCTTATCAAGCCCACTCAAATTCGCTTTGTCGTCTGTAATGATATCACTTACCACATCCTCAATTCCTCACGCCGCAAAGGGAACCAGCTACTCGCTGTTCTCACTTCCATTCATCATATTGTACACACTCCATCACAACCGTTGGATCTTCAGGTCAACTCTTTAGTCCCTTCAATCGACGGTTCGCATGAATAGGGCTCGGCCGGTTTCATTTTTCCGCTGTGCTGTTCATTCCACGACGACAAGAAACGAAGTACAAAACCCTCGGTCCCTCGACTTCTTCGCTTAATCTTTCCGCATTTCTTCTTTCTCCAACATTGATTCTGCAGTCCGACGAGATGAAGGCGGCTCTGAAGGGAAGATACAACGACGGCAATAGCACCGCCGCCGCAACACTCGTCGTCAACGCCGGGGATGTCAAGCTCCGTGCTTCCCTGACCGACGCCACCGTCGCCAATGGCCCCAGCTTGAACGGCCTGGCTTTAGCCGTTGAGAAACCGGGATTCTTCAGCGTTGACTACAACGTACCCAAGCAGGTACTTTGCAATAAAAACAGCCTTTGATTCAGCTAGAAATTAGTTCGTTAAGCTCTAAGACTGAAGTTGCAGCCTCCGTAGGTTGTGTTTTCGTTGAACTGGAATGATTTCCTGATGTTTAGCTGCTGAAGGTTGCGGAAAGTAGGTCCGATTATGGTGTTTCGGAGTTGACCTTTTCAATATAATTTTTTGATGGAATCGTTTGTCACATCCCGGAGTTGACTGATGCAATGATTTTCTTTTTCGATGGTTGTTGTAGGATGTCTCCTTTCGGTTTATGAACACGGTTAGGGTTGCAGATAAGCCCTTGAATTTGACTTACATGCATAGCAGGGGGGATAACAGGACTATCCTGGACGGAACCCTTGTAATTGACTCATCTAACAAGGTGTCCAGTAACTATGTGGTTGGTACTGGAAATTGCAAGTTGAAGTACACTTACACTCATGGAGGGTTGACTACATTTGAGCCGACCTACGATTTGGCAAAGAATACATGGGATTTCACAGTCTCAAGGAGAGTTTACGGGGATGACGTGTTTAGGGCTACATATCAGACATCAAGTAAGCACTTGGGGTTGGAGTGGTCAAGGGTCTCGAAGCTCAATGGGAATTTCAAGGTAAGTTACGCATTGATGTCATTGTGAAGTGTAGTTGATACTTATGCTCTTGAGATATATCCCTCTAGATGGTGTGTGTTTCAGCTTCTCAAATGTGCCCAATTGCTCTCTGTGGCCTCTGGAGCTGTTGCTACTTGTAGGAAACTAGGGATGCAGTTATGCTTGAGCTGTCAATCTTATTTTGAAGTTTCATTGATGACATTCATTGAGTGCTTTAGTTTGTTTCAGACAATTCTGAACTCGAGTTGACAGTCATTACAGAAACTGGCTTGCTTGTCTTAGTCAGATTGACTTGTTCCTAGTATTCAGTACATCATGGAGTATGCAAAATTTTGCTGCTCCATAACCCTGCCTGCATCTTTACCTCCCGAGCAATCCATTGCCGATTTGAGACTGAATCATTTCAATCCTCCTGCTGTACGTGTTTCAAAGATCCTTTGCTAGTCTGAACTAGTTTTAGATTGGAAAGAGCTTTTGGTCGTTGATACTCTCGAACAGCAGCGTCTTTTAACAGTTGAACACCTATGATCAACTGCAATTTAATGTGGATTTGGTCCATTTGGTGGATACTTGTGAACACTATTATCTCCATTGAAGCTTGGGATGGTGTCATTACCCTGATACTGCTAGCATCAATGTTGAGTCTGATGTGTCCTGCCATAGTTGGGGCCATGTTAGTGTATTCCTGGATGTCTTGACATACTTTTAGGTGCAGCAAAATATCCAGCTACATTGGATCGAATCAGTTGCTAGAATCCTATGTTACCACATCTCGTGATTTTATTGTGAATTTGTGATTTATGGTGTGTATTGTTCATCTCAGGTTTCTGCATCTGTCAATTTGGCCGAGGAAGCGAAAATGCCAAAACTAATCGCGGAAACCACATGGAACATTGAGATGTGATCTGCTTTCAGAAGAGACTTAAGTAGCTGCTCAAAACGTTTGTTTTAGACGGTTGTGCCAAACATTAGGGAGAAATGACCCTGAAGTATCAATGTTCTTGGTAGTTTCATCTTGTCGTTGTACTCTTACTTTTGTCCATAATTCTTATTCGGTTAGAAGCGGGGTCAAGCTCTGAAGACTGAGTCCATTGTTAGAACTTTACATGTGTACCTCCTATATCTTTACAGGACTTTCGTTTACACTCAACCTTCCAAATCATGCCATCTTATTGTCATGTTTGTTTTGACAAAAGGAGTTGCAACTGGTGGCAAAATCAGTCTACTTGCCTTGCATTATAATACTTTCAAAACTTTACAAACAGGTCAAATGTGGTGGTATGAGGAACTTTGTATCACTAGTTGCTAACTTTCTATTGATCACAAGGTTAAAATGTGACCCTACCCTTATAAAGTCAAAATATGACTTGATGCTCTAACCTACAGACAAATTGATTGATCCCGACTCTCGGGATCGGAGCGAATAGACCTAGGAACAAGATTACGTCCTTGCAAGATATTGGTCCAATGCTCATGTTTGTGTGAAAGAGAATGGAGAGTGCAATAGAATATTGCTGTTGAATGTTTGGTTAAATGTAAGGTTGCTATACTTGGTTTAAGTCGAGAATTGATCTCTTCTTATAGTCTATCTATTTTGGTCTTTTTTGGATAGTTAAAGTGGTCACTTTTGAGTTATTTTCTTTTCTTTTGTTATGGTTTTATAGCAAATTAATGCTTTTGGATTAGTACTTATAAATCATTATGTTTATTTGATTTATATGTTTTTTTTTTTGTCATAGTTACCTTGGAAGGGAAGCGGAATAGATACAACAATATACAAGGTCTACTATCACTGGAGTAAGAAATTTAAGTAAACAAAACATGATGGTCGACAAGTGTTTATCGTCTTACTATTTTAATTTGGTTATTTGTGTATATCAATTAATATGTCCGTGGATATATGGATACCCGTCGATATTCATTGTGTATGAACATGGTATAAAATTCACTATTCATACCACTTGGTCAGGTGGAATTACCCAAACCGGATAACTTAATGGATGGAGATAGGATATAAAATAATCGTCCCGATCTGACTCGTTGTCATCCCTGATCAACTTGTATGTTGATTGGAACATGGTTCAACTGATTCATTAAATCGACTGCCAATTTAGCCTCCAATAAAAAGTTTTTTCTAGTCGGAGCGCTAATACGATTTGACAAACACTAATTTACTATTAAGAGATGTTTGATGAACAATTTGTAAGGATGAGTTTGTCTTAAATATAGATGTCAAGCCATCAAAACTAGGGCTGTTATCGGTCGGTATCTGATATACCGGGTGCTGGCGTCGTGGCTGTCGAATACCGATATCGAATCTCAATCGGTATCCCGGTATACCGGGTAATCGGTATCCGATATGTACCCTGTATCCCGAAAACCGTCGGGCAAAATGAGGAAGAAGAATTGTCGCCGCCAGAATCGTCATCTCCGTCGGAATCTCTGCACTCAAACTCAGCGAACACTCGCCTCCTCCCCTGTACTTCTCCTTCTTTCCTCTTTTGCCATCTAAATCCTTCCTTTCTTCTTCTACCTCTCCGTCGGCGACTGCTGTTGCTGGTGAAGAGAAGAGGACGACGAAGATGCAGCGTAGCTCTCCCCGTCGGCAAGTGCTGCTGGCTGAGGTGGGAGGGAGATCGAGTTTGGGCTTCGGGGAAGAGAAGAGGAAGCGGGGGCTAGGTGCTGGGGGCGGCGGATTGAATCGGAGTAGAGGAGAAAGGAGTGGGGCGATGGGGTATGTTGAACGGCGGATTGAATCGGGGAGGTCGAGGGTCGGGGGTCGGGGATGGTTGCGGGTGGGAATTGGGAAAATTCAGGTTAGGGTTTAGTTTAAGCAAAATCCAATCCCCCCCTGCGGCCCTGCCTGTACGCTATGCTGCACTTATTTTTTTAAGTTTCGGTATTTCGATATACCGAAGTACCGTCGGTATTTACCGCCAAATATTTGGTATTACCGAATGGATTATTTCCTCCCCGAATACCGATACGCCAATATTCGGTATACCGGTTCGATAGCCAGTAATACCGAATACCGATTTACAGAATAGGCGAATACCAGCCCTAATCAAAACACATATCAATTAACTTATGATTTGATCAAGTAACAAATGCTAGCATGACGATTAGTGCATTTCCGATGCTCATCTGGACCTATTTGACCACTAAAATATTCACAGTCAGCCGAACATTTCTAAGTTTTGGCGGTTCGGTTCAACTTCACCGTTATCCCTTTCGTTCCAAACTCGAATTTCTTCCGCCAATTATCAAAACATTTCAAAACCACTTCCCGCCCTAATCCCGTTCACTCCGCTTAAACTGAAAATGCACAATCACGAGCAAATAGGTGAAGGGTGAAGCAGTACTAGAAAGTTAGAAAGAAGCACAGATATCACTCTTCTCCTTCCACTCCACCGTTCCCTTTCCAGAGAATCGAGAGATCAATTCCGTCGGAGATGGACTCAGACGAAGAGTTCATGCAATTCGCGGAGGCGGGAGAAGCGCCGCCTTCTCCAGTCCCTCAAAGGAAGCTCAAACGTTTGAGGAGGAAACTCGCTAGTCCGAAAGGTTCGCAAGAAGCAGTCCATCATCTGTCGGAAGAGGATGATGAGCCTTCTCCTTCCGTTCGGCCCGTGAGGTCCCCGATTCTTTTCGAAACCCTAGATTCGGAGGAGAGGGATGACGATGATGGATTTCAGGCCACGAAATCCAGATCCGTGTTCGATTTTATGCGTCCCAAGGAGGGAGCTGAAATGGATTATACTGCTGATGGTTCAGGCACGAGCGGACGCGTAGCTGGAGTTAAGAGGTCGCTGGATTTCGGATCAGACGGCGAGGAGCCTGACGGCGGAGGAGATGGAGATCGAACAACGGTGAGTGTGGGAGTGGATGAAGAAATTTGCGAATCGAGGATGGAGGAATCGGAGAAGCAACGGGCAGCTTTAGACGGGACTGAGGTAGAGAAAGAGAAGACGAAGAAGAAGCACAAGAAGAAAAAGAAGGATAGGGGATCTGATGATGGTTGTGACGAGGAGCCAAGCGCAGGAGGGAAGAAGGTAACGGTCTTCTCGTAACTCAAATTTTCTTTTATTTAATTTACGCTGAATTTTGTTTTGGACTGTCTACAATTCGGTTCTTGTTGAATGCAGGATAGAAGAACTCGTCTCAAGGAACTTCGTGTTGAATCTCAGAGGCTGTTAAGAGGTATAAGCTCGAAGCCATTTCTTTTGTGAATGAGAGCTTGGGACGCGTCGCCTTTGCTTAGCCTTAATTAACCTTCTCGATTGCTTCTTCTGCATTTGTTTAGAGACCAGAGATGCATCGTTTAAACCTCAACCTCTGGTTCAGAAGCCTGTGTCAACAATTTTGGAGAAGATTCGGCAAAGAAGGCTTGAGCTCTCCAAGAGGTAAACGTATATCAATAATTTAGTGTTCAATTTAGGTTGCAATGTGGTGGGAATTAGTGTTGATTGTGAAGGGGTTTTTGGTTACAGATCAGTACGAGCAAATCCTGCTTCGTTCGACGAGAATGATCTTTCTCCAAAAGGGTTATCTGTAGACTTGGATTCTGCGGATGCTCATTTTGAGGACGTTGAATATCCAGACGTTACTATATCAGATGCTGTGAAAAGTATGAAGAAGCCTGCTGATATGGCGGAGAAGACTGATGTTGAAGGCCAGGAAGGATCCAAGAACTCTGCAAGTCCCAGTAGCAAAAGCCCTGCTCCTGAAATTGTGAGTTTGGTTCTATTTTAGCAGTTTTGAGTATGTTTGAGATGGTAGGACAGTTGTTTCATTTAGCTAGGAGACACAATAATTTTCCATTACTTGCATTTTGCTTGAAAGAAAGACGAGCCCAACTAATTGGTGTTTGATTGTGTTTATCTTACTTTACAGGCACTGAGTGAGGAACTAAAGCAAACATTTCGAGCTCCACTTGATGACACTCAGGTTTGTTTCCTTTTGGCTTAGAGACTCGAAATCGTCTAAATGAATAACTATTGATAGTTTACATGCTTCATGACTACATGTAGGATCTATTTGATTCCCAAACGAGTGACAGTAAAGATGAGATGCTGGATGAGACACCTAGGAGTCCACTGGAGGAAGTTCTTGCGCCATCCTTACTTGCAATGAACTTGAAGTTTGACTCTGTTTGCCCTCTTGATTCGTAAGTCCTTCATACATCATTAATGTCCTTCTCTTCTGAAGATTTTTTGTTTTGTTTTAGATTCATGACCAATAATAAGCATCTATTCTAGTAGTGGTCTGCTTGTTTATTGGCGTAGAGTTTATCGTTGAGGCTCTTTCTTAAATCTTCAATGAGTTGTAGTAGGTTCATCAGTTAAGAATAAGACTCAATTTTCTCCCATTTTTTTTACTTCTGTGTCTGGGTGATAATTGCAGTTACTTGAGTACTCGGCTCCATGTTCCTTTCAGTATCTAAATTTATAACATGGCATCATGCAAGTGAATCATAGGAGCCAGTTTCCGTAGTATAGTCTCTGCTACGGTTATGACCATTGTGTTCCTATTTTACTGACTTGTCCTGTTCATTTCCAGAGGCAGTTCTTCTGACGAAGAAGAGTACAATGATAAGGAAAACATTGATCCCCGCCTTTCTGGATCAATTGACCTGTCTTTATCCCCCAAAGGAGATCCAATGAAGGCTTTCATCGACGAGGAAGCCGAGGAAGAAGATGACAGTGATAATGACTTAAACCGCTTCCAAGAGAATGAGGATGACGATGATGACGATCTCGACTCTGAGGAGATTAACGACATCATTGCAACAGGATTCAAAGAAAAACCTGTTGATGATGAAATGCGAAATGAACTTCACCAGAAGTGGCTTGAGCAGCAGGATGCTGCTGGAACAGAGCACCTCATGAAGAAACTCAACTGTGGCGGAGGTCGTGGTGGTTCCGAGCTGAAGGAATCTTTGTTGCTTGATGAGGGAGAAGAGGATGAAGAAAGTAACTGGGAAGGAGGAGATTTTCTTGACGAAGCAGCAGAAGGCCCAGTTACTAGAAATGTAATCAAGATGAACTTGAAGAAGGCCAAAGAAATGATGCCTCTGATGTTTACAGATCACAATGATGTGTATGTATCGTCGGATGATGAAGAAACTGAGAGAAGCCTGGTTCAACAGCGGATGTTTGTCAACCCGGTGAGTGGCCTGACCATTGACATCTCTATTTCATGTGCTCATAGTACTGGGCAACATCTTAAATCGAATTGGATCAGATAAAATGTAATTCAATTTCAAAATCGAGTTTCCCCCTTATCTTGTGAACCCTTCTATAGATAAATTTAAAAGCAAATCCTACCTTGTGATACTGTTTGCTTCTGGGCCTGACTGAAACGTTACACAATTGTGTTCGCTCATGCTGTTCTGATGGTTGCTGGAAATTTTTGTATGTCGGAACAGGAGACTCGAAGCCCGTTTGTTGCACCAGCAGAAGATGAAAGCTCCAAAGATATCTTCAGTCGAATAAAGAAGTTGAATCCTGTACCCGACAGCAAGAAGAAACCCAAGATAACATGTAGGGTTTTTCCCCTTCACTGTGTTAACTCTCATCCTTCTGTTTCTTCCGTTATTTCTACACAGTGATAGTTTCTGATCCTTTTTGCTTAATCCGCAGCTCATTTTCAGTCGCTCTCCATCGGAGGCAACAAAGCTACAAAGTCTAAGGTAACCATTTGGGTTCGAGATCAACCTGAACTAATCTTTGTTAGCTAGAGAAATAGAAATATTAAACCTATCGTTTGGTTGCAGTCGTCTTTCCTGCAACGTGGCTCGAGAAACCCACAGCAATCGTTCCAGATGCAAGGGTCCTCCTCATCCTCCATATCGCGCTCTTTCATCTTCGAACGAGACGACAGCCATAGCAGGAACACAGTCTCATCAGACGATCCCTCAGAATCTGTAAGCTCTCGTCAGACTAGCTCTTCACTTCCTTTTCCCTAAGCTACTACGGATCTTCAATATCGCTTGACTTGACTTCTTCTTCTTCCAGGTACATGTAGAGCCGAAAGCTAGAAGAGCCACGGCCAAGTTCATGAACTCTTCGCAAGCTAGATCATCGGCCAATACTCAAAGCACTCAAGCTGGTTCACAGGCGAATGTTGGTGCTCCGTCGCTACACGAGATCCTGAAGGCGTCTCGACAACGAACCAATCAGGGCGACGATGCGGCTTCTTGCCATCATGTTGAATCAACCATCTATACTGCTTTCAAACTGGACAGGAATTTGGTCGCCAGATCAGCTGCGGGTTCTGTATCGGTAAGAATGGTTTAGAGCAGCTGCCAGCCTCTTTGCCCTTCGGCGTTTCGTTGTGCATTGTTCTTTGTTTTACCTGCGAGTGAAATGCTGGGAGACGGATTTGCTCAGTAGCAAAAGTCTGAGTTTGTAACATACATGCAAAGCTGTTCTATCGCTGCCCGAGATTAGTTGTTTCACTTCAGGGTATAACAGCAAAATTATTTATTTTAGTCTATACGTTTATACAATCGTCTGTCGTTATGGGATCTTTTTTGTTTTTTTCCTTAGTGGATGGAATAACACTAAGTATAGCAATTAGAGAAATTATTAGAACAACTTAGAAATGATTTTTTTTTTGTTTATTCAACCTTATAAAAATAAAATTGCTCCTTTTTTTGTATGATTCAATGAAACATTGTATCATTTTTTTCCTAGTATAATAATTATTGATAAATTTTATCCTAGTTTGGGGAAAAGTAGATAAATCAAGTAAAATTAGTATTAATAAATGAAATCAAAACCAATTGGTGGAATCCAATCTAATTGGCACAACTGGATCAATTCTTTTTCGTTGAATGAATGGACAAATTTTCTATTTGTGTATTTTGCTAGTTTTTGATATTCCAACCCAACCGTTTTGACTCTAACGAGAATAATTCATACTAATTTTATCCATTTTAAATGTTATCTTTTTTTTTTCTCTCTCTAAAAACAGATAACATTTAAAAAGGTTAGATTCAAATCAGTATTTTGGAAACTTTAACATATTGGATGATTTAATAAAAAATATCCGGTATTGATTTCGTAGTAGTAGGCAGATGTTGATCATCCAACTTAATGATCAATCCTCAAATTGGGTCAAATTAGTCTTTATGGGCAGTAGTCTATATAATGATAACATTTCTGGAAAAATTGAGCAAATTAATAACCTAATATGAAGTTCGAGCTATTTTAAGATGTTAATTTAAGAAAGAATCCATTGGAACATGACACCAAATCTAACTACTAGGACTATAATTTTATTTGCTGAAAGGACAAAGAACAAGAAAGATACTATTTACTTTTAGTCTCAATTAGTTATTGGTCAATCAAACCATTATTTAGTAGTTCAGTTTATAACATTTGTGTTGTTCAAATCAAATTGGAACTACTATCTTTCCAAACATATTTTTTATAATTAAAAAACAGAAAAAATACATAGAAAAATTATATATAAGTTTGTTTGGGCAGGTATCACCAAGAAAAATTATACAAATATATATTACCTTTTGGTTAATATTTTCGTATGACCTGAACTTTGACCAAAATAAAAATTCTAGTCAATCTTTTCGATCTATAACATCCTGGTCCGAACTATACAACAAAATAAACAATTTGGCCAAACCCGATGTTTGACCGTTAACTTGGACGGTCAAACGCGCTGACTAACGGTCAACGCGCCACGTCACTGCCAAGTCAGAAGATCTGATAAATATTTAATTTTTTGGTTTTTTATTTTTGGTTTAACTAAGGTATTAGATGTTTTTTTTTAATTTATAATAATTTAAAATTAGAAAATGTGTGAAAATTGTGAATTATTTTAAATATTTTATGGTGACTTGGCAGTGACATTGCGCGTTGACTAACGGTCAACGCGTTTGACCGTCCAAATTAACGGTCAAAAGTCTAATGTGGCCAAATTATTTATTTTGGTGTATAGTTCGGGTCAGTATGTTATAGATCGAAAAAATTGACCAAAATATTTATTTTGGTCAAAATTCAGACCATACAAAAATATTAACCCTTAGTTTTATTATACTAAACGTTTGAAGATGATTTCTTACCATTTTGAAAACCCCTTCCTCAAGTTGCGATCTTTTGCCCTAATAAAACATTTCCCTTTCGGCGAACTCAAATAAAAACCCAAGTCAAAATTCAAAAAGAAGAAACAAAAAAAGTCCCCTCGGAAACCGCAGCCCTCTCCACTCCTCTGATCCATCCCCCGCTCTTAAATCTTCAATCTCAATCAGAAATTTTAAATTTGTCCTCTTTGCACCGGATCCAGAACACCCACGAAGAAGAAGATCTACTCAACCTTCATTTTCATGGCGGCAATCCGAGTCCCATGAAAAAGCTTTCAAGTTCCCTCCCCAAATCACCAACATGGCGAATACCCACAAAAGAGGCAAGTCCTTCCTCCTCCTCCTGCATCTCTCTCTGCTCTTCATCCTCCTCTCTTCGCCGCTCGTAACCCACTCTAGCGAGGAAGAATCCGGAACTGGACTCGAGCCCGAATCCGGAAATGAATCCACTCACCACCAGGAAGTAGTGTTGCAGAGAATGGAAGAATTAGTGAAAAGTTTAGGAGAAATAGTATCTAGGTTAGAGCCTTTGTTGTCCCAATCGCCTCCGCCGCAGGAATCGCCTCCAAAGCCGCCGCCTGCCGTGGTGACCGGTGGATTGGAAGACCGCGACCAAGTGAAAGGGGAAGGTACTAGCGATAATAAGTCTAGGGTTGGGGAGAAGTTGAAATCAGTGTCAGTGACAAAGTACAGTCCACTTTGGTCAGAGAGGTTTCAATTCTTCTCGGCGGTGAAACTCGATTCGCAGGCGACTTGCGTGAACGTGTTGCCATTTCGAGACTACGAAGGTGTCAGCAAGTACGTTGCAGTTGGGGACGATCGCGGTAAGGTTTATGTCTTCCTGAGGAATGGAGATGTTCTTGCCGAGTTCGACACAACGGTGGATTCCCCTGTAACCGCCATTGTCTCCTACCTTGCTATGTACAAGAACGAGAGCGTCCTAGTGACAGGGCACCAAAATGGCGAGATCTCTCGTCACAAGATTGTGGAGAGAACCACAAATGGCGTGGATGATTACACGTCCTTGGAAACTGTCGCCGTCGGTGGTAAGTTTGAAGGGGATAGGGGTAATTTGGCAGTGACAGTTCTGGAAGTCCACCATGTCGGCAGATCGAGGTACATTCTGAGTTCGGATGGTGGTGGGACGATCAGGGTTTACAAAGAGGGCGGGAAGTTCCATGGATCAGTCAAGCCATCGAGCAGGCCGCTTGCGTTCTTGAAACAGCGGCTTATGTTCTTGACGGAGACTGGGGCGGGTTCGTTGGACTTGAGAATCATGAAGATCAGGGAATCACAATGTGAAGGGTTGAACCATTCCTTAGTAAGAAACTACGCGTTCGATGTGACCGAACGGTCCAAGGCCTATGGTTTTACTTCCGGTGGGGATTTGATTCACGTTTTGTTGTTGGGGGATGTCTCCAATTTCAAATGCAGGGTAAGGTCCAAGAGGAAGATGGACATAGGTGAAGATGAAACCCTAGCTATGAATGCCATCAAGGGCTACCTTCTAATCGTCAACGGACACAATGTGTATGTCTACAATGTCTCCTCTCACCACTATGTCAGAATGGTGGGCCCACGGTTGATCTTCTCGGCTGGTTTGGACGAGATCAAATCATCATTTCTCAGCCATCAAACCGGGGTCGAGTCGAGTGGAGTGCCATTGATAGCCAGTGACAGAGAGAAGCTAGTGGTGGTTGGGCTAGGAGATGGTTACGTGGGGATGTACCGTTCGAGCCTACCAGTTTTCAAGGGCGAGTTCAACACTATGACTTGGATGAGTCCTGTCTTGATATTCATACTCTTTCTATTTGGGGCATGGCAGTTCTTCGCCAAGAAGAAGGAAGCTTTGACATCATGGGGGCCGGATGATCCATTCGTCGGGACCACCAACGCCACTTCATCATCATCTGCAGGGAACTCAGCTCCGACATTGGAGACCTCTTCGAGGAACAGTGGTGGGATCATGGACTTGAGGACTGGTGCCGGTGAAGGGATGAGAGGGGCGACGAGGAGATATGCTTCACCGCCAAGGTATTCTGGTGGCGCAGGGACGACGAGTGGTTCGTTTAGGCCAAGTGCTGTTGATGCTGGTAACGCTTCTAGGCCGAGTTCAGTTGAACCATCAGGTTATAGAAGTTCGCCGTCGGAGCTGAAATATCGAGCCTCGCATATGGAGCCACCTGGGTTTCCCAAGAGGCGGGAGAACCTGTTTGCGAACAACCAGGTCGTGGATGATGGGAACTGAATATGGGATTCGTTTGCAGTTCTTTCCTTCTTTGGTTTCTTTTCTTATGGCCTTCTGTTTTTGGGTTACCACAGTGTTGTAAGGTTTACAGCTGCTGCTATGTAATGACCTCTATCAGTGCTGACTAATAAAAATGGATTTACAGTGAATTGTGCTCCACTAGATTGGACTGGGCTGGTATTGATTGATCTTTAGTTCTGGGTTTGAAGTAAAACCTTCATCACCCAAGCCCAGCCCAGGTTTTCATTTTTATAAATTATGGAACATCTTTTTTGGTAAGTGAAAAAACTTCGTCAAATCTTTTAGTAAGGTACCTAGTAAGTCTTAGTTGTTATAAAAAAAAAAAAAAAACACGTCTTAGCTCGTCCAACCACAGGTAGGGGTGAACAAACACACCCGTAAACAGATTCACCCGTCCAACCCGACCCAACACACCCGTATTTATCGCTAAACAAATGTTTTGGGTTGGGTGATGGTTTTCTTTTGTACAACCCGTCTCTTTTGGGTTGGGTTTGGATTTTGGATTACACAACCCGTAGTACCCGACCCAACCCGTGTTCCAACTATTAGTATGAGTTCGTATCTAAAAAATATTTATGTCGTATATAGCAATACTTATGAGAAAATTAAGATATTTCGCCATGTTTTTCTATCATGGTCTCCCTAATCTAATGCATTCTTCGACTTAAAGTTTAGACATAAATTGAATATAGTTATGATTCACGTAATCCTTTTTCTTGTGTACAATTTTAATAGAATAACATATTATGGATGCGTTTGTTTATAACCTTTTTAGCCTATTTCAACAAATATCGTGAAAAAAACTAGACATATGTTGAAGTAAATCACATTTTATTAAAATTCAAACAACATTTGTGAATTTTGATACCTTTCACCTCGATTTATTCGTTTGAAATTTTAATTTGTTCTCAAATATTTTTTATGATGTATAATAATTATATATTTTATGTTGGGTTGAATTTTTACTTAAAAATATCGCCAACCCGACCCAACCCAATTAGAAACAAACCGTAGGGTTTAAATTTTTTTGGGTGGGTTTCGGTTTGATAATTCCCAAACCGTAGTGCATGAGTCGGGTGATTAAAATGGTTAAACCCGAACCACCCGACCCATGTACACCCCTAACCACCGGCGCGCCAGCTGTATCCCGCCACGCCCGGTGTCCTTGCCGCGCCATGCTGCCGCTGCCCCTGGCGCGCCCATCGTCATATTTACGCCGCCGATGCGAGGTCACTGACTCTTCCCTACCTCCCCCTTTCCTCATCCCTATTTTTTTTTAGATCTGTAATTTTTTTCATATTCCAGATATGATTTTTTGTTTTAGTAGAAGGAATCTCTACTGGTATGATACTAGTGAGCACTTGTAGCGTACCACTATCACTGGTAGTGGTATATCACATGTAGCGCTACTGGAACGTACCAGTGACTAGTGGTAGCGTACCACTAGACAAAAATCAATATAATTAGCGCATTGTGAGTGGCTGCTGAAAAAGGAAGACATAGATATGAAGAGAGAGAAATGTATTTATGGTAGGATTTAAATTTTAAAATAAAACAATGTATTTAACATGTGTTTTAATTTCCCAAAATGTAATTAATATAAAAAAGTAATTAATAAGATTTTTACATGCACTATCCAAATTGCCCTTTATGGAAGTAAACCGAATTGAATATTGAATTGACTAAACTGGTTGGCACAATAAATTCGACCATCTTTTGGAAATGGGTAAAACAGGAAAACGGATAATCTCCATTTGTGGAAAATGGCCCATATTGTGTGACTTTTATTATGGTTCAACTATACAAGAAATGGTCGTTTAGGGGGATAAATGAGGCCTGATTTAAATTTATTTATAATTGAGGAGACTATAAAATATATTCCTTGTGAAAAGTTCATTCATTAATTTACAAATACTTTGCCCAAAGTACCGAATCTGAGGGAGATCCTTGGAATGCTGCTAAATTGTGAGTGCCCACTCTCTCATGTTTTTCAGGACAAAATCGTTTTGGATTCCTCAAAAGGGAAATAAAAAGGTATGCGTAATGCTCTAAATAATGTGACAAAATTGATTAGTGGGACAAATTAAGGATTTAAGGGTCTAAACATTCAAACTTAGCAAAAATAAAAGGGTGGTTATATTTTAGTGGGCAATCCACTATCCCTTTAACTTCTTAAACTTAACAAATTAACCAATTGTACTCAGGGGTTTCTTTCTATGTATATTTTATCAAAGTTGTTCGATGATACGCGGATTGATATAGTATGCTAATAGTTATTGAAAAGTTCTAACTTTTTCCACGATATTTACAAATTTGAACAAGCATGTTTTTCTCATTGTTGTTCTCCTATCTTTTTTAGTTGAGTAAATCAATGATGTATTCCTATTGTCCAATGTGGGGAATTGAATGTATAATTATTTTTGTTTTTTACAGTGTTGTCATTTTCTCGACCACAATTGATAATTAATAGAAAATCGATCAATATAGATTACACTATACTTACAAAAAAAATTCAGTCATAATACTTGTAAATTGTCATTAATCGTACTCTCTTAACGATAAGGAAAAAATAGTGTCTTGATTCATATTGCTCCTTGTTATCCCAATATTTTCGTTTATGACATTCCCGTAAATTTAGACATATAACTCTATACTCCTCATCGTCTCCTCAATGCAAACATCAAACCCACTAAATAAACACAATGAAATCAACTATTCAAAATCAAAATCCATAAAAAAAAAACATCTATCTGATTTCCTTCCGTCCGAATTCCGTGATAATAATTATAATTTCCAAGATAACATTAATGACCAGAACTAGCTTAATTTGTATACTTAAAACAAGTAGAGTGACCAAAGTAAAATATAACAAAAAGTTTAGGTACCTATTACGAACAAATAAAAGATTTTTTTTTATGACGTAATTTTCTTTTGGGAAAAAGATAATTAATAAGTGTCAGGAATCAGGATCGTTTTACAGAACTCCACACGCAGCTCGAAATCTGCTGACGACGGCCTTTTTCCATTGCTCATTTTGAATGGAACAACTAACCACCACAGATGACTCATCCTCCTCTTCCCGTCGTGGCCGCCTCCTCCCTCTGCCGCCATCGTCGAAGCCGCCGGAACCTTAACGCGGCTCCCGATTCCTTCAGATTTTTGCCTAATTACTTTCAAATTTCCGTTCACATCGATCCTCCCGAAAGCCTCTCTCCTCCGCCTCCGTCGCCGCTGCCGCGGCTTCACTTCTCGCCGTCGTCCGATTCCGGGAGGGCTGTGGAGTGAAACCGCGGGGTTTCTAATCTCATCGGCCGAGTTTTGTTTTTCTTTTTTTCCTTACCGAGAGCTATGAATGAACGGAGCTCGAGTCAAAGAGGCAGCAGCAGTGAAGCTTTGTCGTCGTCAGAGGCGGCGGCGGGAGGAATTCCGTCCGGTTTGAATCGGATTAAGACTCGGCGAGTCTCGTCCAGGGAGAAGCTCAGTTCCAAACACGACGATGCGTTCGAGTACAAGTCTCGTGAACCTCCGCGACCGCCGCCTCCGTTCCGCGGGAAACTCAAGCAGCAGAAGTCGCTGGCTCGCGTACAGGGAGCCGGCGGCAGCCCTTCTTCGAGAGCAGGTGCTTTTTGTTATCTCCCTTTTTCAGTTCATTTCTTCGGTTCGTTCTGTTTGCAGCTAGATTTCTCCGTTTTGTTGGTAGCGTTTTTTTTTGGGTTTCTGGAATGCCTGCTGCTTTCTTTGGGGCATGAGTTAGCAGCTTAGTTCCAATGGTGTAATCAATGTAACGGTTTGGGAATTAACGCAACCAAACGCTCGCAATTGAAATCGAGAATTCAGCTTTGGCAGTACGTAAATCTTGGCGGATTTCTGCAAGATTTTTTTCGTCTGAATGCTGGTGCGTAATGAGGTTAATGTGACAAATTGCATGAGCTGTTCCAGATAGTTCATGTTTTTGTTCCTGTGAACCATGGTCTCACTCAAAGGGAAAGGTATAGTTCTAATTTAAATGAAGTCTGAAAGAAATACCAATTAGGTTCTTCTTTTCTGATAGAAGTCTGCTATGTTTGCTTGCAGAACTTAGTTGTAGACCTGAACTAGGAGGGGAACTTGGGTTGGGATTTGATTTTTTTCTCCATCCATTCGCTTAGAACATTGGTTCTATTGGTTCATTAACAAAGTTATGATGGAGGTTGAAAATATTATGACGGCTTTCCTGTTAGTCGAGTAAAAGTAAGGTTTGAGCATTGAACATCCTTTAGATTGTCTTTCGACTTTTAATTGCTGTCTTGCTTGTGAAAGAGGAAAACAGCTCTTCAATTTTATTGCTTTTCTGGTGTTATTTCTAGTAATCATCTGAATGATTATCTGATGCTGCACTTCTGAAGGTGAACAACACAAAGGAAAGAAAATCGCCCGATGGTTCTCATCATATTTTTCAAGGGATGCTGGTCATCTTATTGGCTCGCCTATGGTAACTTTTTGTTCAACATTTCCTTACCGGCTTCTTATGTTACACTTGATGGAAGGTACTAAATAGTCGCTTGGTTGATAGGAGAGTGGCACTGAAGCTGGAATTCTTGAGAAAGAGGAACCAATGACAACCAGATTCTCAAATGCAGGAAATCATCAAAGTCAGGAACAATATTCTACTGAGAGTCAAATTCAAACTCGTAGTAAGGGGACAAAAGTCTTAAAAAGCTTTTCACATGAACTAGGATTACAGAATGGTATTACAGCACCCCCTCCTCGGGCTCAGAGTTTTACCGATTTGAAGGTATCTCTTAAAATTTGACTCCTTGAAAAGCTTGTCTACATCTTCAATTTTCTGTAGGAGTTAATTTTAAATAGTGTTTCATCGTTTGAAAATCTCATATAAAATCCCTTCAAATTTTATAGAAGTAATGAACATGAGAATAAAAATACACATGGAAATCACAGCCACTTTGCTATTGACTTCTCTTTTCTTAACTTTTTCTTTGTTGATATCAGGAGCTACTGGGATCTTTCCACTCAAGATTTGATGCAGCCGAAGAATTGGCTAAAGTAGAACTAGCTACTTTTGCCGCAGATGTCATGGATATCCTTGATAACATTGACCCCTCATTGGAAGAAGAGTTTAACATGGCACAAGATCTTCTTAGTCTTGCTCAACTGTGCATGGAAATGACTAGTTCTCAGTTCCGTGCCAAGTGTGAAGAAGTTGTTCAGGATCTAACTGATAAGAGAAAGAATTGTCAAACAGGACTTCTCAAGTGGCTATTTACACGCATACTCTTTATCATGACCCGGTGCACTAGAGTACTGCAGTTTCAGAAAGACAGCGAACCAATTGATGAAATTACATTCAATAAGTTGAAGAAGTGTCTAGAAAGCATTCCATCTGTGGAATTGAGCTGGCCAGCTAATTATGGGATTGCTGATTCTGGTTCAGTTGCCGCTCCTCTGAGTAAGAAGGGTAAAATAAAACCAAAACTGGAGGGACAAGATAATTTGTCTTCTCTACCTGAGGCAATATACTATGGCTCTGAACAGAATGATGCAACTTTAAGAAAGGTTTCCTTGGAACTTGAACAAAGGTTGACTTCACAGGAACCAAAAGCTGATCCTCTTTCAAAAGTGCAGCCGTCAAGTCAAGGTGGTAATGATTCCAGTTGTCTACTACTGGAGCAGGGACATAATTTTGACGTGTTGCTTCGTAGCCAAGAAGAGCATGGTGTAGATGGAGCCGATACAGTAATCTGCAGGATATGTGAAGAACTTGTTCCAATTTATCATTTGGAATGCCACTCTTACATATGTGCTTATGCAGACAAGTGTGATGTAAATTGCCTAGATTTGGATGAACGCCTATCAAATCTAGCGGAGGTACTTGAGCAGATTGTTGATTCACGAAATATGAACTCTCACCTTTCATATGGTAGTCCTTCAAGCAACTCTGTCACAACTGAAGGTTGCTCTCCGAAGGTTAGTGAATGGAGAAACAAAGGTGTGGAAGGAATGTTTGAAGACATACATGAGATGGATACTGCCAGCATTGATGAGCCCAATTTATCATTATTTAACTTAAAGACCCATTTGGGAATAAAACTAGGCAACCATGGAACACCATCTTCAACTGGCAGTGTAGCATCAGTTTCCTCCACAAATTCCCCTATGGCTGGTCACTTTGATTCCTTCTGGTTAGAACATAATAATCCATCTGAGCTAGAGGATGTTCAACAGGTATTTTCAGTAGTTTTCTTATTTGTTGAATGACAAGCACTTGTTAGTTTTTCTTTTTGGCATTTACCTACATTATACGCTGGTAAGTTTCCATTTGTTTACATATTTCTTTTCTTCCTTAGTGCAGATGGCTGATCTTGCAGACATAGCTCGCTGTGTTGCTAGTACAGATGTGACAAAGGATCCTTCCTGTGAATTTCTACTAGCCTGTTTGCAAGATTTGCAGAATGTTTTACAGCGTAGTAAACTCAAAGCTCTCGTAATAGACACGTTCGGCGCCAGAATAGAGAAGCTTCTAAGGTAAGTTTTGGTTATGGATCATATTTCCTGTTTTATTATTTCCTTTTTTTCCTTTTTCTTATGGGAGTATTGATGCTGCCTTTTGTATCTATGCAGGGAAAAGTGTTTAGTTGCCTGTGACCTGTTGGATACAAAAATTCCCGGCGATGCCAAACTTAGAGAAAATTCTAGATGTCTGTTGGATAATACGCCGCAAAGTAGTACAGGATCAACTCCTCTACATTCGTCACATAGAGATAGAACAAGCATTGATGATTTTGATATTATAAAACCAATAAGCAGAGGTGCCTTTGGGAAAGTATTTCTTGCACGCAAAAGAACAACAGGAGACTTGTTTGCAATTAAGGTAGGCTAACTGAAACTTCTGTCTCTCGGTAAACCTAACTGTAGCAATCGGGAACTTGATTGTTTATTTTGATATACCTTCTTCTCTTGGGAAAGTAATCAAGCATGAGGCTGCTATGAGTTGTTTTCTTAAGTTGTTCTTTTGTAAAGGATTTTCGCCTGCTAAATAATTGTTAACTATCAAAGTGCACTACATTTGAACATGTGCAGGTGCTCCAGAAAGTGGATATGTGGCGTAAAAATGATGTTGAGCGTATATTAGCCGAGCGTAACATACTTATAGCTGTTAGAAATCCATTTGTGGTAAGTTTTCATTTTGCAGAATGTGAACTAATGACATCGTAAATTCACTATTTTTCTTGTTGTGTGGTGTGTATATATCACTGAACTGGATTTATGTTGCTTATTTTGCAGGTGAGGTTTTTCTATTCTTTCACCTGCAGAGATAATCTCTATTTGGTTATGGAATATCTCAATGGAGGCGATCTATATTCTCTTCTGAGAAAAGTTGGCTGTCTCGAGGAAGATGTAGCCCGTGCATACATTGCGGAACTGGTCCGTGGCAATTAAACGTTGTAGAGTTACCCATGTTTATAAGGTTTTTATTTGAATATCTACTTGATTGGATTTTGTCTGCTCACAGGTTCTTGCTTTAGAGTATCTCCACTCCCTTGGCATTGTGCATCGTGATCTAAAGCCAGACAACATATTAATTGCACATGATGGCCACATCAAGGTCAGGAATTTACTATCCATAATTAGGCATGGCATGCACAATAAAATGGTTACAGTATGGTTTGATTTTTCATATGTTTATGGTTGCTTATTTCACCAGCTTACAGACTTTGGGCTATCAAAGATTGGCCTTTTGAACAATACCATTCAGTTGACAGAACCCGGGACATCTGGAGGCATTTTGTCAGATCCTCTCGATTCCCGCGAGCAGCAAACAGAAGACAAAAGGCAACATTCTGCTGTTGGAACACCCGACTATCTGGCCCCTGAAATCCTTCTTGGAACGGAGCATGGTTTGTCTGCCATCTGAATTTCTTTTCTGCTGAGCCTTCAATCGGTGGTTGAACTTATGGCTTTATTTGCCTTTAATTTAACAGGTTATGCTTCAGATTGGTGGTCAGTAGGAATAATCCTCTTTGAGCTTATTACTGGAATTCCACCTTTCACTGCCGACCAACCTGAGGTACATGCATAAGTATTTCACTTCACATTCCCCCCCTTACACTGTAATAAACATCACCATTCATCACTAGGGAATTTGTATTTCAGTTTCTTTCAAAATGCTGTGTTTTCCAGATGATATTTGACAACATACTCAACAGAAAAATTCCTTGGCCTTCTGTTCCTGGCGACATGTCTCATGATGCCCAAGACTTTATCAACAGGTTTGGCTCGTTTCCTTGGATTTGATAATTTACTGGTATTTGTGTCACTTATTCATCAAACATATAATTCTCCTTCCTGACTAATTTTTTCCATCCATTAGCATCAGTTTACTGTGGAATCATTGAACCCTAATCCTTTGGACTTGTAGGTTGCTTATTCATAACCCAGATCAACGTTTAGGAGCAAACGGTCCATCCGAGGTTGTATTCTGTATTCACTGCCCAGACTTCAATTTTTCTTTTTATGTTTTTCTTTCGCCGAATCATGGTCCAAAGGATTTTGCTTTTTGCTTCGATAGAAACACTTGCAGCTACTCTGAAATATTACTTTCCGTACAAACTACTATTGACATCAAGTCTCCTTGGGCTCATTTTTGTAGGTTAAATCACATCCATTCTTCAGAGGAGTTGACTGGAACAACCTCGCGTTGCAAAATGTAAGATTCCACAGTCATTCATTTGGCTTTTATACTGGCGAAATGTAGAATGTATCTTTTATATTCCAAGTTCCAATTTCTATCTTGCCCAACCTTCTCTTGCAGGCAGCCTTTGTACCAGTCCCTGACAGTGCAGATGATACAAGTTACTTCCTTTCTCGGTTCTCTCAACTCTCCAGCGGAATACTGAATGATAATCCCAATAGTAGCCTCTCTGATGAAGACTCTTGCAACTCATCCTCAAACTCCAAAGCTGAGGTTTGCCAACTTTTCTCCGCCCGTTCTTTTTGACCGTTAGTCGGCTTAGCATGGTACCTTTAATTTTCGGACTCCTTGTTTCAGATGGATGACTGTGGAGACATGGCTGAATTCGACTCTTTGCCAATTGACCTCTCCTCGATAAACTTTTCGTTCAAGGTTCGAAGTCACTTGCCCTCTTGCTATTATCTGTCTTGCTGCCCTATTCAAATTATTAGTGACAAAGATTGACGTCTGACATGTGTTTCTTTTCCTAACAGAACCTGTCGCAGTTAGCTAGCATTAACCGCGATGTGCTGTTGCAGACCGGAAGGGATTCGTCGAAGAACTCTCCGTCCAGAGCTCCATCGTAGTCTTTTTTTCAATCATTCGTCAATCATACTCAGGCAGTTGCTATGTCTAGCCACAGCCACTCAGATAGGCTAGTAAGGAGTAGGAAGAATACTACACCCCGGTAGCACCTTCGATTCTGTAAATAAGAATAGAAAGGGTCCTTTTCTTTTGTAGGATAGGGGCGTCGGTTTAAGGTTAGAGAAGAACGCTCAAACCATTCTTTCTAGCGGTAGGATTATAGAAATGAGGAACTTACTGAGCTAGTGATTCTGCATTTCTGCTCATGAAGATCGAGCGGAGCCCGGATAAACTGAAGTCCCTTTACCTTGGGCAGGAAGCAACCAAGGTAATTTAATTTCCATTTCTCCTACGCAGACTAAACACGGTCCGATTCCCTCCATGCTCTAACTGTTTGTTCTCTCTGTGACTACAATCGAGTCAGGGACTGACAAAAGCAGCATTGACGGGGACCTTCATTCATCTGCTGCGCTTTGGATACGGGAATTTGATATGTTTTACAATCCCTTTCCTTCAGAGCTAGGGCTGCTTTTCGCTGCAATGCTCCGCTAAGACGATGTTTCGCCAAGTTACTTGGGTTACACTATTATACTGGATTTGATTTTTTTTCCGCCCTACAATTTTCTTCCAAAAGCCAGGCTATAAAAGAAATTCCAATCAAACGGTTGAAAGGTGATGGTGATAATGGCTTTTTACGATGTATCGAGGCAAATAACATGATTACAAGAACGAAATGACGGAAAAAAGAGAATGAACAAATAAAATTCTCCACTAAAATGAAAAGAGTTTCGCGAGTAGGATACCAAACGCCACAAAACTTCACAAAATAGTGGCACTCGTAAATGGTTCTCTAATTTGTGTGTACAAAATGGTTGCTCGAAGGCTGATTGATTACATGTTCTTAAAGAGCACTTAAGACAACTCGACTTTAAAGAAGAATCAGACTGGAATTGCTAAGCCCTTCTTCGCCATGCTATCAAGGACATCGTTCAGTGCTTGGCACAATCCAACAATCTGCAAAATAGATGAGCAGCGTGACATCAATCAAGACATCCTACGAACAACTTAAGTTGGCAGTCATAATCTGGCAGAGTAAATTTTTTAGGAATTGAGCAAAATGCACGAAGGGTCACCTGTTGATCCCACTGTTGCAGCTCTTCAGTGTCGTCCTCAAAATGTATGACGGCTTCCACCTAGTGTACAGATTTCATGGTAAAGGGACATAAACATTAAGCACAAAACAAGTAGAATTATGCGCACAACTGAAGAAGTCAAGGACAAGAATTCACACCTGGTCTATTGATCCCCTCATTCTGTCTTCGAAAATCATCCTTGATGCAATCTTTTCAGCCTGACAGATAATATAGATATAGTGAAATGTTTAGGCTTCAGTTATAATGGAAACTGATGTGTGCTAGTACACCCCAAAGAAGAGAAACAGCTTAATTACAAGAGATTATAGAAGAGGCATACCTTGTGCGGAGGGATACCCAACAAGGTGCCCAACTCCTCAAAACTGTGATGAAAATACATTAGAAGACAACAAAGATTGAGTGTCATTGAGTAGAACCCCAAACTCGTATACAGATATAGTCCAAAATTCTACTAAATCCCAACCTTATATTTGTGTACAGCTTGCTTGCACTTAGAAGATTGTGCTCGATCATCGCACGATCAAGGACAGTGAAGTTGTCTGGCAGCAGTGCTTTCTGTTGAGGCGCAACCAAATGACCAGAACATAAGAACACAGCTTATGAATGCAAGACCAGCAAATCTGAAAAGTTGAACATCACTAACCTGATGCGGCTTTAGTTCTTGAGAAAATGCATCAATTTCAGGTTTCCTCAGGATCCTTTCTAAGTACACCTGAAGGTACAACTAGGGCTTGTTAATAGCAGGTTCAAGGCAATGTTAGCAAGTGGTTCAGTCGAAAGATTTCGAGAAGAGAAACAGGAAACTGAATCAGTAAACAGAGGCAGACGCCAGTGCCAGCCTGCCAGGTAAAGACAGGGAGAGAGAGAGAGAGAGATAGGACCTTTTGTAGTATAGGATAAATTTTGAGTTTTGAGCATCTCTCGTCCTGGTACATTATAACAGGGCATCACCGCATCAGTACATTTTACAATAATTTACATTTTATTATTACCAGTACTTCTCACATGTTCATCTTCTCCCAGGTTTACCTTATACAACGTGGCCAGGACACGAGACCGTTGAGGACCAGCAGCAGCCAAAATAGTGCATGTTACAGCAGCAGTCAGAGCTTGTTCCAATGCATCCTCATCGATAGTTCTTCATTGGAGAAAAGTAAAATAAGTAGTAATATTAATTAATCACAAAGTCACTGGTTGATTAGATTTCAGAAGGTAAAATCACTTACTCATCGCCTATCTGTCTCTTCTCAATTTGAGATATGTCATAGTAGCGTAATGCAGCCTCCAAAAACTTCCTCTTCAAATCCAAAATCCTTGCATAACAAACCTGAATATTCGTTAAATAAGTTAGCAGTTATTCACGGAGGTAAAAACACAAGCAGTTATGACATGCTGATATACTGCAGACCTTGTATTGCAAGTTCAACACTTCATGCTGGCTGTTGCTAACCAAAAATGAAGCTTTGTTAATGAATGCCTCAGCATTAACTGCATCATCATCCTACATGAACAAGCAGGAAAATAAGACCAACAGAAACTTCCGTAAGAGGTGAACAATTGACAACCAATAACTACATGAGAACTTGTGGCTTCTGGGTTGCTCTTCAACTTGACTACAACAAGAAATAAGTCTACATGACTAGTACAATACCTCGAGATACAGGCTAGCAATTTGGACGCACTTTGTCAACCTATAGCCATCGTCAATGACCCTGACGAAAGCAAACACAAGAGTCAAATTGCAAGCGTTTATCGAGAAAGCATCGAATGCACTCTCAAGTTCAATACAAACATTCCAACATGAATCTTACTCTCAGACCTCATTCCAGAGTCCAAATCAATTCCACTCAGCATTTGGGCCGCTAACGACCACTGCCGTTCCGACTCATATAGCTCAGCAAGTTTCTCTCTAATAATCAACACCTGAATTCACCGGCAAAAACCTTATTGGAATCCTTGAAATCCTTGGAGAAATACAAGCTATGGCGCCAAACAAAATCCCAAACCAACCTGTTCTTCGAAGGAAACTACACGAGGCTGAATCTGAGTAAGAGTGTACTTAGCAATATCCTTCTGCGCCTCGGGCTGCAATCTCCCCAACTCCTGCGCAAAAGTCTGCAAGAGCTGCCTCGACACGACTAGCGGCACATCATCCGATAGCACTGGGGTGAAGAAGCCATTGCAGGCGAAATTAGGTTTACTCCAGAATCGCGAAAAGAGAATCAAACACATAGAGAGAAAACGGAAATCATCGAGAAAGCGAGTCGTAAAGAGCTTACTGTGATCGATGAACTTCTTGGCGTGGATAATGTCGTTGGAGGAGATGACGGAGGAGAGAATGTGCTTGTACTGCTCGATCTTCTGCCTCTGGTCCGTGATCGCCGAGGCGTTTGCGAAGGCGCTCTCCATTGCTGTTGACGCGATTGTCCTCCCGTTCTAAAAAAATCCTAAAACCCTAATTTCTTAATTCTCTATTTGAGAAAAAGAAGACGGAGCGTCTCCGTCTCTGAGAAAGTCGGAAGTAGTTTCAGAGAGTACGGCTATGGCGCCGGTGAGGTGACAAACTGACAATGGGGATATGTTATGGGCCTGGGGGTTTATATAGTGCACGGGGCTTTTTTCTGTACGGGTACCCGAGAATGGGCATTTACGCCAAGTAAGTCCTTGCAAGTAATAGACCAGAAAAATAACATATAATTATCATTTTTTTATACAAAAAGCTCACTTATATTAGCAAGAACACCAAGTTACATTGTTTCAACCTCCGTCCAGAGCCAAGCTCTAAAATCGAAGCTCGTACAACTCGTTGGAAACAATAGCAGGGCTTTTCTAGCCACCCTATTGTTCAGCCTACCAACAAAACAAATTCGAAAACCCGGCACAAGCAGCAACAACTGGCGAATTTACTCTAGCAAGGATCCTCCCACAGCATCACAAACCGCACCAGCATTCACTTTGTCAATAACGATCTTCGCATCCCCTTCAATCTGGACTATAGAAAGACCCTTTTCTTGACACCATCTGATTGCATCTTGCAGCGCCACCGCCTCAACTAGCAATGGATTCTGAAGCCCATTATACCACCACCCCCGAGCCTCCACCACGGAATTCGTCAAGTCCTTCAACACCAACCCCATCGATGCATGTGATCTCGAGAAAACCGCCCCATCAAAAGAGCACACCACCCTCATCCGCCTCGACTACCCCAGCCATCTCCGTCGGCATTCCCATCTAAGGGACATCGTCCCTACCTACCGGAACCTGAAACCACTCCTGAAACTGAAACTGGAGTCTAAGCAAACCATGTAAAGTCTGCTTGCCCTCTAAGGTCACCTCATTTCTAGCCTTCCAGATCCTCCAAAGCAGGCAAAAAGGACGCACAACCCTAGGATGAGAGGAGTCCCGCTCCATAAATCTCCGAACAAAAATATTGAAACACGCAGTCGGCAACGTTTGCAGTTCCATGGCCAATCCTGCCTCCTCCCACAGAGCTTTCGCCACAGGACAATGCAAAAACAAGTGTTCCGTGCTCTCCTCCTTCACCTAGCACACTGGGCATCGGAGCAAAACAGGGACCTTTTTGTCAGAAAGCACCTCCATCATCGACAAAAGTCTCTGAAACAGTTCCCAGACAAAAACTTTAGCGTGGGTTGAATATTGAAGTCCCATACCTTAATCCAAAGGCTTCGATCCATGGAGCTATATTCCTGCTTCCACTTTCCCACAAAACGAGACTTTCGCTCAACCAGCCTATACCCGGATTTGACCGTATACACCCCAGATGGGTCTTCCCTCCAAACCAGCTTATCAGGGATAGCAATGTGTGGAAAAGGAATTTCAAGAATGGCCCTCACCGTCTCAGGTTAGAATGCCGCATCTAGGCACTCCTTGCACCATTCACCCCTATCTTGATCAATCAACGCGGCGACCAGTCCCGATTCCGCCCAAGTAGCCTCTGGCCGCACTACCGGATACCACAGGTAGATAGATGGGATCCACCCTTCCGATACAATTGGTATGAATGATCCCGAGCCTATCTGAGCCGCCATGCCTTGCCTAAGCAGCTGACATCCATAAAGAACACCCTGCCATCCCCACGAAGGTCGGGATCTGGCCGAACCGAGAAAATTGACCCACGGGGGAAGTACTTACCCTTATATATCTGGGATAGGAGCGAATCCGGCTCCGTATGAACACCCCGCACAATCTTTGCCAGTAAAGCCTGATAAAAGAGCTCAAAACGTCGGAACCCCAGCCCACCTTCATGCTTACTCCTGCAAAGCCGCTTCCAGGACATCCACTAACTCCTAGGCCTTCCATTCAAAAAACCACACCAAAAGAAAGCTAAATGTTTATCCAACCGACGAAAGGAGGTGGTAGGGATCTTAAAGCATGCCATAGCATGAACAGGAAGAGTCGCCGCCACTGCCTTAATCATTGTCTCTTTGGAAGCCTTCGATAAGTGCTTTTGTTTCCATCCCTGGATTCTTTGCAAAAGTTTTTCTTCCACGAATCAGAATGTCTATGCCTTTGATCGAGCCACCAAGGACGGGAGACCTAAGTACTTATCCTAGATACCCACCGCTTCAACCCCTAAAAGCCCCACCATTGCTTGCACTTCAAGCGCTAGGAGATTCGCACTGCAACAGACCGCTGATTTATCCAAGTTCACACGTTGCCCACTCAACTTTTCGTACTCATGAAGCACATTCTTGAGGTTTGCACACTCTTGCATCGATGCTTTAACGAACAAATAGGAATCATCAGAAAAGAACATGTGTGAGACTGGGCTCCCTCGGGATCACCCGCACCCCTTGCAATTGCCTATTCCCAATTGCCCACCGCAATAGCGTTGCAAAGCCTTCCATACATAGAACAAACAACAGAGGGGAGAGAGGGTCCCCCTGTCGCAGCCCTCGCGTTGCAGAGAAAAATCCGGTCGGTTTACTATTCATTAAGACAGATAAAGAGGATGTGGAAATACATTCATGTATCCAACTAATCCACAATGAGTTGAATCCCAACTTTCTTAAGACAACAGTAAGAATTGCCACTCAACTATATCATAGGCCTTTTCCATATCAACTTTCAGAGCTAAGTATTCCTTTTTACCTTTCTTCTTAATCTTTGAATAATTCATAATTTCATGCTCGATAAGCACATTATCAATACTTTGCCGTTCACGAATAAACGCATTTTGCCCCGGTGACACAGTCTCCGGAAAAATTTTTGCCATTCGTTCCGCCGTAATCTTTGATATGATCTTGTACACAAATTGGCACAAGCTAATCGGGCGCAACTGCCTCATTGTCTCAACCTTCTCCACCTTTGGGATGAGCGTAAGCCAAGTATGGTTGAAGCTTCTTAAAATACGCCCATTCATAAAAAAGGAAAGTACCGCATCCACCACCGAAGGCCCACTACATTCCAAAATGTCTTAAAAAAACTTCCCCGTAAACCCATCTGATCCAGGCACCTGGGTGGACCCCATAGCGAAGACCGTTTGACGAATTTCCATTGGGGTCACCTCGGCCACCAGAGCCATATTCATCTCATCAAACACTCTGTGCTCTATGGGTAAGACATTGACTTTCTCCAAATGCCCTCTTCGTCAGTTTCCGACGTGAACAAATGAGAGTAAAAATCAACCGCCAATTCACCCTTAGCCTCTTCCTTCATAACCCACTCCCCATTCTCTTTTCGAAGTTGATTCACATGATTCCATCATCGTCTCGCCCTTGTGACCGTATGGAAGTAAGAGGAGTTTTGGTGTCCTCCCTTTAGCCAACGCACTCGGGATTTCTGACGCCAGTATGTCTCTTCCTCCGCCCATTTAAGTGTTAGTTCCTTCTCCAAGGTGTTAACCCGCTCCCAGTTAATAGGGTATTCCTCCTTGATAGCAGCAATTTCCGTCTCCAAGATACGAATTTGCCTTTCCGAGTTAGATGTCTCAGCCCGACTCCATTGAATAACTTATGGCGAAGCTTTTTCAACCTTGTCCAAAGTTGGAACATCGCCGAGTCCTGAATTTGTAAATTCTAGATTTCCTCCACCATCGGCTCCGGATTCGTGGCCCATCGCTCATCGAATCGGAAAAGGCGCGTGCTGCTCAGGAATAAGGTTTGTCAGCAATAAGGAGGGCTCTGTGATCCGAGCCGAGATCCGTCCCGTGGGTTACCAGAGTTTTTGGGGATTTTTCCATCCACCGATCCGAGGCGAAGGCCCTATCTAGCCTTTCCTGAATACACGCATTTCCCATCCGACGGTTTGACCAAGTGAAAGAATTACCATGAAATCCTAGATTCTGAATTCCCAATCCATCCATGAATGATTGGAAATCCTGGGATTGAACTGGATTCCATGGGTTTCCCCCACTTTTTCACCTGATGAAATAATCCCGTTAAAATCACCCACCATCACATATGGTACCTGAATTCCCGTACAATAATTACGTATACAATCAAATTGCACCACTCTTTCGTTCGCACGACAACTCAAATAAACAAACACCACCACCAAATTTATTCCATTAACAACCAAACTCCCCGAAAAAAAAAGAACCAATAAACAACACTGAGGCACTGCTCTCAGGAGATCATGCCACTGCTAACCCTCCTGCTGAGTCAACAACATCGACCAAATGAAAATCCGAAAAACCAAGACCCCACAACCTGCGAGAAACAACTTTACGACTCGACCGAGTTTCTGACAAGAAAACTACATCAGGATTGTTGACACTAACTAATCCTAAGATATATTGGAATGTGAGGGACGACCCAATATCACGCACATTCCACGACAACAATCTCATTTGGCACCTTGGGGCCATTTTCGGTTGGCTTCCTCCACCGCTGCACTCTGATTCTCCTCTTTCGTGTCCACTAGGTCTTGCAAACATAATTTCTTCACGGCGTTGGATCATCAGCTAGGTTATACACCTGGTCAGTATCCCTTTTCCTACCTTCCATGTCTATCTCTTCCGGAGCCACCATCCTGAACACTTCTTTGAGTGGAGATTTCTCTCCCCTCTCTGAATCTGTCATCTGATCTCTACCTGCATTGACTGTTTGTTCTTTCCCCTGCTTCTTATTCTCCATCATCGTCATCTCAGCCTGCTAGACTACGCTCTTATCCTTTCCTTTTTCTTTCCCGCGAACCACACCATCTCTAGTCTTTTCCTTTGGTCCAGCTCCACCCATGTTCTTGGAAGTCTCCTTCATTTTGTGCTTGTTAGGGATGCGAATTGTCACCGCTTCCCTTTTCCCACTTGCTTTCTCCTGCAAAACAACATCTATCTTTCCTATCACTGGCCTTTTCCCCATCATTTTGCATCTCCCTTTATGTCCATTCTGGGAAGAAGATTTTCCCAGATCAGCAGGCTTGGAGGGTTTCACCTTTCCTTGATCAGTGGCGTGGTCATTCCTCCCCGACAGTTTCTCCTTTCCAGTCGAGTGGTTCTGCTTCTCTTCCTGAACTTTCTTCCCCTCTTGTCCATTCTTGCTTTTGCCCTGGTTCTCGCCCTTCTTTTCAGCACCATCACGACGAGATTCCCTTGACTGATCTGTTTTCTCACCCGATCCTTTCTCCGCCGCCAGAGCTAGAACCACCGTTCGCTTCTCCTGTTGTTGTCCACCCGAATTCAACCCCATATCCAATTGAGCTTCCTCTCCATTTCTTTTCTTCCCCTGAGTAATCGATTCACCCACACCGATTTTTGCAGCGGGGCGCCATGGCAGGGAAAAAGATTCTCATTAATCTATATCCTTATTCTTTTGTTGTCAAACCCGATCCTAAATACTCTTCCCCAGCTGGAGGAGGGAAAACACAGTTCTGTCCCGTGTGATCAAACCTCCCATAGTGGTAACAATACAAGGAAAGGTGTTCATACACAAGGGTGAACCAAAACTTCCCAACAACCGGATTGCTGGCAAACAATTGTGAGCGCAGGGGCACCAACACATTCATGTTCACCCGTACCTTCACAAAGTGACCCAGCATACCCTTGATTCCGAAAAGGACAACATCCAAAACCTCTCCAAGCTTTGCTTCTGCCATCCGTTAACCAAAGGCAACGGTACGACAATGTGAGGGGATTCCCCACATTTGCACCCAAAATGGCGCACGTCGCAGCGATTCCACCACCACAGGGGTCACCAGTTCCCAGGGTTGAAGTTGGAGAATCATGTCTTTGATGTGCCACGGGGTATGATGGAGAACCATGTCTTTGTCCTTCTCATCTTCAAATAAGAACTGGAGGAGACCCAACTCTGCCTTCATGACTGTGACTTTTCCAGAGAAGGACCATTCTCCAAAGACGATCCGCTGGATTGTTTTGAGGCTTGGAGGGTTCTCAAGGAACAACCTTCTGATCATACTCATTTTCTCCCTTCGCATACTATCCTCAACGTCCTCCAGCTCGAACTCCACAATCTGGTATGCATCCATGGGCTTGACTGACATGATTCCTTGCTTATCAATAGCCTGGTAGTGCTGAGAAAATATCCAAAATATTGATAAGAACAAAAGGATGCTTATGTGGGGAGCGAGCCAGAGAACATAAAGACGGTAAACTGCTATTTCAATCATGGTTTGCTTACATCTTCAAAGAAACTCCTAGCTTTTCTGGGTTTTTTGCCTGACTCTCGAGCTTATGGAAGAACTTTGTGAGAGGATCAAGACTGTTGCATGCGATAATATATACCCATTGTGGTGCCAGGCGATTCAGCGCGTTAACAAACGATTCATCTTCAATCGTTATCCCCAATCTTTCTCGGGATATTTTATCCCACCTTCGGATTTGGGTATATCGCCAGTATTTGCCATCTCCTGAGGATAACTCCCAATCTGGGTTGATTTTTTCGCAGCTCTCAGGATCGATTTCTTCGCACTTTCCCGAATCCAAATGAAGGATCTCTTCCATATCCATGTTCCCCTTCTGTTTCCACAGCCAATTGAGAATTGCCGTGCTCGTCCTAGTCTCTATCATAGAGAACCTAGCAGCGATGAAGAAGACGACGCAAAGGAGAAGGCTATAGGGTTTTTTTGAGGAGAGAGGGCAGAGCATGGCTCCGGATTTTTTTCGAGGAGAGAGGGTTTTTCATTTATTCATGATGAAAAGAGTTTGCAAGATAGAGTTACAAGAAAAATGAGTGGCCTAATCCACACCTCTTCTTCATTTCATCTGCGCTCCACATGAGCTATCAAATGGACTAATTTATTTGCTTCTCGGCCTGCATATTTCCAAATAACATGTTGGAATAACTGGGCCCGAGCCCGTAAATCTGCAAAAAAAAAAAAAAAAATACCACCTCAGTGTTTCATTCTTCTTCCTTTCACATTTGTTGAATTACATGTAAGCAATCTAATTTGATCTCCATTTGCAATAAATCTAAACGCCTCGCTATCTCCATCCCATTACCAATTGTTATGGCTGATGCTGCCTCCGGTTCCCCACTGGATCCAAGATTTCTTTACTACTGCAAACATGCATCTTCCATCCCTATCTCGAACCACCACCCCAACCCGTACCTCGTTCCGGGAAGCAAGCTGCGTCAACATTGATATTTATCAGAGCAAGTTTCACTGCATTGCTCTCCCACCCGAGAGTGCCCTCTGTGCGACAACGAGAGGGAGTCTCTTCATCACTGCCTGTTCCAATGTCCACATGTTGCGGAAGGATGGACACAGGAGTGGCCAAGCATCTCTATCCCTCCTCCTCTTACCCATATTTTGGAGTGGCTCTTCGCACTTTCCTCGACTCTCTCTACTATCCAGATTCAGAAGATCATCTATCTTCTATGGCAGACGTGGAAGGCTAGGAACAAAAAGATCTTCAAGAACATATCTCCATGGCCGCCAGGTACAATTGTGAAGGCTCGGGACACCCGCCTACAATGGACGAACTGCCCCAAATGGAGAACGGTTGCCCGATCTCCACATAATCAGCTCAACTCACCCCCTGATCAAACCTCACCCCCGCCATGTACTCATGACTTTGAGATACACTATGATGGGTTGTTTATTCACGACACTCAGAAGGCGGCATATGGCGTTGTGATTTCAAACAACCATGGTCAAGTTTGTGATGGGAAGGCTGATTCCCTGCATTGTTTTTCTCCCCTAGAAGCTGAAGCGAAGGCTCTTCTTGAAGGTACTGTGATGGCAAAAGGTTTGAATGCCCTATGTCTTGTGAGAACGGATTGCCTGACTCTTGTTAAGACAATCTTTGGATCACGAGACTCTTGGCCTTGGCGGGCTGCGGCTTGGATTGGACTCATCAAGGATGCCATTGCCTTTCACCCTTTGATCCGAATTGAATATTTCAACAGGAAACTCAATGTTAAGGCCGATTGGGTTGCGAGATCATGTGCTAGGGGACAGCTCCCAACTGACTGGATTCATATCCTAGATGTTTTAGCTCCCCTCTTGTAACCTGTCACTTCACTTCTAGTATGAATCTCAATGCCTTTTGTAAAAAAAAAAAGTTCGGGGGGTTACCATCGCCTGTCTCCATTCCTTTCCACGATTAAAGGCGTATTTGTTTCTCCAAGTAATCGTTCACTGGTTACAAGTGTGTCTATGATATATATATATATGGCGAGTTCTACGGTACCCTGGGTGAAATCCGGGGGTACCGCATACCTTGAGTAGGAAAACACTATCTAGACCTTGAATTGACCGATCTTTCGGACATGATACTATACTCTAACACTTAAAGATCAAAATCTAGGTGTTAACTCTCCCAATATTATACTCCAAGATCAATTTAATTAGAAATAATAATCGACGGTTATGATTCATCCAAATATAAGCACAAAAAGGAATGCACCATCTTAGGGTTTATATATTATGATTTAGATAATTATGACCTAGGGTTCACTCATTAAGGGTTAGGGTATAATATCAGACACAAAAATCCTGGTAATTCTAGGTCTAGATAGAGTTTCCATACTCGAGGTATGCGGTACCCCGGATTTCACCCGGGGTACCATAGAAACCACCATATATATATATATATATATTTTACAGAAATTGTGATTTAATCATGATTCAACTATTTAATACAAGTAATACTCGTCTATCGATTTAGGTTTCATTAGAAAGTTTTTCTGGTCCGAGACGGTTGGCAAAGTACAATTTCACAAAAGATTAAACAAATGATGAGTTAGCTTCCTAACTATAAAGGTGGCTTAGCACCATGCTAGCCATGCATCGTAGTGGTATAATTACAGTTGTAAATTGTAATTATTGTATTTCCAGTTGGAGTCTCTTTCATTTACAATTCCCAAGCGAACTACTACACTTCATAGTTACACATGAGCTTAGCTACTATAGGGCTGCAAATGAGCCGAGTTGAGTTGAGTTGAGTTTTTGCTTAGTTTGAACATGACTTGTTTATAAAATTTTCAGCTCGAGCCCGACTCGAACTCGAATTTTGATAATCCAATTCGAGCTCGGCTTGAATAAAAATAAGACTCGGTAAAACTCAATAAATGCTCATTAACGTAGCTTATCAAGTTGAGTACAAGCTCGACTCAAGATGAGCTCGATTTGAAACCATTTTTGCTGGAAAATGTGTAAACATAAGAATTTAAATAATAAAAAGAACACTAGAAACTAAAAATAATATCTCACTCCCATAAACATCTGTATTAACAATATAATTTTCATTTTCAGAAGAGTAATTAATCATTCTTAAAGCTCTAAACAAGGCAACTCGCGAGCTTAGCTCAGCAAACCACCAAGTCAAGCTAACTCACGGGCTTATCAAGCTGAGCATGATCTAGCTCAAGCTTGGCTCGTTTATTAACAAGTAAGCTCGTGAGCCGGTTTGTAAAATGATGAGTCGAGTATCGAACGAATTTTTTCCGATTCGACTGTGAGTTGCTCGCGAGCAACTTGACTCATTTGCAGCCCTAACTACTATAGAGGGGAGGACAATACCCGGCCACAAAACACAACTAAAATCACAAGTCAATAATATCCTCTAATCATTGGTGGGATTTGGGTCAAAGGGAACAGCCAGCCCGATTCATAAATGAACATGACTAAACCCATCCCACTCCAAATGGGTCGAACCTAACATCATTTTCATCCACACAACTTGGTCGAAACATGTATTCCACAATGAAAGACTGAAACACATCATTCACACTGGAAGTTAAAATATACGAGTTACGACATTCAGTAATTATTAATTAATAACGTCTTGCAGTACTAAGTGCAATTTGTCTAATACTAGTTGGAGCTTCCACCGATCCCAAAATAGGCAGCCCTTCCCCACCTTCCTAGTTCCTACACAGGAATATATGCACCAAAATGGCTCAAAACCCCTCTAAATGGAGAGTGAAATCAAACAGAACGCTCTCCACTTCACCCCACCAACCAACACCATCACTGCTCCACTAACTTCTTCTTCTGCTTCTACCCTAATATAGTAATATATATGAACCACTAACCCAGTACTTAACCTTGTTTGACTGACTACAGATTCAGCTTAAACCCAGCAGACAAGAAATCATCCCTGCAACCAAAAATCAGCACAGTTCTAAGTAAGCACCACCATTTGATAACAAACGAACAAACACAGTAGCTAGTACATGAACAGATACAAATTCCAGGAGAAAAACCAAACCTCTCTTTCCTTTGGTTCTTCTTCTTCTTCTTCCTTCGGGATCCTGGTTTCTCTTGTTGCTTGTCAACTTTCACTTCCTCTACCACTGGTGGAACCTTCCCATAGGGTGAAACGAGGCTTCCATAGCATACAACTGCATTCACGGACTTCCCATTCAACCCACGTACGGTGATCTTCTCAGCAGCAGCAACTTTCTTAGGATCCTTCAGGTCATACCAAACAAGCTTCTTGCCATCCATCTGCAGAAGAACCTCCTGACCAGTCACTGAGAATCCAAGCGGTTTGATCTCATCATTGTAGCACAATCCGGGATGTGGAACTTTGAACAATAAGCTCCATGACTCCTTAACACCATACTCTTTCATCACCCAGACATCCACAAACTTATCCTTGTAATTGGCAAAGAGACACAAACACTTCCCCAGCTCGCCAATTACCATGTTGAACGGCTCCCAAACTGTGTAATCTGGCTGTGGCACTTCCCTTGATTCATTGAGCTCTACATCAAAGCCGATAATCACGAGCTCACTGAGCGTATCATCACTGTCCGGATCTTCGTGCCTACCAGCTATCCAATGAACTGCCCCACCCACAAACGCACCTGTTTTCCTCAACCCAAGTAGGATATAAGGGAAATTCACCTCTACACAGGAATTCGACCAAACCCCATAACTAACCAACACAGATTGCAGAGAATTTTCTTCAGGCTTGAACACCTGGAGAATCTCGACTACCTTGTAGTCGTCAGAGATGGAATCGTACCCGAATCCGAACCCGGAGTTGTAAATCAAGTTATTCCCGCTGGCGGTGAATTTGTAAACTCCCGTACCCGGTTGTTTCCCGGAGAGCGTAAACGGCATAAAGCAACCATGTTTAGTGGCGGGGTTCGATATGAGTACCTTTTCCGAGTCGCAGGCGAAGCAGAGCAACCCGTTGCAGGAGCCTATTAGGGCAAAGCCCGAGCGTGGATCGGTGCCGCTAGTCTGCGCACGAGGGGTGCTACTCGTTCCGCGATGGAGGCCGTTGACGTACTCATCGACGACGTAGTCGCCGTGGAGTTCGCTGATGAAGAGGATGGCGTTTTTGCCGGTGGTGGCGGAGTGTTCGATTTGGAGCTTGCTGAACCTTGGGCTGTCGATCAGTCCCCGCCAGGCTTTGGAGACACAGCGGCAGCGCAGAAGTGCGGTCACCGGCAGGCGGACGAGAATTTTGGTGACGAGATCTTGGGGAAGGTGATCGGACATTGTGGTGCCAAGAGAATCGGCTTGGAAAAGGGGAAACGCGAACACTTTTTTGAGTCTTGATGGAGACGAGTGGCCAAAAAATAAGGTCTGCACGTTTCGGCTGATCGCTCTAATGGGGAAGGCTTTAAACTTTAAAGAGTTTTAGGGTAAATTGCAAGTTTGATCACTTATATTATCTATTTGTAACACATCAATCATCCAAATCACTTTCTCTTCAATTTTTCAACGATAGATACTATATGTTTATTTCATCCTTGGTTAGTGGCTATATAATACTGATAAATTTGTCATTGTTGGCAGTCAACTCCAACGTCTGACCGTTAAAAAATTGATGTGTCAATCAAAAATAACAAAAATAATTATTTTAAATTTTCACATCATACTAAAATTTAATAAATATTTCTTTTTATAAAAAATAAGCAATATATATTAATAAATGGATCTCACTGACTTCTCTCCAATCACTGACTTCCTCTTCGTTTCATCTTGGTTTTGAGGAATGATGCCGAGGGTTGAGACTCAATGGAGTCAGGGAAAGGACGAGAGGTCAGAGGAGAGAAGGCAGGAGATGGGCTGGGTGGGGTTGGTCTGCTAGGGCGGGTTGGAATTGAGCTCCAGTTGGGTTGAGGTTGGGGCTTGGGGGATTGAGGCTAGGCTATGTAATGTTTATTGTAGAAATTTTTGCTAACGGATAATACATGTACTTGTATTTATCACACATGTATTAATGGGAAAACAATGGATATCCGTTGTAGAAATAATTTATTGTAAGTCCTATATCGTTAAAAAAAGAGTATTTGGGGGGGGGGGGGGGGGGGGGGGGGGGGGAGGGGAGGATGAGCCACTGTCTCGGTCTCGCCGACTCGGGGTTTGCCAGTTGACGTTGCGTCTTGGTTTTGAGGAATGATGGCGAGGGTTGAGACTCAATGGAGTCGGGGAAAGGACGAGAGGTTAGAGGAGAGGAGGCAGGAGATGGGTTGGGTTAGGGGTGGGTTGGTCTGCTAGGGCGGGCTGGGGCTGGAATTGAGCTCCGGTTGGGTTGAGGTTGGGGCTTGGGGGACTGAGGCTAGGCTATGTAATGCCTATTGGAGAAAATTTTTCTAATAGATACGTGTACTTGTATTTATCACACATGTATTAATGGGTAAACAATGGGTATCTGTTGTATAAATAATTATCGTAAGTCCTATATCGTTAAAAAAGAGTATTTGGGTACCCGTAACCCTAAAAAATTGGACGGGTAAGGGTATAGTTGTTGGTGAAGAAGGAGCAACAATCATATTTAAATAAATTTGAATAATATAAAATGAGACGGGTATAGATATAGTTGTCGCTGGAAAAATAGTGATCAAGTACCATACATAATACATATACCTCTTACAAAACACGAATTATTGAAATAAGTTGGTTTATGATTTATCTCGCAAAATGGCTAACCTTGGACATTTCAGCACTCCGGCATATCACGATATTTGACATTTCAGTCGGCTGGTCTATAACCGAATCTGCACCAGATCGACCAAACCAAATCGAACGAAATCTAATGCAGTTTAATACTAATCTCATGCATTTTATAAATAAAGAAAAATGATTTGGTTCTGTCCGATTGGTGAAAGGACCTAAGTTATAAAGTGCTAAATTTGACCCGAAATTACGGTTAGTACAATGGGTAGAACTGAACCAGGACTGCAATTTGCCAATTTCACTCCCAAGGGCCAAGTCCCAAGTCCAACCCATGAAATGTGGGTTCCTAATCCATTTTACAGAAAACCTCCTCTCTGGAATCAACGAGAAGTCCGGCGAGCGCGCTTCTCCTTTCTCTTCTCGGCTTCCGCCGTCTCCGGCAGACCAGAGCTGCCTCCGGTCGACTTCGGTTCCCCATAGGCTGCTGCCTCCGAGTCCCGGGATTCGGCTGCAACTTCTCTCTTCCGATCTCCCTCCTGTTCTTCCGATCTCGCTTCAATCACCGGTGCCTTCAACCCCTCGCCCTCTCGCTACTACTCAACAGCCCAATGCTTAGTGAGGTAACTTCTTATATCCCTCACAATCCCTCCCTGAATCGCAGGCAAATTTTGAAATTGTGATTACTGATTAGAATTTATAACTATTGTCTAGTGGGTAGCTTGCCAATTTTGATTTCTATCAATTATCTTAGTTTCTTAGCCAAGTTCACGGATACTTCTAGTTTTAGCCCTGTTGTTGGCATGAGTCAGGAATTTGTGAAGCATGAATATAGTCAAGTTTTCAAAACAAACGTTCTTCATTGTGATACTACTTCAGGTTGAGTACTTCACTCAAGCTCGTATGACTTGTGCATTTGATCACTGGGCTGTGAGCTTCCAAGCCAAGGATCACTACATACTTTGATGTAGACTCGCAGCTCGCTTCATTTCTAACAAATTTAACTTCACTGCGCTTGTTGATTGAGTGTGATGTTTAGAGGTCAGGACTCTACGTGAAATGAAATCGTTCGGTCATTGTTAACTGGATTTGTTGTTTTTACGCAATGCAGTCAAGTTGGTGTAGTGGACCATGACATATCGGAATCTATAGCAAGAAATGAATGAATCGTCTATTGCTACCGCAAGATTTACTTACATACATGATCGAAAGTGGCCTTCGGCAGCAATTGATGTGCACCATGTAATAGTTCGGCAAAGCAATCTGAAGGGTTTATTAGTTTGCCTTCTTGCTTTGGGATTCTCGGCAAATGGATTATATCTCTTCATGGTCCTGGCGGGTAATTAATTATCTCTCTGCTACTTCTTTACAATTAGCGTTTTGGGACTGAAGATGGATGCTTTTAGTGGTTAAGAGTTATTTGGGACAGCAACTCAGGCTATACAAACTTCTGGATTAACAAGATAAATCACCTTTCGCTCTTTTGTGGAGTTTACTGTTGAGTTCAATCCTTCTCAAACTTGGTATCGGGAAGTCTGTTCTGAAAGGTGAGAAGAAGTGAAATCAGCCTCTTGTCCTACAAAGCATCATTCTTTTTTTCTTGAACTCTATATCCTGTTTGCTAGTGACTTGCATTGATTGACACTTGCAGAGTCGGTTCTGATCATGCCACATTTCGGGGTTCAACTCGAAACACATTATAGAAGGTGTGCACATAAGTTCTGATATTTGGCCTTCCGAGTTTCATTTTTGGGCCCTCTTAGCACGTGAATTCGAAAAATGAGAAAGTGGAAGCTGGCTGATGTTGAAGTAGGGTCTGAGATTTGCTTCTATATGCAAGCCTCCATCTTTCAAATGAAAACAAACACAGCCATGCCATTTTGATTAGAATTAGTGGAAGCTTGTCGATATTAGATTCACTGTGGACCTTCCTGGCCTGTTTCTTTCTCTACTTGGTATTATCTGCTGGGCAGTGGAAGAATATCACGCCGCTTTGTGCCAGTTCCAGTGAGCACGATTCTGAAGCCATTGCTGCTAGAGCATGTGAATCCGGTTACTTCTTACTGGGTTCTGTCTCTGATTTTGCTTAAGGAAGAAGAACTGACTCCGGTTTTCAAGGTATGAATACAAGTTCTGGCATTTGGTGATAGTTATGGCATCTAGAATAGTTTAGATGAATTGCCATCTTCCAGGTAACAATTTTAGTGTTTCAGAGTTTTTTTATTGTACATGGTAATACCTGGAAGATGACTACGCATAGATTCTAGATATTAGGTATGCTTGGTGGGTTGATTAGAGTCATTGGGTATGGATCTAGGGTTGTTTGCATAGGTGCATCTGTATATCGTCAGCTAGGATACTTTTCTCGATCTTCTGTCAGACAAAAACATTTGGAAGATCTGGTTAATGATGGTCTTAGGGAGCGGTTGATTTCTCTATTAACAAGCTAACTATATAGAGCATCCGTCGTCCTTCGCTGCACCTTGCATTCTTGGTAAACAGGAGTTTGAAAGAGATGGGGGGAAAACTTGATCATCCTCCTGTTCTAGTGTAGTCACCAAATTTTTGCAGCTGCATTGTTCTTCACTAGAGTTGATCACATTCATAGGATCTCACAAAGTTGTGATGTAGACTTTTTGAACTATCATTCTTGAAAATTCTCTATATTGAAGCCATTTCACATAGCATTCACTGAGTGATTGCCGCATTTGGATTGCCAGCCCTTGCCTTGATAGTTGATACTGTTTAGGGTCAGGGAATCATTAAGCTCCAACTGTTAGTTTTGTGATTCTCGTCAAGTAAAGATTACAAAAGCAAGAGCACAAATGAAATCAAAAGGCTTCTGTTGTGGGTGTAGTGAAGTGTCCATTTTCCTTATTTTCTCGATCTTCTATGTTCCTTATCTTGTGAATTGCTTTATTATTTCATTTGCATTTATAGTTTTACCAATCACAATGTTCTAACTATTTTCTTTCATATGCTTGTAGGGCTATAATGAATCTGTGAATTTGATATCAAGTAGTAGGGAAAAAGAAGATACTTTTATCGGCAAAAATGAAATCAAAAGGCTCTAAGGGAAAACGAGCTCAAGCACCATATCTATCAACAATGTGCTTAGTTCCGATGTGAGTTCCTTTACTATGGTTAACTACTGATCTGTACTTTTGTGTATGGTTCCAACCAAGCAGTAGGGAGAGCCAAAGTTTTTTAGTCTTTTCTTGTTGAGTGTGGTTTTGGTAGTACTGTGATGGAGACATTTTGATTTAGATGGGGTCTTGTTTCTTTCTTTCCTGCAAGCTTAAGCACTGTATAATAGGTTTTCCTAGTGGTTGCCTCCTGCTGCGGTCTTGAATTGCTGTAGGAACAGGAACTTGAGAGTTTCTTGTGCATATGCTATAACTGGATGCTCTAGTTTGGTTGCTGAACCATATAAGATAGCTTAGAAAGTAACTGCAGTCCAAACTATTGAAGGCTGAAGCTACTGATCAACCAACACTAATTCTCCTTTTCTGCTTTTATGTCCTGTTTTCATTAACTCGGTTGAACCATGTAAGATATGCTCTAGTTTGGTTGCTTTTATGTCCTGTTTTCATTTACTCTGTTGTTGTTTAGGTCGAGTGTGATGATGCTGGAATGGATTCCTCAAGTGGGGAAGAGATGGAAGTTGAAATGGATGCAAGTACGAGCAAGGTGGCTGCTAGTGATCATACTGGTTCAGCTTCGACTCATATTGAGTCACCAATGCCAAGATTCAGAGGAGATTGACAATATCGATGAAGGTGAGTAACCTAAAAAAAGCTATTGTTTATGTACCATGTACGTTTTCTGTGGTGGTTACACTTTCTTCTAATGAATTTCAGAGTTGAGTATGATAATGAAGGCTATTGGTATCTCTGATGTTCCTATTCCTCGTATGAGTCCTAATGTAGAGGCAAGCGCAAACACATAAGGTAGCATTTGAACCTAATCATTATTGCGATTTCCGAGCTACCTTGCTTATTTTGGATACTTAGTGAAACTGTATTACATTTGAAGTTGCTATGTTTAAGATCTTTGTAAAGATACATGTCAATGCTCTATCTTCCCTGTCCCCAGATTCATTCCCAATCCGGAGAAGCCTTGATAATACTAAATTGAAAAAAAAATTCTTTGTGAAGAGTACTTGATTCGGTTTCACGTTCTGGCAGTGATCTTAGTTGTCTGCCTGTTTCTGTTCTTGAGTTTTGAGACTCCACTTTGCAACCCTAAGGCTCCTGTCCTGTGGGTTCTTTTGCACTCTCATCCTAGACAGGGCTAGCTTCTTTAGATCTGCCAAATATTAGTTATCTTTTCTGCAACCTGATATCATCAAGCAAATATAAACCAGTCAATTGCTATCTCTTGAAAAAACCACATAATATGGCATGTCAATGCTATAGCAATATCAGTCTCGGATTTCCTTTTCTACAAGCTGCCATCTCAAACATTAGCTAGGCATTGCCTTCTTGCTTTGTACTGCTTTGGTTCAGTTTGAAAGGCTGTTTGAACTTTGAAGTTGCTATGATGTTTGTATGAACAGAGAAGGTGAAATATTGTAGTCTGGAACTCTCACTTGGATCATTGGACTTTAATCAAGCTTGATCACCATTGGTCTGCTTTCCTTTTTATCTTCTTGGTGCTGTTACATTTCTGGAGTTCCCAATAATGATGTGTTAACTTAGTGGAGACTTGTATTTGAAGCTAACTTGCATGTTGTTCTATTAACAGGTGGTTCCAGCTTAGGCTCTTCCTCCAATATGTGTTTTCAGGTTGATGGAAACTACACAGAAGCTGTCAAAGTCGTCAAAGTCAGAGCTTCTAGAAGACGGTGTAGATGGGTAGTCAAAGAAGGAAGTCCCTAACTTTCTTGTGTTTCTTGTGTCTGTAATTGTTTCGAGAGGTTCAAATTGTAGTGTTAATGGATTAGTCTACTTCTCAATTTAGCATTACTTGCTACTGGTTATTTACTTAGTTGTGGAAACAGTTGCAGTAGCTAAGGGCCCCTGATGGTTCCATCTATTTTTAAGAGGCACTGATATTGTGTAATGTGTAGAGGGAACTTGGCAATGGCATGCTCTGTTTTGGTGACAGGAAAACAGAGTCGCCAGCTCCAACAGTAACAGTTTGCGATTTTTGGCATGCTCTGTTAAACAAAGTCTGTTTCTTGATTCAGTTCTTGATTTTGGCATGCTATGTTTTAGATACGTTGTACAAATCATAATGAATTGCGGTCAAAATGCGGTGCGGTCTAAATCGTTCCAAACCACTAATTTATGCGGTTTGGTTTGACCGCACCGATAACTTAGCGGTCGAACATGCGGCGGGATCCAATTAAGATGCGGTGCGGTTTATATGAATGCGGTGCGATGCGGTCCGAACCGCACCGATACACACCCCTACATGGTATTGAGCGACGACTTGGACTTTGGTTGTTCAGGAGTTGCACCTGCCTTTGAAGATGCTGGTTCCTATCTGGAAGGCATTGTGTGGCTCTGTGTCTGGAGATAATGACTCTTCTGTACATTCAAATGTAGAAGATCATGAACAGAGTGTCTGACAAATTGGATTATCAGATCAAGGAAAGAAGAAGAGCTGAAAATTTTAAGTCACTATGGGTTTATGGGACTTTCCTTCTTATACCAGTCTTTCCCCTGATCCGAGTCCGAGGATGAAAAGGACAAAAAAAAAAGTATAAGAGGGACAAATAAAAGGACACGAAACATGTTCTTCCGCCTGGACATATAAAAGTAAGGTTTGGGGCTAGAGGTCGTGTCTTTCGGCGGAACAAGGCAGCATGTCGATCTTTGAAGCGGAACAAGGCAGAAAGAGAAGGAGGAACAACTTTGGAATGGCAACACCGGTGGTCGGCGGCGAAGAAGAAGAACCAACAACCGACCAATTTTCGAAACTGCCGGATGAGTTATTTATGTTATAAATAAGTCTCTACCCGTTCCTAACATCAGTGTAAAAGACACGTAATAAATACACTCATTACTCGAATTTGGCTACCTAATGAAATACTAAATTTCAACCAACTACCACTAATAGCCAAAGATTGTGAAAAGATGTTTGGCATTCTAATAAAACTCTGGAGATATTGTCCTCATTCTCTTTGAAAAGATGCAACTTTTTTGTGCTTTCATTGCTCACATGTCATAAGAATGTTTTGTTTGGTCAAAGGGTTACCTCACACATATAATGAAGAGCATAGAAGATGAGCCAACCAATCAGCATGATCTTCTGGTAGGTAGTTCATATTACTACAACCAGGGTGGTATTATTAGCCTGTTTTCATGGTTCTTAACGTACATATTTTCCAATGAGCTTACACATTCCGAAAGTGAAAGTAAAAAAACAAATGCATTGCCAAGGAACTCTGATTGTCGAACATTATCCATGTCTGAGGAAAGACAAATAGTTTATGCACACTACATTATTATCCATGACTGTTGAATGACCACTACCTGCTCATTGAAGCTTTTATCTCTAATACCAAAACCTCGCAACTACGGCTAGCGAGAAATGTCAATATTCCCTCAACCACAACAGTTTTCCAGGGAAATATTTAGTAATGGCTAATCCAAAAGATAATTGAACTCCCAGCGTATTGATCTAATCCAGAATCGGGTCTTAACCATTCAATGACAAAATTAAGGAGCAACTATAGTAGAAAAAGGTAAAAGCAAAAGAAGAAAATGCCACAGCACCAAGAAGGTACAACAGTATCACCCAAAGGACAATCAATCTGCAGATTCAAATGTGCTTTCTTCTCTATACGAAACCGAAAATCGAATAGAGAGGAGTTTTCTTCTGCTTACATTTTCTTTGAGGGTGATATTTAGCCTGGACTCAGCCTCTACGTAGTTCTTGGTATTTGAGACACTTTTTTCTACCATTTTGATATGTAAGTTTTGGTAGTCATTACAATTTAGAACAACAATCATTGTAGGAAATACAGCTCGAGTTTCAAAGCTACCGCTTTAGTTAGCTCTTCCACGACCTCTGCTTCCATCTGGTCGTCCATAAGCACTGGAAACAAACGAAAGCAAACTTTTGCCAGGTCAAACAAATGAAAAACAGTCAATGAAACAAAGCAAATAGGAATAGCGCCCAAAATAGTGAGCAAAAGCTTCACAGACAAACGAACATCATAGACCGAACAAATGACTGGTCAAAGAGGGTCCAATTCCTTTGAAAACAGACAACAAGAGCTATTTACTGGGATCCAGGACCTAACCCTCCCTCTCCAAGCAGTGTACTTGAAACATTGAGCAAAACTCTGAAACTAGGGAAGAAGATGAGAAGCAGAGTTTTGAAAATCGAGTTCTAGATGAAAAATGATCGGACATAAATCACGTATGTATCTAGTTTGCCCTGTGAGATTCGTCACCCAATAGTTGCAGTTCGACAATGGCTTCCTGAAAAATCCCAAGAGATAAAAAAGAATGCAGGACTGGAAAGCAGTTCAACCATGGCTTCCGAGAAATTTTTTTTTATCCAATTTCAGTAGATGGAGTAAGAAAGAAGTGCAACTCAGCCAACCCATAACTCAACTCACCTTCTGCAGAAAGATAAAGTTGAAATTTAAGCTTTGAGCTTCTAAATATCCCAATGTCTGCCTTTTCCAAACTGTAGATTAGATAGGAACGTTTAGCACTCAAGTCAAAACCTTCAAGTAGTAACAACAGTTTGAAGATAACCTGTATGTACTCCTGGTGAAGAGCGATACATAAAGAGAGATAAAAAAAGTGTCTCTTCCTCCTCCTCCTCGTCGTCAATTTCAGCCACTCTTCAAGTGTGAAAAGAACTGACTTAGATTGTGAAGTTGAAGTGCATAAAACTGAATTATAAGTTCCAACCGTGAAGTTGCAGACTTGCAGTGCATAAAACTGAATCATCTGCTCTTGCAAGTCTCCATGGATGCCCTCTCTTTTTTTATTAATTCAATACTCTATAATGAAAAATAAAACTAGCCTTTTATCCGGTTAATTGGCCGGATTACTTTTAAGGTACTGAGTACTGATTAGTCAAACTCGAGAGAGTTAGAGAGGGATACTTTTATTTTTGGAGAATTGTATATCAAGATGTTAATAAAGCATTGATATGATAGGTATTTTAAAAATGTTTGAACATACTATCAAATTTTAGACAAATATATACATCTGGATCAAGATAACCGATGACCAAATTTAAGTAGTTGAATGGAAATGTGGAACTCCATGAATAATAACCGATGACCAGAAAAGTTCACCGCCGCCAAAAACGATTAAATTACTCCTAACCCGTCCGATCAACCCATGTAAAAGAATCCAACCGCTAGCCTTTAACCCGTAACTCACCCCAACCCGACCCATCATCCCCCGCGGAATTTCCAGCTAATTAAATAACGTCCACCGTTGACACGTCTTGTTCAAGTTCGCAGCAAAATCAGAGATTTCGGAGAACATCTCGCTCATCGCCTCTCCGTCTCCATCTCTCACAGCTCGTAAAGCTCTCTGCAACTCCACGAGGTAAAAGAAATCAGGCCCGGCCCAGATCCTGTGCTGGTCTGATCTACAGCACAGGGCCTCAAAATGTTTGGGGCCTCAGCTTGGCCCATACACTAATACATATATATTAAAAAAAAATTAACCTGAGAAAACGAATCGGCAGAGGCCCTCACCCAGCCTGCTCCTCCAGGCTCCAGCCTCCTTATTCCCTTCTCTTTCTCAAATCTCATAAATCGTAATCTCCCCTTCCCCAAATTTCCTTTCCCCAAATTGCTTACCTTCCCAAATTTCCCTTCCCCAGATTTCTCACCTTCCCAAAAGTAAACAACGATCTCTAAATCGATGTTTGTCTTTATTTCTTCATAATCAACTCAATCCTTCCCCCTAAAATACTCAGCCAAGAAGGTGAAGCAAAGCATCCGCCCAAATTGGCAGATTCTTCCTTCGATTTTCATTCCACCGACGAAATCAATCTCTTACTCCGACTTTACCGCTCCGGCACTCCGCGGTCCCGCTAGGCGCTCGCCTTCTTCCCCTGTTTCCGACTTGGCGACTTTCGTCTCTCCGTCGTGGTTCGGTAATTGATAAGAATTTTGTTGACATGTCTTGTCTTTTGTTTATTCCTTGTATGCTGTCTACTGGATTTTGGAGACTCTGTTCTTCTGTTCTTCATACTCTGCTTCTGTTGCTGATTGGAGATGGCCGAATGGAGCCATGGAGTTGGAGAAGCAATGGGGCCGCCAGGCAGGGGCGAAATTGGAATGGGCTGGCCTAAATTGGAATGGGTTGCCTAATTTTGTTTTGGGCTGAGTGATTTCTAACCAATTTTATGTTTTTACAAGAGATTTTGCTTGGAAATTTGGCTTAGTTGATTGTTGAGTTGTGCATGGAAAAAAATTTAGGGCCACATTTTTATTTTCGAACAGGGCCTCCGAATATTATGGGCCGGCCCTGAAAGAAATCCTGCTCTCGATCTTGTTTCGTCTGTCTTATTTCGCACTGTGATCTGCTCTACCGGCTGGCTTCGCTGGTTCTGTTCCCGGTGGTTTGACGCCGTCCTGTTTTGAATTTTCGATGCCTCTGTAGTTCTGGGGGAGCTATGAACTGGATTCAACGGAAGATCTATCTCTACAATGTCACCTTCGGGCTATTCATGTTGGATTGGTGGGAACGTTGCCTTTTCAGTATCCTTATGATAAGTAGGGATCTGCTTTTCCTTCTTTTGCCTCTTTTGCATTCGCAGAGATTTTGTGTTCTAGATTTTTCCCAGGAGCTGTTTGTAGTCTACTGTATATGAACAAGAGATATGTGGATTTCAAACTTGGGACTAGTTCTGAATCAAATTTACTGATGGGGTTGAAGGGGTTTTTGGCAAAATCTCCTGTTTGTGTGTTTTTGCTGCATTTTCTTGTTTGGGTTCCTGAACTTGGCAGATACGCTGATGCTCGTGTTGATCTGGTTCATTGTTCGGTACATTACTGACTTCTGCAGCAGGTAACTTCTGTTCTCGATATTGGACAATTTGAATGTTGATTGCATCAATGCTTTCCAATTTCTGTGTGACTGTGGAATGCTTGTTTATGTTGAGTTATTGACAAATGAATGGTAGGTAGCTTGGTACCCACAATCTCTACATGTTGGTACCCATCAACAATTGATTTGCTGATGCAGATTGGAGAAGAACGCCCATATGAGCATAGATGGAGCGAGGTCGCCACCCTCCTGCACTCGCCGTCGTCGAAGATCTTAGCAGCTGCTAGCAGGAGAAAAAAGGAGAAATGGAGAAGTCGACGACGACGCCGCCTGGAGAAAAAAGGAAGAACGAAGGTTGCTGGTCGTAGAGAGGAAGATGAAGAAAGCAACCGATTAGGGGTAAGGTTTTGAAAAAATGAAACAAAAATGAGGGATTTGAAAATAGTTGATGGTAATCAGCTATTTTAAAAATTCTCATTTGAGGGTTTTCAAAATTCCTAATTAATTGTAAAAACCTTCATACTTTCCAAACGCAGAAATGTACAAAATTCTGCATAATGAGAGATTGTGATTAGGGCGATACTTGGCTGCTGTCTGGGTTGCAGCCCATGGCTGCCACCTATTGACGTGGCACCATATCATTGGTTCAATGGATATTATTAAACTTATTTGGATTAGGAAAGGACGGAAACCGGACGGAAACTATTTCTTTTCTTGGACGGACGGAGAGCAGCCCAAACGGTGCTGCCTCTTTACATTTTTTTATTATACTTTTTATATATTTTTTATTAATTGAAAAGGAGATAATAATATTAAACACACAGAGTGCACTAGTACTTGTTTTCCAGCTTAACTAATATTGAGAGGAGTGATATAATATACTAGTACTTGTTTTCCAGCTTAACTAATATTGAGAGGAGTGATATAATATGCGGAGCAAGGTTGTCAAACCGGTTTATACCGTTGTACCGGTTTGGCAAGTGGAATGGTACGACCAGTGGTATAACCTGTTTGTGCCGGTTCATGCCGGTCTAAAAAAATGTGAAAATAATTAATATTCAATGTATTTAATCATATATAAAATATATTTGTGGACAATTTAGTTATAATCCAACAAATATCATCAACTTTTAACTATTACATTCATAAAATGAATAATAAGTCATTATTTTTATTCATTAAATTCATTAAAATGATGTCATTTTCTTAGAATTCGTAAGTCGATCATACCGATCATACCGGTGGTGTCATGCCGGTTTCATGACCGGCACAGGTTGAACCAGGTTCAACCGGGTGGCATGCCACCGGCATGACAACCATGATGCGGAGTGAATCATATCTTAACAATTGGTTGATTTTAGGTGATGAACAATGATCAATTTCCAAAATCAATTATTAGTTCAGTGGGAGAAAACTTGGAATCTACACCCTTTGTATAAGCAATATATCATTCTGTTACAAATATAAATTCAATTTTATTATTTATTAATTAAGATGGAAAACAAGTACTATTGCACCTCTGTGCATAGTTAGTAAAATACGGTACGAGAAAGTTATGTATAAAATATGTACGAGTACTTTACTCTGTCTCTATGTTAATGTTACGTTTAATAGTAAGTTAAAAGTCATAAATATATAAAATTATTTATTTTTAAAATAAATAAATTTATAAATAATAATAAAGTTAATAATTTAATTCATTAAATACGGATATTAAGCGTATTATATGGGTTTTATACGTGTTTAATACGGGAGCTATCAAATGAACGAACAAAAAAGAAACGGCTTGACAATAATACGGATACGAAACTTTTAAATGAATAAAGTACGTATGGATACATGTATGTGTATTAAACGGAATATTTATTAATTATGCCTATGAGTGTTTAATATTATTATCTCCTTTTCAATTAATAAAAAATATATAAAAAGTATAATAAAAAAAATGTAAAGAGGCAGCACCGTTTGGGCTGCTCTCCGTCCGTCCAAGAAAAGAAATAGTTTCCGTCCGGTTTCCGTCCCTTCCTAATCCAAATAAGTTTAATAATATCCATTGAACCAATGATATGGTGCCACGTCAATAGGTGGCAGCCATGGGCTGCAACACAGACAGCAGCCAAGTATCGCCCTTGTGATTAAAATCTCTCTTCAAAAACCTTAATCCAAATGACCCCCAAGTATTTTTCATTAGTCTGTTGACTTTTGAAATTGGTATTGTTGTTTTCTGTTGCCACGACAAGTGTTGTAAGAACATTTTTTTCTGCAATGAAATACATGAAGAACACACTTCAAAATACGATTGATGAAATCATGAACGATTTTTTGATAAGTTACACGCTAAGAGTGACTTCCTTGATAGTTTGAATGACGAATGTATATATTAGACACTTTTTCATATTATGAAAATACGTTTTGTAAAAAAATAACATAATATTGTTGAACCTCACATGTACGACCGATCGAGGAACCAATAATCAAAGCTGTTGAATGAAGAGAAACGATCGAATTACATCATATCAACTGATCCCAATGATCACACTGTATTACGTACGTAAGCTGGCAATCAGCTGCTGCCGCAGAGCTTCCATGGCGGCGCCATTTCCATCCTGCTCCTCCGAACCATCATCATTATAGTAAGTTTAGTAACCGCATTCGTCATCGTCGGACGTTGAGAAAAGCGGTTGAAATTTGTTGTTGCGGCAACGAACCATGACATCAGCAGCATCAGTACTATCATCATGTTGGTGTTGATCATTCTTCTTCTTCCTGGTGGGTAATGCATCGGCTGGCAGTGGTACACTTCCACTTCCATTATTCTTCATTATTAGCTTCTCGATGCTTAGAAATATTCCTACACGTAGACGTAGAGAGTAGTAAATAGTAACTAATTGCAAGTCCATGTTGCTGAACCGAAAAAGTTAATGATTGATGGTTCAACAGTTAATCATTATAGAATTGTTAGTTAACGGCGGACAAAACCGCTCATATATTATACACTAATTTACCAGTGAAATTACAGCTAACTATAAACAAACTCATATCCCTATCATCTATCAACAAAAAAGCTTGGTCAAAGTATTCAAGCTATATATCTCACAAAGGTAATCAACCTTTTATTATTATTTAATTCAAAACAATAATCAGGATGAAGATCCATAGTGGACCACATTAATTAAGTTGAAAAAAGACCGGAAAATGAAGAAAATGAAGCATAAACAAAATTAGTGATCGAGGTTGGATGATCTTACTTTACGTTGTTAAACGGCTGAAGTTTTTTTCTTAACTTTTTGTGGTTAAAATTGTGAATTGGTTGACTAGTCAAATCGTAATGGTTATTCCTTTGATTTTAAATCAAATATTTAAAAAAACATTTGGTCCATTCCTAAGTCCTAACCATTCAATCAAATAAGCCGAATTACTATCCTAATTGGGTTATTGGTTCTAATTGCGTATCCATTGATCCGGTTCGATTTGTACAACAATAATGAGCTAGCCAATAGTTGGCAAAAAAAAAAAAAAAGAGCTAGTAATTAGTTTTACCATGGCATTGGGAGGAAAGCAAAACAGTTGCGGTGCTGATCTCGATCATCGGCAAAACATTCGAGCTTTTGGGTGGAGAGATCGAAGACGCCGGAGGAACAACATTTATCCTGGTAGCCACGGCGGAAGTCGTCGATATGGACGAAGTATATACGGCCGTCTTCCACCCCGTTATGGCGGAAAGCAGGGAGGCAAATCGACTGGTGGAGGTGAGACTGCTGGCTCAACAACACAGCATTGCCGCCCAAGCTCCTCACTTTTTCCCAGCCGGCGTGTGATTGTTCGTCGTCGTAATTAGCATGTTGTCGCAGCTTGTATACCTTGAATGGCTCGGAGTCGAAGGAAATTAAAGTCCTTTTGTATCTGATGACGTGGAGCTGGCCGTCGTCGTCGTCGAGGTGGAACAATCGAAGGCGCACCTCGCCGCCGAAAGGGATCGTGACTCGGGATCTCGAACCTCCAAGTCCAAGTGGGGTTATTATTATAAAGTTGTGGAAAATGTGGAGGCTGCGTTCGTCTGCGAGATACAGTTTGCCTTGTGAATAGGAGGCGTCCTGGAATTGGGCCTTTCTCAGCATAATAAAGTTCAGGCCCATGAATGCCCACTTTTGTTTCTTCTTCTCCCCTTCTTCTTCTGGGCCCACGCCCACCTCGCGCCATGCCAGCTGGCAGTGGGGGCTACGAGGGGAGGAGAATACGAGGATGACGTGGCAGCGTTCATCGTGACGGTCGGGGGAGGAGGAGATGACGGCTTTCAAAATATCGTCCGGCGAGATGACGAGAGGAGGGAGGGTGAAGAACGCGCCGGTGATCGGGTTGAGGAGGTACGGCTTCACCGGGTCGGGTCGAGCTGCGGGTTGGATTACGAGGACCCACCCGTCTTTGGAAGTGACGACGCACGGGTTATTTGAATTCGTCGGCGGGCTAATTCTCGTGTCGAGACCGAGCGGGATGGTGACGTGGCGGGGGAGCCCACGGCGGGATCTGGAATATGGACGGGGAGGAGGAGGAGTGCCGCTGCCATCACCGGCGGCGGCGAGGAAATCGGGGAGCGGGTGGAATCGATGGGAATCGGGGGTGAGGGTCCGGGATTGTAGGAAGCCAGGGAGGCATGGGAAGCGGTAGTTGTTGAGGTGGAGTTGTTGGAGACCGACGATTCTCCACCATCTGCACACGCCGGAGAAAGGGACGAAATGGGAGAAGCTCGGCAAGTGATCTTTCGCGATCTTCGCCAATATGTCCTCCGGTAGCTCTGAGTATAAATCCATCGTTGGGGAAGACGAAAGCCGGATCCGGGTCAGGTTATATATATATATATATATATAGTAGGGTTTCAGGAATTAGGACCTTCTTGAAATTCAGGAAACTAAAAGTCCCTTCCCATCAATACCTCCCTCCCTAAGTAATCTCCTTGCTAATCTCTTTAGGATCTTGAAGCCTCAAACCAATTCAATTCCATTCCCAAATCAACCTCCTGAGTCCTCAACATACTTCCGCAAACCTCGTTGCCCAATTTTTCCATCCACCGATCCGAGGCGAAGGCCCTATCTAGCCTTTCCTGAATACACGCATTTCCCATCCGACGGTTTGACCAAGTGAAAGAATTATCATGAAATCCTAGATTCTGAATTCCCAATCCATCCACGAATGATTGGAAATCCTGGGATTGAACTGGATTCCATGGGTTTCCCCCACTTTTTCACCTGATGAAATAATCCCGTTAAAATCACCCACCATCACATATGGTACCTGAATTCCCGTACAATAATTACGTATACAATCAAATTGCACCACTCTTTCGTTCGCACGACAACTCAAATAAACAAACACCACCACCAAATTTATTCCATTAACAACCAAACTCACCGAAAAAAAAAAGAACCAATAAACAACACTGAGGCACTGCTCTCAGGAGATCATGCCACTGCTAACCCTCCTGCTGAGTCAACAACATCGACCAAATGAAAATCCGAAAAACCAAGACCCCACAACCTGCGAGAAACAACTTTACGACTCGACCGAGTTTCTGACAAGAAAACTACATCAGGATTGTTGACACTAACTAATCCTAAGATAGATTGGAATGTGAGGGACGACCCAATATCACGCACATTCCACGACAACAATCTCATTTGGCACCTTGGGGCCATTTTCGGTTGGCTTCCTCCACCGCTGCACTCTGATTCTCCTCTTTCGTGTCCACTAGGTCTTGCAAACATAATTTCTTCACGGCGTTGGATCATCAGCTAGGTTATACACCTGGTCAGTATCCCTTTTCCTACCTTCCATGTCTATCTCTTCCGGAGCCACCATCCTGAACACTTCTTTGAGTGGAGATTTCTCTCCCCTCTCTGAATCTGTCATCTGATCTCTACCTGCATTGACTGTTTGTTCTTTCCCCTGCTTCTTATTCTCCATCATCGTCATCTCAGCCTGCTAGACTACGCTCTTATCCTTTCCTTTTTCTTTCCCGCGAACCACACCATCTCTAGTCTTTTCCTTTGGTCCAGCTCCACCCATGTTCTTGGAAGTCTCCTTCATTTTGTGCTTGTTAGGGATGCGAATTGTCACCGCTTCCCTTTTCCCACTTGCTTTCTCCTGCAAAACAACATCTATCTTTCCTATCACTGGCCTTTTCCCCATCATTTTGCATCTCCCTTTATGTCCATTCTGGGAAGAAGATTTTCCCAGATCAGCAGGCTTGGAGGGTTTCACCTTTCCTTGATCAGTGGCGTGGTCATTCCTCCCCGACAGTTTCTCCTTTCCAGTCGAGTGGTTCTGCTTCTCTTCCTGAACTTTCTTCCCCTCTTGTCCATTCTTGCTTTTGCCCTGGTTCTCGCCCTTCTTTTCAGCACCATCACGACGAGATTCCCTTGACTGATCTGTTTTCTCACCCGATCCTTTCTCCGCCGCCAGAGCTAGAACCACCGTTCGCTTCTCCTGTTGTTGTCCACCCGAATTCAACCCCATATCCAATTGAGCTTCCTCTCCATTTCTTTTCTTCCCCTGAGTAATCGATTCACCCACACCGATTTTTGCAGCGGGGCGCCATGGCAGGGAAAAAGATTCTCATTAATCTATATCCTTATTCTTTTGTTGTCAAACCCGATCCTAAATACTCTTCCCCAGCTGGAGGAGGGAAAACACAGTTCTGTCCCGTGTGATCAAACCTCCCATAGTGGTAACAATACAAGGAAAGGTGTTCATACACAAGGGTGAACCAAAACTTCCCAACAACCGGATTGCTGGCAAACAATTGTGAGCGCAGGGGCACCAACACATTCATGTTCACCCGTACCTTCACAAAGTGACCCAGCATACCCTTGATTCCGAAAAGGACAACATCCAAAACCTCTCCAAGCTTTGCTTCTGCCATCCGTTAACCAAAGGCAACGGTACGACAATGTGAGGGGATTCCCCACATTTGCACCCAAAATGGCGCACGTCGCAGCGATTCCACCACCACAGGGGTCACCAGTTCCCAGGGTTGAAGTTGGAGAATCATGTCTTTGATGTGCCACGGGGTATGATGGAGAACCATGTCTTTGTCCTTCTCATCTTCAAATAAGAACTGGAGGAGACCCAACTCTGCCTTCATGACTGTGACTTTTCCAGAGAAGGACCATTCTCCAAAGACGATCCGCTGGATTGTTTTGAGGCTTGGAGGGTTCTCAAGGAACAACCTTCTGATCATACTCATTTTCTCCCTTCGCATACTATCCTCAACGTCCTCCAGCTCGAACTCCACAATCTGGTATGCATCCATGGGCTTGACTGACATGATTCCTTGCTTATCAATAGCCTGGTAGTGCTGAGAAAATATCCAAAATATTGATAAGAACAAAAGGATGCTTATGTGGGGAGCGAGCCAGAGAACATAAAGACGGTAAACTGCTATTTCAATCATGGTTTGCTTACATCTTCAAAGAAACTCCTAGCTTTTCTGGGTTTTTTGCCTGACTCTCGAGCTTATGGAAGAACTTTGTGAGAGGATCAAGACTGTTGCATGCGATAATATATACCCATTGTGGTGCCAGGCGATTCAACGCGTTAACAAACGATTCATCTTCAATCGTTATCCCCAATCTTTCTCGGGATATTTTATCCCACCTTCGGATTTGGGTATATCGCCAGTATTTGCCATCTCCTGAGGATAACTCCCAATCTGGGTTGATTTTTTCGCAGCTCTCAGGATCGATTTCTTCGCACTTTCCCGAATCCAAATGAAGGATCTCTTCCATATCCATGTTCCCCTTCTGTTTCCACAGCCAATTGAGAATTGCCGTGCTCGTCCTAGTCTCTATCATAGAGAACCTAGCAGCGATGAAGAAGACGACGCAAAGGAGAAGGCTATAGGGTTTTTTTTGAGGAGAGAGGGCAGAGCATGGCTCCGGATTTTTTTCGAGGAGAGAGGGTTTTTCATTTATTCATGATGAAAAGAGTTTGCAAGATAGAGTTACAAGAAAAATGAGTGGCCTAATCCACACCTCTTCTTCATTTCATCTGCGCTCCACATGAGCTATCAAATGGACTAATTTATTTGCTTCTCGGCCTGCATATTTCCAAATAACATGTTGGAATAACTGGGCCCGAGCCCGTAAATCTGCAAAAAAAAAAAAAAAATACCACCTCAGTGTTTCATTCTTCTTCCTTTCACATTTGTTGAATTACATGTAAGCAATCTAATTTGATCTCCATTTGCAATAAATCTAAACGCCTCGCTATCTCCATCCCATTACCAATTGTTATGGCTGATGCTGCCTCCGGTTCCCCACTGGATCCAAGATTTCTTTACTACTGCAAACATGCATCTTCCATCCCTATCTCGAACCACCACCCCAACCCGTACCTCGTTCCGGGAAGCAAGCTGCGTCAACATTGATATTTATCAGAGCAAGTTTCACTGCATTGCTCTCCCACCCGAGAGTGCCCTCTGTGCGACAACGAGAGGGAGTCTCTTCATCACTGCCTGTTCCAATGTCCACATGTTGCGGAAGGATGGACACAGGAGTGGCCAAGCATCTCTATCCCTCCTCCTCTTACCCATATTTTGGAGTGGCTCTTCGCACTTTCCTCGACTCTCTCTACTATCCAGATTCAGAAGATCATCTATCTTCTATGGCAGACGTGGAAGGCTAGGAACAAAAAGATCTTCAAGAACATATCTCCATGGCCGCCAGGTACAATTGTGAAGGCTCGGGACACCCGCCTACAATGGACGAACTGCCCCAAATGGAGAACGGTTGCCCGATCTCCACATAATCAGCTCAACTCACCCCCTGATCAAACCTCACCCCCGCCATGTACTCATGACTTTGAGATACACTATGATGGGTTGTTTATTCACGACACTCAGAAGGCGGCATATGGCGTTGTGATTTCAAACAACCATGGTCAAGTTTGTGATGGGAAGGCTGATTCCCTGCATTGTTTTTCTCCCCTAGAAGCTGAAGCGAAGGCTCTTCTTGAAGGTACTGTGATGGCAAAAGGTTTGAATGCCCTATGTCTTGTGAGAACGGATTGCCTGACTCTTGTTAAGACAATCTTTGGATCACGAGACTCTTGGCCTTGGCGGGCTGCGGCTTGGATTGGACTCATCAAGGATGCCATTGCCTTTCACCCTTTGATCCGAATTGAATATTTCAACAGGAAACTCAATGTTAAGGCCGATTGGGTTGCGAGATCATGTGCTAGGGGACAGCTCCCAACTGACTGGATTCATATCCTAGATGTTTTAGCTCCCCTCTTGTAACCTGTCACTTCACTTCTAGTATGAATCTCAATGCCTTTTGTAAAAAAAAAAAAGTTCGGGGGGTTACCATCGCCTGTCTCCATTCCTTTCCACGATTAAAGGCGTATTTGTTTCTCCAAGTAATCGTTCACTGGTTACAAGTGTGTCTATGATATATATATATATGGCGAGTTCTACGGTACCCTGGGTGAAATCCGGGGTACCGCATACCTTGAGTAGGAAAACACTATCTAGACCTTGAATTGACCGATCTTTCGGACATGATACTATACTCTAACACTTAAAGATCAAAATCTAGGTGTTAACTCTCCCAATATTATACTCCAAGATCAATTTAATTAGAAATAATAATCGACGGTTATGATTCATCCAAATATAAGCACAAAAAGGAATGCACCATCTTAGGGTTTATATATTATGATTTAGATAATTATGACCTAGGGTTCACTCATTAAGGGTTAGGGTATAATATCAGACACAAAAATCCTGGTAATTCTAGGTCTAGATAGAGTTTCCATACTCGAGGTATGCGGTACCCCGGATTTCACCCGGGGTACCATAGAAACCACCATATATATATATATATATATTTTACAGAAATTGTGATTTAATCATGATTCAACTATTTAATACAAGTAATACTCGTCTATCGATTTAGGTTTCATTAGAAAGTTTTTCTGGTCCGAGACGGTTGGCAAAGTACAATTTCACAAAAGATTAAACAAATGATGAGTTAGCTTCCTAACTATAAAGGTGGCTTAGCACCATGCTAGCCATGCATCGTAGTGGTATAATTACAGTTGTAAATTGTAATTATTGTATTTCCAGTTGGAGTCTCTTTCATTTACAATTCCCAAGCGAACTACTACACTTCATAGTTACACATGAGCTTAGCTACTATAGGGCTGCAAATGAGCCGAGTTGAGTTGAGTTGAGTTTTTGCTTAGTTTGAACATGACTTGTTTATAAAATTTTCAGCTCGAGCCCGACTCGAACTCGAATTTTGATAATCCAATTCGAGCTCGGCTTGAATAAAAATAAGACTCGGTAAAACTCAATAAATGCTCATTAACGTAGCTTATCAAGTTGAGTACAAGCTCGACTCAAGATGAGCTCGATTTGAAACCATTTTTGCTGGAAAATGTGTAAACATAAGAATTTAAATAATAAAAAGAACACTAGAAACTAAAAATAATATCTCACTCCCATAAACATCTGTATTAACAATATAATTTTCATTTTCAGAAGAGTAATTAATCATTCTTAAAGCTCTAAACAAGGCAACTCGCGAGCTTAGCTCAGCAAACCACCAAGTCAAGCTAACTCACGGGCTTATCAAGCTGAGCATGATCTAGCTCAAGCTTGGCTCGTTTATTAACAAGTAAGCTCGTGAGCCGGTTTGTAAAATGATGAGTCGAGTATCGAACGAATTTTTTCCGATTCGACTGTGAGTTGCTCGCGAGCAACTTGACTCATTTGCAGCCCTAACTACTATAGAGGGGAGGACAATACCCGGCCACAAAACACAACTAAAATCACAAGTCAATAATATCCTCTAATCATTGGTGGGATTTGGGTCAAAGGGAACAGCCAGCCCGATTCATAAATGAACATGACTAAACCCATCCCACTCCAAATGGGTCGAACCTAACATCATTTTCATCCACACAACTTGGTCGAAACATGTATTCCACAATGAAAGACTGAAACACATCATTCACACTGGAAGTTAAAATATACGAGTTACGACATTCAGTAATTATTAATTAATAACGTCTTGCAGTACTAAGTGCAATTTGTCTAATACTAGTTGGAGCTTCCACCGATCCCAAAATAGGCAGCCCTTCCCCACCTTCCTAGTTCCTACACAGGAATATATGCACCAAAATGGCTCAAAACCCCTCTAAATGGAGAGTGAAATCAAACAGAACGCTCTCCACTTCACCCCACCAACCAACACCATCACTGCTCCACTAACTTCTTCTTCTGCTTCTACCCTAATATAGTAATATATATGAACCACTAACCCAGTACTTAACCTTGTTTGACTGACTACAGATTCAGCTTAAACCCAGCAGACAAGAAATCATCCCTGCAACCAAAAATCAGCACAGTTCTAAGTAAGCACCACCATTTGATAACAAACGAACAAACACAGTAGCTAGTACATGAACAGATACAAATTCCAGGAGAAAAACCAAACCTCTCTTTCCTTTGGTTCTTCTTCTTCTTCTTCCTTCGGGATCCTGGTTTCTCTTGTTGCTTGTCAACTTTCACTTCCTCTACCACTGGTGGAACCTTCCCATAGGGTGAAACGAGGCTTCCATAGCATACAACTGCATTCACGGACTTCCCATTCAACCCACGTACGGTGATCTTCTCAGCAGCAGCAACTTTCTTAGGATCCTTCAGGTCATACCAAACAAGCTTCTTGCCATCCATCTGCAGAAGAACCTCCTGACCAGTCACTGAGAATCCAAGCGGTTTGATCTCATCATTGTAGCACAATCCGGGATGTGGAACTTTGAACAATAAGCTCCATGACTCCTTAACACCATACTCTTTCATCACCCAGACATCCACAAACTTATCCTTGTAATTGGCAAAGAGACACAAACACTTCCCCAGCTCGCCAATTACCATGTTGAACGGCTCCCAAACTGTGTAATCTGGCTGTGGCACTTCCCTTGATTCATTGAGCTCTACATCAAAGCCGATAATCACGAGCTCACTGAGCGTATCATCACTGTCCGGATCTTCGTGCCTACCAGCTATCCAATGAACTGCCCCACCCACAAACGCACCTGTTTTCCTCAACCCAAGTAGGATATAAGGGAAATTCACCTCTACACAGGAATTCGACCAAACCCCATAACTAACCAACACAGATTGCAGAGAATTTTCTTCAGGCTTGAACACCTGGAGAATCTCGACTACCTTGTAGTCGTCAGAGATGGAATCGTACCCGAATCCGAACCCGGAGTTGTAAATCAAGTTATTCCCGCTGGCGGTGAATTTGTAAACTCCCGTACCCGGTTGTTTCCCGGAGAGCGTAAACGGCATAAAGCAACCATGTTTAGTGGCGGGGTTCGATATGAGTACCTTTTCCGAGTCGCAGGCGAAGCAGAGCAACCCGTTGCAGGAGCCTATTAGGGCAAAGCCCGAGCGTGGATCGGTGCCGCTAGTCTGCGCACGAGGGGTGCTACTCGTTCCGCGATGGAGGCCGTTGACGTACTCATCGACGACGTAGTCGCCGTGGAGTTCGCTGATGAAGAGGATGGCGTTTTTGCCGGTGGTGGCGGAGTGTTCGATTTGGAGCTTGCTGAACCTTGGGCTGTCGATCAGTCCCCGCCAGGCTTTGGAGACACAGCGGCAGCGCAGAAGTGCGGTCACCGGCAGGCGGACGAGAATTTTGGTGACGAGATCTTGGGGAAGGTGATCGGACATTGTGGTGCCAAGAGAATCGGCTTGGAAAAGGGGAAACGCGAACACTTTTTTGAGTCTTGATGGAGACGAGTGGCCAAAAAATAAGGTCTGCACGTTTCGGCTGATCGCTCTAATGGGGAAGGCTTTAAACTTTAAAGAGTTTTAGGGTAAATTGCAAGTTTGATCACTTATATTATCTATTTGTAACACATCAATCATCCAAATCACTTTCTCTTCAATTTTTCAACGATAGATACTATATGTTTATTTCATCTTTGGTTAGTGGCTATATAATACTGATAAATTTGTCATTGTTGGCAGTCAACTCCAACGTCTGACCGTTAAAAAATTGATGTGTCAATCAAAAATAACAAAAATAATTATTTTAAATTTTCACATCATACTAAAATTTAATAAATATTTCTTTTTATAAAAAATAAGCAATATATATTAATAAATGGATCTCACTGACTTCTCTCCAATCACTGACTTCCTCTTCGTTTCATCTTGGTTTTGAGGAATGATGCCGAGGGTTGAGACTCAATGGAGTCAGGGAAAGGACGAGAGGTCAGAGGAGAGAAGGCAGGAGATGGGCTGGGTGGGGTTGGTCTGCTAGGGCGGGTTGGAATTGAGCTCCAGTTGGGTTGAGGTTGGGGCTTGGGGGATTGAGGCTAGGCTATGTAATGTCTATTGTAGAAATTTTTGCTAACGGATAATACATGTACTTGTATTTATCACACATGTATTAATGGGAAAACAATGGATATCCGTTGTAGAAATAATTTATCGTAAGTCCTATATCGTTAAAAAAAGAGTATTTGGGGGGGGGGGGGGGAGGGGAGGATGAGCCACTGTCTCGGTCTCGCCGACTCGGGGTTTGCCAGTTGACGTTGCGTCTTGGTTTTGAGGAATGATGCCGAGGGTTGAGACTCAATGGAGTCGGGGAAAGGACGAGAGGTTAGAGGAGAGGAGGCAGGAGATGGGTTGGGTTAGGGGTGGGTTGGTCTGCTAGGGCGGGCTGGGGCTGGAATTGAGCTCCGGTTGGGTTGAGGTTGGGGCTTGGGGGACTGAGGCTAGGCTATGTAATGCCTATTGGAGAAAATTTTTCTAATAGATACGTGTACTTGTATTTATCACACATGTATTAATGGGTAAACAATGGGTATCTGTTGTATAAATAATTATCGTAAGTCCTATATCGTTAAAAAAGAGTATTTGGGTACCCGTAACCCTAAAAAATTGGACGGGTAAGGGTATAGTTGTTGGTGAAGAAGGAGCAACAATCATATTTAAATAAATTTGAATAATATAAAATGAGACGGGTATAGATATAGTTGTCGCTGGAAAAATAGTGATCAAGTACCATACATAATACATATACCTCTTACAAAACACGAATTATTGAAATAAGTTGGTTTATGATTTATCTCGCAAAATGGCTAACCTTGGACATTTCAGCACTCCGGCATATCACGATATTTGACATTTCAGTCGGCTGGTCTATAACCGAATCTGCACCAGATCGACCAAACCAAATCGAACGAAATCTAATGCAGTTTAATACTAATCTCATGCATTTTATAAATAAAGAAAAATGATTTGGTTCTGTCCGATTGGTGAAAGGACCTAAGTTATAAAGTGCTAAATTTGACCCGAAATTACGGTTAGTACAATGGGTAGAACTGAACCAGGACTGCAATTTGCCAATTTCACTCCCAAGGGCCAAGTCCCAAGTCCAACCCATGAAATGTGGGTTCCTAATCCATTTTACAGAAAACCTCCTCTCTGGAATCAACGAGAAGTCCGGCGAGCGCGCTTCTCCTTTCTCTTCTCGGCTTCCGCCGTCTCCGGCAGACCAGAGCTGCCTCCGGTCGACTTCGGTTCCCCATAGGCTGCTGCCTCCGAGTCCCGGGATTCGGCTGCAACTTCTCTCTTCCGATCTACCTCCTGTTCTTCCGATCTCGCTTCAATCACCGGTGCCTTCAACCCCTCGCCCTCTCGCTACTACTCAACAGCCCAATGCTTAGTGAGGTAACTTCTTATATCCCTCACAATCCCTCCCTGAATCGCAGGCAAATTTTGAAATTGTGATTACTGATTAGAATTTATAACTATTGTCTAGTGGGTAGCTTGCCAATTTTGATTTCTATCAATTATCTTAGTTTCTTAGCCAAGTTCACGGATACTTCTAGTTTTAGCCCTGTTGTTGGCATGAGTCAGGAATTTGTGAAGCATGAATATAGTCAAGTTTTCAAAACAAACGTTCTTCATTGTGATACTACTTCAGGTTGAGTACTTCACTCAAGCTCGTATGACTTGTGCATTTGATCACTGGGCTGTGAGCTTCCAAGCCAAGGATCACTACATACTTTGATGTAGACTCGCAGCTCGCTTCATTTCTAACAAATTTAACTTCACTGCGCTTGTTGATTGAGTGTGATGTTTAGAGGTCAGGACTCTACGTGAAATGAAATCGTTCGGTCATTGTTAACTGGATTTGTTGTTTTTACGCAATGCAGTCAAGTTGGTGTAGTGGACCATGACATATCGGAATCTATAGCAAGAAATGAATGAATCGTCTATTGCTACCGCAAGATTTACTTACATACATGATCGAAAGTGGCCTTCGGCAGCAATTGATGTGCACCATGTAATAGTTCGGCAAAGCAATCTGAAGGGTTTATTAGTTTGCCTTCTTGCTTTGGGATTCTCGGCAAATGGATTATATCTCTTCATGGTCCTGGCGGGTAATTAATTATCTCTCTGCTACTTCTTTACAATTAGCGTTTTGGGACTGAAGATGGATGCTTTTAGTGGTTAAGAGTTATTTGGGACAGCAACTCAGGCTATACAAACTTCTGGATTAACAGGATAAATCACCTTTCGCTCTTTTGTGGAGTTTACTGTTGAGTTCAATCCTTCTCAAACTTGGTATCGGGAAGTCTGTTCTGAAAGGTGAGAAGAAGTGAAATCAGCCTCTTGTCCTACAAAGCATCATTCTTTTTTTCTTGAACTCTATATCCTGTTTGCTAGTGACTTGCATTGATTGACACTTGCAGAGTCGGTTCTGATCATGCCACATTTCGGGGTTCAACTCGAAACACATTATAGAAGGTGTGCACATAAGTTCTGATATTTGGCCTTCCGAGTTTCATTTTTGGGCCCTCTTAGCACGTGAATTCGAAAAATGAGAAAGTGGAAGCTGGCTGATGTTGAAGTAGGGTCTGAGATTTGCTTCTATATGCAAGCCTCCATCTTTCAAATGAAAACAAACACAGCCATGCCATTTTGATTAGAATTAGTGGAAGCTTGTCGATATTAGATTCACTGTGGACCTTCCTGGCCTGTTTCTTTCTCTACTTGGTATTATCTGCTGGGCAGTGGAAGAATATCACGCCGCTTTGTGCCAGTTCCAGTGAGCACGATTCTGAAGCCATTGCTGCTAGAGCATGTGAATCCGGTTACTTCTTACTGGGTTCTGTCTCTGATTTTGCTTAAGGAAGAAGAACTGACTCCGGTTTTCAAGGTATGAATACAAGTTCTGGCATTTGGTGATAGTTATGGCATCTAGAATAGTTTAGATGAATTGCCATCTTCCAGGTAACAATTTTAGTGTTTCAGAGTTTTTTTATTGTACATGGTAATACCTGGAAGATGACTACGCATAGATTCTAGATATTAGGTATGCTTGGTGGGTTGATTAGAGTCATTGGGTATGGATCTAGGGTTGTTTGCATAGGTGCATCTGTATATCGTCAGCTAGGATACTTTTCTCGATCTTCTGTCAGACAAAAACATTTGGAAGATCTGGTTAATGATGGTCTTAGGGAGCGGTTGATTTCTCTATTAACAAGCTAACTATATAGAGCATCCGTCGTCCTTCGCTGCACCTTGCATTCTTGGTAAACAGGAGTTTGAAAGAGATGGGGGGAAAACTTGATCATCCTCCTGTTCTAGTGTAGTCACCAAATTTTTGCAGCTGCATTGTTCTTCACTAGAGTTGATCACATTCATAGGATCTCACAAAGTTGTGATGTAGACTTTTTGAACTATCATTCTTGAAAATTCTCTATATTGAAGCCATTTCACATAGCATTCACTGAGTGATTGCCGCATTTGGATTGCCAGCCCTTGCCTTGATAGTTGATACTGTTTAGGGTCAGGGAATCATTAAGCTCCAACTGTTAGTTTTGTGATTCTCGTCAAGTAAAGATTACAAAAGCAAGAGCACAAATGAAATCAAAAGGCTTCTGTTGTGGGTGTAGTGAAGTGTCCATTTTCCTTATTTTCTCGATCTTCTATGTTCCTTATCTTGTGAATTGCTTTATTATTTCATTTGCATTTATAGTTTTACCAATCACAATGTTCTAACTATTTTCTTTCATATGCTTGTAGGGCTATAATGAATCTGTGAATTTGATATCAAGTAGTAGGGAAAAAGAAGATACTTTTATCGGCAAAAATGAAATCAAAAGGCTCTAAGGGAAAACGAGCTCAAGCACCATATCTATCAACAATGTGCTTAGTTCCGATGTGAGTTCCTTTACTATGGTTAACTACTGATCTGTACTTTTGTGTATGGTTCCAACCAAGCAGTAGGGAGAGCCAAAGTTTTTTAGTCTTTTCTTGTTGAGTGTGGTTTTGGTAGTACTGTGATGGAGACATTTTGATTTAGATGGGGTCTTGTTTCTTTCTTTCCTGCAAGCTTAAGCACTGTATAATAGGTTTTCCTAGTGGTTGCCTCCTGCTGCGGTCTTGAATTGCTGTAGGAACAGGAACTTGAGAGTTTCTTGTGCATATGCTATAACTGGATGCTCTAGTTTGGTTGCTGAACCATATAAGATAGCTTAGAAAGTAACTGCAGTCCAAACTATTGAAGGCTGAAGCTACTGATCAACCAACACTAATTCTCCTTTTCTGCTTTTATGTCCTGTTTTCATTAACTCGGTTGAACCATGTAAGATATGCTCTAGTTTGGTTGCTTTTATGTCCTGTTTTCATTTACTCTGTTGTTGTTTAGGTCGAGTGTGATGATGCTGGAATGGATTCCTCAAGTGGGGAAGAGATGGAAGTTGAAATGGATGCAAGTACGAGCAAGGTGGCTGCTAGTGATCATACTGGTTCAGCTTCGACTCATATTGAGTCACCAATGCCAAGATTCAGAGGAGATTGACAATATCGATGAAGGTGAGTAACCTAAAAAAAGCTATTGTTTATGTACCATGTACGTTTTCTGTGGTGGTTACACTTTCTTCTAATGAATTTCAGAGTTGAGTATGATAATGAAGGCTATTGGTATCTCTGATGTTCCTATTCCTCGTATGAGTCCTAATGTAGAGGCAAGCGCAAACACATAAGGTAGCATTTGAACCTAATCATTATTGCGATTTCCGAGCTACCTTGCTTATTTTGGATACTTAGTGAAACTGTATTACATTTGAAGTTGCTATGTTTAAGATCTTTGTAAAGATACATGTCAATGCTCTATCTTCCCTGTCCCCAGATTCATTCCCAATCCGGAGAAGCCTTGATAATACTAAATTGAAAAAAAAATTCTTTGTGAAGAGTACTTGATTCGGTTTCACGTTCTGGCAGTGATCTTAGTTGTCTGCCTGTTTCTGTTCTTGAGTTTTGAGACTCCACTTTGCAACCCTAAGGCTCCTGTCCTGTGGGTTCTTTTGCACTCTCATCCTAGACAGGGCTAGCTTCTTTAGATCTGCCAAATATTAGTTATCTTTTCTGCAACCTGATATCATCAAGCAAATATAAACCAGTCAATTGCTATCTCTTGAAAAAACCACATAATATGGCATGTCAATGCTATAGCAATATCAGTCTCGGATTTCCTTTTCTACAAGCTGCCATCTCAAACATTAGCTAGGCATTGCCTTCTTGCTTTGTACTGCTTTGGTTCAGTTTGAAAGGCTGTTTGAACTTTGAAGTTGCTATGATGTTTGTATGAACAGAGAAGGTGAAATATTGTAGTCTGGAACTCTCACTTGGATCATTGGACTTTAATCAAGCTTGATCACCATTGGTCTGCTTTCCTTTTTATCTTCTTGGTGCTGTTACATTTCTGGAGTTCCCAATAATGATGTGTTAACTTAGTGGAGACTTGTATTTGAAGCTAACTTGCATGTTGTTCTATTAACAGGTGGTTCCAGCTTAGGCTCTTCCTCCAATATGTGTTTTCAGGTTGATGGAAACTACACAGAAGCTGTCAAAGTCGTCAAAGTCAGAGCTTCTAGAAGACGGTGTAGATGGGTAGTCAAAGAAGGAAGTCCCTAACTTTCTTGTGTTTCTTGTGTCTGTAATTGTTTCGAGAGGTTCAAATTGTAGTGTTAATGGATTAGTCTACTTCTCAATTTAGCATTACTTGCTACTGGTTATTTACTTAGTTGTGGAAACAGTTGCAGTAGCTAAGGGCCCCTGATGGTTCCATCTATTTTTAAGAGGCACTGATATTGTGTAATGTGTAGAGGGAACTTGGCAATGGCATGCTCTGTTTTGGTGACAGGAAAACAGAGTCGCCAGCTCCAACAGTAACAGTTTGCGATTTTTGGCATGCTCTGTTAAACAAAGTCTGTTTCTTGATTCAGTTCTTGATTTTGGCATGCTATGTTTTAGATACGTTGTACAAATCATAATGAATTGCGGTCAAAATGCGGTGCGGTCTAAATCGTTCCAAACCACTAATTTATGCGGTTTGGTTTGACCGCACCGATAACTTAGCGGTCGAACATGCGGCGGGATCCAATTAAGATGCGGTGCGGTTTATATGAATGCGGTGCGATGCGGTCCGAACCGCACCGATACACACCCCTACATGGTATTGAGCGACGACTTGGACTTTGGTTGTTCAGGAGTTGCACCTGCCTTTGAAGATGCTGGTTCCTATCTGGAAGGCATTGTGTGGCTCTGTGTCTGGAGATAATGACTCTTCTGTACATTCAAATGTAGAAGATCATGAACAGAGTGTCTGACAAATTGGATTATCAGATCAAGGAAAGAAGAAGAGCTGAAAATTTTAAGTCACTATGGGTTTATGGGACTTTCCTTCTTATACCAGTCTTTCCCCTGATCCGAGTCCGAGGATGAAAAGGACAAAAAAAAAAGTATAAGAGGGACAAATAAAAGGACACGAAACATGTTCTTCCGCCTGGACATATAAAAGTAAGGTTTGGGGCTAGAGGTCGTGTCTTTCGGCGGAACAAGGCAGCATGTCGATCTTTGAAGCGGAACAAGGCAGAAAGAGAAGGAGGAACAACTTTGGAATGGCAACACCGGTGGTCGGCGGCGAAGAAGAAGAACCAACAACCGACCAATTTTCGAAACTGCCGGATGAGTTATTTATGTTATAAATAAGTCTCTACCCGTTCCTAACATCAGTGTAAAAGACACGTAATAAATACACTCATTACTCGAATTTGGCTACCTAATGAAATACTAAATTTCAACCAACTACCACTAATAGCCAAAGATTGTGAAAAGATGTTTGGCATTCTAATAAAACTCTGGAGATATTGTCCTCATTCTCTTTGAAAAGATGCAACTTTTTTGTGCTTTCATTGCTCACATGTCATAAGAATGTTTTGTTTGGTCAAAGGGTTACCTCACACATATAATGAAGAGCATAGAAGATGAGCCAACCAATCAGCATGATCTTCTGGTAGGTAGTTCATATTACTACAACCAGGGTGGTATTATTAGCCTGTTTTCATGGTTCTTAACGTACATATTTTCCAATGAGCTTACACATTCCGAAAGTGAAAGTAAAAAAACAAATGCATTGCCAAGGAACTCTGATTGTCGAACATTATCCATGTCTGAGGAAAGACAAATAGTTTATGCACACTACATTATTATCCATGACTGTTGAATGACCACTACCTGCTCATTGAAGCTTTTATCTCTAATACCAAAACCTCGCAACTACGGCTAGCGAGAAATGTCAATATTCCCTCAACCACAACAGTTTTCCAGGGAAATATTTAGTAATGGCTAATCCAAAAGATAATTGAACTCCCAGCGTATTGATCTAATCCAGAATCGGGTCTTAACCATTCAATGACAAAATTAAGGAGCAACTATAGTAGAAAAAGGTAAAAGCAAAAGAAGAAAATGCCACAGCACCAAGAAGGTACAACAGTATCACCCAAAGGACAATCAATCTGCAGATTCAAATGTGCTTTCTTCTCTATACGAAACCGAAAATCGAATAGAGAGGAGTTTTCTTCTGCTTACATTTTCTTTGAGGGTGATATTTAGCCTGGACTCAGCCTCTACGTAGTTCTTGGTATTTGAGACACTTTTTTCTACCATTTTGATATGTAAGTTTTGGTAGTCATTACAATTTAGAACAACAATCATTGTAGGAAATACAGCTCGAGTTTCAAAGCTACCGCTTTAGTTAGCTCTTCCACGACCTCTGCTTCCATCTGGTCGTCCATAAGCACTGGAAACAAACGAAAGCAAACTTTTGCCAGGTCAAACAAATGAAAAACAGTCAATGAAACAAAGCAAATAGGAATAGCGCCCAAAATAGTGAGCAAAAGCTTCACAGACAAACGAACATCATAGACCGAACAAATGACTGGTCAAAGAGGGTCCAATTCCTTTGAAAACAGACAACAAGAGCTATTTACTGGGATCCAGGACCTAACCCTCCCTCTCCAAGCAGTGTACTTGAAACATTGAGCAAAACTCTGAAACTAGGGAAGAAGATGAGAAGCAGAGTTTTGAAAATCGAGTTCTAGATGAAAAATGATCGGACATAAATCACGTATGTATCTAGTTTGCCCTGTGAGATTCGTCACCCAATAGTTGCAGTTCGACAATGGCTTCCTGAAAAATCCCAAGAGATAAAAAAGAATGCAGGACTGGAAAGCAGTTCAACCATGGCTTCCGAGAAATTTTTTTTTATCCAATTTCAGTAGATGGAGTAAGAAAGAAGTGCAACTCAGCCAACCCATAACTCAACTCACCTTCTGCAGAAAGATAAAGTTGAAATTTAAGCTTTGAGCTTCTAAATATCCCAATGTCTGCCTTTTCCAAACTGTAGATTAGATAGGAACGTTTAGCACTCAAGTCAAAACCTTCAAGTAGTAACAACAGTTTGAAGATAACCTGTATGTACTCCTGGTGAAGAGCGATACATAAAGAGAGATAAAAAAAGTGTCTCTTCCTCCTCCTCCTCGTCGTCAATTTCAGCCACTCTTCAAGTGTGAAAAGAACTGACTTAGATTGTGAAGTTGAAGTGCATAAAACTGAATTATAAGTTCCAACCGTGAAGTTGCAGACTTGCAGTGCATAAAACTGAATCATCTGCTCTTGCAAGTCTCCATGGATGCCCTCTCTTTTTTTATTAATTCAATACTCTATAATGAAAAATAAAACTAGCCTTTTATCCGGTTAATTGGCCGGATTACTTTTAAGGTACTGAGTACTGATTAGTCAAACTCGAGAGAGTTAGAGAGGGATACTTTTATTTTTGGAGAATTGTATATCAAGATGTTAATAAAGCATTGATATGATAGGTATTTTAAAAATGTTTGAACATACTATCAAATTTTAGACAAATATATACATCTGGATCAAGATAACCGATGACCAAATTTAAGTAGTTGAATGGAAATGTGGAACTCCATGAATAATAACCGATGACCAGAAAAGTTCACCGCCGCCAAAAACGATTAAATTACTCCTAACCCGTCCGATCAACCCATGTAAAAGAATCCAACCGCTAGCCTTTAACCCGTAACTCACCCCAACCCGACCCATCATCCCCCGCGGAATTTCCAGCTAATTAAATAACGTCCACCGTTGACACGTCTTGTTCAAGTTCGCAGCAAAATCAGAGATTTCGGAGAACATCTCGCTCATCGCCTCTCCGTCTCCATCTCTCACAGCTCGTAAAGCTCTCTGCAACTCCACGAGGTAAAAGAAATCAGGCCCGGCCCAGATCCTGTGCTGGTCTGATCTACAGCACAGGGCCTCAAAATGTTTGGGGCCTCAGCTTGGCCCATACACTAATACATATATATTAAAAAAAAATTAACCTGAGAAAACGAATCGGCAGAGGCCCTCACCCAGCCTGCTCCTCCAGCTAGGGATGGCAGTGAAACCCGTACCCGCGGGTACCCGACCCGACCCAACCCGGTCAAACCGGGTAAAATCCGTGTTGACCGGGTTCGGGTTTAAACCCGGTGGCTGCTTGGGCAGGTTGGGGCGGGTTCGGGTTTGGGGAACCCGACCCGTGGATACCCGGACACGCAAGTGACAAAACCTAAATCCCTAATCGACCAAGACCATACTCGGCCGCCCCTCTCCTTTCTCCCAAAGACTGCTGCCGCCCCTCTCCTTTCGCAAATCGCGATCTCCAGTCATCCCTACCAGAGTCCAGTCTCCAGTCCGGCACGGCGAACTCTCCTACGCGGCCGCCGCGCCTACGACTCCACTACCGATTCCGTCCCGGCGAACTCTCCTTTCTCCTCTGCTACGCGGCCGCGCCTCCGACTCCTCTCCCGATTTCAGACTTCAGTCACGACGCCCTCTCCCTGCTCCTCGGCGCGCGCCTCCGACTCCACCCCCGCCGCCCTCTCCTTGGTCTTCTGCTCCGCGAGAGCACTTCTGCAAAGGTAAGCAGAATTTATTGCTCTTTGTGCTTCTTCTACAGCAGTATCGAAACCGAAAGTTTTATCCATCAATAAAATGTCATTATCTATGGTCTTTGGTACCCCAACTACAGCTACCTGCAGCTTTCTTTTACGGCACTGAAAACAGGAATTTAGAAGTTATAAATTATAATACTTTGGAGCTTGTACCAGGAAGAAAGTAAGAAATACCGAAATGCCATGCTATCAATTTTAGTAACAGGCACCTATTAAGATTACTTCAATGTTCTGATCTGCCTGGGAATAATACGCTGGAGCTTGTAAAATGAAGAAAGCTAGAAGTACCAAATTGCAGTTCTAAGATGACCACTTCTAATATCAGACACCTATTACAATTACTTCAATGTTCTGAGTTTAAGTCTGCCTGAGAATATAATGTCATAGGAAAATCAGAACCAATACATATAGTTCAGATGGACTAGTTTACATCTTAAATTCAATTACATTTTCTAGCAATTCTGGAAAAAGTCTGTTCCCGGTACTTAGACTAGATATCTATTGGCCAACCTTTTATGCTCGATCCCAGGTACCATTATGGCATAACAGTTCCTCAAGAGTATCCTTCTATAAGAGGATTCAGAAAGGAGAAGCTAGGTTGAACTAGCTCGTAAGCCATATAACCAGCACTCAACTAAAACAGACAAAAAGATATAGTAGTGCAGGAAATCAATAAGATGTAAGCTTATAAACCTCTTCGTGTATGGCGTTTGCCCCAGCATGTGTACCATTCCCACCTAGTACAAAAATCATGTTGATTCCCTTTTCCTAATAGCATCAAGGCAAAGAATGTAGAATAAGGCCACGCTCAACCTTTAAAGTTAGTATTCAGATCAATACAAAGCGGGTGAGATTTATGCTTGAGATTTTGATAGTTTCTAGTTAATTATTATTTTATAAATATTTACCAAAAAAACCCGCGGGTACCCATCAACCCGCGGATACCCAGCGGGTTGGGTTGGGTTTGAGTTTTTCAAACCCAGCGGGTTTTACCCCGGGTTTTTTTGACGGACAAACCCATGGGTTTGGGTTCGGGTTTGGCAAAACCCGCCCCAACCCGACCCATTGCCATCCCTACCTCCAGCCTCCTTATTCCCTTCTCTTTCTCAAATCTCATAAATCGTAATCTCCCCTTCCCCAAATTTCCTTTCCCCAAATTGCTTACCTTCCCAAATTTCCCTTCCCCAGATTTCTCACCTTCCCAAAAGTAAACAACGATCTCTAAATCGATGTTTGTCTTTATTTCTTCATAATCAACTCAATCCTTCCCCCTAAAATACTCAGCCAAGAAGGTGAAGCAAAGCATCCGCCCAAATTGGCAGATTCTTCCTTCGATTTTCATTCCACCGACGAAATCAATCTCTTACTCCGACTTTACCGCTCCGGCACTCCGCGGTCCCGCTAGGCGCTCGCCTTCTTCCCCTGTTTCCGACTTGGCGACTTTCGTCTCTCCGTCGTGGTTCGGTAATTGATAAGAATTTTGTTGACATGTCTTGTCTTTTGTTTATTCCTTGTATGCTGTCTACTGGATTTTGGAGACTCTGTTCTTCTGTTCTTCATACTCTGCTTCTGTTGCTGATTGGAGATGGCCGAATGGAGCCATGGAGTTGGAGAAGCAATGGGGCCGCCAGGCAGGGGCGAAATTGGAATGGGCTGGCCTAAATTGGAATGGGTTGCCTAATTTTGTTTTGGGCTGAGTGATTTCTAACCAATTTTATGTTTTTACAAGAGATTTTGCTTGGAAATTTGGCTTAGTTGATTGTTGAGTTGTGCATGGAAAAAAATTTAGGGCCACATTTTTATTTTCGAACAGGGCCTCCGAATATTATGGGCCGGCCCTGAAAGAAATCCTGCTCTCGATCTTGTTTCGTCTGTCTTATTTCGCACTGTGATCTGCTCTACCGGCTGGCTTCGCTGGTTCTGTTCCCGGTGGTTTGACGCCGTCCTGTTTTGAATTTTCGATGCCTCTGTAGTTCTGGGGGAGCTATGAACTGGATTCAACGGAAGATCTATCTCTACAATGTCACCTTCGGGCTATTCATGTTGGATTGGTGGGAACGTTGCCTTTTCAGTATCCTTATGATAAGTAGGGATCTGCTTTTCCTTCTTTTGCCTCTTTTGCATTCGCAGAGATTTTGTGTTCTAGATTTTTCCCAGGAGCTGTTTGTAGTCTACTGTATATGAACAAGAGATATGTGGATTTCAAACTTGGGACTAGTTCTGAATCAAATTTACTGATGGGGTTGAAGGGGTTTTTGGCAAAATCTCCTGTTTGTGTGTGTTTTTGCTGCATTTTCTTGTTTGGGTTCCTGAACTTGGCAGATACGCTGATGCTCGTGTTGATCTGGTTCATTGTTCGGTACATTACTGACTTCTGCAGCAGGTAACTTCTGTTCTCGATATTGGACAATTTGAATGTTGATTGCATCAATGCTTTCCAATTTCTGTGTGACTGTGGAATGCTTGTTTATGTTGAGTTATTGACAAATGAATGGTAGGTAGCTTGGTACCCACAATCTCTACATGTTGAGCCTAGTTTGTTAGGTCCTGTAATTTTGAACTGTGACTCTCCTTTGGTGCCTTCTAAATTATTAGGTTTCTTGCATACTCCACTTTGGCCACTTCGTTAGAGGGAAGTAGGCGATTCAGGACGAGAAGCCATGGTCATCAAATCTAATATGTAGACGCTAGTACTGGTTACTGGGTCTCTTGGAGATATCTGTTGGCTGTGGAAGTGCAATTTAGTCTATCAAAAGTACCCAATTATCGTGTTAGGAAACCAGTTGACTTCATTACGAGGATCTTGAGAACTGATGTAATAGAAGCATGTTGATTTGTCTGCTCAACCTTTTCCAATTAGATGGCTGTACAACACGATAGGAAGCTTCAATTATATTTGGTTTGTTACAACAGAAGGGTCTGGCATATCACCCATCCATAGGGGGCAGAGCAGGTTACCGTGTCTTCATTGGAGCAGGTTTTACAGTCTAGAAGTCCTAGTTGCTTGTCTCTAGAGTTCTGAGAGCAATAATTATTAGTGCCAACCTTGTCTTCATTCAGAATCTGATGGAATATTTTGTAGCCTTAGGTTCCATCAAACAGCGGAGTACGTTTTGAGGTGTGTAAAGTGAGTAGTTGGTTCTCATTCCTGAGTTTGGAATGTGCTGTTGTGTCTTTCTGAAGCTTTACTCCTACTTTTTAGTTTATTCACCAACCTGCATTTCTTCTTCTCAAGTAGCTCTTTCCCTTCACATGTGATCTATTGCCCTAAATTCTTCTCCCATGTTGCCGATGCAGGATCCCTTCTCAGTTTTCATCCTACCGTTCACCTTCTCCGGACATCAAGTTCCCGAAGTAATGGCTTCGCCACCTGCTTGAACTTGGGATTTCACCACTGAATTAGGTAGGATTCTATTTGCAATTGAACATGCATATGATTTTTTGTCATGACTTTAACACCGAGAATCAATATAGATGATCATCTTACTGAATCGATCATGGATTCAACCCAAGTGGCAAGAATAGCCTTCGGTGTTGGCTCATTCTATTATACAGGCTCGAAAATGCTTCTAATCTTCATCCAATGTTTTGGCACTGGAACATTCTGTTTATGTTAATATGAGATTGAAAGATGTTTGTTCGTGTGCTGAAGACTATCGAAAGCGATTGCCTGTTTTCTTATCATTTTTGCTCTGATCCCAGGTATCTATGGTTGAACATTTAGAGCGAGATATATCTTGTCACTACAAATCGTGGTTCCATGGTGACGAAGTTGGTAATATCAAAGAGCAACGAATTGCTAAGCACGTATTGTAATCCAGATTGAAGGAATGTTTAGATGATATTTTTCTTTTCTTTTTGGTCGTGAGAATTTGTTGCAAGCGCATAACCTTCTTGCTTACTCTTAGCCATAGCGATAGCATCTTTTACAAAGGATTTTTATTTCTGAACTCGTTTTGCTTCATCGGTGTTGCAATGAATACATGTTTTGGTCTACTTCATTCTTCAAATTGCTTATTATGTTCGTATGATCATGATCGGAGGTCGGCTTGTTGCTAAGGAAAAGTTTGTTAAAGAGTGCATGTGTTTTTTTACATGGTTTTGCTATATAGTATGGGCCATGGCAGATATTGCTAGAAATTAATTCGAATTGAGTCTTGGTCATCAGCTCCGACCCTAACCATTACAGATTTTATTTACAATTAACTAAAAGTCTTTGTTTGCTTAGTAGATTTCATCATGGATTTGGTACATTAAAATCAACTATCATGGATACACTATTATGGTTTTCATCATGGATTTGGTGCACAAAATTCAACCCTCATGGACGTGGAACAAAATTCATTGTTTGCTTCAAAGTTTTATGAGAGATAAATCTGTGAGGCCCACACATTTTGATGGTCCAACTTCGTGGACCTCATGGACTTGCAAATTCCATCCTAAGGATTGGATTTTGGTTAGAATTAGGAATGACAATCAAACCCTTGGTCACGGGTATCCGACCTGTCAACGCGGGGAATTCCTGCATTGATCGAGTATGGGTAAAACCCTCAAAAAGGTTGACAGGTATGAGGCGGGTACGGTTTTAGCCTCCACCGCCCCATACCAATACCCATATCCGACTCATCAAGAATATTTCTTCACATATAATAAATACATAGATCAAATTGTAACCTATCAATGATAATGAAGGTAACTCAAGAAAATAAAGAATGGAAATGCAATTAAGTGGTTATCCATATCAAAACATAATTCCTTTTCTTCAATACTCATTTCATCCTTTCACTTTTTTCTCTTGTTAGCAAGATAATTATATTAATTAATTATTACTTAGTAGATGTATGAGAGTTAGAGAATAATGATTTGAAAAATATCATACTCTATCCACGGGTTTCTTTGTTGACTTCATGATATATTAGGTTCATTAGTGTTATAATTGAAAATTGGGTAAATACAATTTAATAGCCAAACCTTTTTGAAACCAATTTAATAGCCAAACTGTTAACTTTCCATCCGGTCAAACGTTAGTTGACTATGATGTGGCAAATTTTTTGCTGAGGTGGAATGAATTTGATGATGTGGCACAAAATCAAACATTTGACTGTGCCACATGGATAATTATAATTTTAACTAATTCTTATATTCTTATGAAAAAGTTCAAAAAAGATTATATCTTCTTTCCCTCCCTCCCTCCCTTCTCTCTCACTCTCACTCCAGAAACTCCTCCGCCGCAGCGGAAGACAACCACCGCTTCGACTTGAGAGGATTGACGGCGACGAGGGTTTCGGGTGGAGTCCGCTGATGACAACCTCCGACGACCTCCAAAGATGGGTTCTTCTGCATTTCTGGGGCGGATTGAGGTGTTGATGGGTTCTTCTTAGGCGGGTCAATTTTTCTGGTTTATGGGTTCTTCTACAAAAAATCACTGGACAAATCCAGGCATTGCTGGGTTCTTCCATAGCTTGACCGAGTCAAAGGCCCGATGGAGGCGTTGGGATTCTCTCTCAAGTCTCAACTACAGATCTGGAAACTCAAATTCTCCATCGCTCGATCCACTATTGGAGCAGCTCCACCGCGGCGGGTGATGATGATTGAGAGGCGATTGTAGAAGAAGAGATGGATGGGGAATCAGATGGGGAAGCTGCGGCGGTGGGAGTGGAGCCTATGGTTGTGAAAACGATTGGGGATTTTGCTTTGGAGTCGAAGGAGGAGTAGATAACTTTTGGGCGGAACTGCCGACCAACATCAGCAAGATACTATGTTGCAGGTTGTGAACGATGACGCTCCTTGTTGCTGATCGGAGAGATTCGCCTTACCTTCGTGGCTCCTTCAGTTTCCTCCTCCTTCGCCATTTTCCCGACCATCTCAGCACTGAACTCGTCAATCCCCAGCGAGATTTGTGGCCTCCCTCATAGGCTTTCCTCTTCAACCAATTGACTTCTTCTTGATTTCCATATCACTAGCTACCACCTAAAGCAACGCAGATCTAGATTTTCATATTAGTAGCCCGGATTCCGCCTCTGCTCCCCTGAAATCGACGACAAAGACATAGGGGAAGAGAATTTCAAGGGTTCTTGCCAAGAACATCAAGTAGAGGTCCAGAAGGAGGTAAAACTTGGAAGACTGGATTTGGCTTTGTTTTAGAGCAGAGAGTGATAGGTGAGGGAATCAGAAAGGAGGGGCTTTGATTTGGATTTTGGAGCAGAGAGAGGTGTGAGAATCGGAAAGGAGGAGGGGGTTTGATTTGGAGGAGAAAGAGAGAGGGAGAGGTGTGGGAATCGGAAAGGAGAAGGAGGGACTTTGATTTGGAGCAAAGATCCGCAGTGGGAGATTTGGAGTAGAGAAAGAGGAGTGTTTATTCATTTTTCAGAATTTTTTTTAAAGAACTAATATCCATATGGCAGTCAAGAGTTTGACTTTTTGCCACGTCATCAAAATCCATCCATCTCATTTAATTTTTTGCCACATAAGAATCAACTAACGGTCAACTGGATGGAAAGTTAACTATTTGGCTATTATTTTGTTTTTGAAAAGGTTTGGCTATTATTTTGTTTAAAACGAAAGGTTTGGCTAATAAATTGTATTTACCCTTGAAAATTTAAATGTGAAGTCTTAGGTATAATGATGTTGAATGTACAGGACGAGTATCCACGGGTACCCAAAATCCACGGATATGGCATATGGGGATGAGTTTGCAAAACCTTCCCCGCATGGGTATGAGGCGAATATGAGTTTTGATATTTATAGACGGGGTGGGGATTGTTTATGCAAACCCGCCTCAAACCCACCCCATTGTCATCCCTAGTGAGGATGGAAAGTCCATGATGAGACTTTACTCTTTTATCCATCATTTTATTAATGACAAATTTGTCCTCTTTATTTTTGCTAACCCTAGACTAGTGATAACGAGAGACGAGGAAAGGAGTGGAAAAACATGAAGGAAAAACACACGAAGAAGATGGTGGAATGTGCTTGGACTTAACAAACATTATTTTGCTAGGAAAAGGAAGACGAGAATCCTATTAAGCAGGTTGATCATGTAATAAGGAAGATTAGTTTATATTCAATATTTCAAATCTTTTATTGATTTCATGTTTGTTTGCATATATGATTCCTTCGAGGTCTTGAAATTTTGGAGAGCTACGAATGAATTTCTAAATTGTTTTGTTTATATGAAAATAATAACATCCTTTATTTTTCTAATCCACGAAGCAAATTTAGTAGGGTCAAAAACACGGATTTGGAAAATTCCATCTCAAAGGGTGGAATTTGTGTGGGGTATCAAGTCCATGATGGTTATTTACTGTTTTATCCTCATTTTGTTTTGTTTCTAAAAAAAAAGGATGGTAAGGGTAGATAGATAAATTCATAATATAACATCCATCTTGAAATTCGTCAAGCATACAATGGTTTTATCCGAAAACCAATTTGACCATTTCCATAATAAATCATTGATTTTATAAAACCCAAGTTTTGACCGAAACCTTCATTTATCAAATCCATAAAGCAAACGAGTAGGGTGAACAAAGAAAACACAAAGAGATTGAAACCATCCAAATCTGCTAACTTCTAAAGCGATTGAAAAACACAATCAATCATAATTAAAGGCAATAGCTACTAGCTAACCTCTTAATCCGTTCCTCCTATCGGTGAACAAAAACACTCGCAAACTGACCCGCCCGACCCAACACACCCGTATGTATCGCTAATATTAAGTTTAAGGTTGAGTTAGCGTCTTATTTTGTACAACCAGCCTCTTTGGAGTTGGGTGCGAATTTTGAGTTACACAACCCGTAGAACTCTGCCCAACCCGTGTTTCAACTGTTTTCATAACTGTTCATCCAAAACATATTTGTGACGTATATAAACATGTTTAAGAGAAACTTAAGATATTTGTCATAATTTTTTATCGTGGTCTCTCATCTCCCTAACCGAATACATTATTCGACTTAAAATTTAGACGTGATTTAATATAGGCTATGCTTCACTTAATATTTTTGGTACAATTTTAGAAGAATAACATACTATAGATGTGTTAGCTTATAACGTTTTTAACTTTTTTCGACAAATGTTTGTGGAAAAAACTAGACATATTTTGCATCAAATTGTATTTCTTTAAAATCAAAATAACATCCATACATTTTGATACTTTTCACCTTAATTTATTTGTTTTAATTTTATTTAGTCACATTATATTTTTGTGGTGTAACTAACATAGTTGCATTTTTTTGTCGGGTTGTAGTTTTACTTAAAAGCATCGTCCATAGTGATTGTCACAGTGACAATGATTTGCATCATATCGTGACAAAATGTAGGTTTGAATCGATGTGATTGGCGGCGAATGGATCTGATGATTTTAGCAGGCTTGAGAGGAAGGCGGGTCGGGGTAACGAGGCGGGACTGAGTGTCAATAGATAGAACTTCGCTTGGCTGTCGGAAGAAGCTGCTCGGAGTTTGAGGTTGCCGGAGAAAGAGGGTGGAGAGGATGGGGATGAGATGGGAAGAAGAAAGGGTTCGCTAAATTGGATGAGTTTGAGATCGCCATCAACAATTGATTTGCTGATGCAGATTGGAGAAGAACGCCCATATGAGCATAGATGGAGCGAGGTCGCCACCCTCCTGCACTCGCCGTCGTCGAAGATCTTAGCAGCTGCTAGCAGGAGAAAAAAGGAGAAATGGAGAAGTCGACGACGACGCCGCCTGGAGAAAAAAGGAAGAACGAAGGTTGCTGGTCGTAGAGAGGAAGATGAAGAAAGCAACCGATTAGGGGTAAGGTTTTGAAAAAATGAAACAAAAATGAGGGATTTGAAAATAGTTGATGGTAATCAGCTATTTTAAAAATTCTCATTTGAGGGTTTTCAAAATTCCTAATTAATTGTAAAAACCTTCATACTTTCCAAACGCAGAAATGTACAAAATTCTGCATAATGAGAGATTGTGATTAGGGCGATACTTGGCTGCTGTCTGGGTTGCAGCCCATGGCTGCCACCTATTGACGTGGCACCATATCATTGGTTCAATGGATATTATTAAACTTATTTGGATTAGGAAAGGACGGAAACCGGACGGAAACTATTTCTTTTCTTGGACGGACGGAGAGCAGCCCAAACGGTGCTGCCTCTTTACATTTTTTTATTATACTTTTTATAAATTTTTTATTAATTGAAAAGGAGATAATAATATTAAACACACAGAGTGCACTAGTACTTGTTTTCCAGCTTAACTAATATTGAGAGGAGTGATATAATATACTAGTACTTGTTTTCCAGCTTAACTAATATTGAGAGGAGTGATATAATATGCGGAGCAAGGTTGTCAAACCGGTTTATACCGTTGTACCGGTTTGGCAAGTGGAATGGTACGACCAGTGGTATAACCTGTTTGTGCCGGTTCATGCCGGTCTAAAAAAATGTGAAAATAATTAATATTCAATGTATTTAATCATATATAAAATATATTTGTGGACAATTTAGTTATAATCCAACAAATATCATCAACTTTTAACTATTACATTCATAAAATGAATAATAAGTCATTATTTTTATTCATTAAATTCATTAAAATGATGTCATTTTCTTAGAATGCGTAAGTCGATCATACCGATCATACCGGTGGTGTCATGCCGGTTTCATGACCGGCACAGGTTGAACCAGGTTCAACCGGGTGGCATGCCACCGGCATGACAACCATGATGCGGAGTGAATCATATCTTAACAATTGGTTGATTTTAGGTGATGAACAATGATCAATTTCCAAAATCAATTATTAGTTCAGTGGGAGAAAACTTGGAATCTACACCCTTTGTATAAGCAATATATCATTCTGTTACAAATATAAATTCAATTTTATTATTTATTAATTAAGATGGAAAACAAGTACTATTGCACCTCTGTGCATAGTTAGTAAAATACGGTACGAGAAAGTTATGTATAAAATATGTACGAGTACTTTACTCTGTCTCTATGTTAATGTTACGTTTAATAGTAAGTTAAAAGTCATAAATATATAAAATTATTTATTTTTAAAATAAATAAATTTATAAATAATAATAAAGTTAATAATTTAATTCATTAAATACGGATATTAAGCGTATTATATGGGTTTTATACGTGTTTAATACGGGAGCTATCAAATGAACGAACAAAAAAGAAACGGCTTGACAATAATACGGATACGAAACTTTTAAATGAATAAAGTACGTATGGATACATGTATGTGTATTAAACGGAATATTTATTAATTATGCCTATGAGTGTTTAATATTATTATCTCCTTTTCAATTAATAAAAAATATATAAAAAGTATAATAAAAAAAATGTAAAGAGGCAGCACCGTTTGGGCTGCTCTCCGTCCGTCCAAGAAAAGAAATAGTTTCCGTCCGGTTTCCGTCCCTTCCTAATCCAAATAAGTTTAATAATATCCATTGAACCAATGATATGGTGCCACGTCAATAGGTGGCAGCCATGGGCTGCAACACAGACAGCAGCCAAGTATCGCCCTTGTGATTAAAATCTCTCTTCAAAAACCTTAATCCAAATGACCCCCAAGTATTTTTCATTAGTCTGTTGACTTTTGAAATTGGTATTGTTGTTTTTTGTTGCCACGACAAGTGTTGTAAGAACATTTTTTTCTGCAATGAAATACATGAAGAACACACTTCAAAATACGATTGATGAAATCATGAACGATTTTTTGATAAGTTACACGCTAAGAGTGACTTCCTTGATAGTTTGAATGACGAATGTATATATTAGACACTTTTTCATATTATGAAAATACGTTTTGTAAAAAAATTAACATAATATTGTTGAACCTCACATGTACGACCGATCGAGGAACCAATAATCAAAGCTGTTGAATGAAGAGAAACGATCGAATTACATCATATCAACTGATCCCAATGATCACACTGTATTACGTACGTAAGCTGGCAATCAGCTGCTGCCGCAGAGCTTCCATGGCGGCGCCATTTCCATCCTGCTCCTCCGAACCATCATCATTATAGTAAGTTTAGTAACCGCATTCGTCATCGTCGGACGTTGAGAAAAGCGGTTGAAATTTGTTGTTGCGGCAACGAACCATGACATCAGCAGCATCAGTACTATCATCATGTTGGTGTTGATCATTCTTCTTCTTCCTGGTGGGTAATGCATCGGCTGGCAGTGGTACACTTCCACTTCCATTATTCTTCATTATTAGCTTCTCGATGCTTAGAAATATTCCTACACGTAGACGTAGAGAGTAGTAAATAGTAACTAATTGCAAGTCCATGTTGCTGAACCGAAAAAGTTAATGATTGATGGTTCAACAGTTAATCATTATAGAATTGTTAGTTAACGGCGGACAAAACCGCTCATATATTATACACTAATTTACCAGTGAAATTACAGCTAACTATAAACAAACTCATATCCCTATCATCTATCAACAAAAAAGCTTGGTCAAAGTATTCAAGCTATATATCTCACAAAGGTAATCAACCTTTTATTATTATTTAATTCAAAACAATAATCAGGATGAAGATCCATAGTGGACCACATTAATTAAGTTGAAAAAAGACCGGAAAATGAAGAAAATGAAGCATAAACAAAATTAGTGATCGAGGTTGGATGATCTTACTTTACGTTGTTAAACGGCTGAAGTTTTTTTCTTAACTTTTTGTGGTTAAAATTGTGAATTGGTTGACTAGTCAAATCGTAATGGTTATTCCTTTGATTTTAAATCAAATATTTAAAAAAACATTTGGTCCATTCCTAAGTCCTAACCATTCAATCAAATAAGCCGAATTACTATCCTAATTGGGTTATTGGTTCTAATTGCGTATCCATTGATCCGGTTCGATTTGTACAACAATAATGAGCTAGCCAATAGTTGGCAAAAAAAAAAAAAAAAGAGCTAGTAATTAGTTTTACCATGGCATTGGGAGGAAAGCAAAACAGTTGCGGTGCTGATCTCGATCATCGGCAAAACATTCGAGCTTTTGGGTGGAGAGATCGAAGACGCCGGAGGAACAACATTTATCCTGGTAGCCACGGCGGAAGTCGTCGATATGGACGAAGTATATACGGCCGTCTTCCACCCCGTTATGGCGGAAAGCAGGGAGGCAAATCGACTGGTGGAGGTGAGACTGCTGGCTCAACAACACAGCATTGCCGCCCAAGCTCCTCACTTTTTCCCAGCCGGCGTGTGATTGTTCGTCGTCGTAATTAGCATGTTGTCGCAGCTTGTATACCTTGAATGGCTCGGAGTCGAAGGAAATTAAAGTCCTTTTGTATCTGATGACGTGGAGCTGGCCGTCGTCGTCGTCGAGGTGGAACAATCGAAGGCGCACCTCGCCGCCGAAAGGGATCGTGACTCGGGATCTCGAACCTCCAAGTCCAAGTGGGGTTATTATTATAAAGTTGTGGAAAATGTGGAGGCTGCGTTCGTCTGCGAGATACAGTTTGCCTTGTGAATAGGAGGCGTCCTGGAATTGGGCCTTTTTCAGCATAATAAAGTTCAGGCCCATGAATGCCCACTTTTGTTTCTTCTTCTCCCCTTCTTCTTCTGGGCCCACGCCCACCTCGCGCCATGCCAGCTGGCAGTGGGGGCTACGAGGGGAGGAGAATACGAGGATGACGTGGCAGCGTTCATCGTGACGGTCGGGGGAGGAGGAGATGACGGCTTTCAAAATATCGTCCGGCGAGATGACGAGAGGAGGGAGGGTGAAGAACGCGCCGGTGATCGGGTTGAGGAGGTACGGCTTCACCGGGTCGGGTCGAGCTGCGGGTTGGATTACGAGGACCCACCCGTCTTTGGAAGTGACGACGCACGGGTTATTTGAATTCGTCGGCGGGCTAATTCTCGTGTCGAGACCGAGCGGGATGGTGACGTGGCGGGGGAGCCCACGGCGGGATCTGGAATATGGACGGGGAGGAGGAGGAGTGCCGCTGCCATCACCGGCGGCGGCGAGGAAATCGGGGAGCGGGTGGAATCGATGGGAATCGGGGGTGAGGGTCCGGGATTGTAGGAAGCCAGGGAGGCATGGGAAGCGGTAGTTGTTGAGGTGGAGTTGTTGGAGACCGACGATTCTCCACCATCTGCACACGCCGGAGAAAGGGACGAAATGGGAGAAGCTCGGCAAGTGATCTTTCGCGATCTTCGCCAATATGTCCTCCGGTAGCTCTGAGTATAAATCCATCGTTGGGGAAGACGAAAGCCGGATCCGGGTCAGGTTATATATATATATATATAGTAGGGTTTCAGGAATTAGGACCTTCTTGAAATTCAGGAAACTAAAAGTCCCTTCCCATCAATACCTCCCTCCCTAAGTAATCTCCTTGCTAATCTCTTTAGGATCTTGAAGCCTCAAACCAATTCAATTCCATTCCCAAATCAACCTCCTGAGTCCTCAACATACTTCCGCAAACCCGGATCTCCATCTCAACTCGTTGCCCAATTTCAAAATCGGATCGGATCGGATGCTGAACCAAAAAAGTTAGTGGTTGATGATTCGACGATTAATTATTATAGAACTATTATTTAACAACCATTCATAAGCTATAACATAAAACTAGATCATATGTCCCTCAGAGAAAACCTAGTAGGGTTTTGTGGAAGGATTGATCTTCAGCTTCCACTGAGATCATCCTCTGCATTTTATAGTTCAGCTAAAATGTAAAGACAAATGGATTACAGAGAGCAATGTCACTTGGCTGCTTTCCTTTTGTCTATTTAAATCTTAAACCGTGTATTAAACGGGCTAATTCCTATTACAACTCTCTAGTAATAAAACGACGTAGCATAACTTAATGAAAGCGTTTCTTCCTTCCATACATTTCGTCCTTCTTTGTTCTTCCTTGAACTTGTTCTTCATTATTCCTTCTGCAATCTAGATTACAACTCTGTCACGTCCGTTGGTTGGATGAATTTTGTCACTGGTATAAATAATGATACGTTTATGAAGTAAGACACGTTTTATTTTCTTAGCATAAAAATTTTCGAATTTTTAGTTGCTAGAAGTACAAAAAATGTCAGTTATAGAATTTTCAGGCATGCTAACTGATTGATTGACAACTGTCTTTGTCAAAAGTTAAAAGAAACCACATGCAAGAGAATCAACTCCTGAAAAACTTAGAGTGGAGAAAATTATTAAGGTCATAGATTTTTTGGTTTTTGCTGTTTTTTTTATGTATGCATTTTAGTTTCGGAGATTTCGAATCTCTAAAATATTGAGATATAAAATCTCTTATTATAAGAGAGATTCGATATCTTGACTTGTAAGAATTTTTATCTCTTTTTTATACTTTATCCTTTTTTTTTAATCCCACCAAATACTCTTTGTAATAAATTCTTAATATTTCTCAAGCCGTTATGATTCTTTTAGTTAAGGATACACATATCATTTCAAAAAAATAGAATTTCTATTTTAAATTAATGTTACAATTTCAGTTATCGAACAATGAACATTTAGAAATATTCAATAATCCAATGAGGTATAATATTGGAATCTTTCAGAATCTTATGATTTATACTCCAATTTTTCAGACGACCCCTTAATCAAACCACACTACTTGTTCTTCACTATTAAAAATTACTACAATATTCATTTGGATTTCTTTGTGATCACGTAGCCATCAAAACAATCATCATCTCCATCAATAACAATGCCTTAGTCTCCATCACTAAAACTTTTATCTTCACAACAACCTCTTCCTTCTTTTTGGCATTTCATTGGGAGTCAATCTTTAATGGTAAAATATTTGTAAATATGAATCATCATTTTCATGCAGTAGATTAACATTGTTTAGGTCATTAACATTTTATGAGATTTGTTCTTTCTCCTTAACACTGATAAGCAACCAAGCGCCCAACACATACTTTGACAACATGTAGATTGAAACTTAATAAATTACTCGTAAGAGTGTCGACAATTCTTCAATTGACACATTACTTTTTTCATATTTAAAGATTACATTTTCTTCGTGGTTGACAATTGTCTTTGAGTGATTTTAACTATTAGTAGTTATCATCAATGGCATACTTGAACTCCTCACTTCTCTCCCACCGAATCCAATTCCATTATTCCTTCTCTTTATGAATATAAACTATTTCTTGTTTTCTCTTTGGAGAACTTCTCTGAACGAACTGGACACTGATTCTTTTATTGAATCATCATTAATCGATTCCCCTCACGACTCCCTCATAGAGTTTACTATGCAAATTAAAGGTCGAAAAATAGAAGAATAGTTTATATTGAATGAAGACGTACAATGCTCGATCTGTTGAAATAAGAAAACGTGACATACGAGAAGGACACACCGGAAATTGTTCAATTAAGGGATATCGAGTTTGGATGCCGAGTTCAAGGTTCACCAAATTTTGAATTTTGGAAGATGAGGGAGGAAATTGACCCACATCTTTTCTCTTTTGTGGCTTTACTTATTATTATATAGTTTCGTCCAAATCAGGTTAACCATAAGAACTTAATAATGTTGGGATGATAAGAGTTTCAACTTCGTAAGCCAAAATGACAACAGACAAGTTTAAAGGTAAAATTGTTCTTTGCCCACAAAAAATAACTCTAATTATTTTTTGTTACACCAGCATAGCATTTCGTCACACAAAAAATAGAATCCCGTGTTTGTTTTGTCCCCAACACAGTTCCATAAGGACCATAACCTAGAAGAACCACTGTTTCAGCAGTAGCAGCATAAGGAATCATAGCCTTCAACTTCTTTCAGGCGAACTCAGCCTTCTCCCCCATGTTCTTGAAGCTCACAGCGAGAGACACAGAAGGTGGCTTGAAGAGACGAGCATCCACAAATATGCCTTCTTTAGCCAACGCCTTGTCAATCTGAAGAGCAAAGCCAGCCTCCTAGGGAATGATGACCTGCAACACTGGCACTGCTTGCGCTGTACCTCTCAGCAACTGACCTCAACGCCTGCAGCGCCATGCTGAACCGGATAGCACCATACAATACAATGCTTTCCAGATAGGAACCAGCAGCATTATCAAAGGTGGATGCAACTCCTGAACGCGACCAAAATTCCAAATCATTGATCAACGCTATGTAAAATCAGAACTCGAGAAGATAGCAAATCTGGTGCATATTCATCTAAGTTATTCTTGCTGTCAGTTCATACGACGCCATAACTATCACCAAACGTGAATGAGTTGTGGAGGATTTTAAAAATCTGAAGAAATGTGCACAACTTGTATTCATACTTTGAAAACCGGAGTGAGTTCTTCCTTCTGCAAAATCAGAGACAAAATCCAGTAAATATCTTACTTACTGGCACAAAAATGGCGAGATATTCTTCCACTGCACAGCAGACAATACAGAAGTAGGAAGGGGATAAAAAGAACAGGTCAACAAGGACCTTCTGCAGAAATTCCGATCAAAATGGTATGACGCTGTGTGTTTTAATTTGAAAGACAGAGGCTTGCAAATAGAAGCAATCTCAAACCCCTACATCAGCCAGCTAACTCTTTATTATTTTGTACTTCCCAGTTCCCTGGCTATGGCGATGGCCAAATACCAAAAAATAAAAAAAAACTTATGTGCATACCTTCTATAAATGTGTTTCAAGTTGAACTCCGAAATGTGCATGATCAAAACCAACTCTGCAAGTGCCAGCCTATGTTAGCAACTAGCGAACAGGATATAGAGTTTTAACCAAAAAAATATGCTTTGTAGAAGAGCCTGATTTCATTACGTCTAACCTTTCATAACAGACTTGCCAATACCAAGTTTGAGAAGGACTGAACTGAACACTAGACTCCACAAAAGAACTAAAAAGGTGATTTATCCTGTCGATTCAAAAGTTGGATTTCCTGAGTTGTAGCCTCCAGGACCTAGAAGAGGTAGAATCCATTTTGTCGAGAAACAGAAAGCAAGCAGGCACATTAATAGAACTCTTCAGATTGCTTTGCCGAACTATAACCATGATGCACATTAATTGGCTGCTGCCGAAGGCCCTCTCGCGATCATGTATGTAAGTAAACCTCGGGGTAGTAATCGATGATTCATTCATCTCTTGCTGTAGATTACGATCCATCATGATCTGTTACATACACCAACTCTTCTGCATAGTACTGTACAACCAACAAATCCAGTTAGCAATGATGGCAGAAACATTTCATTTCATTTAGAGTCCTCACCTCTCTAAACATCACTACAAAACATAGTAAAGTTAAACTGAAAGACAGCAAGCAAACTTCCATTCTACATTATCAAATGCACGAGTCATACAAGATTATCTTTCACAAATGGGGGGAAATAAAGTCAAGCTTAAGTTGACGTAGTCTACCTAAGTGAAGTGTCGGACAAAAACCTTCTTTTTTCCCCACAGCTTGACTATATCCCGACTCATTACAACAACTGAACTCAAGAATCTATCAACCGAGCAAAGGAATCAAGTTAAATGACGAAAATCCAAATCGCCAGGTACCCACTAATCGTAATCATAAACTGACACTTTGATTGCGACTCAAAGGGAATGAAAGGGGAGAGAAGCGACCTACCTCCCTCAGCATTCGGCCGTTGATTAGTAAGAGATTGGAGGCATCGGTGACTGAAGTAAGATTGGTACCTGGGAGGAGTTCGGACAAGAAAGTTGCAGCGCAACTCCCGAGACTCCAAGCCGATGGATGAGCGGAGGCAGCTGTAGTCTACCGGAGACGGCGGAAGCCGAGTAGTGACAGGGAGGAGGTCGGGAAGGAGAAGGCGACGATCGCCGGACTTCTCTCGTAGATTTCAGAGAGAATGTCAAATGGGCCGAGCGAAGCCCACGAATTCAATAATCCATATTACTCATGGGCTGGATTTGTACAAAATGGATCCTTTCCTTGGAGAAGTCGGAAACCAAGCGGGGCTTCCCTTTCCGAGTCCGAGGATGAGAGGGACAAGTAAAAGGAAACAAAACATATATAAAAAGGTTTGGGGCTGCAGGTGGTTTCTTTTTCTTTTGGCGATAAAACAAAAAAGTAGAATGTCGATCTGTGAAGCGGAACAAGGCAGAAAGAGAAGGAGGAACAACTTTGGAATGGCGACACCGTTGGTCGGCGGCAGCGAAGAAGAAGCAACAACCGACCAATTTTCGAAACTGCCGGATGAGTTAGCGGTGGGGATCCTTTCGCCGTCGGCGACCACAATGAACGAAGCGGCGAGATACAGCAGCCTACTGGGGAAACGGTGGAGGAACATGTGGCAGTTGATCGACAGCGCGGTTCTGGATTTCAACAAGTCCGACAACGACGACAGGAGATCCGAGCCGCAGCGGCGGCGGTTCGTGGACCGGGTCGACCAAGCCATCGGTTTGATCCGACAGTCCAAAACCAGACTGGACGAGTTGAAGATTGTGTTCAAGTTTACCGAGATGGAAGAGGCTGGGTGGAGGTGGATCCAATTCGGTCTGGGCGAGGGAGTCAAACGGCTTACCCTACTGTCTCTGTTGCGCCCCGGTTGGGAGGCTCGCGACGCGATCCCTGTCCCCCTCTTCACCCCTGAATTCGTCGCCAAGCAAGACCTCAGCCGCCTCGAGGTTTTGGAGTTTCAGGGCGTGTCCATGATTCCTGGAGGAACTCTGGATCATGTCTTGTCACGCTGCCACTCACTGCAGCACCTGTCTCTCAACAATTGCTCCTTCCACGACGAGGATACAGTGATCAGAATTTGTCGTCCCAACAACGACAAGCTGCAGACGCTGACATTTTGGTGTCCAGAAGAAGAGTTCCACAATGTCACTAGGATTGAAATCTTTTCTGCCCCTGGTCTTCGTAGTTTGAAGGTGGGTGGAGGACCAGTCGTCCCAAGGGTCGAATTCGGGGACGACATTCCTCAACTTCGGGAATTTGAGTATTGTAGGTTCATCCAGTTTGATGGTGATGACTTCTGCTACTTCCCGTGGTCTCGGTCTGAATCCAACAAGTTTGCGCCTCGATTGCAGTTTCTCAAGTACGACCTCACCACTCACAACTTTGAACCTCTATCTGTTCGGGCTCCTGAATGGTTGCGGTTTGAGAAGCTCACGGTGTTGGATTTATCCATATATATAGAGTTTGCTCGTACAAGTATGTTGGAGTGCACGGCCCTGCTGAGGGCAGCTCCAATGTTGCGCCAACTGTTCATATCGTTCATACATTTGTACAACTACAATAAGTGGGAGGATCCTGAGCAGGAGTTGCCAACTTGGAAGCATCAATCTCTGCAGGTGCTTCAGCTGCACGGGGTGCATCCTAGCGACTGGCAGGTTGTTGATTGTCGCAAACCTCAGATGGAGCTCGCTGCCTACATCATTATGGCCTCGCCTTCACTGAAGCAGGTCCTTATTGATACCAAAAATTTAAGATCCACTGCCCCCAGGGAACCACTTCAGGTTGATGCTCATATCTCTGAAGCTAAGATGGAATTGGAAGCTCGACTCAGCTCTCACACCACCACCTCCCAAATTCACTTCACTTATCTATAAGTACTTGTTGCTCTGTCAAGAGGAAGAAGAAGCAGCAGCAGAAGAAGAAGAACAAGAAGTATGTTCAAGGGTTGTAGATTTTTCCTAGGAGCTGTTTGTAGTCTACTGTATATGAACAAGAGATATGTGGATTTCAAACTTGGGACTAGTTCTGAATCAAATTTACTGATGGGGTTCAAGGGTTGTTTGGCAAAATCTCCTGTTTGTGTGTGTTTTTGCTGCGTTTTCTTGTTTGGGTTCCTGAACTTGGCAGATACGCTGATGCTCGTGTTGATCTGGTTCATTGTGCGGTACATTACTGACTTCTGCAGCAGGTAACTTCTGTTCTCGATATTGGACAATTTGAATGTTGAATGCATCAATGCTTTCCAATTTCTGTGTGAGTGTGGAATGCTTGTTTATGTTGAGTTATTGACAAATGAATGGTAGGTAGCTTGGTACCCACAATCTCTACATGTTGAGCCTAGTTTGTTAGGTCCTGTAATTTTGAACTGTGACTCTCCTTTGGTGCCTTCTAAATTATTAGGTTTCTTGCATACTCCACTTTGGCCACTTCGTTAGAGGGAAGTAGGTGATTCAGGACGAGAAGCCATGGTCATCAAATCTAATATGTAGACGCTAGTACTGGTTACTGGGTCTCTTGGAGATATCTGTTGGCTGTGGAAGTGCAATTTAGTCTATCAAAAGTACCCAATTATCGTGTTAGGAAACCAGTTGACTTCATTATGAGGATCTTGAGAACTGATGTAATAGAAGCATGTTGATTTGTCTGCTCAACCTTTTCCAATTAGATGGCTGTACAACACGATAGGAAGCTTCAATTATATTTGGTTTGTTACAACAGAAGGGTCTGGCATATCAACCATCCATAGGGGCAGAGCAGGTTACCGTGTCTTCATTGGAGCAGGTTTTACAGTCTAGAAGTCCTAGTTGCTTGTCTCTAGAGTTCTGAGAGCAATAATTATTAGTGCCAACCTTGTCTTCATTCAGAATCTGATGGAATATTTTGTAGCCTTAGGTTCCATCAAACAGCGGAGTACGTTTTGAGGTGTGTAAAGTGAGTAGTTGGTTCTCATTCCTGAGTTTGGAATGTGCTGTTGTGTCTTTCTGAAGCTTTACTCCTACTTTTTAGTTTATTCACCAACCTGCATTTCTTCTTCTCAAGTAGCTCTTTCCCTTCACATGTGATCTATTGCCCTCAATTCTTCTCCCATGTTGCCGATGCAGGATCCCTTCTCAGTTTTCATCCTACCGTTCACCTTCTCCGGACATCAAGTTCCCGAAGTAATGGCTTCGCCACCTGCTTGAACTTGGGATTTCACCACTGAATTAGGTAGGATTCTATTTGCAATTGAACATGTATATGATTTTTTGTCATGACTTCAACACTGAGAATCAATATAGATGATCATCTTACTGAATCGATCATGGATTCCACCCAAGAGGCAAGAATAGCCTTCGGTGTTGGCTCACTCTATTATACAGGCTCGAAAATGCTTCTAATCTTCATCCAATGTTTTGGCACTGGAACATTCTGTTTATGTTAATGAGATTGAAAGATGTTTGTTCGTGTGCTGAAGACTATCGAAAGAGATTGCCTGTTTTCTTATCATTTTTGCTCTGATCCCAGGTATCTATGGTTGAACATTTAGAGCGAGATATATCTTGTCACCACAAATCGTGGTTCCATGGTGACGAAGTAGGTAATATCAAAGAGCAACGAATTGCTAAGCACGTATTGTAATCCAGATTGAAGGAATGTTTAGATGATATTTTTCTTTTCTTTTTGGTCGTGAGAATTTGTTGCAAGCGCATAACCTTCTTGCTTAGTCTTAGCCATAGCGATAGCATCTTTTACAAAGCAGAAGAAGAAGAACAAGAAGTAGAAGAAGAACAAGAAGTAGAAGCAGAAGAAGAAGAGCAAGAAGAAGCAGAAGAGGAAGAAGAAGAAGCAGCAGAAGAAGAAGCAGAAGAGGAAGAAGAAGATTCTTATTAACATGTTATTATTGTCCCAATCAAGTTCTTATTTTCTTTTCTGCTCTTCCTGTCATAATGTACAAATGTATTCTTCCATTGTTATTACTGTTGCTATTAACTTTAAGTAGTTGAATAAGCCTTCACTGTGTAGTTGGTATCTCGTTGAAGATGGAAATGTGGAACTCCATGAATAATAACCTAAATTGCTAGCTTATAATAACCTACATACCGAAACAGTGGCTCCGATGAAGACACAGCAGAACAGAAGGGAAGGATCGATCAAGTAAAAACAGGATTCCATTAATAACCAGCAACACCATTCTAAACGTCTCAACAGGAAAAGATAACAGTGCAGCAAAATTTCAACGGTAGATACCAAATCAGATAGTATCATCCACAAACCAAAACTGTGTTCGATTTGCTCTTCAAATTACCTGCTACATAACTATCATTGGGTTGAAATGAATTGAGCTAATACATAACAACCAAAGTAAGTTAGAGTTGTCACGCTCACCCAAATCCTTACAAGTTCACTACAGGTAAAATTCCTTTCCACTTGGTTTCTTCTTAGCTATCATAAGAACTCATATAAAACAAAGAGTTACTAAGTCATCAACGTTGCTATAGCTAGCTTAGCAGGTACTCAAGATGTTGACAAAGGAGGTTTCACTCACTCCCTTCTGATTTCAAACCCGTAGAACTGAGCTGCGCCCATCAAAGTTGCAAAATTCCTTTCATGTCGATAGGTGGTGAGCAGGATAGGGCCTCCATTGTCCGGATCTCTGAAGCGAGCAATGGCCTGGATTTCCGCCTCTGATGTGACACGCAGGATCAAGGGTCCTTGTCCAGGCCGAGCTCGTAAAAGATCAGTGGCTTCAGCAGTCGCACTCTGAATAGCATCGTCCAACATCTTGATTGTAGGATCTTCATCTTCATGATTGACGATTCGATTGTACTCGGCCACAACGGTTCTTAAACTGGCTCTCGGGTCCGGATACTCTTCTTGATTTGCAGAGCCTGAGGGTATGACAGTAGTAACGGCACTGAAAGGAAGAAAGCGGTGATCCCTTCTGGCCATCTTGTTCACCTTGTCACGAAAGCCTCTCTCAATTGGAAGCCACCTGCTTTTTCGTTCAGATACGGATTGCAGCATCTGCCCTGCATTTCAACCACCATAAAAAGAAATGAAGTTTTGAAGCAGATCATAAATGAAAACAAAGAAAAGCCCAGCAATGCCATGAGTCGGTCTTACAGTCGTCCCTTACAGCCCGAGTAGCTGCAATCCTCGCTGTTACAGAATTCACCGACTCATGAACCCATCTGGCCTCATCCAGCCTACCATCCATCATCAACACCAAGAAAAAAAAACACACACACAGAGTATCATTCATGTGGATTAATTTGGAGCAATTTGCATACACTTTTAGCTTGTTCTTGTGCATTATTCACTTTTAACACACCAAGTAATTAGTCGTTCGCAAACACTTACAGTTGGTTGCCGACATCTGCGTTGATCGCCCCTGCGCCCAAAGCACCATCCACGCGAGCTCCGAAAGCCAGGACCTCTCGCTCCGCATTGTTTATCTGCAAGTCCAGGTTCTCCATTATTGATTGCGTCTGCAGGGAGGAAGAAAGCACTAAGGTTCCGGAAGATGCAACAATGGTTTCACGATTTTCCTTTCTTTTCGTCTCTTTTGGAGCGGGATGCTGCTCTGCTCACTGCTTCATATTGCAGCTTGGTGCAAGGGACGGGCGCCAAATTTGGCGTGAATCAACTGTCTGGCGTATTTTTTTATTTTTTATTTTTAATAATAAACTGTCTGGCAGTTGGGCCTCTTTTTTTTAATAATTCAATACTCTATAATGAAAAATAAAACTAGCCTTTTATCCGGTTAATTGGCCGGATTACTTTTAAGGTACTGAGTACTGATTAGTCAAACTCGAGAGAGTTAGAGAGGGAAACTTTTATTTTTGGAGAATTGTATATCAAGATGTTAATAAAGCATTGATATGATAGGTATTTTAAAAATGTTTGAACATACTACCAAATTTTAGACAAATATATACATCTGGATCAAGATACTAAATCATCAAATATTTTTTTTAATTCGATATATACGTTCAGACTAAAAATAAAATAAATAAATTTATAGCTCATTCAAACAAGTTGTTATCAATTTTATAAATAAAATTATTTAATTTCACTTTGTATTTATTTTATTTTTTAAAATAAAAAAAATAAAAGTACATGTATTCCCCCCTGTTCAACCTCCAAATTTTTCCAAATGACATTCTAGTACTCCACCAACCCACGGACTTTTTGTTTCTATTTATCTTCCCATTTTTTTTTCTAACTATCGACCGTCAAATCTTCGTTCTCTTACACCAAAAGGGTATCATCTAAATAATTTAATATTATAATACAAAAAACTATTCTACAAGTATAAACAATCTCTAAATCAGTGAACACCTCAATAATCTCATCGAATCTATCTATTCCAATCTAGTCCTGGGGCTATATTGGCTGAGTTCATAGTACATGTAAAGAGTCTGAATTTTGTAGTGTCTTAGTCCATCGCTGGTGATTGGCAGATAATTCGTATGCTAATCTAAGCCTTAAATAGAGCTTGTATTATCTTCAATTATTCTCCGTCCTGACTCTCACCCACCATATGTATGCGTCTCTCAGGTGAAACAATCGCTAGTTGTCTTTTAGTGGCATCTATTAATTCGTGAATGGTTTCAAATTCATTCAAGTTCGTATTTTTGTGCTCTAAAGAAGGAGCACCGACCCATGTTCCTCAAATTGTGTGTCTTAAGAATGACTTAATGTTAGAGCATGTGTAAATAATTTTAATAGAAATGAAAAGGTTTAAATCACATCGTTATTTATGTTATAAATAAGTCTCTACCCGTTCCTAACATCAGTGTAAAAGACACGTAATAAATACACTCATTACTCGAATTTGGCTACCTAATGAAATACTAAATTTCAACCAACTACCACTAATAGCCAAAGATTGTGAAAAGATGTTTGGCATTCTAATAAAACTTTGGAGATATTGTCCTCATTCTCTTTGAAAAGATGCAACTTTTTTGTGCTTTCATTGCTCCATGTCATAAGAATGCTTTGTTTGGTCAAAGGGTTACCTCACACATATAATGAAGAGCAGTAGAAGATGAGCCAACCAATCAGCATGATCTTCTGGTAGGTAGTTCATATTACTACAATCGGGGTGGTATTATTAGCCTGTTTTCATGGTTCTTAACGTACATATTTTCCAATGAGCTTACACATTCCGAAAGCGAAAGTAAAAAACAAATGCATTGCCAAGGAACTCTGATTGTCGAACATTATCCATGTCTGAGGAAAGACAAATAGTTTATGCACACTACATTATTATCCATGACTGTTGAATGACCACTACCTGCTCATTGAAGCTTTTATCTCTAATACCAAAACCTCGCAACTGCAGCTAGCGAGAAATGTTAATCCAATGTTTTGGCTCACTCTATTATACAGGCTCGAAAATGCTTATTATCGAGCCTTCGGTGTTGGCTCACTCTATTATCGAGCCTTCGGTGTTGGATTCCACCCAAGAGGCAAGAATAGCCTTCGGTGTTGGCTCACTCTATTATACAGGCTCGAAAATGCTTCTAATCTTCATCCAATGTTTTGGCACTGGAACATTCTGTTTATGTTAATGAGATTGAAAGATGTTTGTTCGTGTGCTGAAGACTATCGAAAGCGATTGCCTGTTTTCTTATCATTTTTGCTCTGATCCCAGGTATCTATGGTTGAACATTTAGAGCGAGATATATCTTGTCACTACAAATCGTGGTTCCATGGTGACGAAGTAGGTAATATCAAAGAGCAACGAATTGCTAAGCACGTATTGTAATCCAGATTGAAGGAATGTTTAGATGATATTTTTCTTTTCTTTTTGGTCGTGAGAATTTGTTGCAAGCGCATAACCTTCTTGCTTACTCTTAGCCATAGCGATAGCATCTTTTACAAAGCAGAAGAAGAAGAACAAGAAGTAGAAGCAGAAGAAGAAGAGCAAGAAGAAGCAGAAGAGGAAGAAGAAAAGGAAGAAGAAGAAGCAGCAGAAGAGGAAGAAGAAGATTCTTATTTAACATGTTATTATTGTCCCAATCAAGTTCTTATTTTCTTTTCTGCTCTTCCTGTCATAATGTACAAATGTATTCTTCCATTGTTATTACTGTTGCTATTAACTTTAAGTAGTTGAATAAGCCTTCACTATGTAGTTGGTATCTCGTTGAAGATGGAAACGTGGAACTACATGAATAATAACGAAAATTGCTAGCTTATATTGACATCCAATTTGTTGTCTCAAAGGAGACAACTGGGGCGTTCCATCCCAGATTAACTACCATTGGGAAATTTACTACAAACTTTAGTTCAAAAGTAGAAAGACTAAAAAATGAACATACCGAAACAGTGGCTCCGATGAAGACACAGCAGAACAGAAGGGAAGGATCGATCAAGTAAAAACAGGATTCCATTAATAACCAGCAACACCATTCTAAACGTCTCAACAGGAAAAGAAAACAGTGCAGCAAAATTTCAATTGTAGACACCAAATCAGATAGTATCATCCACAAACCAAAACTTTGGGGGTCCTATAACAAGATAACAACTGGTTTGGGGAAACTTTATAGTCAAACAGACTGAAGCTCAAACCATCGGCATCGGACTCCTCTTCAGGCTCTGGTTTCTTCTCCTCTTCCTTGGCAGCAGCAATGCAGCATCAACACAACCGTTGGCTGCAGCAGGGGCAGCAGCAACAGCAAACTTGCTCGGATCCTGCATAGCAAAAACATTCAAACTAATTAACAACTAAAGTAAAAAACAATGAATTGTTCAATAAGTCAGTTTTAAGGGCATCGAACCTTCAAGTACTCTTTCACTTGCTCTGCCTGAGGGTAGGTGTAATCTGTCTCCCACAGCAATGGCCAAGACATTCTTGTAGGCATCGGCAAACATGTGGGGCGCAGCAGCCAGAGTCGGGTATGCAATGGCAAGCGAGAGTGCAGTAACCATGGAAGGCACGGCTTTCGAGACGACGAAGCCGGTCGAGAGCGGGATAGCGTAGCCCTTGCTGTGGAGGAGATGAGCTAATGGTGGGGATTCTGCCGTGAGACATGTGGGAAGCTGGAGTGGGGTTGAAGGGAGGAAACGCATGCTGGGTGCTGGAATTAGGAGGTAAGCTGCTGAGGCAGAGCTTGGAGGCTTCACTGGAGTAAAACCTTCTACATATCCTGATCCTGGTGTGCTGCTACTGTTAACACCTTGAGTTGTCCCTCCTACAACGAATCACATATTATCATTATTTGTCAACAGAAATGGCCAGTGAACTCTCTCACATGGCATTCGGTTAGACAAAAAGCTTACCAGAGGAAGATGAATCTGCTTGACAAAGAAGATGCAAAGAATGATCGATGGAGACTGCGACAAAAGTGATGCTCTGGACCCACTGGAGGATCCCCCTAGAGCTATCAACTGATGATGTATGCCCTCCGCCCATAAGCTGCTTTCTCCCTGAAGATTGTCCCAAACTATTACCTTTCATGAAGCTAGAAGCCTTTGAATATAGCGGGCTGGGGGATGAAGGTAAGGTTCTCTCTTGAATCAAGCTCATATCCTGCTGCTGTTGCTGCTGCAAGGAAGATCCATTGTTGCTTCCAGGCATTCCGTCAGGCATTGAACGTCGGAGTTGCACAGGCCATTTCTTCACCTCTGCTCCCCCAACAGAATAAATGGCATTCTGCCACTCTGTTTAATCCCATCATAACAGAATGCAAAATGGAAAGAGTGGGATAGTGACTGTTAATCTTCATTAAAGATAAAAAAAAAAAGAGGAATGGACATTAAACTAACTCAACAATTAGCAGAGGAGTGTGTCACATCATGCATAGCTAAGCTATTGTGTTAATTAGCCAAACAATGCAAGTCACTAGCAAACAGGATATAGAGTTCAAGAAAAAAAGAATGATGCTTCATAGGACAAGAGGCTGATTTCACTTCTCCTCACCTTTCACAACAGACTTCTGGATACCAAGTTTGAGAAGGATTGAAGTCAACAGTAAACTCCACAAAAGAGCGAAAGGTGATTTATCAGTTTTATAGCCTGAGTTGCTGTCCCAAATAACTCTAACCACTAAGAGATTGTGGTTTTCTGGCCAAATTAAGAGATTGTGCAGAGAAAACTTGGTTTACCCCTTTGGAGGTTGACTTTGATTTGTTGCTGTTGTGGTTTGAGATGGATGACTTCTCCTTAGATTGTTTCGTGACTGTACCAGACACAATCTCGAATGTAGTTGGGAGTTCATTTATCATAGTGAAGAGTCTCTTCCTGCAGCATTTCAGAAGAACCAATCTTAATCACGTTCTCAAAATGCTCTCAATTTTTTTAGACAATTCCTTCATTATGTTCTATGCAGGATGATCTTCATTAGATTTTGCCACAACTACAGTATCATGTCAAGAACGAAAACGCCAATGCATTTGAAAACAAAAGATAACAATTACGTAACACAAGAACTGGTGGAAACTTAGACTACGGTTCACCAAAGAGCACATAAACAACTGGACTCGAGATATCAAACTCAGAGAATTGTCCTAGAGCATACCTGTGAGCTTTATCAAATCCAAATCTGGCCCCAAGACAGAATGCAGCAGAAAGCAACCATGCATCTCTGTGCACAGCAACAAAAGATAGCCAGTCTTTTTCCTGTATGCCATCGCTTGCAAAGTGAATACCCAAGGCAGCTTCTGGAAGCTCAGGTGGTACTTCTTCAGCTGGCAAACTGACTTCCCATTGTTTGCCTTGAAATGGAAAAACGTACAAGCACAGGTTTTGCTTCTCTGAAAAGACAGGCATATATTTAAGGCACCAGGATATAGCTACAACTACACGAAAATTAGAACAAGAACACCAAACGAATAGAAAAGCATCCAATGCAAAAATACCCACAACAAGAAGGCAGGGGAAGGCAGAAGTTCCTAAAGTAACATCAGCCTTGAGGAAATGATAAAGAGGGCACAGAACAAACTCCATACCTGACATAATTATGAAGTGCTCTGAAGGAGTCTTCAGAGAGAATAAATTAATTCCCACTGGTTTAATCCTTCCGGCTCAACCAGTGGTCAAGCATATTGACCCTCGGGGGAGAAGGTTCCCCGTAATAATCTCGCTTTTCAAATTCCAGTCCAATTTCCTCGGCTTTCTTAACTGCCCAAGCAAACTCAAGATCGAGACCTTCCCGGTAAAGAACGATCCTTCGTGAAATATTTTCCTTGTGCAAGTGGATCGCTACCTGCATATCCTCTGCGGACTCCACTGGGAAAGGCTCCCCGTCCTCGAATCCACTCTTGAGAATTCTCCTAATCTGGCAACTCTTCTCCTCCCTTTTCGTGAGGAAAACTTCACGTTTTCGTTTCTGGTCTTTATCTATTCTCTTAGCTAACTTCGCCAATTTTAGCACGTTAATCTTGGAATCGTGATTATCCATCACTAAGTGGAAACCCAGAAACCCTAAATGAGTAAAAAGGGAAAGAGTTAAGTGGAGAAGGAAACCCAGAAACCTAGAATGGATAAAGCAAGAAAACTAACAACACCCAATGTAAAGCAATCTGAATCCTATCTTTTTCAATGAACGCCAAAGCTCTTTTGCATATCGAACCACACCAAGTCAAGCTTCCCCCAAAACCTGAGATTTTTCCTTCATAGCCTTGAGCGGGGTGAGGATGCAGAGGTCGTGTTCAAAAGCTCAGGACGCCATTAATTTCAAGAATGCGGTGATGGGGAAGCTTGATCGGTCGTCGGATTTCGGCAGGGAAAGGGAGGTTTTGCAATTACAGCAGAGATGGTAACAATTTGCAGAAGGAAAAGAATCCCATCAAAGAACCCATAACATAATACCTGTTTGCGGAGATCAGGCAGCCTTCGGTTTCAGCGAAGTTACTTCTTGCGAGGGCAATTTGACTGGAGAGAATCCAAAAGAGGGTAGCGGACTGGAGAGAATCCGAAAGAGGGTAGCTGATGAACGCCGGGGACAGGAAGTGAGAGTTGAGCAAGAGAGAGCGAGCGCGCGGACGACTGAATTAGAATTTTCGCCAGCGACTGAATTAGAAATTTCGGTGTTGCAGCTTCCACATAAGAAAGAGAGCCGTTGGGTTTTAAAACTAGCGGTGAATGGGCCAAACCGTCGGTTTTTGTCCCTGTATTGGCCCATGATCCATGCCCAGGTTCATATTTTACTTTGTCTAAGCTCATTGTATGTTCAATAATAGGTTAGCCGTTATAAAATATAAAAAATAAATATCTAAAAAATAATTTAATAGTTAAATTAACAATTTAATTCATTAAATATGGATTTTATACGTGTTACCAGAGGCATTAAATGAACAAAAAAACATTAAAATGGCTTGACAATAATATGGATATGGAAGTTTTAAAGGATAAAATATGTACGCACATATATACATATGTATTAAACGGAGCATTTACTAACTATACTTCATAGGATAAGGGTTTTGTTACTTTATTTTGGGGAATATTTGACTTCTTAATACCACCATTTTATCTATGACTAAATGCTTATTTCTATCAGTGTTCATGGTCAATTCACTCTATTGTGGTATTTTTTTTGTTCATAGGTAAAATATACATGGATAGCCATAAGTATCCATTTTTTGACAATAATAGCAACTTTTTAAAAAAAATACACAGAAATAACCATTTCTTCAAGAACTTTAACGAACCAATATGGATGTTGATTGTTGACTGGACTAACAGTCAAGGTTGACGTGGCATGTTCTCGTAAAAAAATAAGGGGTTTATTTTATGGCAAAGAAAATAGGAAAAAAGGGGGTTTATGTTTCTCAAGATAGACCTAGCAAAAACTTAGGACAAAATTGAGTGGAGTTTCTTGGAAGATACACTCATAGCAACCCACCTTCCGTAGAGATTCATTGGTCTGGTCATGGCTTGTGTCTCATTAACAAGCTTTCATGTCCTCTGGAATGGTGGAGAGACTGATGCTTTAAGACAGGGATGCCATCTCTCCCCTTACCTTCTCGCCTTGTGTGTTGAAAGATTAAGTCACTGCAACATCAAAGAAGTTAAGGAGAGGAACTGGAAACCCTTGCGTATTTCGCATGGAGGTCCTGATGTCTCTCATCTTCTCTTCGCCGATGACCTTGTCCTTTTTGCTGAGGCCAATACTTCCCATGCTGATGTTGTTTTAAAATGTTTAACTGATTTTTTTTGTGCCTCAAGTGAATTAGTTAGCAATGATAAGTCTAGAGTCTACTTCTCTGAGAATGTGAAAAGTAGAACCAAAATCCCCAGATAAACTTGACATCCAATCTACATCTGACCTTGAAAAGTACTTATGAGTTCATGTCTTGCATGGGAGACTCACTAAGTCTATCTTTAAGTACATTATATTATGGACAAAATGGATAAAAAAAATTACTAGTTGGAAAGCGAGAACTTTGTCTCTAGCTGGTAGGGTTACTTTAGCACTTGTTGTCCTAAATGTTATTCTCTTCTATGTTATGCAAACCTCCCTCATTCCTAGATCTGTTTGTGACTTGATTGATAAAAGGATTCGAGGGTTTGTTTGGGCCTCTCGAGAGGGAAAGAAAAAAAACACTACTACTGGCTTGGGACACCATTTGTAATCCCAAGAGTCAAGGTGGGTTAGAATTGAGATCTGCTAGAAGTTTAAATATGGCATACATGATTAAATTATCATGGAAGATGCTTAACAATGAAAATGAGCTTTGGGTTCAAGTGTTGCAGGGGAAGTACTTTAAACACGGAAACGGAGAAATCACATCTATGAAGAAGAGTAACTATTTCAATCTCTGGAAAGAAATGGTCAAGGCAATGCCTTTGATGAAAGTCGGATCTTGCTGAAGCATTAGAAATGGATCTCAACAAACTTCTGGATTCACCCATTGGTGGAAAATGGGCTAGTTTTGGAAGACTTCTTGACTACGGATCTTTCACCAATAGAGAGGAACTCACCGGTCTCGGCTTGGTTAACTAGTGCAGGTGAGTGGAATTGGGATCGATTGGAAAGCCTTCTTCATGAGCATATTCTCTCTCTCATTGCAAGGGTGGAAGCACCAAATCCTGAGTTTGGAGAGGATAGAATGATTCGGGGCCTGGAGTGTGATGGTAGATTCCGCCTCTACTAAGCTTACAACCTTGCAGTTGAAGTTGACATGGATGCTTCAAGCCCTGTCTGGAAGCAGCTCTAGAAATGGAAGGGACCCAGCAGGGTCAATCACTTCCTGTGGCTGGTCATACTTGATAGAATCCTCACCAACAAGGAAAGAGCCAAGAGGAAAATCACAACAAGCTGCTTGTGCAACCACTACAAAGACAAAGAGGAAAGTGTGCAACATATTCTCCGAGGCTGCTCGAAGGCCAAAGAAATATGGAACAAAATAAAACATATACAGACCACCAGAGATCACAACATTGCCTTTTCAAGAGTGGTTGATGGCCAACCTAATGCATGATGACAAGGGTGTGAACTTTGAAATTGTTTGTTGGAATCTTAGGAAACAACGGAATGAAGAAGCTAGGGATGGCAAACCTTTTAATGCTCAAGGATTGATGTGTAGTATAAAATCATGGTTCAATTCTCCCTACGGTCGAACATATTCTAAACCTTCGGGCTCACTCTCCCCTCTCCTTTCAGTCGAGCAACTTCTTATTCTCTGTCTTTGATCCTGTCTAATAATAAATAAATAAATAAATGTGTTGGCTTTCTTTAACGGCGCTTCCTTTTTTTCTAGGTTCCGAAAGTGTTTATTCCCCCTTGGGGACTGTATTCAATACAAGAGGATCAGACTTGAATACTCGACTCTTCTTCCCGGTAGTCTCAATAGGATAGACTGATACCTTCTTCAAGGAATCAAGATCATTGACCATGCCCAGAAGAGTGTAAAGAGCATCACCAACTCTCCTTCTAACTCTCCTCCTGTGATCAAGCAACACAGACAAATTGCCTGGAGACCTTCTGATGAAGGTTGGGTACAAGTGCTAACCGACGGATCTGTTCTCTCACCTACATGCAAAGCTGCAGCGGGAGGATTGATTAGAGATCACCAAAGCAAGTGCTATGATGCTTTTGTCTGCAACTTCTGAGTCTGTTCCATTACAAGCACTGATCTGAAAGGAGCTATTGAAGGACTCCGCCTGGCCTACATGAAGGGTTACAAGAAAGTCCAGTTAAACCTGTAATCCTCCACAGTTAGGGTTGTTAATGAACCAAGCCGCTCATGAACGGCTTGGCGTCCGACTCGAGAAAAACTCGTTCGAGACTCGATTCATCTTAATCGAGCAGACTCGCGAACAAGCTCATTAACTAAGCGAGCCGAACTCGAGCCATACCATGTTTAGCTCGAAATCTCGCGAACAAGCTCATTTAACGGTTTGGCATCCGAAAGGAGTGGAATTTGTGGATTTTATGTATTGAAATTGGGATAAATGTTGTGTTTTGTTTTGCTAGACTTTGCTATAGGTTTGAATGTATATTTTGTGCTCAGTTCTAGCTCGATCTTAAGCTATAATTAACATTTTATGTGCTAAACTCGATTCTGGGCTTGTTAAACTTATTTGGCGAGCCGAGCTCGAGTCGAGATCGAGCTTTTATTTTCATAAACGAGCCGAGCTTTAGCTTGCATATTAAAGCTCGTGACGAACATGAGCCGAGCCCGAACTATGGCAAAGTTTGGCCCGACTCGGATCATTAACAACCCTATCCACAGTCGTTGCTATCATCAGAAACTACAAGGATGATAATCAGCGACACAACATTTTCGCTAATCAGTTTAACTATCTTTTGAATCTTGATTGGGATGTGAAAGTCGAACATGTGTATAGGGAAGCTAATTTTGTTGCCAACTTCTTAGCTAATAGGGGCCATCTCTCTGATTTTCACACACATCTCTTGGATGTGTGCGACCCGGTACTGAATCATTACTGTACCATGATATCGTGGGGGTATCTCATGACCATCTTATTTCATCTATGAATTAGACGCCTTGGCGTCGATCTTTCTACTACAAAAAAATTCCTTTCCAATTTCATGGAAGGAGGGGGGGGGGGTCATCATGTAATCTTGCCTTCCATTTCTCTTCTCATATCCACCTTGCCGATCAAGACCGATTTTCTCGTTCTCGTCGGCCAAAACTCACTTGATATTATGTATTTTAAAAAAATTACAAAAATTGAAACATGAAGGTCACTTGAACACTAAGTTCTTTAACAAAATTAAAAAAGTAAATATAAAATCAACATAATGTCAATATTAATAATGAAGAATTAATAATTGAGATCATGGATAATATTAGTATAATATATAAATTAAAATTTTGGTTAATTCAACTATTCAATAAAATTATCAATTAAATATAAATAAAATAAAGAAATGTATTAGGTAATTTGATGTTTTTAAAAGAAGAGGAAAATTTTGGTGTATTCAACTTTTTGGGAAGAGAAAGAAGAGGGACATTTGGTTCTTTGAATTTTTTAGAAAAGAAACAAGTGGAAATTTTGGTTGTTTTGATTTGTGGGAATAGAAAGAAGTGGGAAAGTTTGGTTCTTTTAATTATGAAAGAGAAATAAGGAGGGAAATTTTGAGTTTTCAACTTTTTGTGGAAGGAAGGAAGAGAGAAATTTGGTTCTTTCAATTTTATGGAAGAGAAAGAGGAGGGAAATTGAGTGTTTCTAATTTATGGAAGGAGAAAGAAGGAAGGAAATTTTAGTATTTTTTTGTGAAAAGAAAGAATGAAACAAATTTGGTGTTTTCAACTTTTTGGTTTTTCAAAATTTTAGCCTTTGAAATATGAATCTTTAATTTTTATATGGAGGGCATGACTAGTTAAATTTATTCTTATATGCTTTGAAGGCTAATATATATATATATATATGGGCAGTTCTACGGTGCCCAGGGCAAAATCCGGGGTACGGGTAACCGGGGGCAAGGAAAATTACCAAAAGCATCACGAAGCGTTTAAGCGTTGTTCATTGGACTTCAACCTAACTGTACCCGGTTTAATTATATCGATTAAGAGGTTAAACCCTATGGATACGACCCGCCGCCCTAACCAATTTCTAGTCCCTCATTCGTCTTGGAGGGGGACGTCCCCTCTTATTAGTTCGAAGTTCGAACATAATCCTTTTATCATCGTTTCTGAAATCTTAAATCTCAAATCCTTTTATCATTTGATCGACATTCGATTTAGCTCCCAATCCAATATCAAATCCCCAACATCATCATGTTTTGAACCCCAAATCTATGTATCCACGTTCGAAGAGAAGATCCCTTTTCAATCTAAAATCCCCACATAATCATCATTTTGAACCACAAATCCTTGTATCCACAATCGACGTTTTGTTCTTCGCCATTTTATTTCCGACCGGAATCTAAAACTCCACATAATCATCGTTTCCTTGTATCCACAATCGACGTTTTGTTCTTCGCCATTTTATTTCCGACTGGAATTTACAAAAATTGAAGATGAAATAAGCAACACAGTCTTCGACCTAATTGAGGAAGAAGATGAAGAAGACAAAATTTGATTCGAATCAGATGGAGAGGTCGCCTTAACTTGTGTTTATGTATTAACGGTGCGTTTAGGACAAAGTCTAGTTGGGCTTTTAAATTCCTTTCAAAAGTGGGCTTGTGTACATGATCCGGATTGTGAAGAGGTTGGGCTTTTATTTACATCTGCGTCTGCTTCTGCTTCTGCTTCTAAATCCTCATCATGTCTTGCGTTCAAGCAATTTAAACACAATTATGTGTTCCATCTTTTTTTTGGGATTCGGTAAATGGTAGCGTGTCTATTTACACATTTATCGGTACGAGGTAAAAAACAATCCGCCCAATTTAACTCTTTATTAATTGCCCCTATTCCACTCTCTCACTGTTTGCCCCTCTTGACATAACAAACCTTTTGTAGACTAATTAGAAGCGTGTGTTAGATACTTAGTGAGGACATTTTTTAAATTTATGTTTTGAAACGAAAGTTAGAATTTCGCTTTTGAAGTACTTGTGTACTTTACTTGGGCAAGTATTTTCAAAATGTAAAATTTTATCAGCGTATAGGTATGCGATTATTGTATAAGGTGTTTATGGTTAAGTTAATGATTACAGACTGGTTAGTGTATTAGGTTGTTGATGATTTAGAGTATATGGTATATGGTATATGGTTTAGAGTATATGGTATATGGGATGGTTTATAAGGTGTTGAATTGTTGATGGTCCAGAGCATATTCTATTGATTGATTCGGCTGAGGGTAGGTGTTGTTTTATTTTTCTCGATTTTATATTGTCTTAACATCTTCTTATAAATGCTGATCATGCCTTATTATCAGGAAATTTAGACATAATTATTGTCGCGTGTCTCTTTACACATTTATCGGTACGAGATAAAATGATTTGGTGTGTGCAAAGTAGGTTCTCATTAACGATTTTGTCATGTTGGTTATCCCGCCCATTAGCGATTCGCCACATATGGAATCAAAATTAGTTAGAGTTCTTAACTTCATCTTTCTTCATTTATTCTTTGACTTGAACCAACACGTCTTTGCTCCGAAGGATTTTGGGTGGTAGTGGCGTGCTAAAGACAATCCGTCCAATTTAACACTTCGTTAATTCCCCCTTTTCTTTTCTTTTTTGGTAGAATAATTACCCCTTTTCCACTCTCTCAGTCCCCGCCGAAGTTGAAACAATCCCCTGTGATATATTTATCGTTCATTTTAACCCTTCACTTAATAAGAAAGCGAAATTATGCAAAATGGTCATCAATGTGATGTAGCTTAATTGGTTAATTGTCCATTATTTGCTTAGTCAATAAAGTAGAGGTTTGTGGTTCGATACTTAGTGAGTATCAACTTTTAATTTATGTTTTGAAAAGCAAGTTATAATTTTAATTTATCAGCGTATAGGTATACGATATTGTATAAGGTGTTGATGGTTTAGAGTACATGGTATTGGGTTAGTGTATTGATCATCTCCATCCCTAAAATACGATATTGTATAAGGTGTTGATGGTTTAGAGTATATGGTATTGGGTTAGTGTATTGATCATCTTCATCCCTAAAATTGAACAACAATTTCTAAACGAGGTCCCTACCGCCACATCATCAATTTTAGCAATTCATCACTTATCAATTTCTATTCATCTACATCCCTAAATTATGCTAGCAATTGCCAAGGTGGGTTCCATTTTATATTTCAAAGGAAACACTTATTATAAATTGAAAGTTGGGGATGGAGATAGAAGAAGGTGTTGTTGGTATACAGTATAAGGTCTTGGAGGTTATGGTATAAGGGAGGAGCAAGGTGTTGATGGTTTAAAGTATATATGTTATTGATTGGTTACGGTATAAGCCTATAAGGTGTTGTTATTGTTGTAGAGTATATGGTATTGATTGGTTCGTGTATGAGGGTTTGGTTTAGGGTTTAGGGTTAGAATAACATAAACCAGATCAATAGAGTAATGTTTGTAAACGAAAAAGTTGGTTAATCTACAAATTCAGACTATTTATAAAAGCACATCCCCATTTCCCACCGTCAATTCCTAAACTTTTCCCTTAATCCGATGGTGAAATACCTTCGATCCTTGTCGCGTGCGTGTCACCCAATCAGATATTGCCGAATTCGGAAAGTCGCTTTTGCCCATAACCAATGCTGGCGTTACCAAGGCCGAGGCAGTGGTAGGGAGTGTAATTTTCAGTAAATGTGAAGGGAGGGAAAGTAAAAGTAATTACGAGTCAATCTTTAAATTCGTTAATCAGTGAAGGAGAGACCGTGCTCCGAAACCCGAGTGGCACTCATCTCCTGCTGCTGTTCGTTCCTCCTCCTCTCAATCCCTGAAAAGAACCCTTTCTTCCATCTTCTCAATATGAAACTCCGAAAATCAACCCCATCCGCCTCTTCGTCCTCCTATCCCATGCTTTATTTTCGGGTGCAGTGGTAATGATGAGACTGCGTATTATTTCTCCTTCGTTGTATTGTTTCTCCTTTTCTCTCCATGCAGGGTCTTTGTTAGAGGCAGGGAGGGGAGAAATCACAATAAGTCGCCGTCTGAATATCGCCGGAAGAATCATCATATGTTGTTACGATTCCATAATAGGTGTTGTGGAACCCTACGTCATATGGTGGTTTTTTTGTGCGATATTGACGCGTACTTGTTGATCATGCTCCGAAAATCAACCCCATCCGCCTCTTCGTCCTCCTATCCCATGCTTTATTTTCGGGTGCAGTGGTAATGATGAGACTGCGTATTATTTTAGATCTCATTTCCTTTCATTATGTCATTGTTAGATCATGACTGTTAAACTAAATCCTTCGTTGTATTGTTTCTCCTTTTCTCTCCATGCAGGGTCTTTGTTAGAGGCAGGGAGGGGAGCAATGACAATAAGTCGCCGTCTGAATATCGCCGAAAGAATCATCACATGTTGTTACGATTCCATAATAGGTGTTGTGGAACCCTACTTCATGTGGTGATTCTTTTGGGCGACATTGACGCGTACTTGTTGATCATGCTCCCAAAATGTATACAAGATGGGAAAGTTGCCATATGTATAATAGGATAAAATAGGGAGGGAAAGTACAGCTTTTTGTTTTTGTTGGACTATATGTAACATTTTTTTATATTTGTATACTGTTTTGTTATTTTTTCTTCTGCTTCTCTCTTCGCTTCCATGGCGGCTTCCAAAAGTGTTTGAGATCTTCTAAATCTGCGAGGGATCCTCCACTCCCAATAAAAATACTGTACTTTGTACTATTAGCGTTTGAGATCTTCTAAATCTGCAGGGGATCCTACACTCCCAATAAAAATATTGTACTTTGTACTATTAGCGTTTGAGATCTTCTAAATCTGCAGGGGATCCTACACTCCCAATAAAAATCAGCCGGATATCGAACTCTGCTCCTCTGTCGCCACATGCTCTACCCATTTAATGAGTGCTCAAAATTAGTGCAAAAAATACGATATAATAATTGAATAAAAAAACTAGTTCTCAAGATTATTCAACTGAAATGTTGCACATGATTTATTTAGAGTACTTAAAAATTGCCTTCAACTGACCATTAATGAGTACATAAATTAAACGACACCGCAAGAGCCAACATTCTTCTTATATACCAAACGACTCGGCATAGGAGGACTTCCAGTTTCAGTTCAAGTTTCCAACACCGAGCAAATATATGGTCCCAATTGCCACTTCAACAACTTTAACTATACATCAATTGTGACCATGGGTCCTACTTAATTTTCAATGCAATTCAATATTAATTGGTGAGTGTGTTATATTAATTTGAGTTTTCTCTCAAGTTGTTTTTTGTTGCTGTGTTATTCGAATTATGTAAAGTATTATGATTGGAATTGTATATATGTGTGTG